AATTCTTAACAAATTAATAGAGAGGGTACTATATCGATAATAATTATTACATAATTTTAATTTTCAAAAATGGTACGTATAGTAATAAAAAATTTGAAGGATAACGCGAGTTTTGGATAACTCTATACAAACTTAGAGTTACATAAATGAAATTGCACATTTCTCGTTATATTCTCATAGGGGTTGAAATTTGTCAAACTTTCAAACTTTCAGTTAGAGGGGGAAAAAATGATGGCTATGATGGCTACAATTATGGTCGTGTTTCTTGAATACATCACTTACTTTTTTCTTTGGTAAAGAATTAATGTACCATCCGAGAAATCCCGCGGCAACAACCCCTATAACAAACACTACGACGATTCCTGCTATCTTTGTGTACGAAAGGAACCAACCATCACCCCTTTTGTATTCCATGCCATCGCTAGTCATAAATTCCACCGGACCGCCACTGAATTGTGGTATGCCTTGAGCTGTGAAAAATCAGTTACGGAACAAGATGTACAAATTGATAAAATAATGACTCTATAAAAATTCAAAGAACCAAATTAAACGACTCAAATGAAAAATGTAGAGGGAGGCTTGATATTAATATTCTAATATTCTAATACCCTAGTATTCTAATGGTCAAAGGTAAAATAAAATAATAGCAAACAAAATTTCAGCAAATAAAATAATTGTATTTAAATAATTTGAAGTAGAAAATAAAATTATTTTATTCCCTGAAATTTATAGCTAATATTTTACCGTTTGAAATACAATTTTATCTCGGGACTTTACTCAGCTCTGTTCCAGCATCTATTCTTTTACCTAACAATATGTATACACTTGTCAAACATCATTCCGTGACTCGAAGCAAAATTCCACACCGCATACCGCATAGTGTCGTTAACGTATTGAAAATAATAGCCAACCGTACGTTGCCGACTCAATAAATGATTATGCGACTGCTAAAGTTAATAGCTGGTCAGCGTGTACGAGCAGGACCTTGGAAAATCGTTTCCCCAATGTATTTACTAACGCTGTTCTTGTTTCAGATAGTGCTGGCGGGTTAGAAATTAAATTCATCGCTTTGGAACTCTACTTAATACGCGTTTACTCGAGGAAGGTTCAAGAAAGAATGACACACGGCTGCCGCCGTTTAGGCTAAGGGATTGTCCCTATCTAGAGCGCAATACCAATTCTACCGGTCTCCCCGGAAGTCCAGCGGCCCCGGAAACCCTCTTTCGGTGCGCGCGCTGCCGGGACCGGAAACGGCCTCGCGTCGACGCATGCGTCCACCCTGGCACGCGAGGGGCTTAACGGGCACAGAAAATTCCCGGGTTTTCCATGCAATCAATGATCAAACAATCGTGTCTCCAACTGTCCTCGAATCATTTACATATTTATACTTCGCGTACTTCCTGGATAGAAAAATGACACTGTGTCATTATTTATACGTCAATCAAAATAAACCGTTTTCGTATCCGGGTTCAACGAATTAAAATTCATTCATGCGTTACAAATATGCTACCCATCTGTGTATATACGTATTGAAAACTTGGGTCTCGTTGGTCCCAAACAAATGTTACCACAACGCGACCCAAGTTTATGAACATTTTTCGAAAATTGTTTTAATTATAGATTCTGACTTCAAATGTTGTCTATTATGGAATAAGAATATAAAAGAGATTCGATCTTTCGATCCCTTGAATGAAAGTATTTCAATTACCGTTTCGAATACTTTTTGCTTGGAATATATTCATCTCTGAACTCGCGCTTTCGAATTGTTTCAATTAAAGATTCATCAACGATGATAACACGACGAGAGCGAAGGTATATAACTACAGTGTTTCGTTGGATTACGTATTGCGAGTCGGACATGTAGCTCTTTACATGCTACGAGATTGTGTTGTTACACGTTATGTCACGTGGCGCGTGATCAATCTGAAAACAAACGGAACTCGAAATACACCGGATCCACGTTCTCCGGCCATTCATAGTCGTTTAACAACCGCATACCGAAACAAATGATAAACCTGCGATAAGGTTGATAGGTAAATCGTGTGTTCTCCAGGCATGAAAGTTTACAAGCTTACGAAACTTCCATTTCGAATGAATTGTCCTTTTGAAATATCATCAAGTGAAATGTTTGACGAATAGAAATTTTAACAAGATAAATAGTTCAATATTCTTGTGTTTAACTATTAAAACAAAAAATCAGTCGAAGGACGAAAACCAGTAAGGAAAGGAAACAAGATTAAATCTCTTTACAATTGTAACGAAACATCTTCCCAAGGATGGTCATTAAAGAACAATTTTTCTACGAATCGTATGGAAGAACAAAGAAATCCAAATCCACCTTTTTCTTCAGCCATGCTACGAATTGAAACCTTCAATCGAAGCCTCTTGATAATAATTACAGTAAAAATTATTCTCAAGGCTGTCTCCCATTCAAATGTATATCTTACGATAACTTTAGTAAACAAAATTAACATACTTATCAAAATTTCTAATTGCACAATGCCTCCTAGTTTTATTTTTAACAGAAATAAACCTTGAATGAGAATATTAAGAATAGAATGATATATAAATTATTAATAATAATTGAATCTTTAAGACGCTTTTGTTGAATAAAAGATACTCTGTTGAAGAATAATCGTATTAAACGTTAAGGTAATTCATCGGACCGATTCTCGGTTACACGTGTAACGCTGAACACCAGGAGCAGAACTATGTCACATAATCACTGCAATCGTATATTTCCTCTTAGAATCATCTGCGTTTCGCGTGTATCGTAGTACAGTCGAGATCAAATCAGATTTCTCCGAGGAAAACAGTGAAGTCCCGGATTCCCGTCCTTCCCCATAGGCTTCCCCGGGGAGAATGCCAATACAGCGAAGATTCCTATACACATAGGTCTGTGGCCTCCCACCTCTTGCATATAAACGTTTACACGGGAAAATTTCAACTGATGATAACGTTTCCTTTCTTTTGCAATTTTTCAATCACGCGAAAATTTAATTTTCTAATCCTTTAATTAGGATAACATTTTTTTCGGCTATTATTAATAATCTCTATTATTTATTATTATTAATATTTATTAATATTACGTTCCTAATGATTCAACCACTTCCCCTAATTTAGTAGATAAATTACTGTGTAGCTAAAGTCAGAATAATACAAGTTACAACATTGAAATAAGCTTAACCTTGCATTTAGCTCACCTCCTATAACTCTTTCAAGTTATCGCGCATTTTTATCTTACCATTAACGCGATTATTACTTTATGACCGTCACCATCTTTTCTTAGTCAAATATTTTACTAATCATCTCCAAACTAATTATTTGAAAAAATTTCAAAATGCTCCACTACACGATATCAAGTGTTAATTAATATAAAATAATTTCAACAATTATAAAATCAAGACGATAAAATTTTATGTCATATTTCCACATTAAATTCCCTAATATTCTTCCAATAATAAATCTTTAAATCACCTTCGAAATAATTAATTGAAAATAATTAAAAATTCTTCACTATTAAATGCACAGTATCAAATATTAATTAATACAAAATCATTTCGATAATTATTAAATACAAAGAATAAAATTCTGTATCATATTTTCACATTGAATCTGATAAGATAAAGTCACTCACAACTTCTACGTCCATAATCCTGCCAACTGGAAATAGATCCTCGGCTCATGTGGCCAGCTTCCGGTTTCCTCGATCAAACAAACAACGCTGGCTCGCGTGCAACCGGCGATTACACGTGAAAGCAAATCAGTCACGTGAAAAGAAAACGAAACGAAAAGTTTATAGATTCTTCTCGTCAATGCTGAGTCAAACTCGCGAGCACGATAACACGCTCGGTTCGTGCAGGTGTAACGCAATTAGCCGTTCTACCTACGAAGCGTTACCTGAACGTTGCCCGACGCTCTGAATGTTGCTTCTACCCCCACCTTCGCATTTTTTTTTTTTTCAATTACTGCCTTCCTCATCTCCTACCTTCTTCTTCGCGTAACAATTTTCTAAGAGCAAACGGATGTACAGTCTATGTAAATCGTATCTGTAACAAAAAAAAAATTGATTATGCTCGCGTTGAAAAAGTTTTTACAATCTTATATAAGTAAATTCCCTGTAAAAATATATGATTCGCCAGTGAGACAATTATAAACGCTTACAATTGGGCATACCGCGTGACCGGGCCATCGACAACTGACCCACATATTCCTATGCGGTTCAATCAAAGTAAAAAAGACCTAACAATCACCATGGACTCAGTTTTAATCCCTGAACAATCGAGACCTAAACTAAAATAATTTTTAAACAAAATAGTTTCCTATGTTAGAATAATTTTTAAAAGGACAATATGAAAATAATATGAAATACGGAGTTATATTAAAATTAGGGCTCTCTCCGTGGTCCGCCGTCCGAGGGTTGAACCATTCCTGAATAGGAAACGAAAACCGCGTAGTAGGCTAAGAATAAGTAAGTCAAGGAAAAACCAAGACCCGTCACTGATTCCAATTGACGGCAAATCAGAAACGCGCGTTGAGGCTGGACATGAATTGTCGGCTTTTCAACCATTAAATGACCGTACAATGGTTTCTGTTTGCAGAATCGGCAGCAGAGACACGGATATATTCAACGCCGTAGCTCTTGCCGTGTCAATTTTCATTGATGCTTTCGGGATTGGCCATTGACGCTGCGCATCTCGCCCGTCAACCGACGGATACCGTGGTGATTGGGCCCCTTTTGTGACGTCTGCCCGATGGAATTGAATAATGGACGATCCACCGATTACGCGGCTGCTCTAAATGGCTCTAAGCGCTTTGGATCTCTGCTTTGGACACCAATCCGTTCGCTAACCATCACGTGCTCCTTCACCTTCCCTCTGCTCCCTATTCCACAGGGATAGTTTTTACGCATTTTTCTCAACACATTCAACGCTGGTGCACCAGTTGACAGAAGCAGGAAGCTGGAGGACAGTTTGCCAGCGACTGCGTTCGAACGCAGTCCTTTACATTCTGTGGATACAACGTTCGAGTATTCAAGGTCAACGCAGCTTGACCCAAAGTAATCTTTCCTGACGACTCTTCCGGACACCTGGAACTCCAGCGACGAATGCGGTTACGGACCTGTTGGACAAGGATTGCCAAGTAAGTCCATGATTTAGTGATCAGTGATCAAGGAATATTTGATGCAGGTAATTTTTTTTCAAACCTTATCGGGAAGCCTTATTCAATCCTTGAATAGCGGGGTCTGGGTCAGTCGAGACCTAGAACATATAGGAGGGTATTAACTTAAAGTTGAATGTATAAGTTTTAGTCCAAGTATATTGATATTAAACCTACAGAAGAACCATGAGGTACTTAGCAGCTATCACGGTGCTCTTCCTGATATTGGCTCTACCGCATTACGCCTCAGCCTCTCCTGCCGTAAGTGACTTTAATTTTTATTATTATAAAACTTAGATAGCTTTAGATTTAACATTCTACATTATAATTATTTTTTACCTAATTTTTATCTGCCCCGAAAACATGTGAATTTCCTTCCTAGGTAACATCAAGATTTAAAAGAAGTATGGACCTAAATGAGCTCGAGTATCATAGAATTCTACACAGGCTGCCACAGGAAGTCGTGGCTACTAGTTACCACCTAGAACTTCAACCCTTTGTTGGTAACGACAAATTCAATGGTCGAGTGAGGATCAACGTCACTTGGACAGATACCAGCGATACAATTACTTTGAACGCTGATCCAGATATTCACATCTCAAAGTACAGTGTTAGAATTACGGAAGCGGCGTCCGAAGAAAGGTAAATAAATAAATAAGTAAAAATCAATTAGACACCTTTCCGGATGCCATAGAACAATAAACAAATTATATTTTGTGAAACGTGCGCGGGCGACTAAAGCAGCCAGCGGGCATCTTAGTGCCCTGTGGACAATCTCGTGTGCATGCAATTATTTACCTGCGACCCGAAGATATGTTGCTCTTCGTTTTACTGCAACATAAAAATTCAAAAATTATTGAATTATTTTAAAAAATGTTAAAAGAGAAAAAGGTTTGCCAATGATGGATGTTAACGTGGCGAGGGTTACTCTTCCGGATTGGCAGAAACCTTGGTACACCATTCATCTGGAGCAGATGCTGAAGAAAGGCAGCAGCTGTGAAGTGGATATCAGTTTCGTCGGAAATCTGACTTCGAATGTACACTGTGGGCTATACAGAAAGGAATACCCGGATCAGTAAGTCCATACATGTCTAAGCATGAAATCTTTAGACACAACTCTGATAACATCACTGTAATTTCATCCGCAGTCAACGTCTGAAAGAATGTAGGAATAAAGATATTCTTAATTATTATTTCTTTTTCAGTCCTTACGTAGCTACATACTTCAGACCGAACCGGGCACACCAAGTCTTTCCTTGCATGGACGAACCTCCTTACAAAGCAACCTTCAAATTGAGCGTCCTTCGACCAGTGAACATGACCGCTCTTTCAAACACCCCTCTGGAACTTACCGCAGCGTAAGTAACCATCGGTATCAATTTCTGTTTGAACTGGTAAATAATGTCAGTCTTATTATCCTTAATCCTTCTGAAATTGTAATAATTTTTTTTTTACTTAAAACATATCAATCCAATTATTTTATATAAATAGTACCTACTTAAAAAAATTTTTTTAGCTTTTAAATGATTAACAAATATATTTCTAAACTTTTTTATTCTCGTTACTTAGATCGGACAATCAAAATTTCGTATGGGATCACTTTGAAACGACACCGAAAATGTCCACCTATCAGTTAGCTCTGTTGGTGTCCGATTTTACAAGCATTTCACCTAACGAGGAAATTAACGAAATGGACGGTAGAAGGGTGGAGATCAAAGTTTGGGCACCAAAAAAACACTTGGATTCCCTAGAACACGTGCCCGACAAGATTGTCTGGATTATGAACTATTTACAAGAATACTTCAATAGTTCGATAGTCCTGCCTAAACTCGACATTGTGGCGCTTCCTTGGCTCCACGATAATCCAACTGACAACTGGGGCTTGATGTTCTTCGGGTACGTAACTTTGCAACCAGTTCCAATTTCTATATACCGGGATGATCTATAAAACAAGAGATATTTTTCAAAACTATAAAACTTTATGACCCTACTCACTTATAAATTATATAAAAATAAAATTGTTTACAGCACCAATCATTTGAACAGTCCATCTATTTGGACTGTTACATACGAACTGATCTATCAATGGATAGGCCAGTACATCACGCCATTCAGCTGGAGCGATGCACCAGTCAGCAAAGCATTGAACTCGTTTTTGGCTTCGATGACTACGGTTGACGTACGTATTGTCATTGATTAACAGTTTCGTTGTTAAAAATGAAAGGGTTACAATAGGACTCTCTGGAAATTGGGGATTGGAGCTATAGCTCCCTCAGAACTATCCCAGAAAAAAATGATAGATGGTCCTTCTCCGGGATTAATATCAAATTGAAAAGAAGAACGAATTTGTTACAGATCAATCCAGATGAAATGGAAGGAAGATGGCCAATGACGATGCTGTATTCTTTTTATTACGAATTTGGAAAATATAAGCCTTTCTCAAAGGCTGCAGGCATCACGAACGAAGCTACAGCTAGCAAGAGTATGTTTTAATTCAAGTATATAATTAAAAAACTAATTTATAAAATTGTTTCTAATTATATGATTTTCCTTTTCCTCGTAGCCGAACTGGTGTTCCGAATGTTCAACATTCTTCTTGGCAAAGAGATGTTCCGAAAGGGCGTCAGAAATTTCATTCGACAAAATTCAGAAGAGTAACTGCTTTCTTTAATTAGTCAATTTTTAATTTTTAATTTTAAACTTTAGTTGATATACACTATCGTTCATATGTCGTGCAACACTTACTGGTTTTAATATTACGTTTAAACTCTGCAGTATCTCGAAATATTCGTATCCCCACCACCTCACCGCCGCAGCACGAATTCCCCTACAATGCCTCCCCACCACCTCGAAAGAGCTAACAACAGGGGGGATTTGTGAAATTGGCAATATAGAACGAGTGGTAATATAGTAAATAGCGGCAATATAGCTAGAGTTTACAACAGTGATGATTTTTATTAAACACCCATTTTACCACCATAACTAACGATAAATCTATAATAATTTCAATGCAATTTTGAACATGATTCGAGTATAATTTTTCAGGAATCTACGAACCTTCTTCGCTGACGATATCTACAGCCATTTAAATGATATAGCGAACGAAACAAATATTCTTCCGGAAGGTCGGACGGTCAGCAGCATCGCTGGTCTGTGGATCACTCGGGACAGGCTGCCATTGGTCACGGTCATTCGCGATTATGAAACGAAAACAATGACGCTTAGTCAGGTAGGTGTACTTACCTGTGTTACTAATCCCATCGAACAAAGGCATTGCTTGGCTCAGGGTTGGGAAAACCAGAACGATAACATGATTTTTATACGGATAATTCCTTGATGTCGAAGGAAATGCGAGTTTCAATGCATTTACGTTTTAAATAAAGATTCTCTTGGTGACGTTAGCCTAGTAGGTTTAGGCAGAATACCTGGAAAAGAAATGTTGCACCCAATTATTTTTTTGTCGTTTTTGTGCAAAAGCATCGGCAAAAACAGGGACCAATATGCCCCACCCCCCATAAGGACTACCCTATTCACTATTCTAAAATTTTCAGATTACAAGCTTTTTAAAATTCTGAAATTCTAAGGTTCTAAAGTTCTCAAAAAAATTGCAATGTCCTTAAGACTGATACCGGACGGATTGTGTTTTTACCCTTGGAAGCGGTAAAAAATGATATCCACTCTCTAAAGAAACTATTACAACCGTTTGAAAGACGCACAAATGTAAAGAAAATTTCAGAGCTGATAACTTCTATTGTGGAAAGCATTTACATACCACCTCGATCGTTTGGTGATTACGTTAACAAGCGCGTTAGTCCCTGAGATTACGTTCCTACGATTGTTACCAAACATACGGTATTATCACTTACAATTACCACAGTAGCAGGGTCGGATTGAGATTTTTGGAACCTGAGGCTCTCAGCTGTAATAAGTTGTAAAAATAGATTAAAAATACGGTTAACGTAATTAAAATCAGTATCTTTTTCATTGTGAAAACATATATATTACAGAAAGTCAATCTCAGAGAAGCTCCTCGAGCGGCGACTCCCAAAGTGTCCTACCAATGGGACATACCAATAGTAATGATGTCGGAGGAAAAATTAGAATTTCACAAACCGTATCCTTTGTGGTTGCCAAAAGGGTACAAACCAAAGAATCTCACCGTTCCAGACATCACCGACGAGGATCACTTCATTATTGTTAATCCAGAAGAAATAGGTATGACAAATGTTTCGCAACTGATAAGCTACTTAAAGTTTGTGAAATATTCAATAAATTATTTTTATAGGAATGTTTCCAGTAAATTACGATTCATGCAACTGGAAAATGTTAATACAATATCTACGGGGTCCAAATCGCGAAAAGATTCCAGTTTTAACCAGAGCGAAATTGCTTCACGACTCTTGGAATTTAGCATATTCTGGAGAACTCTGTTTTGGAATCGCATTGAATATGACTCTATTCTTGCAAGAAGAAAGATGTCACGTAGTTTGGGAACCTATCTTTATGATGATCGATCATATTGACAGACGTATCGAAGGATCTGAGGTGTATCCCAAATTTCAGGTAAAACATGTAAAACAGTTTTAAATACTTTCCTTCTCTTCTTAGAAAGCATCGATAAGTTTCTTTTTATTAACAGAAATGTAAATTTCCAAACCCTGAAATTCCAAAATTTAAATCCAAATTTTTAAAATTTTAATTTTAATTTCAAATCTCCAAATTTCGAAGTTTCGTAGCACACCCCCTTTCGTGTGACTATTTTCTAATATAAGACACCCTTCGATACTTAATTTATTATACAACTTCGTTATTTCAGGCATACATACGTACCTTGCTGAAGCCTCTGTATATGGAACTAAAGGAAAATGAACAAGCAGGTGAACCATCTTGGAAGTCTCGTATGCGAGGAATGGCGAAAAACTTCCTCTGTCGTGCTGGATACGAACCTTGCATTATCGAAGCAAGAAATCAGTATCAAAGATGGCTAAGGGGCGAAGATCAAGATGCAAGAAATTCGTCAGTACTTAAATTTTCCAAAAATAAATTATATATTTTCCTAATTACATACCATTTTCATAGCAATATAATAAAGTTATTTTCCTGAACTTTTCAGAGCCAATGATTTCATTTGTCCATTGTTGAAATGGGGCACTGAAGAAGAATGGGAATTTGGACTTCAACGTATCATGAATGTTTCCAAGTATGAAAGGATGGATCTAAAATCTTTAGCTGGCTGTACAAAAGACGCGAATAAAATTGAAAGGTAGTATAACTTATCAAATTGGAATTAATATAGAGATCTTAAATTTACTAAGATTTAACAATAATACCGTAGATTATTGAACGTGACGATCCTCGAACAGAATGAAAATTTCTCAGACTCAGATATTCAGCTAATCTTTGTAACACTAAGTGGTGGAGCAGCTGGTTACAGAACATTGTTCAACTTCTTGATTGACAATTGGGATACTGTTAAACAAAGATTCGAGGATAAACATTATTTGTGGTCCAGCATCATAGAATTGGCCACTTCTACGTACAGTACTCAGCAAGGTGTAGACTTGGTTGAAAAACTGTATGAAAGCCATCGTGATCATGTCTCTAAAAACCTGCCGATTCAAAAAGCTTTCACAGCAGACCGAAAACAATGGACTGAAAAAAATCTTCCTGTAATTGATGCTTGGCTTTCAGAAAATCTGCCAAAGGAAGAACTAGAAGCTACTCAAAGTAGCACAGCTACAACCATGGTGATGCCTGTTAAACATTTAAACATTTTGTTAAATCATTTGAAGTTATAATTCCTCCTTTGTTTATTTACTGTAGATGTGTAGCTTCTGCAAATGTATAATTGTTATGAGAATGTATACATTGTTGTTTTGTTGCAATGAAAAGTTTTACAAGTCTCTGAAAACACCTTTTCATCTAAAACAATAGAAACGTTTGTATTAGTGTGATTACTGGTTAATCTACTAGAGGATTAATAAATATAACATTATAAATACTTAAGGGGTTTCAATTTCCAATCTAATCAAAAATGATAATGATTAATCACAGGAAAATGCAATTCATATTTCAATGTTTATAATTCTTTAATGGTACCATTAAAACAAATAACAAAAAATTTTGTGTTTCAATATTACAAAGTTTTCAAATCCTTTGCAATATCACAATAAATATTACTGAAATAAGGTTAATAATTATAAACTTCCACTACTTTCAAATTTAAATTAATAGGAATGGCCATTTTCTCAGTTGACCAACCAATACCAACCAAGCAGTGCTGTTAAGTTTTACAGTTAAACATGAAATCACTAAAAATTGTTAGTAAAACATAATTCATTATGAAAAAAATATATGAATATACCTAATTAACAATAAGTATACTTTTTTTCAAAGGCTATTTTATACTGTTAATCATTTTTGTGTAAATAAATACTTATGAAGTTCGTTCAATGCGTAAAATTGAGGGTTACATTCCAAATCGAATTCTTTTTTAAAGGTGTGTAAATAAATATGAGCATACAAAACGAGAAATGTTGAAATGCATAATATAATTGCTTCTACAATGTCATGTTTTTTACGATACATATCTAGGGAATATAATTTTTTGTGTAAGAAACTACCTAGTGAAAATACTAAAGCGTCAGCCTTATATGCTGTGCAGTCGGTATTGTTACAAACAAGTAATATCCAGTGGCAACTACGTATGCGTTTGAGATATACACTTTATGAATCAAGTATCACACATCCTTTGCACTTCTTCGTGATGAGTTCGTTCAGGTGATTAATGTTTGTTTAAACAAATCATAAATTGATTTCAGAAAGTATTAGCTGCGATTGAGTTTTCGTTCCATTCGTATCGAAGGTGATGAATACCAAGTGAGAAACAAGCAAGACAGGGGAAGATAACTATATTGCCTAAAACTTCTGTCAATGTGTAGCTCACAACTGTGTATTACTCAACTTGCAAACTTTGCAATAACATTCGAATTTGTTAGCCAGCAATTAACACAATTCACGTCGCAATGATTCATACTATGTCGATTACATTTATGTTTCCTCAGGATATCCAATGAATGCAAAAATGTGTTTATTCACTAATGTATATAAAATATCTTAAATAATAATTATGATGAAATTACGAAACGCAATTTTAGGGGTGTATGGTAAGTACTTATCAATACATTTTTTTTAAAACTTTGATTTAAATATGTCAGGCCAAAATGTATACTTTAAGGAAACAATGTTTATCAGTTTATAGTAAGTACTTTTATGATAATTACTAAGATATTGTATGTAACAAATAATGTTAGAAGTTTCAAATATATACATATATCATAATAATAATCATTATTTTAAAAACTGTTCAATGGATTCAAGAGTTTTATAGTTTTTATACAAATCTCAAAATAGTATATTTTTGAACAAGACACAAACAAAGGCTATATAAAACCTGTAATAGTAGAATAATAAAATTAACATTAAGCTATCATTGAAATTTGATAAAAACTGTTCATAAATTGTTATGTAATAAAACAATTTTTTTATATAATAAAAGACTGCAGCGAAACAAATGGTAATGTTTCTTTGTATCGATATATTCACTTTTAATTTTAATATTTTTATTTAATAATAGCATAAAATCATGTTCTTTACATAAAGAATATATATCTGAATAATTTTTAATTCTTTCTTTTTTTATTAAAATAATATAGAGCTTACCTAATACTAATACTATGTAATAACCACATTGTTTATAGTGCTAACTAATTACAATCTATGATGTTTTCTCATTTTTTAACTTTGTTTCTTATAAATATTTCAGACTAGAGGAATACATGGAATCAAAATGGCACGTAGACGTAAAACTGAAATGAAATCATCCGTAAAATCATCTATTAAATATGTACCTGTTAGAAAATCTAGTAGACAGATAGCTAAAAAGCAATCAGAAGAGAAGAAGGTTAACGGTGAAATTTTACAAATATCTTACTTAAATAATTCTGAAGATGGTAGAAGCGCTACAGAATACCCGAACCAAGTACTTCCTAAGAAGAATCAAAACTCTGTAAGGAAGCATAATAAGCACAAAAATGGTTCTAATAGTAACGTACTTGCAATTAACGAAGAATACGCGTATTCGACAACGTCGCAATATAAAAAGGACTCTAGCGAAAGCGATAGTCAAGACGGAGTAGATATTATAATTGATCAATCCGAAGAACTTAGTCCGGAAGATGTCCAACAAGTAGTCGTTGGTAATCCAAGTAAAGAAATTTTAACCGAAGTTGATTCCAATGAAATCGAAATATGGCCGGAAGATGTGATAGAAGAAACAATAATTTGCGAAGAGATGGAAGTTAAAGATGACGTTAAAGATAACAATTATAGCCTGAAGGAAGAGGATAACGCGATGGTAAAAGAGGTGTTACTAGTGAATAATCCTTCGTTAGAAAAAAAAAATTTTTTGGAATATACTGTGATACAAAATGAGAATAGTGCGGCATCCATGTTAATAGAATGCGATTCGATAAACACGTCGAGTAACGAGTGTTGCTGTGACGTGGAGAACAAAATGTGCGCTTTGCATAAAAGTAAAACAGACAATTCCATATCAGGTTTATGTACAGAGGTGCCAATTATTTGTATCGATAAAAACAATGAATATACTCGTAACAGTAAAACTATCCTTAACGATCAAGAAGAATTACAGGTAAATAATGGTACGAGCGTTAAAAAGTCACATGAAAATTTATCTAAAGACGAGTTCTGTAAAATAGATAACAAATTAGCAGAAATGCAAATTAACGAATCTTCCAAAGAAATACAAAAGTTAGTCAATGATTTATCTAATATTGAAAATATTATGTCTCCGCTACAAATTACCGACAACATAGAGAAAGTAATACCGATGAGTGTCGACGATGAAAGCAGTTCGTCGATATTAGATAAAATGGAACAGTTACATCAATCGAATAATTCTGCATCCTTGCTCGATACCATAGATAAAAATACAATCGAATTAAATAAGTCTGATTCTTGCAATGATAAAGTAGAATGTACAAATCAGAATGTATTGAAATTGAAAGTTTTACAAGATAAAAAGAACGAAAAGATTCAAAGGAAACCAATGAATTCGCAACAGATTAACGAAGAATACGGTGACAGCGAAGCAGATAGCAAACTTGATGGAGAAGATACAAAATTATCTAGTAGTAGTGATAATAGTAACGACACGTTATTGTCCATGAATAATTGTAAACTGACAGAACTTGACCCAAAGTGTAATAACAGCTCGAATGATATCGATAAAAGAAGCGAATTTAGAAGCAGGAGCGGTAGTACCGATACAACAGGTTCGGAAAGTGGATCAAATAGTTCTGGTGTAAGAAGAAGTAGTAGAATCAGGTCGATCGGTTTAATGAAACAAAGGTAAGGATTTTAATATCGAAACGTTTTAAACGCGGTCTAAGTATATAAATATTTTTTTATCTTTTTTTCATTTAACAGGTCTCGCGGACGCGGTTTAGTCACGAAACCCAATATAGATGTTTCAAAACCAATCGTTCAACCGGAACGAGAAAAAATAATTAACAATAATTGTTCGATTAGCAATGAAGTTAAAATTGATAATACAACTGAACCGCAATCGGATAAAGAAAATAATGTTAATAAAACAGCGAATACGTTCGATTCTGTTACATCGTTAGCAACAAATTGCCCTACTACAGGCTACGATTCAGATTCTTCGAAACCCGTTAAAGTAAAATCTCGTTGGCGAAGATCAAGTGAACTTGAAATGGGTGGATCAAGTACAGGAGCTGTATCCGCGTTAACAATTGGATCTCTGTTACCAAACGCAACCACAAATATATCCGAGACAGGTTCATCTTCGACTGCTCTTAAATTTACGACTGGATCTCTGACGGATATTAGTTGCTCCGACTCTGGATCTGGCTCAACAGTCACAAATACTCAATCTAACGTAGATACAGAACAAACGAAAGAAACTTTAATAACTAATACCACTAATATTGTACAAATTCCAAAAACTGTCGGCGCCAAAATTTTCTTACCTATGGTTCCTGAGATAAAAGACAGAGAAATGGAAGAAAGGCTAAGCCAGTTTGAATATTTGCATGAAAATTTATATCTAACGGAAAGGTAATTTCATTGAAAAATTATGATACCTGTCGGAGATTGGTTTATTTATTCTTCTAAATAAATAATCATTCTTTTAGGTATACAAACAAAGAAACGAAACGCATGGTGTGCGACTGTTTTTTAACGGACGAAGAAATTGAGAGAGGAGAATTAGGTTGCGGAGAGGATTGTTTGAATAGACTACTTATGATAGAATGGTATAACTGTATTATTTTTATTTCTTGATTCTATTATATAGTATATTATATTATAATGAATATAAATTTCAGTGGTCCTAGATGTATAGTTGGTGACCGTTGTACAAATAAAAGATTTCAAAATTGTGAATACGCCAAGTGTGAAGTATTTAGAACCGAGAAAAAAGGATTTGGATTGCGTGCTATCGTAGATATGTTAGCGTAAGTATTCTTTACGACGCGAATTTATGATGTTATAATTATTTGTTTTAATAAAAATTTAATCTCTAATCATTAGAGGGGAATTTATAATGGAATACGTAGGTGAAGTGGTTGATCCAAAAGATTTTCGACGTAGAGCAAAGGAATATTCAAAAGATAAAAATAAACATTATTATTTTATGGCATTAAAATCTGATCAAATTATTGATGCCACTATGAAAGGAAACGTTTCACGATTCATTAATCATAGTTGTGATCCGAATTCTGAAACACAAAAAGTAAGTATAATTAAATATTTAATGTATTATATACAGAATAATTCATATAAATTTTCATGTTTATCATCGAAATTTGTGAACAGTGGACGGTTAACGGGGAACTAAGAATAGGTTTCTTTAATAAAAAATTCATAGCTGCCGGTGAAGAAATTACATTCGACTATCATTTTCAACGTTATGGGTACGCATGATATATATATATATATATATACAATGTAATTTTTAATATGTACATTAATTTTTGAAACTGAATTACCTATGTTATCAATTTTATTATAACGTTAGTAAAGAGGCGCAGAAATGTTTTTGTGAAGCTCCTAACTGCCGTGGTTGGATCGGTGAGACGCCTGAAGAAGAGAAAGAAAAGATTGAGAAGAAAGAGAAACGTGATAAAGATATGAGAAAGAAGAAAGGTGAAAAGAAACAAGCTGATTACATGGAAGATGAAGATGTAAGTTCTATAAATATTATGTTAGATTTATAAATATCGAAATTCTTGTTTCTATTTCCTTCATTTATTTTAGTTGGAAGAGGAAATAGATAAGCTATGCTTAGGTGGTTTGAAAAATAGAGCTCATACGTTAACGTTAAGTAGATTAATGGTACGTAGTAGAGAATTAGAACACAGGACGCGGCTTCTACGTCTAATACAAAGCGGAGAACAACCATGTAGAAGATTATTTTTGGATTATCATGGTTTACGTTTGATTTGGAGCTACGTTATGGATGTTTCAACGAACGATTCGGAAGAGGCACAACAATTCCGGCTAGAAGTTTTGAAAACACTAAACACACTCCCGATTCCTAATAAAACAATGTTAATGGATAGTAAAATTTATAATGTCGTCGAAAAGTGGTCGAGACGATTATATTTTTCTCCTAGCGGAGATTCACCGGAAGACGATCAAGAAAAAGTAAAAGGAAATTGCGAGGAATTGCAAAGCAATTATGATGTTAATCAATTAACCGATACAGAAAAACAAGAAAATAACATAGAAAATAGCGAAATAAAATTGGATAACGGAGATCGAAATCTTATTCCTGAGTTAGCCTCCAGTCTGTTAGCTGAATGGTCAAATTTGAAGGAAGTTTTTCGTATACCAAAAAAAGAAAGAATTGAACAAATGAAAGAGCACGAAAGAGAAGCAGGTATAATATTGAATATAAAATGAAATATTTCGTCGTAGGAATTCATTTAACATAACTCATTTTCTTTCAGATCGTGGATACAGAGAAGAATTAGAAAAGGAGGAGAAAAGAGGAACGTCGTATGACAGGTATGATAAATAATCAAAACGCGACGTTTCTTTATATATAATTTATAATTTATCATATTTTCATTTGATAGACATAGATCCGATAGATACGGAAGAAACGAAACCGAGAAACGTGGAGATAGAAGACGGGGACGAGAATCTCCAGAATCTGAGCACACTCGTACAAAAGATAAAAGAGTAGAAGAAAGAAGTAGTTTAGTTCCAATTCCGCGTATGACGAAGTACGAACGTAGACAATTATTTGCCTTGAAAGTTGCTAAAGAGGAAGAAGAGCGACAACGTCGACAGCAACAAGAATCGTGGCAAGATCATGAGACAAGATGTCTAGCGTTAAGTATAGATCCTCATACGACGGCTATGGTAGATCCGCAAACAGGATATCCAGTTTTTTACAATCCATCTATTGGCCAGTGGCAGCAGTACCCTACGCAAGGTTTTCATTCGCATATCTTTTTATCCTTCAAATTATTTAATATGCGTTTCATTACATTTATATAAAATTTTATTACAGACAGCGAAATAAGTCAACAATGTACCCCGATATACGTAGGAGGTGCACAAGCGGTTGCTGGTCATTCTCAATCTGGAATAGTATCACAAAATTCACACGTACTACCACCATCGATTCCATCCGAGATATCATCTGGAATGTCGAGCAGTATACCTTCCGGTGTACCTCCAGTAATATATACGATAAGTCAAACGCCTGTGTTCAATCAAACTACAACAGCATATTCTTTGTTATCTCATTGTCATCAACAATATCCCGAAGGTCAATTGTCACTTCCAAATAGCATAGTACATAGCGGAACATCTGTCACCATTCAATCTCAATCTCTGTACGAACATATTGAAAAGCAGCAGCAGTCGGATCAACAATTTCAACAATCTACCTTTAGACAAGCACAACCTGAAGTACCTCCTATAGATTTACCACCTAAATGGAAAAGTGCAACCGACGCCAGAGGCAGAACGTATTACTATCACGTGAAAGAGCGAATATCGCAGTGGTTACCTCCTCCGCCTGATCATATTGGAGTTCAGCCAGATTCCTCGTCAACTTCAGAATCTAGCGAAGAATCTAGTTCGTCGAACGAAGATGAGGAAGACATTGTTGATGAGGATAACAACGAAGATTCACGAAACGAAGAATTGAGTTTAAATAATATTTTAGTAGAAAAATCATTGGATGGTTCTAAACATAATGCGTGTAAGAAAAGTGCTTTTCACTTGACCGGAAATACTGGATTGTTACCGGAGGGCAAGAAAAGAAGAGAAGGTTTAGTTCAAGAAAGAATTATTAGTGTACGTAATACTGTTCTTTTTTTTTCTTCTGTATTTAATTATAATCGGTATTTATTATTATTATTGTCTATTTTTATAGCCACGTCGAGAAGAGGATCGTATGGATCATAAAACGCACAAAGGGATAAAGGAAAAATTACGTCGTCAAAAAGAAAGAGCAAAATTTAAAGAACACGTTGACAAAATGCGAAGGCATCGACGTAATAACAAATCTAAATCACATTCGCGACATAGTTTAAGTAAATTACAATCACCTTCAACAGATTTGTCAACAATGTCAGAAAGAAAGATTAAAGATACTTTCCGAATAAATATGGCCAACGTGATGGTACACTTTTTGAATCCTTATAGAAAAAATGATTGTAAACAGGGTAGAATAACTAATACAGAAGATTTTAAACATCTAGCTAGAAAGGTATGTTTTCGGATAATGAAACTTGATAATAACAATAACAAAAACTTTAATATGCTAACAATTTTTTGTGTTCTAGCTTACCCATTTTGTACTTGCTAAAGAATTAAAACACTGTAAAAGTGTCGATGAATTGCAGTGTAACGAAAATGTTAAACATAAAGCTAAAGATTTTGTACGTAAGTATATGAGTAAATTCGGTGCAGTTTACCAAAAAAGTACAGACGAAGATTAATTATATAATTTATAACGTGAAATTGTTATTTATTATACGAATTCTTTCATTTTGTTCATTGTAATATACTTATTAGAAAAATACACCTACAAAACGCCTGTATGTAGATACATTTGTAATTATTATTATTATTATTATTGTAACATAGGTCAATTTGTACATGCTTCATAAACATTCTCGTAATTTAGCTATTAAAAGAAAATTAGTAAATTTCTAACTTCGTACGTTTAATGTGTAAACTTGATATATTTAATTTGGTATAAAATAATATGTCTGTTATATCTTTTTAAAAAATATTGCATTTTATGTCCTGCTACAAATGTATATCTTATATAGTTACGTACTGACCTATCTTTTATATCGGTTTCAAAAGGAAAAAAAGGACATTAAAATCTATATTTTGTTGTTAAATGTCAATATTAAAATCTTAAACATTGTAAATAATATATATTATACAAATTTTTAACTGTTTCATAAAAGTAAATTGCAATTACTATTTCCTTAATACGTGTAAAAAGTAAATGAAAAATAATAAATTTTGCATTTATAAACTTAATTTTATTATTCTTCAAACTTATTCTATGCAATTCAGATACATTTGTTCTGGAATGTATGATCTTTAAATAAAAACAAGCTGTAAAATTTGTAATAAAAGGGAATCTATGTTTAAATTGCAGCTTAATAATTTAATTGTTTAAATTATTAATATGCCATACGATATAGAAGAACTCTGCAGAAGTGTGACAATGTGTAATCGCCATCTATACCGCAGTTCACCAGAATCCATAACTGCGACGCGCAGGTTGGAAGATGGTGGGGGAACGCAGCGAGCTCTCTCTGCTAATCGCTTTCCACTTCGTTTGGGAGTATCGCCAATCAGGGCGAAGATGCGTACTAGAGATGCGCAAAGAACGAAAACTGGTCTTTTCGCAGTTATGGACTCTGGTGACCTGCGGTATATATACCGCATTAATTTACTATATGTATAGTTAACCAAACAAGAATTAACATTTTCGCAGTAAAAATTATTCTATTTCAAGCTGATGTTATTGTGTATAAGAATATAACTTCATTGTAGTTAAAATACTTATTGGAAAAAAGGAAGAGATTATTCTTGATACAATGAACGTTCTGAAACCAGAATTAACTTGGGTAGATGGTAGATGTTACAGGTTATCGGCAAATACCGAGTGGTCTAATGCTCGTAATCTTTCTCCTTATGTTGAAGACAATTGTCACTTAGATTACAATGATTATGAAGATGAACATTGTGATTCTAATATAGAAATTGTACCATATGGAGGATCAAGATTTAAACACACATTTCATGTAGCAAAGTAAAATTTACTTTTCAAAAAGATGCGACAATTTAAACATTGTAACGGTATTAATAATGCTTATAATATTTTAGAACATTTTTCCCAATTATTATTGGATCCAAAAATGCAGTTCGTAAGAGATTAGAAACTGAAACAAAAACAACTATACAGATTCCAAAAGTTGGCCAAGATGGAGACATTGGTACATATTTTCTAATATGTTAATTAATATTTTAGTTTTCATAATGTATCGTTAAGTAACAATCTTAAGTAATAATAATATCTGTATTTACAGTGATAGTTGGTAGCTATCGTAAAGGAATAATTACAGCACGTCATAGGATAGATTTGTTAATGGAAGCAAGAAGAAAAAAGATTCCTATCACACATTTTATATCAATACCACTGAATGAGGGTCATATAATAATGAAATTCAATATGTTCAAAAGTGATGTACTTACACATTTTGAAAAAACCTCCAGAGGTATTGATAAAATGTTATTTCAAACACCAAGCAAATTACATCTTACTATAGTGGGATTAACGTTGCTCGATGATACCGAAAGAAATCAAGCTATCAAGGCTTTAAATTACTGTGAAGACCATATCGTGAAGTATGATAATTATTACAATATCAGTATAATTACTATTGTATCTTTATAATTATATGTCTTTTTATAATACATTGTAGACCTATGATGGAAAAACATCAACAAATTCGTATATGCTTACAAGGAACCGATATAATGAACGATGATCCTAGCGAAACAAATGTTTTATACGCAAAAGTAATCGATCCGGATAATGTTTTGCAAGAAATGGCAAATAAAATTTTAAATCACTTTAGTAATATAGGTAAAAAGATACATGGTACTTCTTAAAAATAAAAAACATACATTAATAGCAAATATATATCCTTCAGGATTAATAATGCCACTCAACGACACAGTAAAGTTGCATGTAACTCTCATGAATACCAGATTTATGCTAGATGACGAGCAACGTGAACAAAAACCAAAGAGATCGTTGAACACATTTGATGCGACCGAAATAATGAAAGTAAAGACATTAATTATTTATTTAAATCATACGATGTAAGAACTTTATATAACAAAACTTTTCAAACTTTTAGGCTCACAAAGATACATTTCTTGGAGAAACTATATTAAAAGAGATTCATCTATCGCAACGTCTCACAATCAGTAGTAATGGATATTATCAAGCAACTGCAAAAATTACTTTACATTAATGTTTGTGATTCACAGAATTACATTATCTCTACATAAAATTATTTCTTAAATTATTAAGCACAAATGATTTGAGGTAAAGAAATAAGCTGGTAAATATTGTGTCATGCAGGTTCAATTTATAATCATTTTATAATGTTTCTAAACTATAAAATTATGAAAAAGGTAATACCTGTACATAGTATACAATAACTTGAAATCTTCAAATAAAATATCTTTTTAATTTTATAATCTTTATTATTTAACCTGATATTAATTGCTTATCTAACAGTTGTTTTGAAGATATGTTGAAATCATATTGTTTCATACATTGTTTACTTTTAATTTTTGTAGTAGTGAGATAATGTCATATTTTAACTGAGAACGCATGCGCGATAAGTAATGAAAATCTTCTGTACGTCAAAATAATAGACGAATCAGAATCATATGATATTTATTATCAGTTTAACATGTATAATGGAACTTAAGTTTACGTTTTTTTATCACTGTAAAATTTCTAACCTGTATTACCTTACATGTAACTTTTATAATGTAAAGAATGAATTAATAATTATTTTCATGTATATTAGATACATAATGTTCAAATTTCTTTTACATTAAAAATTCGCTAATTGTAAACTATATATACAAAATTTATAAGTATTGTACAAAGATTTTAACGTTTTAAGCATTTATTAACGTTTCTGGTTTCCTTTCAGGTTCATAAAAAATGCGTGGTATCAAAAGGATATTAGTGTTTTGTACATTAACAACAATTGTACCAATTCTGTTTCTTATTACACCTTTATATTTGCGCCACAACTTTTATGGTAATGTAGCATACGCTGTAACAGATTCTGATATCTTGGAAATCACTGATGGAATTTCTACAGTATTTTGTTCAGTAAGAATGCTTTATTATATGTATAATTAAGTATTATATTTAATAATAAACTTTTAAACATGGAATAACAATGTAAGTTTTGATAATTTGTTACATATGTAAGATTGTATAATTCAAACTAACATTGATAATATTTATTTGTGTAGGAACATGTTTTACAAATGAATAGAACGTTTAATGCCTTTCAAATGGCCCACAAACCAGAAATAACTTCTTATAAAAAGCATATACGTCTTAAAAAGAATATGACTCTACCAGATGACACATTAGAATATTGGGGATTTTATCTTTTAGAAGGATCAAGTGTTGCACTTTCTGTTTGTTCAAGGTGTGTACTTAGATATCAATATTCAACATTATATTAATTGTTCTTAAAATGTTAATTATTCTTGCTGGTATTTTCATGTAGGTTTGAAGGTGCATCTATACTTGTTGTGAAAGGGGAACGTAATTTACGAACATGTGGTATGTTAGAACACAATAATGAAGAAATTGTAGAAAATATATTTCTACCAGAAGCTAAGCAGCAAGTTAAAGTAACATTTAAATCGGACACAGAGTCCATTTCTAATAATAGTATTATACAAGTTGATCACAATGACACATTAAACAATACAACAAATAAATTTTTCCGAAATATTACCTCAAAATTAGAAGAAAACCATACAGATAAAAATGCTACAAATGTTCATTCGGCCATAAATAGCAATACCTTATCTAATGAGGAAGAAAAATTGAGGAAACTGGTATGGGATACAAAAATGTACATGCAACAACATATGAAATCTCCAAAAGAACCAATTGTACATAATGCCAGAAAATTAAGACACGCTAAAAAAAAACAATACAAAAAGCAAATAAAAGAAAAAGAAAAAAATATGCTTGAAGGAAGAAGAAGAACGAGAAGAGATATCGAAAATGGATCTAAAGTTAAAGAGAAGGAAATATTCAAGAAAAGAACGAAAAGAAATCAAGACCTTGTTAAGCCATTTTTATTGGATCAAGGTGTTAAACATGGAGGAAATGCTGTAAAAAATTTAACAAACGGTGATGATGATTCTTCTGTATCCAGTTTCGAAAATGAATTATTTAAATGCTATGGAGGTTCGATTTTAATATCTCAAGAATTTCCACCTTCCGAACAGTGTACTAATGTTACATATTTATTGAATGGTAAACATATGCAAGCGACCCACAATGTTATAGAAAATGGTTATTACTACTATATCTTTTATAGTGATAACGATATCGTATCAAATGATATATACGCACTGTTTGACATTTATAAACCTATTTTTCATTATGAAAATATAACAAAATCTTGTATAAATCAAACAAAATGTTCATTTTCAATAAACTTGTTGTCTTCTGATAGGGTGATTGTTGAAATACCAACTAAAGATGGTCTTGAATATGAAATAGATGATATTAGTTTACTTTTATCAGTCTGTCATCCTCGTATGGAAGTGTATGTAATTTTTCCTATCGCAGTATTATTCTTTATTCTTGCTTGTGCTTTTATGTAGTTCATTTTGTACATATATATATTGTGTATATATTTATAAACAAACGTAAGATGATGTAAGTTTGATATTTTAATTATGAATTGTATATAGAAATATTAGAATTCTCGTACAGATGCATATACTTGCATGTACACATCGAATATTATATAAACAATAAGAAAAATTGTATCTTTTAAAATATTCAGATACATAGTAGGTAAGGAAAATAATGTGCTAATAATTTTTTGTATCTAATTTTTAAATATCTAAACACATATTATTATTAAGAATTTAATGCACAAAGTTTAAATAACACATTTGTGCTAATAAATGTTAATAAAAAAAATAGATATTGGTGAATGATATTTTTATTATGTTTATGTTTTGTTTCTCAAGATTGATCTATATAACATTTTTTCTACTTAAAAATCATGTGAAAGTGTTGAAAGATTCAAAAAATAGTGTTTGATTAACAAATCATATGTGAAATATATTTTTACAGCGCATAAAAAAAATGTTGTATAATATAATAAAAATATAATCGGAATTATTGAAACAAATAAATTGGATATTTGTTTAGAGTAAAATTTAAAGAAAGAATAAGAGATATGTAATAGATTTGCATTTGCCTCACACACCCCACTAACCGATCATAAAGGATTATGGGTAATTGACGCACTTCCCTTATGCGCAATAGACATTTACAAAAGAAATATCGTGAAAAATAAGGAATTATTTAAAAACGATTACACGCGTTTAAAAAGCTTTCTCACGTTGACATTAAACAATTGCGAATAGATGTAGGAAAATTTGTATTTGATCGAAAAAGTTAAATGAAATTTTGAAGACCGTTCGCAGCGCCATTGTGCGGCATTCATAAGAATATTTCTTGTGACGCAATAGGAACTCGTCCTTTCCGTCGACCTACCGTGAGTGGAACATGTCGCATACGTCTGAACGAAGGTAAGTTCTGTTTTTCCTGCGTAATCGCAAAAGATACTTGCTTTTTTACATTTCCGAAATTCTTTGTTTATACATGCTTCTGTAAATGTTACGTTGTGCAAGCTTGGACGTGGACAGTTAACAGTATATTCTTTAAAAAATAGTACCGCAATCAGGGAATGCATGAGAACACGAGACTGACAACATGGCGTGCATTCGTTTTTGTCACATTGTTCACAAAATGAATAGTAATCTTTGATCACTGTCGATTCGTATAACCTTAATGTTATTATAATTTCATATTCCTATGATTTAATACATGTATCGAATATTAAAACTCTGCGGATATATTTTTAATTTTAATGAAAAAAACTTGCATGGTACTCCGTTGTGCAAACACACGTTTTACTTTGTATTTAAAATTACGTAATAAAAAATGAATATTTTCTTTAATCTCAAGGATAAATAAAGCGAAATGTTTGGTATTAAAGATATTGCGTAAAATTACGATCATTTGTACCTTTGCAAATTTTCGTTTGCCTTACATGCCTCTGACATGCTCTCGCGTGAGTCACTGTCAACGCATCTATCAAGTCATCGATAAATTCATTACTACATCTATTTAACGATCTATTCTAAATAATGTTTATAAAATTAAGTATTGTTTATTAAAAAATTATTACGTTGTTAAATTGCAGTGATTTGAATTTATTATACCAGCTTGAAGTTACTGTAAAGCTAAATTTTACTTTTCAAGGTCATTAGAATTGAAAATTACTTAATATCATTTTACTTGTATTATTTTATAATAAATATATCTAATACACAATTGATCATGTTTCACAATATAATTAATAAATAATTAATGCGATAACAGTCAGAAAAATCACTTTTTAGATTTGGTAATGCGAACTGTATATTGAGGTAATTACTGTTGTAATAAAAACACACTGTTCCATTTATATTTTAGAAACGATGATCAATGGGCAGGAGACTCCAAAAATGGTCCTAGTGAAAGTGAACAACAAACGTACAATGGCCCTCCTGGCATGGATCCCGATGGAATCATCGAGTCCAACTGGGATGTTGTAAGTTAATTATGTTAGACTTATAATTGAACATGAAATTTTGGTTTTATCAAAAAATTGTTTAAAACATTATATTATTACTGATCTTATGATACACAGGTCGTGGACAACTTTGATGAAATGAACTTAAAAGAAGAATTACTACGTGGTATTTATGCTTATGGCTTTGAGAAACCATCTGCAATCCAACAACGTGCCATTCTGCCATGTATAAAGGGACACGATGTCATCGCGCAGGCACAATCAGGTAAACGGGCAAACGAAACACTATTATGAAACGGGTAATAAACCTTGGTAGATTAACTTGAACGATATTTCGCAGGTACTGGCAAGACTGCTACATTTTCAATTTCTATTCTACAACAAATTGATACTAGTATTAAAGAATGTCAAGCCTTAATCTTAGCCCCAACTCGTGAGCTTGCTCAACAGGTAATTACTAATATTTTTTAAACTAACAGTAAGAACCGTAATTATAAATTTTTATTCAAACTTCCACATTTTAGATTCAAAAAGTTGTTATTGCTTTGGGAGATTTTATGCATGCAGAATGTCACGCATGCATTGGAGGTACCAATGTACGCGAAGATATGAGAAAATTGGATCAAGGTGTTCACATAGTAGTTGGTACACCTGGTAGAGTTTACGATATGATTAGTCGACGGGCATTACGAGCAAATAGCATCAAACTGTTCGTCCTAGACGAAGCTGATGAAATGCTTTCTCGTGGTTTCAAAGAACAGATTCATGATGTGTTCAAATTATTACCTCAAGAAGTACAGGTGCGTAGAAATTAATAGAGAAAATGTAAAAAAAAAAAAAAAAAAATCTTATACTTTGTTTAATATTTTAATGTTGTTATTAGATTATAAGTTGGTAAAAATAAAATAAAATTTTCAGGTCATATTACTGTCTGCTACTATGCCATCAGATGTACTGGACGTGTCTAAATGTTTTATGCGAAATCCAATTCGCATTTTGGTTAAAAAGGAAGAACTTACATTGGAGGGTATTAAGCAGTTCTTTGTATTCGTGGAACGCGAAGAATGGAAGTTTGAAACCCTTTGTGACTTATACGATACATTGAGTATTACTCAAGCTGTAATCTTTTGTAATACGCGGCGTAAAGTAGATTGGTTAACAGATAATATGCGTAACCGTGACTTCACAGTCTCTGCTATGCATGGTGATATGGAACAGAAAGAACGAGACCTCATTATGAAGCAATTTAGAACTGGATCATCCCGTGTTCTCATAACTACCGATCTTTTAGCGCGTGGTATCGATGTTCAACAGGTTTCACTTGTCATCAATTATGATTTACCATCCAATCGTGAAAATTATATTCATAGGTAAGCGATGATGCACAATATATAACTGACTTGAATGTATATAGCATATTTTATTAAGCATCTTTCTAATTCCTGCTAATTATAATTGAAATGTTCTTCAAGTTTTTATAGGTATATATATATATAAGTATAAATATTTAATAAGTTAAATTATATTACAGAATCGGTCGAGGTGGTCGTTTCGGTCGTAAGGGAGTTGCTATTAACTTCGTAACAGAGGAGGATAAACGAACCTTGAAAGATATTGAACAATTCTACAACACTCATATTGACGAAATGCCAATGAACGTCGCAGATTTAATTTAAATCCGATTATTGGCTACAATTCATTATAATTAAAAAAAAAAAAAAATAATAAAAGTAAGTGAAATACGGAGCTCTCAGCTGATTTCTCATGGTGTGTGAGTATATGTAGAGTGAGTTGGTGAACTATAATCGCTTATGTAAACGCGATCTATCGAAATATTCCAACGTTCTCATCTCAATTTCATTTTATAATAGTAGATTACAAAAATAGTTATCCGTTACACTAGAGAGAAAGAACCTAGTACTATTATAATTATTACGATTAGCATTACGAATATTACTACACTACTATTCCTACTGCTATTGCTCTTATCACTATAACTGGTATATACTCTTACACTTTTCTCTTCTCGTTCAATATTTATTATTGCTGTTTCTCCTGCTACTGCTCCTCTCGTATAACTATAACTAATATTTCTTGTCACTAAAAAGTATCAAGAATCAGTAGTGTGTTTAATATTGCATCGATAATACAATCATTGTGACTGCTACCAGTATAAAGCGATCAAGGAAAGGAAAAAGGAAATAGTTAAGAAGTGAGGCATTCAAACAAATCGGTTCTTTTTTTATCTCTTTGTTGGCCCCCCTCCCCCCTCCCTCAGAGGAGATTTGATATATTGCCTAGATGCAACCACAGTTTTATCCGAGTCGATATTTGATTATGAGCTTCAAACCTTTTATCTTGAATCATCTTGTTTCATCGTCTTTTCTACACGACTTTTCCAATTGGATTCATTCCATGTTCCGTGGCCCCTGTTCGATGCTTCTACCACCGCGATTACAGCGTGTTTGTCTAGGCAGAGGTTTAGTTGGGTATTGGAAGGGATATTTTAATCATAAGCGTTGCCGAAGGAGATGTACATTCAGGCTTAGATGATACGAATTTTTGTATGTCCCAAATCCCAAGTACATACCTTCATTAAGAAATAAAGTGTTTGACCTTTTAATTGTGGTTTTTGTTATTACATACATATTATTATGCCGAAATATTAGAAACAATTTAATATCCAAAACGAAAACCTTCAAGGAATCAATGATAAAAGTGTGTAAACTAATAATAACCATAAATTATCATCCACCAGATCATGTCGGGAACTAGTTTTATCAACTCTGTACATTATTGAAAAAGTTCTCACAGTTTTTTATTTGTATTTGCAGGCAATTTTGAGCGGTCCAGAAATGAGGGAGATATTTTTGGAAATAAAGACCAAATTTCGTGATTGAATATATATAGAAGTTTTGTAAATCGATTACCTCTCTAATTTCCTGCCCTTTGCAGGCTATTAAAACAATAATACATAAATATCGACTTATTTATACGCTTGCATTATTTATTTTTAACGATTATAGGAATCAAACTTTTACACGATCATTTTATATCTTATCAATTAAAACAAAACAAAAAAAAAAGAAAAGGAAACTGAAAGTACTTTTTTCATTGCATTAGCCGTGTATTTATGTGCTACGTTGAGAATAAAATTTCAGTGTTTGGTGTATATACATATATATTGTGAGAACTTTTATATGTTAATGAAAAATGTATTAAAAATAATAATCGATTATTTCAGCTTAGTCGCGTGTCCTTTATAGTAGCGTCAGTAATAGTTTTCGAAAGTTGGAGCAATTTCTTGGAATAATTTTATTTTCTTTTATGGTCAACACGCTTAGTAATATTGCTGAAACATTTTAGAATAATTTAGAAACTTCTCGAATTTCCGAAAACTGTTCATTATTGAACTCTGTAAATAATGCAAATGATTTTTAAATTGATGAACCATTTTTTGTGAGTTTGATTGTATTTAGACGTTATATATATATACATATATAACATGAATAATCTTTACAGTCAATATGAATAAATGTAAATGTCGTTTGCATTTAGTCATTGCATCACTAGTTTACTTGTTTATATTTATTTTAAATACTCATTTATTTTACTTTAAGTATTGCGAATTGAATCTGTTGTTAACGCTATGACGGCTTCCCGATGGTCCTAGTTTTGTATCATTCACAAAATATTGTTTAAGTTTCCTTAAACAATCTAGAAATCATGAAAACTATGAATTCTGACATATTTATTAAAAAAGCAAACAATGTATATCTAACATATAATAGTAAGTGATATAAGTGTGTAATACAGTGGCGTAATGAATATTAAAGTGATGGAGGGTTAATCAGATATTAAGAAACTTAAACCGCTAGGTGGAAATAATAATTGCTTCTGACTTTGAATGATCTTTGTTGATTATGTTGAGGGGTAGCTAATTAAATGAGTATCGACTCCATAAGGCATTGCGTTCTTTTTCTCATTACATTCATTGTTATTGCGCTTTTTCCGAAGGAGGAGGAGGAGGTGTAATAGTAATTGTACTGTGTCTATTAGTAGACTGAACTTCGACAATAATGTGAAGTTCCTTCATCCGACATATCCGCTTCCAAAATCTATATGAAATTACTTATATCTTCTTTCAACTGGGTTTATACCGTGGCTGCTTACTATTAAAGTCATGAGAGAACTTAAAATTTTTCATAGATTAAATTAGTATGGCATGAATCCCTGCCATTAAGGGAGCGCTAATGCAAGAATTTCTTGTTTATAGCTTTGAAATGTGGAATTTCTAGATGCCAGAAGCATTGGATAGTATTCCAAATGTTTAAAATAAAATATGGACACTTCAATAGAATATTACACTATGTATAGTTTTGTGTCATTTTTCTTTTACATTAGCGATAAATTATAAGTTACTTAAATTTTTGTATCCTTTGAGTATTCTTAAACATTTAAATTTGCATAGTATCTTTTAATTTATCTTTTGAAAAAATCTTGAAACTAATAGACGGGTTTTCTGTCAATTTATTTTTATACTCAAACATTTTGAAGCTTCTTTAAATCTAGTTTTCACATTTGTAGAATTTTATATTAATATAAATTTATAAATCTTATATAAATAATATGCATAACAATATAACGATATAAATAAAAATTTGCAAAAATTAATAATCTAGTTTAAAATTCAAGGTATTTTAAATCTTAAAAAACAATTTTTTTAAATAATTGTAAAATGTAAAAGTACGTAATATACAAGATAAGTACATATGTATGTATAAAAGTATTTTATACTTTGTTAGTAAAGAATGTACATATTACGAATATAAATAATATTTAAGTTGTATATTTATAAATATCTTGATTGTTGAAAAAATACTGAATATACACGTATTAATAGCAGTACTAAATAAAAAAAAAATATAAGAAATACTGAATTATAAACTACATGCTTGATAATAACAACAGTGATCGCTATTACATTTTTAAAATGTATCATCTGTTTATCATAAAAGTATGTGAATATTGCTTTAAAGTACATTCAATTGAAATTACATTTGAATTAATAAGTAACTGAACATTTCGCGCCAATGACTGGTAACGCTTTGAAAAGCATTTCTGTAGTATTTTGAAAGTGGGGGGGAAACTTGGAACTTATATAAAACAATTACTTATTAGATGGTGCGACTTTGTGAATCGCTGTGGTTGGTTGTGGTTTGATTTTTTAGGTTACACGTATGTTATATATGCTGTTTACATTTAATTAAGATCGTGAACGTGTATCGTTTTAATTAAATAAAATTGTGAGCATAATATTCATGTGAAAGTATACAAAAAAAAACGAAACCAGTTTGTATTTATTTTTGGTTCAACAGCTGTACCTAATTATATTTAAATTTGTAAGCGTTTAACGTACACTCGCAGTAAAATTTCTTGTCAACAATATAACGAAAGATCATGCATAAATCTTATCTTTATCTTTCATATAAACTAATTACGTTGAATGGAAATTCTTTTTATTTTTGAAGAAATCGATAGATCAAGTATGTCTGCATCACCGATTGCAAAGCAAGCTACCCAGAGCCAAAATATCCCTTCAAAACGGATCGTGATCAATGATTCTAGTCAATTGCCTGCTGATTATTCATCGACTCCTGGCGGAACGCTTTTTTCAACTACACCTGGAGGTCAGTACCTACTTTGAATTTTTCAATACAAAGGTATATTTGAAACATTATTGATATACTACACATACATGTAAACTATATTAAAATGTAATATATAAATTAGTAAATTGTTAGCTGAATGATTTAAATTTATTGATCATTGTAATTGATATGTACATTTTTAAGTCAAAGTATGATTAGATAATCTGTTTTCTATCTTCTGATATGGTAAATACATGCCACTTGTGCATATTATTAAACCTTGTTGCCTAGGGTTTGTAAACATCATTGATTTCAAAATTTATTTATCATCAAGTAATTTCAATATAAAAGCACACTTTTCATTGTATACATATCTTTTTATCTAACCAAGTGATGATGGAATATATAAGAAATATGAAGTACAGTGTAAATGAAAAGGTTTTGTTTAAACAATTCATTACATATACCTCTATTATGTTAGAATATTTTTACACTTATGTGTGTTTATAGTTTTAAGATTTATAAATATTGCGTTATGATGTATATAATAAGTTTCTATCATTATTAATATTATTCTGAATTATTAAACAATTTAACCAAAAGAGAGATGTTAAGTAAATCACATTTATATACTTGATGTCACGAGAGTCCGTAACTGCGAAAAGACCAGTTTTCGTTCTTTTCTGCGCATTGTCGCTCTGATTGGCGATACTTCCAGCGGAAGTGGAAAGCGATTGGCGGATCGCTTTCCCCCACCATCTTTCAACCTACGCGCTTAGTTATGGACTCTCGTGACATCAAGTATAAGTATTTGGATTAGTTATCAACATAATCTATGCAAATTATACGTAGGTACCCGTATAGTTTATGAACGTGAGTTTTTGATGAATTTACGAAATTCACCTATATCACGAACACCGCCGCGAAATATGCCATCTTTTGCAACGGAATTATTAAAGAATGCTTCAACAAATGTTGTGACATCTGCAAAACCTCAAATTAACAAAGGTGAATATATGTTTTATTGATTTTAGTAGATCTTTTCATTTTTTTTTTTTTTTCATGTGTTTGGTAAAATTTTGTTGTTTTAGTTTTATGTATAAAAACATTATCAAAAAAAATAATGTATTATTTTTGATACCACTTTTATCATTAATGTTACAGATACTCCAATAATTGAGGAATCTGCAGAACAGTTTGAAATGGACATGTAAAGAAATTGTGATTATTGTGTTCATATTGTGCCAGCCTTTATACAAATATTAATAATTGATTTAACTAACTAAACTTATCAAAAACGTATCTTCTTAAATAAGTATACGATCAGGGGCCTTGTATAATAAGTCTTTGTATTTTGTTCAAAAATATTGAATGTAATTAATATACTTGATTCATTACATTCTTACCTTATTTTTTAGCAATGACCAACAGAAATTTGACAATAAATTGAAATCAAAACTTGATCCATTATTTTATAACTTTATACAAATTTATACTACTACAATAAATAAACAATGTTTTTGAAGAAATAAACTTCAAAAGTTCCTTTTCTTTTATTTTGAAAAAAATACTATTTCTCATTTTATAATATAAATATATTACAGTAAATCTCTTACAAAAGCATAATTATAATTTATAAATTTGTATTGGTATCATGTATATGTTTCTGATCTCTGTAATCTGTCAAGTATAACTTTAGCAACATTGACTTTCATTCCATTCTCATCATAGTCATTGTAATAAATCAATTCGCATTTATCCGCACATTCGGGGTCGCTACTTATTAACTCTTTTAACTTCTCATGAAATCTTTTTATAACATCCTTCCGATATTTTGAATAAACTTTTGTTTCAGGATGTGCATGTTTTTGAACTTCACCAAATGTTACTAAAGGAGTTGCACCTTCAACAGGAACATATACGGGTGTAGAGTTTCTATCACCATCCGGAAAAATTTTATATAAACTATTACGATAGATCCGATTTTTAACTCCTGCTCGATCACGTATTTCTTCCTCCAGTGTCCTTGCACTTTCCATCCATTTATACGACGCTTCTTTAAGATCCGGTGGTACGTATGACGACTCAGGAATTAAGATTAATAATTTATGTACAGCTACGCGTATATTATTCTCGTCCTCGATATTTTCTAATTTTTCAATTAGTCCCTTGTTAAGGGAACCAGTCGTAGGAAGTACAAGTCTCAAATATCCATAATAATAACTATAAGCCATACCAGTTCCATAATCTAAACCTTGCATCGAATTAATATCAAAAGGGCTCTCTTTATCTTGGTCAATTATATCAATAATTTGCACTAATGCTGATAAAATCAACATGCAACTTATTAATACTTCAAACTTTTGTATGTAATTATACAAATTTTCATAATTAATAACAGTTAATATTACATAGATCATTAGCTGAATGCTAAAAATTGATGTAAATATATAATTTTTTAAATTATTATTCATTAAATTTGTAAAATCTGTATTATAAGTATTTGAATGTGCATTTTTTATGCGTGGATAAGATCTTAGTAAAATATTCATGCTCACAACAATTGCATTGATACAAAGTATAATATAAAATAATTTTTTTGAAGAAGTTAAATTGCTGTTATCATTTGTTGCTTGAAAATACATTGTTATTAATATACCTGAAATAGTGCAGCTTATCAAGGATAATTTTATTTTGTTATCCATACGCTAGGTTTATATAGAAAATATTCGAAAAACTTATTTCATTGTTGAAATGTCAAATACTTGCTATATTGATACGTATTGTATTATACGTGATCACCTAATATGAAACCTTTTTTAGTGGTTTCTTCTAATTTTAAGTATACCTATAACACACCAAAATTGAAATATTAAAGAATGTTATTTATGGGTAAAAAATGGAATGAAAAAAGAATTTACGTACTGTTAGCTCCGAGCGCTGTTAACGTTAACGTAAACGAACAAGTCGATTGACCTACGGGTACGTACGTATAATAGAAAGCATATACGATCGATAAAGCCTACATGGACATTTCGTCGAAAAATTCTCGCATAGTTTGTAACGAATGATTTATGTACTGAAAACTACAAATGATCGTGTCCGTTAAATCTGAAGGAATATCAAGGTATAAAGATTCCAGCAGGTGATTTTTCTTACTGATTAGCGCCATGTCTCACAATGGACCAATCAGCTGCTTGGTAAACCGCTGTAAAACCTCGAATCTGTCCACAGACGAATGACAACAAAAGAGACTGATAGAAGTCGCGCGCGAGACAGTGGATTTTTTCACGACTTCACTGAAGAATTGCAGTTTTTTCGGTTCTGTTGCTTGCCGCGAATAACGTTTACTTGGTCGTGGTGAAAGTGTCAAGGAATATGAAGAGAAGAAATGTCGAGTGCGGTAAGCTTCGGAGGCCCTTGAAACGCAACAAGCTCACCGAGGGAATCTACGGAAGGTAAATTTTGGCCGCCATATGTCTTCTCATTTGGAATGATTAATTTTAAAAATAACCAAAAATCTAACAGATCTCTCTTTCATGTATTTTCAATCGATCAATTGAACATCTGTACGTTTTCTAATTTAAGATATTCATAAAGCCTTCACGGTGCAATGTATCAATACACGATTGACCGCTTTCCAGAAGCTGTGTGATATAACTTGACATTTGCCAAAACCTTGACCATGTGTGTCTGTTTTCTTACAAAATACGTTTATTGAATTAACTCTTACCTTAGATGTTTTACAACTTACGTTACGTCTTATTACTTGTTACACAATGTTATCATTATATACTCTTCACATGTAACCGTTACAAAAATTTTTTATAAATTCATATTTATTTACTACTTTTAGTTGCTATCACTTTACACAATATAATTGTACACTTAAGATGTAATTAATATATAGATTATAATTATAATTTTTACTTTATTTCAAGTACTATGTTTTTTAAAACATTTCAGTATGTTGTTTAGAATTTAAAAGTAGATACGTATTATGATGAAACAGGTGTGAAATAATCTAATATGCTCTGTAGCTAAAATTTTATATAAAAGATTAACTTTGTTGCAGTTATCATTGATTTATAGCATTTCTTAAGATATAACGATACACGTGTTCCTACTATTGATATAGAATAATAACAGAATAAATGTTTTATTTCAGTACTTTGCTTTATCTAAAATTTCTTCTGCTATGGGCCATGGTAATTTTGGCAGACTTCATTTTAGAATTCCGTTTTGAATTTTTGTGGCCATTTTGGCTACTTCTAAGAAGCGTTTACGATTCTTTTAAATATCAAGGCTTGGTAAGTATTGTATAAATTACTTTTTGAAGTAGAATAGAACAGAATAACCATTGTACTAAAACAAATTAATGTATTTTCAGGCCTTCTCTGTGTTTTTTATTTGTATCGCACTTACATCAGATATGATTTGCTTCTTTTTCATACCAGTACATTGGTTGTTTTTTGCTGCCAGCACTTATGTTTGGGTACAATATGTTTGGCACACAGGTAAATACAAATCATTTATTTGAAATATTTTTATAAATTATAATTATAAATAATATAAATTATTGATGTATACCTTAACAGATAAAGGTGTGTGCCTACCAACTGTGATGCTATGGTTACTATTTCTATATATAGAAGCAGCAGTTCGATTAAGAGATTTACGACATATGCCTTTTCATTTGGATCTCTGTCGGCCGTTTGCAGCGCATTGGTATATATTTTTTATTGATATAAAGAACGATAGAAAATATTTAGAAGAGTTAAATTACACCAAGTGAAAATTCGTTTCTTTCAGCATCGGTTATCCTGTAGTTACATTAGGTTTTGGTTTTAAAAGCTACATTGGCTACAGAATGAGACAGGTAAATTTGTGGTAGATACATAATATGTACATTTAAAAAAGTATTCTACAGTTTCTGTACATGGAAATGTTTGTTTTTCTTTTGCCAGAGAAAACAGAAAGATGTAGCAAAAGAAAACGAATTCTATCTACAATTGTTGCAGCAAGCACTGCCTTTAGAGCAACAAACCTCTACTACGATGCAACCGATTCAGCAAGTTCAATCGCAAACACATATTACTACATCGTTAGAACAACACGTTAAAACACAGTCTAATAAATTAAATTCGCAGTGCAATCCAAGCCCTGAAAAAAGTAGAGGTAGTTTGTATTTATTTTCAAATTTTACTATTATTCATTTATCTAGATGCAGTAATGCAAAAAAAAAAAAGATATCTGATAATTTAACACGTGAATATATTGTAGGAAACAACAATAATTCTGTGGAAACAGGTGTACAAAATGGTAATTTACATATAGGTTCACAAATTACACCGCAGAACCAAAATGTTACGACAAAAAATAATCACAGAAAGTCGTTAGATAAAGGTGAAAAACAAGAGGAACAACATAATAAGCATAATGTAACAAATGTGTCTCAATCAGAGAAAAATGATAGAAGGTTTATACATACAAATGGAAATACAATTGCTCAGAGTGATATACAGTTCATTGAAAGAATCGGGTAGGTTATATATGGTGATTTCAGATTATCACTTTAATTTCTTATTGTAGATATTATTTGAGATACAAAGAAACAGCAGAAATAGTTCAAAACAATAATATTATTTATCTCGTGTTTTTTTTTTTTTTTTTTTTCTATTATTTTTACTAATTTTATGTTAACGTTACATTATTACTTGCTGCTTATAGTTATAATTTTCGAATAAAGTAATATTTTATATTGATACCTTAAGATATTAACTAATATTCCAACTGTAAAATGCAGATCAGTAAATGATTTTGATGCGAACGAAGTAGAAAAAGACAAATTCATTAAGAGTGGAAGTTGCGGACACGCTACAATGAAATCACAGACCAATGGTTCGGTAGCTGGAAAGTGGAACAATATAAAGGAGAATCGGGAACCGTCGTCCACTGTTAATACGCAACGAGAACGTAAAACTCGACAGATGAAATCTACGGTCGATAACATAACTGAACAACAAAAACAGCAAGATGATTATTGTCAAAGGTACATTACTTATATTTATTTCCAATATATTAAATTTACCTGAAATTAAACATCAATTATGTATTATGTGTATGTTATGTAATTTATTTTTATTATAACTTTGATCCCAAATGAAAGAAAATTTACAGTTAGTAACTATATAATAAAATTTTTCTTTGGTGTAATGTAATATCGTTTAAATAGGTTACTGATGTGTCGCAGGCTCGAGGCAGACATAAAACGTTTGAAATCGGATCTACAATCCAGTCGACAATTAGAACAGGAACTTCGTTCTCAGATAAATACTTTACAAAATGGGGAACGTCAAGCTAAGGGTGATATACAGCAGCTTCAACATGATAACGATCAGTTACAAAGCAAGTATGTGTGTACTTAATATCATTTTAATGTAATTATAGCTGGATAAATTGGTATTGGAAAAATATATAGTTTCTCATTTATTGAAAAATAGGTTACACGGATTGGTAACAGCTCGTCAATTAGATAAACAAACAATGTCCTCGTTGGAGAAACGTATCGCAGAAGAACGGAAACAACGTACCGCTTGCGAAGCGTCTTTAGTTTCCGAAAGACGGGCGCGAAGGGCAGCGGAAGAAGCACGTTCTGCGATTCCACCACCTCCACCGCCACTAATTAGACAAGAATGTACAGATACGTGTAAAACTCGGAGATCACAAATGGAACAAGATCTCAAGAATCTGCGACGAGAGCTTAAAACGAAAGATGAAAGGTAAGAATTTTATACGTCTATCAATATTTTCAGGATACATGTATATATGATTTTTTATGCTATGAATTTCATGAAAACTAGGTGTATCGTGCTAGAAAAAGATGTAACTCGTTGTAAAGAAAATCATAAAGAATCGGAAATTTTACTTGGCGCACTTAACGTGCTACAAGATAAAACTGCTCATTTAGAAGACAGTTTAAGTGCAGAAACGCGAATAAAACTCGATTTATTCTCTGCACTTGGCGAAGCTAAGCGACAATTAGAAATAAGAGAAAGTAAGTACAATTGTTTGCAGTCGTTAATATTTCATTGTGTATTGGTAATTGATTACGTTTGTTATGATAAATATGTTAATATACGAGATACGAAGGATTATGTTGTATTTACAGTCTGAAATTTTATAACATATATATAAGACATAATTGATACATTTTGTATTGAATCAGGTTTAATTAGATCTCAAGAGAAGGAAATTGAAATGCTAAAAACAAAAATAGCCCAAGATTTAGCTGTGATGCCACAAGATACATTTGGACCTGCGCCAACCTGTGCGACATCTAAACTTCGGTTAAGTAACGAAGTACGAGTTACAGGTACAAAAATACGTTCAAACGAAAGTCCCTGTCCAGGGTGTACAGTGTCGAACTTGGATCCAAATGCGACAGCATATACACCTAAGAATTCCTTAATAGCATCTACCGAAGCTTGAACAACTACAATTGTGGCCACATTAAGGCTTTACAAAAATTCGGTATATATTACATGAACATGTTTCAGTCTGTTTCTCAATGGAAGTTGAAATACCACTTTTAATATTACATATTACTTTGTTACAACACAAATTTTGCGATTATAAAATGCTTAGAACTTATAATTTGGTTCTCTCAAAATTTAATTTTAATACTTGTGTATATTTCTGTTTTCTTTTGCTGCAAAAATAAGTTTAACAAGAAAGATCGTTTGTAAGGTCTTCCATGAGAGGCTTCTAGAAACATGTTTTACATTGTACTTGTCACGTGAAGTAATACAACGTTATTAACTACGTATAACCCTGGGACGTGATTAACATTGAGTTTAAGAGTATTTCATAGTTAGTTACGTTCCATTAAACATGCTGTAGGTTGATCTAACAGATATCTTCTTTAACGTGTTGGCGTTTTTTGTTAAAAAATATTAGGACAACAAACTGAAGTGAACAATGACGTGCATAATATACTTGTTATCAATAATTAAGTTTTAAATTAAATTTAATACTTCTATATAGATTGTAATGTGATAAATAACATTCGGTATCACTAAATGTGATTTATAAAGAAAAAAAGAAATGTGTAATTAACTGAAACTATACATATATTTTACTAATTTTTTATAATGTTCGATGTACATGAATTTTCACAACACAATCTTTACACATACAACAAGTGAAATAATGTACATTGGAACAATAAGTGAGTAGCAGCATATCTATTATTAATTAGAAAGGTTAAAAATCAAAGATTTTAATCTGTACGCGATCCTCCTACAGCATACGCCTAAATCTATTGACGACTTGCTATGGAGAAAAAGAAATCTTATTCAAGTCGTAATCCGAAGCTAGTCCAGCATACAAACTGTATTTAATGTCTTTGGCAAATGAAGCCAATTTAAGTCATGTGATCATCCAAAACCAGCCATTAATATACATTGAAAAACCTGCCGTTCATCATTCGAAATGATTGATGTGAATGTCAAGACGCCAAATTCATTTTAAATGTTCATTATTGCATCAATACTCTCTCTTTCTCTCTCTCACACACATACACACACACACACACACACACACTCTCTCTCTCTTTCATTTCTCTACGTTTTTTATATTTTTAAATGTCTTTAATGTTTTTTAGTTTCGTAATTCAATTGTGTATTGGCTTTCGAACGGTATGAAATAAGTGTTAATATTTCGTAATAGTTTTTCAAACATGTACAGTGTTTAATATGATGATAGATAGAAAATTGTAGAAATTTTAAGTTAGATGTATTAATTGGTAAAAAAAGAAAAAGGATGTATCTATTTTACACTCAAGATTTTGACTCGTGAAATGGATATCAAGACGTGAAATAACTTAATGTTAATTTTATGCAGCTCGGTAATTTTTTTCTTTTAAATTACAAAAAAGTTAAAATTGAAAAGTTTGATTAATTGTTAATGGTGTTATTAGTAATCGAATTGCATAATATTTTGTTAAACATCCTAGTTATATCTTTCTAAAATTTTGCCTAAAAACGTCTTCCTTTTACACATTTAATGAACATCTTGAATTTAATACATGTTCCTTTTATAAAATATGAATACTTTTCATTGTATCGATCAGTGATGATATAATTTACTAAAACTATTATCAGAAGTACATAGTATATAGTTTCTAATATTACTTTTATACTATTTTTTGTATACTATACTTTTTTTTCAATTTCTAGCTTTGAATTGATTTTCTTTTTTTTATATATATATATATAAATTTTAAGATATATTTAATAATTAAATATGTACATATAGTAAGAATGAATTTTCAAGCGAGATTTAATTGATTCTTATTTGAGTTTAGTATTGGAATATTTGCTTGAAAAGTATCAGAATTCATTTTTCAATTAGTTTTGCAATAAACTTGCAAAAAGTTAAATATTAATTCTGTATAACTATATATTATTATGTTGTTCCTTTATAAAATTCCTAGTAAATTAATTTTATGCAGGAAATAATTGAAAAAAGGAAGAGAAAGAAAATGGCATTACACATAAAAGATCTCTAATATAAAATCATTTTTACATATGCTTTTGATCCGCAAGAAAGCCAGTACCTGCTTGCTTCAATGAACAATTAACGACTGGTTGATATCGTAAGAATCATTCTTCCATGATTGTATATATAAGGCACTGTCATGACAATTTATTCATAGCATAGTGGATCATGACCAACTAGTCAAATGAATTTCTATAAGCACAAATATTTATTAGATATCTAATATTCATTTGATATTTCTACCCTTATATAAAAAAGCAATAACAACTATTTACTTGCGTTCATTTATTAATATCTTTATTTTTCAAAAGTCGTTTGATATTCATTACATTGTTAATTTACTAATTGATTTCATGTTTCTTGGATGATCCACGTATTAAGTGTAATTGCAAAATATTGATGCACAATAAATATTTTAAGAATATTTTTCAATTTACACGATAATTGTATTTGAAATAGTTATTTTATTTAAATATCTAGTTAATTGCCGTTAAGAGCTACAAATTGACTGAATTAACATTTGTATAAAAAGTTGCTTTTTTCTTTTTTATTTTAAATAATAGGCAATTATAATTAAAAGATAGTAATTTTTGCTTAAAAAGTGAAAAGCATATCGATACAAAAGTCGTGTAATTTTGAGAAAATCTATACTTCATTTTCTGTTCTATGATATAAACAGTACTGATATTTTTTTTATTATTATTATTTAATAATTCACTGATGTTAGCAATTAAACTATTGAAGAATAATGTGCTTACTTCGATATGTTATTGTATCTTGACATCACTTTTACAAAAGAAACAAAATAGTTTATCTCATCTATACGCTATTTACTGTTCCCTTGTTGATTATTTTTCAACCAGTGTGACAATTAGTTTCATCTTTAAGATTAATTTTCTTTTAGTTAAGATTCATTGAATTTTCGTCTATATCAACTTGAATCATTATGTGCATAAACCCTTTTAATGTAACAAAACAGTGTAAATAATAATTACTTAAAATAGATCAAATGCAAATAATTACTTGTACTAAAATTGTTTGGACACTTGCGTAGCATAGTCAAAGCATTGTACACGTATTGTTAATTTAATTTATTTAAAGAAAACTTGTTTTCTTTAACTCATTTATGATTGTGGTGCTCTAAAATGTCTTGCAAATTTCTGTCTATTAAAATTTTCAAGTAGTGATAGACTGGATAGACTATTTAAGCAAACAAAATTTCACCCATTATTTAGTATTTGAAATGCAAAACATAAATGAGTTAATTTAAATAGGAAAATACCGAAAGATTATCCAAGGTGGAATCGTTTTAGAATACATACATATATATTTTTTTTTTTTTTCAATGCATCACATTAACATATGCACGTTAAGTACCTGATCAGAGAATGCTATAGTATTCGCGGCTAATATACTTATCATGGATTTGATTCCACTATAAGGCTGGTTTCATGAACAAACAAACTCTTGCTATTTAATTAATTAATATCGTTTACATTGAGTTAATGTGATATATTGTAGGCATACACAAACACTTGCGCATATATGTTCACTTAACTGTTCTAGCATGTACACGTGTATTTAATTGCTCATAAGAACATCATTTATGTTTCACAATAGAATTATTAAATTTCATGAAAAAGCGCTTTCCATACTTGTAACAAACATGTTTCACAATATCGAGCTTGTCGTTAACCATTTCAGTTATATTATTTCAAGCATACTTTGACGACAATAATGATTATTGCTTTTTGTTACACTAGTGTCTGCTTCGATTAAAGGATTTTAATTGGATGTTACAACTTCCTTATGAATAGAAAATTTATTTCAGTAAGGACTATGCTATGATTTTGTTTTTTTATTTTGAAACTTAAAATTTAGTTAATGATGTTATGCATTGTAACATCCTTTAAGAAGAAAAATGAATAAATAGGGTCACTTTTTTTTTAACACATTAATGCACATAATCATTCTTGTTAATATATTTCTGTACGTTCATTGATAATAAAAAAAGTATACAGGACAATGTAACAAGCTGACAATGAAACAATGAACAAGTGTAACGATGCAAGATGTTTATTATATTTTGATAACCATATCCCAGGAATGTATATGTAATAATGTACATAACTTTTTTTCACAAAATAACAAATGATCTATCGGTTGTGTGTATTCTTATTAAGACTAAATGTGCTTTTTTATTATAAAATGGCTTGCGTTTGGATTTATTTTTCGATATGTTTTATATCTGTGTATAATTAAATTCAGACATGAATATAAACAATACCAGATTCGTTAAGCTTGAAACATTTTAGAGCTAAATTGCAATTTAAACGAGTACTTATACAAATGACAGCAGAATATGTACTTGTATATGCATATAATGTATTATTGTATTCTTTTTTTTTTTTTTGGTATTATATCATTTTTGTCACAATAAATTGATACGAGTTTATTAAGAGACGCGGCAAATAAAAAAGAAGTACTTATATCTGTTCTAAGTTATCTTTTCTTTGTTTTAACAATTGTTAAAAAAACGAACAAAGTTCGAAATTGTCTCTTGATTTCTCATTTGTGAAATAAAATATTCTTTCTTCATTTATGAAAGGAAGATGTGCGATATTTTTAATAACTGTTATTGCGGTAAAAATTAAGTAGGTGAACTTGAAAATACACAAATGAATGAGTTTTTGTTAAAAAAAAGTTGTTTATTAAAGAGTTATATTTGAATTTTGTAGTTTCTTAAACAAGATCAAGAACTGATAAGCTCTTATACTTACTATAATCGCACAAATGAAGTCATGGATATTATACAATATTAATATAATACTGGATTTGCTTCCAAAATAGAGCTACGAAATTTAAACGAATAGTTTCGTTACCAAATAGAAGCGTATAACTCTTCGATAAATAATTTTCAAACATTGATCTGTAACTCAATATTTTATAAAAGCTGACACTAAACAATCCGCGTATTTAATCAATCTTTTTCTGTTTTATTATGCGTTAAGGAAATGTTGAAAGTGAAACAGTATACGAATCACGCTAAACTATACTTTTTGTCTGATAATATACTGACTATGCACGCAAATGTCCTTCTTTGCTTAAGTATAAGTATTATAAAATAATCTCATTTTTTTTAACATTTGTCACGCAATTCATTTGTCAACTTTCCAATTTTTTAGTTGGTGTAAAGTACTCGTCTAGTCCTTGTAAATGTGCATAGCTTGTTAAGAATAACCGAATTTTTAATATTTATTTAAGCGAAACAATGGAAGAAGAAATTTTCATTGAACTTACAAAAGAAAAAAACCTTGTTCTAATAGCGAAACTTAATTTCATACAGACATTGAACACATTCTTAATACGTATACTTGTAACTACATACATGGATGTTCATTATTTCCGTATTTGTCGTGATCATTACAAACCCGAAGGTATACGAGACATATTACAAGAGAATCTTCTATGTACATGTTGTTGTCGACTGCTCAATCGATACAATTTTTCATTTTCTTTCAAATTAATAATCTTTGACGACTGTAAGCTATTTCTCTGATCAGGCAGGCTTGAGCTTATTATAGTAGAAGTTTGCCACGATGAAAGGATTAAATATGTTTTTATATTGGTTGTTGAACCATTGTTCCAAACTGTTTGTTTGATTGAGAATAACTCTGTTTCAGTTTTCATTTAATTCTGTTCGCATTGTACTCCATGAAGCCTGGAAAAAACGTCGACCCAATAATTTATTATTTTAATTGCAGCACAGTGAATTACGATTTTGAATAATCGTTCGTATACAAAAAAAAAAAATAACTTAAATGTTTCATAATATTTTCACACATAATAAAATATGATATTTTAGTATGTATAAAAAAAGAACAACAAAGCTACTATCCCAATCTTGTTAAATTTTTTGTAAATAATTCTACACTTTCCTTTTACGCTGTAAAATTTTGAACAAAAGGAAAGAAACTAGGTACTTCTTCGGTATTAGTACTTAATGACTCTTCATTGTGTACTGTGTACCACCATTTATACGATAGAAATATTTATTAAAATAAATATTGTAAAATGACACGTGTATAATTTATATATTACAATTAATATAATTAAATTGTCACGTGTACATATAATCGTCGTTCCTTACTTCGTCAATTTTCTACCTCGCCCAATTTTGTATATTATCACATTCAGGTTTATCATATATATATTTTTACTTAATTACTATCAAAATATTCTCTTCTCTACCTATTAGAAACTTCTGCATATAAAAAATTCGTGTTATTGTAAATAACTTTTAAAATTGAATACAAAAGCAGTGTAAGGGCAGTGTTTTCTATTTAATTGATTTATAAAACGAATTAACATAAATAATTTATGCTTTATATGATTTTCTTAATTCGTGACGATGTACAAGAAGAAACTATTTACATGCAAATGATGTATTATGTAGCTGTAATAGTTTACCGTCACAAAATTAATTCCATACAATAATGTTCTTTGTCCCCTATTTTTGAATGTATACATTTTTGTTCACAAGCTAAATGCACTATTTTTAAACTTCGGTGGTTTTAGAGTTTAGTTCGGTTATAGTTCCTTCTTCCTTGTATTTAATATACAGAGGATCACCTTCGGCAACTACGTAAGAAAGCACAGCTTTTGTATAATAGTCGGACATTAGCTCGATATTTCTTATAACCATAGATAAAAGATGTGCTTTTTCTACGAATATACCTACAAAAATAAAATATGAAGATGTTATAAAACTTCCGAAAACAATCTACATTATAATTAGAAGATATGTTAAATCTACCTGGTGCATCATACATAAGATATGCAAAATGAACGTGCAGATAATAGTACGACGGTTGATAATGTAAATATATTCTAAGTTGAGAAGCGGATAATTTAAATTTTTTAGCAATTGCTGCTATTCCAGCATCTCTTATATTTTTCAATAGCGGAAGATGAGATGCATTTAGTTCTCTTATCGATTTAATTTTTTGTAACGGGAGTGCTATTAATTTTAACGTGTTTAGTTGTCCATCCCATTTCAAATCATTTACTAATACAAATCCAGTTTTTTCATTTCTATCCTCATAAACTATTTTATCCTGTTCTGCCTTGTGTTCTAAAATATTGTGTATCCACTAAACAAAATAAAACATTTAGTGAAAGTGGACATTCATTTAGGAAATTGAAACAAATTATTTTGAATTCAGTCATGTACCTCTGTAGAAAAACTACTTGATTCTATGTATGGGACAGTAATTTTTTGATAAAGTTCATATGTCTCATCTATCATGTATAATTCTTTTTTTGTAAACTTATCTATATGTTTTGATGTAGCAGGATGTATTACCATTGCATTTATACCTTAAATAACATAAATATGTGTTATAATTAAACAAAAAGAAAACAAAGAAAGGTTAAATGCCAATGTAAACATACCAGTATATTTCTTAGCTGGAAAGCATTCATAATTTCCATAAATAGTATTACTATAAAGTTTCTGAAAGGCTGTATCTTTAGAGAAAAATTCTTTTAATGCTTTCTCGTCATCTACAAAATTCTGTTTTTCCAGTGTTATAATAGCCGGCCCGTCATAACCTTCGAAAGTGCCTTGAACCCATATTTGTTTCCTCATACAATTAGTTTGTAATACTTTTGTTAGATCAAAGGCAGGCAAAGTAACGTCATTTTCATGTATACTCTTAGTGTTTTCAGATGAATTTTCAGTGTCTAACTTAGCCTTTTTTGCTAGTGGACATTCGTCCACATTGTTGTCAGATGCTAGTTCCGCCATTATTGATGATATTTTTATAATATACAAGTTACTTTGTTTACAATTAAATAAAAAATTTCGTAAACTTTCTGTATATGATTTTCTTCAGTAAATTACATAATATATTTTTCAATCTGGTAAATTGCTATCCATTCAACCGTTATTTCATAGGTTATCTAAAAAACAGACTGAAAATAAACTTCATTATAATTATGATTATTATTTGAATAAATACGTAATCACTTATGTATTACAATTATAATATTTACAATTTTATCATGTAAAATTTATGTAAACATTTCATTTCATTTATCAGTGTTACATGTGTATATATATACCTGGAAAGATCAGGATCCACGGATTGAGTACAACTGCTGCATTATAGATATATGCAGGATCCAAACACTGTGGCCGTGATCCAAGGTGGTGGTTTTATGTTTTGGTAACCTTTGCAACACTACAAAAGACGTACATTAGAAAGAAACTACTGTGTTAAATAAGAAGTTTATAACAATGCTACAAGTAGACGATAGAAAGGTAAAGCATCGCCTAACTTGCTATCCCCTTCGTAATCCTTAAACATTAGGAAACTATTAGTTTTTCACAGTGAAGGTCGTTGAAGTTTTTTTATTTCAACCCATATCTTCTTGCGTTCTTTTCATTGTCGACTAAATAGTACTAACTTAAATATAATTAATAACATATGCTTTATAACAGCTAAATTTATTTTTAGTATACTTTGAGGTTATGTGTTTTTTATGGCAAATATCAATTACACATTTTTTTGTTTGACGGATGTCATTGTTGTGTTTATTTTTTGTTTTATGAAACCGTAATGGTATTGTACTTTTGTTTTCTTTAAATCTTTTATTTGTTACTTGCAGTAAAATGGAAATAGTTATGTAAATATTACATATAGTGTTATAAGAATTAGAAATATGAATTCAAATTAGAAACATTATATAATGGGTAGATATACATATTATTCCTAGAATAGAAAATTATTTGTAACTGTCATGAATATACCGTAACAAATTCTAAAATTAAAAGTATTTATACCGCAGTTCACCAGAGTCCATAACTGCGAAAAGACCAGTTTTAGTTCTTCACGCATCTCTAGTGCGCATCTTCGCCCTGATTGGCAATATTCCCAAACGAAGTGGAAAGCGATTGGCAGAGAGCTCGCTGCGTTCCCCCACCATCTTCCAACCTGCGCGTCACAGTTATGGACTCTGGTGAACTGCGTCGTTGGTACATACGTGTATTGTCAAAGTCAAGCGACTATTGAGATATAACTCGTTTTTTTAAGTATTCGCTTATCGTTATTAATTGTAAATTGGATAAAATTTATCTATTTTAAACAGTTTTTTCTTCGTGGCAAAAATAGAAAATAAATTCAAGCAACGAAGTTATCGAAACCCTATTCAAATTTACTGCGGAAAAATTCCATTCGCGCCTGAAGTTTCAATTTCAAATGTCTCTTTTCATCGCTTAAATATAAAGATCATATTTGTAGTTACGATACGTAGAAAACGCTTAATGTTTCACAAATTTAATTGTTCGCTTGTAATAGAACAGTATTTGTACTCTTTAAGACGTATATTACGCAAGATAATGTGGGATAATCTGTGGTTAAATTTTCTTAGATTGCAAAGGGTATACTTTTGTAAACATAAAACATATACATATATCTTATTTAATTTAGACTCATCACGTACGAATTTAATTACAGAGTAAGTAACATTATATTCGCTATTATGTATGTATTTAGATGATATTGCATTCGTTTCAATCGTCTTGAATGTCATCCATCGTTGTTACCGACACGAACACGTAAATGAAAACATTTTAATTTTATGTTATGTATACCATTCAAATAAGTTCGTTTAGTATGAAATTTATTTTTTTTTACAGAATATGAGGTAGAGAGAAATATACGTAGATATTTCAAAGATCTTTGTATCATAATATGTACATCGTAGCAATGAGTCAACGGCTTACAGCGAGTTGACTCTCAGATAACCTTATTCGCAAAAATATATAGTAAGTAAGTAAGTAATTAAATCAATTTCAATTTCGATTTGATCAAAATAAATTGGATCTTATTTCATTACGTATCTTCGATTCTAATCGATGGATTTACGATCCATGTCGCAAGCTTAATTTCAAAATTTCTTTTAGGAAGATCTAAGAACATTTTTACCGATAGGGGTTTACGAGTCAACATTTATCTCGCCAATTACCCGGAATAATAACTTTAAACGTCCATATCGCTTCTTTAATTATTTCATCGAGATGATGCACGTTGCATGGTTCTTTCCATGATTACTGTTCATTAATTGCAATAAGATTTTAATAAGTGGATTCAAGGAACGAGAATATACGAGGATTTTTATCTTTTAAGATTTGATTAAACCATGGAAGGACATTGAGTCAGTCTCTTCAAGAAATGTAAAGTCTAGAAGATTTTGAAATATTAGTAATTCGAGAAGCGTTTGCTACTTTTAAAAAGCTGTTACATTTAAACCTGTTATTAGTCCATGACATTGTTAGTCATTCATATTATTTTTAACTGTATGTTTATCAGTTACTAACATATTACTATTGTAAATACTGACGTGAAAGCATCAAGGTGATCACATATGACATTGTATTTATTTAACGCTTACTACCGCTCACTTGATATCGCGTGAGCGATCCTCAACACTTGAATATCGCGACACACATTGTCCCGAGAGATTGACCCTGATGTTCACCGATCCTCTCTGATTTAAAGGCAAGAAATTGATCCATTTATTTGATCGTTACACGGTCGATTGATTGTATTTGATATCGGCTAAAATCGAGAAACAAAAGTCAGTACACATTCGCAGCTATTTAATTTCAAAGTTAAGAGATCTTTGGTATGGTAATAGTAATAATAAGGTGACTATCATGTAACGTTTCTCAGCAATTAAATACTCAACCACAAGTATTATTAACAAATCAAGTTTTAAAGTAGTACTAATGCCCGTTAATATAACCCTCGATTGTATTCAAAGAAAGAATGATAGTCTTATGTCGTCAACGCGATATCGCGTGATCTATCATGAACGTCTCACTGTTATGGTGGTACACAGCTACCGTAGTATTCAAATTACTATAAGAATTCTATTATACAGTAGTTACAAGTCATTTTCAAACGTCATAATAATCAAAAGACTAAGTCTGTTGTAATATGTTATACGTTTTACATCATGATCATGAAATTTCATCTTTTCAGAACTAATCTGCCTCTCGCCCGTCATTCTTATCCGATAAGATAATTAATCGCCATCACGTTGATTGATACGTTTCTTTTGCTCGATAATCGCCTCGTCATTTCTCTCACGTGTGTCTTCAAGTGAGTATATACATATTTACAATCTTCTAGATGATAATACTTTTGATGAGCCATATTTTATTTACTGTCTCTTCTCATTCTTCCTCATATATTCAACACACGTTACAAATGCTTTCAGGTGTAATCCCATCAGATTGCTTCTGGGATCGGAGTTCCTCGTGGATGATATTTCCTTATTGACTTTAGGATCTACCTTGTAGACTTCAATGTCTGAAATTTAGATCCTATGCTCTAAATGTTGTTGGGCCATAGCCCTTGAGCCTTCATTTTTACGTTATACCCGTTAGGACCTAATTGTTAGATTCCAGTTCATAGGTTTTGGGTCTTAATTACTTAGACGGTAGCCCCTAGGCGCTGAGGTTTTAGGCCTTTAAATACGAAACTACGTTAAGACTGCTTGTAGTAGTAAAGTGAAAATCTTCCAATTAGAAATGCAGTATCGATAAGATATGCTAATGTCGATGCTGCGACCTCGACAAGTATCATAGACAATTATGAATCCATTTGATAAAGAAACAGTGGAGTTTAGTGTTGCAAAATCACGTCGACCGGGCGCATTATGATAAAAATTTTTCCGTTCGAAGGCCATGCTGATAATACAATTCTTTCTCTCTTTTATTCTCTCTCTCTCAATCTCCTGTAAATGGTTATCTAAGGCGATTCATTCGTTAGAACTACACCAATGACCAGTGTACTTTACTGTTTGTACCCACCGATTTACTATACGACACGTTTCTCAGTGGTAACCGAGAGTCACAAGCTCGCGGTCGCATTTAGTTGGCTCTCGTTCGCGTTCGTACGGTGACAAAGCGTAAACCTTGTCGAATATTATTGACAGAATTTACTTGTTCAACGTAAGTGTTAGCGGAGCAAAAAGATCACCACTGTTCTCCACTGTCCTTTTAATTTGGCTTCGATTCAATGAAATGCTGATCACACGTGATTAAATTAATTCCTTGGTGACCCTTGCGATATGAATTCTTTTTTATTAATCATCGTTCGTTCGTTCGTTCATTCTCGTTTCCGTTCAGAGGAAACTTGTTAATAAATTTAGGACACTTTAGAGAAGACCGATCACCAAGTAAACAATCGTTCTGGGCATCTGTCTCGTTCGGATTCAAAAGAGTGCACGTTAAGGAGAATTAAACAGGCGCGGTTACATCACTGGCGACGATTCGCAACACACGTTTTATCAGACTAACGTTATTTAAAAAAAGACCAATGGGAATGTGCATGTCACGGTCATTATACGTGATCATTTCTACGACCACATGTTAATTTTTCTTTTTTACTTATGTAATTTTCAATTAATTATGAACTAATATTGTTTCTTTTTTTTTTTTTTTTTTACAATTCTAATCGCGTTAATTATTTCCATTGATGTGTTTCTTATTGGTGATCCGCACGCGTTGAGCCGTGACACGTTGATTTAAATTCATTGTCTTCAAATTTCAAAACTTTGAAGATTTTAAGATTTAATTATATCGAACAGAGTTTATCTTAAAATTTATTATTTACATATTCATGTATCCTGTTACAAATAGCAATACGATACATCTGAGAAAACAATTTCTGATCAATAGTTGTCTGTTATGAATATCATAGAGATTCTCTGTTCCGTTATTGTGCAACAGTTTAATGATATCGTATACATTCCAACGCGATTAATTTTATATTTTTACGTTTTATAATTAACCGACCCTTTCGTTAATTATTACACAACAATGACTTATATAATAATGTAGTGAAGTTCAAGCTAGGGGAGAGATGGAACGTTCGGGTTCTATGATTAGGTCATAGAGGATAACTGTAAAGAATTTTAATCTTTAATTGAAATCGTACAGACAGACGTTCTAATTTATATAATGATTAATTATATTTTAGTTGTTATCGATGTTGAAGTTTACACACATGCTTCGTTTGTTGCGTAACTATTATTAACATAACTATACAATATATACATATAGATATTTCTTAGTACATTTCCATCTTTCAAACTGAATACGATCTTTCTTTCTCTCAGTTTTTATTACTTCAACGAGGATCAAATCACTTATTCATGAATATATTTAAAATTTCTTAAGGTTCTTACTTCTTGGATCGTCTGAGAGATTTCTTTTTTTAAATAAATCTCAACTCCCTTTTCATAGAACTGTACAAGTCGCAAAGAAACAAAAAGAAAAAAAGAAGAAGAAACGTTTGTTGATTTGCATTTGTAAAAGAAAAGAATTTCTAATAAAAAACAAAATAATTATTTCTAATCCAAACATTTTCATCGATTATTGTTCCAATAAGGACATTCTAGCGGAATTTATACTAGCTTTTTGCTCCCTGTTTCTGAACAAACTTTATCCGTTATCGGGTGTGAATTGAAAAGAAAGAAAGAGAAATAAGAAACGTAAATCGGTGATGCACGATCTTACAAAATTGGATGGCGGCGATGGCGGAGCCAAGCTACTTATGAAGGGAAGAGGTATTTATTGTCATGTTTGTACTATGTTGCTGAATAAATCCGTAGGCACGCGGTCATCAACGCAGTCCCTCAGATACACAGGCATTCCGTGAAAGAACCAAGAGGGATGCCCTGATCGAACTTCAACGGGAATTGGAGAAACTCGAGGGAACAGCTACTACAGGAGAAGTTAAAGAGGAGGTCCACCGGCAATTCGAAGGCTTCACCCATCTCTTCAAGAGATTTCTGCAAGAAGAAGGACCCTCGTTAGAATGGGATCGCATACAAAAGCTTCCCGACGATGCGGTATGCGATTCAATTATACAATTATTATTCTACCATCCAACTTACCTGTCTATTCTCCCTTGCGTTTTATGATAAAAATGATAAAATTAATGTTTTCATTTTCAGATAAGAGATTACAATTCTTTGCCAATGCCGGAAGGAGAAGAGGTGAGAGCCCTGTTAAATAAATTGATTGTTATCAAACTAAATGGAGGGCTTGGAACTAGTATGGGATGCCATGGACCAAAGTCTGTGATAGCAGTTCGCAATGGACTTACGTTTCTTGATCTGACCGTACAACAAATTGAGGTTATTATTGGTAGTATTACACGTCATTGATATATTCAAAGAATGAACTAATTTTTTTTTTTTTTTGTCTATATGTATAGTACTTGAATAAAACCTATAATGCAAATGTACCTCTAATCTTGATGGATTCCTTCAACACCGATGACGATACACAAAGAATCATCAGGAAATATAAAGGAATAGACGTTGACATCTATACGTTTAATCAAAGTTGTTATCCTCGTATCAACAGAGATTCGTTACTTCCAATTGCAAAACATTGTGATATTGCTGATGATATCGAAGCGTAAGATCAGTGATAAAAATAAAATTGATGCATGTCAATCAGAAGTGTTGTATGTATAAATATTTATAAATATTATTAACAGATGGTATCCTCCTGGCCATGGAGATTTCTATGAAAGTTTCCGAAATTCCGGTTTATTGAAAAAGTTTTTGAAAGAGGTATGTTTCATTGTATAATATTGCCATTAAATGCGATAACAAATATTCTGTTTGTCACAGGGTCGTGATTATTGTTTTATTTCGAACATCGATAATTTGGGTGCTACGGTAGATTTCAAAATTCTAAAATTATTATTAGATAAAACTGAAACGTCACCTCTTGAATTTCTTATGGAAGTCACCGACAAAACGCGGGCCGATGTCAAGGTAATGAAACTTTCTACTTTTATACAATTGAAACGTTTCTAATTATTTATTCAAATGAATCAATCTTTATACACATTCGTAGGGTGGAACATTAATTAAATACGAGGATAAGCTACGGCTCCTTGAAATCGCACAAGTTCCAAAAGATCATGCAGATGATTTTAAATCTGTGAAAACATTCAAGTTTTTCAATACCAATAATTTATGGATCAAACTCAGCGGTATATATTTCTTTTCTCCAATCGTACCACCGATTAATAATTATTAAGATGTATATATATGTATAATTTTCAATTGCATGTTGTAGCGATTGAAAGAGTGCTTGAAAAAAATTCTTTAAATATGGAGATTATTGTCAATAATAAGACTTTTTCGAATGGCTTAAACATAATTCAACTAGAAACAGCTGTTGGAGCTGCGATGAAATCGTTCGAAGGAAGTATTGGTAAGACGCGCTTGAATTTGTTACCCTATACATGTATATAATTTTTTTGAATGATATAATTATGTTATAGGTATAAATGTACCACGCAGTAGATTTTTACCAGTAAAAAAGACTTCTGACTTGATGCTTGTTATGAGTAATTTATACACTCTCCGTAATGGTTCGTTAGTGATGAGCCCGCAACGCATGTTTCCTACAACGCCTCTTATAAAATTAGGGGATAATCACTTTTCTAAGGTTATTATTTTTATTACTGTTCATTTCAGTTTTCATTTAAATAATTCCTTTGAAATTATTTGTGCAGGTTAAAGAATTTCTTACCAGATTTCCATCTATACCAGATCTTTTGGAGTTGGATCATTTGACGGTGTCTGGTGATGTTACTTTTGGTAAAGGCGTAACGCTTAAAGGAACGGTTATTATTATTGCTAATCACGGAGAACGAATCGATCTCCCGTCGGGCACAATTTTAGAGAATAAAATTGTTTCTGGTAATCTACGTATTTTAGACCATTAAATGGATATATTATGAAAAAATTTATTTGTTGTACTCTAAGAAAAAATGCCTATATGTACATTTATTTAAAATTAAAAATCAAATAAATTTTCAACTCTAAGTAACTATGTAAAAATTTTATTTTATAAACTAAAAGTAAATGTTGTTTTCATAAAACTAATAATGAATTGTATCGTTAGATTCTATTATAATTGTTTCTTTCTTTCTTTTAACCTTGTTCGATTTCCTTTTTAGTTATTAATCTACTGTACTTTATTTTAAATCTGCTACCGTTTATTTAAAATTCTTGCCACCATCACGTGTTCTGCAATCGTCATCAGAAAAATCGCGCATGCGCGGTAAACCTATCCCATCTAACATCACTGATCGATAATCACAGTAGTATGTGTGTATGTACAAACATCGGAGCCCGTGACAATCCTGACTGCACTCGGCTGCCCGTACGGGCGACCCTGCCAGACCCTGCTGAGCATTCTTGGATTAGAACAATTAAAACTCAACTTAAAGATATACAAATATCTTCAGGTAACATCAAATATACTATTAAATAATCAGATTGCCATATATTGTTACAGTATAAGTATGTTGAATCACAATGTTAAACAAATAAATATACTCCATAGGAAATTGTGTACAAGTACTCTTTTGATTACCTTCTTTTTTAATTAACTTCTTCAAAAAATAACTAATAAACTTTCATGTATTTTACATATTGTAGATAAAATAATTATACCAAATGGAGAAGGTCAAGAAGAGACTAGAGTTGCTTCATAGCAATCAATCTCAGAACATACTGCGAAACTTAATGCTCAGAGATTTTGGATTTTGTACATTACATAAAAGTGGCACCCGTGAATTAGAATCAATAGCTGAAAGGAATCTAGTTTTAAAAGATCACAAGGAATTGGTAAATATAGAATGCTTACAAATTCAAGCCAAAGAATTAATTTCAACTTTCTTATAGCAATGTGATCTACCTGGAGTTCCTAGAACAACGTTTATGATAGTTTTTAGTCCTGATGGGTAAGAATTAAAATAAATTATGTTAAATATTGCTATTAAAAACTGAATTTGTTAAATATAAAAGATTATCAATTTCAGAACTAAGATGGCATCGACTCATGGTAATCATAACGTCTATATCAATGAAATTGCAACTGGAAAAAATATTAAAACTCTTAGCGGTCATCCACGTACTCCATGGTGCATAGCATTTCATCCTTCATCTAGTCACATACTAGCTTCTGGTTGCCTTGGTGGACAAGTTCGCGTTTGGAATTTAAATGTTAGTAATTATATCTATAATTTCCATAAGAGCATTACTTTTTAAATTATTAAAGTAATTTATAGATACATATGTTTTACATAGGGTGGTTGTAAAGTTTGGAATTCAGAAAATCTAACATGCATATCATCCCTTGCTTTTCATCCATCTGCAAAATTACTCGTTATAGCGACGCATAATGAAATACATTTTTGGGATTGGAGTCAATCCACGCCATTTGCAGTAGTAACTACTAACAGGGAAAAAGTAAGGTAAGTTTTGATAACGTATATTTGATAGCTGTACATACAAAGTTTAATTCATTTGTAATAATGTTTTGTAACAGAATTATTATCCCAAAGTTTATACATTTTTAAGTAATAAAGGTGCTTTGCATAACGAAATTTCATATTCTTTATAATTCGTCTCGTTTATGTCGTAAAAGATACCTCAACTTTTTTTTTAAATACTCCTTTTTTATTATCTCAGCAATCCTTAAAACTGATGCCTGTTACAAAAATTTATGCAAATATAGTTGTTTTATGTAGATTACACTTTTCAGATATGTATCTTTTGACAATTTAGGGGGAAAATTAATAACTGCTATTGAAAACATTTCACGAATTGATCGTTTAAGGAGACATTATGACGGAAATATATCAAGGTAGTATATATATATATATATATATATATAACAATTATTTAACTCGTTGAACATCTTTTAGTACAACATAATATATGTAACAAAATTTTAGACCTACCTGGCATTCGGTAAACTTAAATATATTACGCTCGATTCGTAGTTGTCGGTTACGTAGATATTACCGTCGTTGTCAGATTTTAAATAATTATGAGATAAGAACTGTTCGGAATTCGAATAATCATGAAATGGTTCAGTGCTGTAGAACCATTCCCACAGAGCGTTTAAGAACTAATTCGTCAACGAACAATCCACTACTCGATACTGTAACTGTTGAGAGCTATAATAAAGATTTTATATCACGAAATACAACGTTTAATCAAAATGATAATGTTACTTTTCAACTGCACACTACTGATGATGGTCGAACGAATAATTATGAAAACATAGATGAAAGAAATTCCAATTCAAACACAGAAACTAACAGTACTGTGTTGAAATATAATATTAATAATGAAACTATAAACAGTAAATTATTAGATACTAAAGAAATTGACAATATTTTAAATAGCGATAGTTTAGACCAACTAGAAAGGAAAGGAGAAGAGAAGCGTATAAATCCAGAAGCGTTATCTATTCAAAGTTCGGTTCGTGCATTTGTTTCTACAGAGAAAAAAGACAACGACGAAGAGACCACAGAATTAAATGTTAATTATAACGATACTCCATTGAAATCTATTTCAAGTATCTCTTTAAATTCTACAAATGAAACGGTTAACAATTTTCAAGTACTTTTAGGAACTGATCAAAAGGAAGATAGTAATACTGATGATAAAAAATTTTACAGTCAGTGTCAACCGTCAACGTCAAAAGGATTTACAAGTTTAACAAATAATTGTAATGGAAACTTTATGAAATCAGTCATTACTAATGGTAGCGAGAGCAAAGAAAATGTGAAACTTACTACTCAGTTGCAAAGAAATAAGTTGTTACAACAATTATGTGAGAGTTTATTGGAAAATATACGGCAATCTATTGGAAGCAGTAATGTTGATTCCATGTTATCAGTTCGGAATAATTCTGATAGAAACTCAACTTTTCCTGCAACAGCAGATGGAGTAGATAGAGTTGAATCATGCTTGCCTAATATTTTAAATTTCATCGACAAAGTATCTAATAATTCTGCGCCAAGAACATCTCAGATATTAAATGCAAGGAAAAAATATTATTCGACCCACGATGAAACGAATAGTAATGGTTTATTTACCAATACAACAAATTCCTCTTGTTCTTGCTTACATCATTCGGAAATCTCTGAATCTAGAACGGGGATTCCACACTCCCATTACTTTGAATGTATCAATAATTCCAGGCCAAGGATAACAGCAACACGCAGATATAATGATAATACTGATTTTAATGGTAAATATGGCAGATATACGATAGATGCGATCTTAACTAGACCGTCGATACATCATATGTGAATATTAATCATTCTGATATAATTTATCTGAAATAACATATTTTATTTTCTAGGACCGACTCAGAAGTTTCAGAGTTACCGTGTACAAGCATGGGATTTTTCTAACGGAGAAATGCCTGACATTACAAACTGTAAATATTTTATATATCTTTATTTCTTAAATAAATATTACAATTTATTAATCAAGTATTTATATGTTGTAGCTGAAAAAAATATTGTTGTTCGTGACTGCCATATTTTTAACGATAGCAGTATAGATATCTCTTCGGATGGGAAACTATTAGCAGCATATTGTAATACTACGATAGGTAAATAATTAGTTTAAGGTTGTATATACGTGTAAATATATGTTTAGATTAATTTGATTTTCGTTAGGAATCTACAGTTTGCAATGGGAAACATTAGGTGAAAGAATGTATTCAACTGAAAGATATAAATCTTCAATTTCTGTATCAATTTCACCGACGCAACAACACCTTTTAGTTGGTTCAACAAAATCTATCGGTATTTATAAGCTTGTAAACGAAGAATCTGAAAACCAGACGGAAGTACCATTAGATATAAACGATATAAATTATCGTAATTTATGTGATTGGAAGCCATACAGTATTCTTTGGCCTCTTCCTCTCAGGTATTTAAATATTAGTGATTTAAATATTAAATATTTAACTAAAAAAGGTAGTATGGTACTTGTTAGGGAGTTACTACAAAATGATCAAGAAGTTGATAGATATAAGGCTATAAACTGCATCGGATGGGCACCGCAACCTGGACAAGGATTAGTTTATGCCACAAACACTGGACAATTAAATATTCTTTATTAATGCATTTATAATATTACGATACTAAAACAAACATTCAGTTCCAGTACCGATATAATTATTTTATTAAACAAAATTACGTATGGAAGGAAGTTTATTAATAATTCTGAACTTTCATAAATTTGTAAACTATAACATAGAGTATGCAGAAAATTGATGAATTCATATTTTACTATTACATATAATTTAAGCAATTAAATTACTTGAAAATGATCATTATTATTAACGTGTACTTAAGTTTGCATAAGACCTATCCTATATTTTTAAAAGTAATTTTATATATTTTAATTAAAAAATTGAAAATATACCACAATTTAAATAGTGTACCAATTTTATTTCATTTTGATCTTATGCTTATCTTTTCTCTGAAATTTACTAATTTTAATAACAACAATACTAATAAAAAGGGATTTATTTGAATTGAAAGTTATTGGTATATATACATATCTTGTATTTAGTAATTTACCAACATAGAAGCATTAAAATTGTATAATTATAAATACATAGATTATTTGTTTGTTAGCTATAAGGATACATAACGTTATTAGAAATAGGCAGTCGATAATCGTTTAACTAAATCTAGGAAATTATCCATCATCATACAACAAACTATTTAATAATTCAGGAGTTTCTGGTTGTTTCAAACAAAGAGATAATTTATCTTGCAAATTTGTTGAATATTTATTTTGTTCCAATTGGCCAAGATCACGATCTAGTATCGTTTCAATTTCTTCATCGATGTACAAAGAATTTTCATATATTTTTGTAACATATGAACTACTTTGTTGCGTAGAATTTATCGTTTCGTTTATTGTATTTTGTAATTCAATCTCTGACATATTTATCGTATGAAAATTATTTAATTCGGCTGGTACATCACAGTCGACAATTTGATTATCGTATTGAGCCTCCCTTCTTAAATCGGTCAAAGAAGCAGATATCTGATGATATTTCACCTGATGTACTTTTAAATTACCAGTTTGCGAAAATGTTTTTAAACAAAACGTACAATGATAAGGTCTCTCCCCGGTATGGCACCGTGAATGTCTTTGCAATTTATATTTTGTCACAAATTGCTTACCACATTCCGAACACATAAACGAGTTATTTTCTGTTGGCAAGTTTTGATTATTAACAGATTGTTCCATATCCATATGAAAACTTATCATATGAGATTTCAATGACACTTTATAACGAAACGACTGATGACAATTGGCGCAACGAAATTCTTTCTTTCCTTCATGTCTCTCTTTATGTTTCATTAATATTTCTTGTTGATTGAATGACATTTTACAAATCTAAAAATATTTCAAAGATTTCTTAAAACCTGTCACATATACATGACTATATAATAAAAACATATAATTACTATACAACCATAACAGTCTTTCTATTACTAACATTACAAACAAAAGGCCTTTGTCCAGTGTGAATACGTTTATGTCTGATTAAATGAGCCTGACATCTAAAGCTTTTAGCACATATTGGACATACATTTTTCCTTATTCCATCTTTGTTTAAAGTACTTTTAGGTACTGTCTCATTTACTTTCAATTGACATAACATATCCTAAAACAAAGTTCAATTAGATTAAATATGTTTAACAAATAATATAGGCAGTCAAAAATTATGCTTATACCTCTGCAAAATCAATTTCCAATGATGGAGCTGCCAGCTGTTTTTGTACATTTGCTACCATTAAATAAAACTCATCGAATACATAAATTTTTTGCTCACAATCTATACAGACATATTTAGAAAATGCGTCGGAATTAGAGATATTTATTACCTGGAATATGAACATTGTTAAATTATTGTTGGGAAAAAGATAATGAAATTTGGAATTTATTAAAACTATACCTCCTTAGAGAAATACTTGTTTATAATTGACATTAATACAGTTCCTTTAACTTTGTCAGCCAATAAATCTGTGCCCTGTTGTTTTTCTTTGCCACAAAGACGACATAATTTTATGTTTGTTTTATGCAACATCATTGTGTTCTTTTCTTTTTATAGACTTACTGATATATGCTTATAATTAATAAATTCCATACACGTAAGTTAAAACATGTTAGATTATTCGATGTCAGTGGCCACCCATAGCCACCGCGCAAGACACGACCATTGCAACATCTATACAAAAACAGCTGAAACTACTTAATAGTTTACCAACCGAAATATCTATAATTCAATAATTAATTTTCCTTCAAATTTTTAATTAATAAAAGCATAATATTAAACTAGTTCAATCTTATACACGGTTCAAATTACGCGGGTAGGTAAATTTAAAAAAAAAAACGGAACAGCGCCATCTAGCGGATGGGGATTCGAACTAACGATTTCTAATAGGAGAGCAGAAAGAGCAAGGAGGTATACCAGGAGGTATACTATGCATACCCAGGGAAAAATCATTAATAACTCATTTTCTAGAAACAATTTATGAACCTTTATGATTTATTCTTAAACTACATGCTTGTAGCTACTTTCACATATAGGTTTTGTAAAAATTTTGCCAGTAATTAATTAGTTACAGCAATTTTAAGATCGACCGCTCGATCCGCGCTTACGGATGGTGGGGAACTTTTATAGTTTTCTGCTTTCCGGTGATCAATTTCTGTAATTAAACGATCGAAGAATAAAGAATAGCATCTTAGCTTTCTTCCAATATAGGTTTTATGAATAGCCTGTAAGTAATTACTTAATTATTAGTAATTTTTGGAGTGGCCGTTCCTGTAGGTTCGAGCCGCCCACTCCTATAATTGCTTATAATTAATTAATTACTAGGTAGATTCTCATATAACCGGTATATGAAAGTTGCTGCAAGTATGTAGATTAAAAATCAATTATAAATGTTCATAAATTGTTCCTAGAAAATGAGTTATTAATGATTTTTCTCTGCATACGCATGGTGAGATAAATTTCTAGTTCCGATCCCATCTGCAAGATGGCGCTGTAAAATTTTAAAACATCGACAGCAAAAGGAAAAATCATTAATAACTCTTTTTTGACAAACAATTTATGAACCTTTATGACTTATTCTTAATCTACATATTCGCAGCAACTTTCTCATACCGGTTATATGAGAATTTAGTTAGTAATTAATTAATTATAAGCAATTATAGGAGTGGGCGGCTCGAACCTACAGGAACGGCCACTCCAAAAATTACTAATAATTAAGTAATTACTTACAGGCTATTCATAAAACCTATATTGGAAGAAAGCTAAGATGCTATTCTTTATTCTTCGATCGTTTAATTACAGAAATTGATCACCGGAAAGCAGAAAACTATAAAAGTTCCCCACCATCCGTAAGCGCGGATCGAGCGGTCGATCTTAAAATTGCTGTAACTAATTAATTACTGGCAAAATTTTTACAAAACCTATATGTGAAAGTAGCTACAAGCATGTAGCTTAAGACTAAGTCATAAAGGTTCATAAATTGTTTCTAGAAAATGAGTTATTAATGATTTTTCCCTGGGTATGCATAGTATACCTTCTGGTATACCTCCTTGCTCTTTCTGTTTTCCTATTAGAAATCGTTAGTTCGAATCCCCGTCCGCTAGATGGCGCTGTTCCAGATATTTTTTACCCGCGTAATTTGAACCGTGTATAAGATTGAACTAGTTTAATATTATGTTTTTAATAATTAAAACTTTGAAGGAAAATTATTGAATTGTAAATATATATATATTTATTTACACATTTTACATTTTTATACAAGGACAAAGCAGATGGCGCCCGTTTTCAGAGCACAAAGGCAAATCTGTAGTCAGATTTTAACCTAATTATTTACAACAAATGTCTGTATTAGATTGTGACAATATTGTTTATGTAATTTATTGATTGTAATAGACTAAAATGGATTATAATTCTTTAGATATCAATAGTTTAGTGAAGTATTTTCTTTGCTGTACGCCAATAAATACGATGAATGCACATGTATGTAAATTTTCTACTAAAATGATTTTCAAATAGCCTCATGAATTTATATACTGTAATTCTAGATTTCTGAACATAACATTGATTGGGTTACTGAGTTTGAAAGACAACAAGAAATTTTGGAAAAGACACTAAATAGTGAACTGATTAAAAAGTATCCCATAAAAAAATCTTATCAAAGAGCATTTTTAAAATGGCTCATGACTATGGTATACAAAATTAATTTGTGATAATGTATGCAAAATTATTTTCTAATAATACTTAAATTATCAACATCATTTTTGAACTCAGATTGAGAAAAAAGATGGTATCATACATGAAAGTATTTATATTACATATTGCAATTTGGTATCTTCATCCTTTGATGAATCTAATCATTATCGGCATTTTATAATAGATAATGAAAATACAGATTGCATTACCATGTTAGAAAGTACAAATATTATATCAGAAGGGACTACAGGATTATGTAGCTGGCAGGTATTATTCCATATAGTTACATGTAATTGTTTAATAAATTTATTTATTACACTATTTATAGGGTGCTATTGAATTAAGCAACTGGTGTTTAGAAAGCAAAAATGAATTCTGTGATAAAGTTATTTTAGAACTTGGCTGTGGTGTTGGATTAACAGGATTATGTATTATCAAGAAATGTTTTCCAAAACAATATATTTTCACAGATTGTCATGAGACAGTTCTTCAAATGCTTTCTGAAAATGTTAAGCTTAATTTGTTACACAATGAGGAAATAATAAAATCACAGACAAGAGCCGACAGATTAAAGTTGGAAGTAAAGTATAATTGCACAAATGTAAAAATAATGGAATTAAAATGGGAAAATATTGACAAATATATCAATGAAGATTGGATCATACCGAATATAATAATTGGATCCGATATTTTATACGACGTAGATTCGTTTAATGCATTAGTGTTGGGTTTAAAAATATTTTTATCTTTTAATAATACGTATGCTATTATTGCAGCAACGATTCGTAATGCAGACACCATTTTACAGTTTCTACAACAGCTAGGTATTTTCTTGAATTGATAAAAATCATATCTTTTAGATAATATGTAATAAAAATTAATGTTTCCTTTTTCTCCCCATATAGAGATTCATAATCTTTCTTTTGAAGAATATAGTGTATCAAAGAGAAGAGTACATATGCAGTTTACAAATTTACCTATCAAAATATTAAAAATTTTTCAAAAAAGATGATAATTTATTACTAGCAAATTTATTTATAAATGAAACACTATCATAAATGTATTTAATAAATACTTTCTTGTACAAAATTCTATTACATTCCTTATAAAACTTTTAGATTTTTGTGCATGAAATTGTACATATTTCGCAAATTAGATAAAATCATAAAAATGAGAAAAAAGAATCTAAGCTGCTAGTCAAATAAAAAGTACTGAGTTTTTGAAATAAAATCAGTGAAACGATTGGTATAAAAGATATACATTGTATTTCCTTGTTTTATATTAATTCATAAATATTTAATTCGCATAAACGTTAGATTATTTAATTAAACGTCAATTAATTTGGTCAAGCCTTGAAGGTTTCAGTTGTAGCCTCTGAATGATATACTCTGGCATGCAGTATGTTGGATTAATTTTTTTCAGAGGATAATCTGTATTTAAAAGGGAAAGTGCAGTTAAACCAAAGAGAGTATGAAAAGGATCGGCAACATCTCCCGGACGATCGCTAAATCCTCCTGATTCTGCGTCCTGACATGCCAGTACAAATTTTACCTATATATCGAAATTAAAATAAAGGCATAAATTGAATTAAATTTTTATCTTTAAAAATACTTACCAACTGTTCTTTATTAACCCAGTGAAGACGTCCAAGAATGGTAAGCGCGGAAAGAACCCACCAGGAATAGCATACGTCGGGTAACTTTTCCGGTCTACCGTTTAAACCTCCAGATGAAAGTTGCCTTTCACAAAGCCACCAACCTAACTGATCTGCATCTACTAAATGAAGATTACCTGTAAACATTAATTAATTTATTAACATTGTTAACTAATTGCTTCAAAAGAATTAGCTTCTATATGCCTATATTATAAAAATTACCAGTTATCGATAGAAGTCCTATAGAGCAGTAAATCATACCAGCATGACTTTCAGCCCCAGGTTTTGATCCAAAACCACCATCAAAATTCATACATTTCATTACAAATTCAACTGCTTTATCAACATCTATTGCATCTAATCGATGCTAAAACAAGATTTTTATATATATATGTATATCTGTTGTTCTGTACAATATTAAGAGAATTATATTTATTAATTAAACCTACTAGGAGGGATAAAGTTGCTACAGCACAGAAAGAAAACCTCATATCAACTTCACCCCATATGTCACCAGTAAAACTTCCATCTGGTTGTTGCCTTTCTTTTACATATTTTATAACTCTTTCTATATCAATAGTATCCAGAGCATCATAGATACAAAGTATTTGTACTGCACTTAAAGTATAAAGAATGTGTGGATCATGCTGTAAGCTTGCAGCTATACCTCCACTTTCTGTTTGACACTGAGCAATAAATTCAAGCACCTCATTTCTATTAGTTTGTTCCAGTTTTCCCATAAGATCTAATGCTGTTAGACCCCAGTACATACCAGACATTCTCATGTGTTCTGTCATACAATATATCTAAAATTTGTTAATATCTTTATCATATCTATTCACATTGTATGATGCCTATTTTAATACAATATTAAACAAAATAATTATTGCACTTACATATTCATCTTTATCGGTGCCATAAGAAAGTAAGAAATTTGTATGTTTTTCCAATAACAAATCAGGAATTGAAGTTGGAACTTCAATATCATGTTTTGACATTGGCTAAAACATAAATGAGATACTTTAAATGATAAATCATTGTGATATATGTTCTAAAATTATAATTTTAATGTTTTTATTAAAATAATGTGATACATTTTTAAAGAATGACTTTTAACCTCTGCTAAATTTTTTATATTGAATTATTTTTTTCTACTTGCCATGTTATAAAAATTGTTAAGGAACAGTAAGAAGACCACTAAGTTTTATTAAATTACATTCATTTAGATAAAATTATAAAACTATTCACATATACTATCCTTCTAATAGAAAGTTTAAATGGCATACACCCCATCATATGCCTTAACCTCCAAATCGTATCGCACAAAGATGTCATTCTTTATGCCAAGAATTACAGAGCGCCATAATTAAAAAAAAGAAAAGAAAAAGACTATAATCCAAACACAATTGTTCATATAATCAAAAATTAAGCATTTAATAGTTTTATCTTCTCTTTAATATATTTGTTTATTTCCAAACAAACATTTGTTATATATTTTTAGCATTAAAAATTCTATATAGATTTTGACCTTCAAATTAAAATTAGAAGTATAAAATCTGTTTTATAGTTACAGTAAATGATGTATATATTTAATAACAATAAAAATGAATTGTTTGTGTAGAAAAATGTTATTTATTAACATTTCAAGTTTTTCTCGTTTTTCACATTTGTTATGTTCAGGAACTCGAACGTTTACTGCAACGAAAATAATAAATAATAAATCTTAATCCTTCAGATGTGTATATTTGATAATTATAATTTCTTACCTAAATTAATATTTAGCTGGACATAGATTTTTCTTCGTCCGAATCAGAATTCGTGCTTTTTACATCTTCATCCTCATTTTGTTCCTCTTGATCATCTTGGTTCTCTTGATCCTCTTGATTCGACATTTCTTCCCAATTTTCATCTGATTCGCTTTCTAAATCCTCATCTTCGACTGCGTCATCTTCGTCTGATGTATCTATTTATATTTATGCAGATTAATTGTACAATGCTTTAAAATACGAATATACAATAAAAGTGAAGCAAACAAACCTGAATCCTGATACATAAGACAATTCTCAGTGATATCTTTATCCTGTTCTTCTACTATCTGAGCAATTTGGCCAGTAACAAGGGAAACACGTCCTTTAAGTTTTGAAAGTTCTGTTAAAAGAGCTAACTTGGCATCAATTAAGTTTAAAATTGGTCCAAATAAATCCACAAGATCTGCTTGTGACAAAAAATGACTTGCATGTACCATTAGCAATGTTTCTAACCATCGCACGGCAATTTTACTCCTATAATAATATGACACATGAGAATATTAGACAAAATATTGCATTTCTAGTGTTTGTAAACTATTTAACTGTCTCTTATCGTGAAACTTACGTGTAAGTTTTCCCCTGAAGTAGGATGGTCAGCTCTTTAAGTAGCGGCCCAATTGCCTGGATCGGTAACTTAGTAATGGTATTCCTAATAATAGACTCATTCTTGATGAGAAAAACATTGCTTAAAATAGTCTTATCTTTACTGTTCAAGCCTTGTAACAAAAGTTGTGCTCGACTGCTACCTGTGCTCGTAATTTTTCCAGTAGGACTACTCTCAGTACCTAGGCTCAAATTTTCTAATCTATCTTTTAATAATAATTGCGATCCAGAACTGCTTTTAGTCCTTTTTGTGGTTGTTTCAACAATACCTATGAAAAGTAAATGGATTTAAATGAACGAAAATATTAAATTATGATGTAAGTTGTAAATAAATATTAAGTACCTGGTGCAAGATACTCAACATTGCCTTCTATTACTGTAGATTTTATTTTAGTAATTTCTTCCTTTCTATCTTTATTTTTTTTACTGTCCGAGCGTACTAAACACTGTACTTTATTAGAAAAATCAGGTGTTACTTTTTCAAACACAGGATTAATATGCGTTCCATAGGCGAGTAACAGTTTTTGATCTTCCGTTAACTTCGCATCTAAGATAGGAATTTGCTGAATACTGTCTTTTTGACTTATATCAGAGGCAACCGCGATATTTAAACTAGGCTTTAATGGTTTCGTCCGCCCATTTGGTTGATATTGAAATATGTGTGCTTGCCCAGACCTAGTTACTACCAATACAACCACATGTGAGCTTTCCGAAACATTTACAGACACGCTTATCGCATCATCTTGTAGAGCTAAACTCGCTACAGCTGCTCTATCATTTCTTTGCTGAAAATATTTCAATAATTAGTTGGCAGAATTTTACATCGCATGTTCCATTAATATATCGCTAAATATTAAATGTCTTACTTCATCCAAAGCCCAAACGCTAAGACAACCGTCACCGTAAGCTCCGCTAATAACATAATTACTTCCGAGCGGAATTTTAACAGCACAAAGACACGTTACTTGATTAGCATGACCCGTGAAGATCTTGATCACCTGCTTAGTACTCAAATCCCACCATTTAACAACCCTTTCCCCTGACAACAGACCTTTCCCATCTTCTGAAACTGTTAAAGATGTTGTTTTTCCTTTCCCTGATTTCCATTTACATTTTACTCCATTTTCTTGAAGATTCCAATGAATAATGTGATGATCATCCCCTGCAGTAAATAAACCAACATTTTCTGACCAAGTTACTGCAGTGACTGTACTGGAATGGCCATCCAATTGTGAGGTAACAGAAGATGTTGTTGTATCGTAAAGAGTAACTTTTCCATTTGTAGAACCCATTGCAACCATGCTCTTTTGACTGGGCTCCTCTGCAACTGATTTTCTTCTGCGTTTCTTCCATGGTAAAGGCTAAAAATATCCATACACGTATGTATTTCATTTTATACCTAATATTTTTTTTCATGCAATTACAAATATACTCTTATAATTTTAAAGATAGAAAGAATCTGTGCCTATATAAAAATATAATCAAGAATTTATTAAATCAACAGACTTTCCATACAAATATTATCTTGATAAGCAAATGAAATTAAAAATAATTGGACTTCAAAGTGATCTTCAAGAATTTACTTCAATTTGTAACATGTAAAATATTAAAAACTCCTTAGAGGTGGTAAAAAGTACAGAAGTATAACCTTCTATTTTTTACTACGAAGTTAATTAAAAAAAATATTCGTAATCAGACATAAAATTTTATTTGAAATTAATGATGATCTTCCTTTTAGCGCAACATATTAAATATATATGTACTAACGTAAAATAAAAAATTTATTTAAATATAAAATAACGAAGCACATGGCTCACCGATGTATTTGTTGACCGGGAATTAACATAAAGCCAAGTCAAAACGCAACACGGGGAGGAAAGATGAAAATTTGATACATATTCTTGTTTTAAACGACCAGTTCCTGTGTCCCAAATCTTTAATTTTCCATCGTTTCCACAATGAGCAAAATATTCACCGTCAGGAGAAAAAGCGTAATTAGCGGTAGTCGCCATTGTTGAACTATCAGTATTTCAAAATGAAGGGAACCGCAACAATTCGTTTCTTTTATAAGCAACTTCAGTTTATCACGTGCTTTTAAAAAATATCCGTTATAAAATATGAAATATCCAAGAAATATACAATTTAGTTTTTGTGACACATCAGGACAGTTAAGTAAGTATGTTTTATTTAAATAATTGTCGAGTACTGACAATAGTAGTAATCGTTGTAAATGACTATAATAAATTACTGCGTTCTAAATAAAAAAGTTGATTAATACATGAATTTTTAGGTCTGTGTAATATTCTTACAATTAGATGAAAATAAATTTGATATTTTATTTGGATGAGAGTAAAATGGTATGGAGAATCAAAAGAAGAGATAAAACATAGAGAACCCTAATGGTACAGAGTTCTGTGGACAAATGGCTACATTCTCAAACATTTGGCTGATATGAATCCAGGTAGGTACCTATTTAGAAATAGAGATTACACAAAGATGAATACTTTTATAAAAAAGATTATATACCAATTCTTTGGTCATACAAATTTCATGGTATACCATTTAAGGAAGTACAAATCTGTATACATAAGCTTAAAGGAGAACATGGTAAGATAATAATTCAAAAACATATTGGGAGATAGAAAAAGTAGCATTTATTATAAAATTACGATATCATAGAAGTAAATGTGCAAGATACAAGCGAAAGAAGAAAAGTATTTAATAAGTAAGACCCATTTCAAATTCGTCCTTGTGATAAATAAGAATGTTTTTGAACATCATATTAGGGCCATCGTATTTGAAGTCATAAAGAGGCTTGTCTAGAGGGAAACCAAATGGTCTCTTGTCAAATTTATAACTGCCCCATATTCTGGAAGTATATGGTACTTCTGTAGTCACTGGGCTGACGTATAAGAAGAATTGGAACGGCATTCCTTCCTTTTTGCCCTTTGGTAACAACAGTCTTTCCGGGAATCCAAATACTCTCTCGTTATAAGTAAACGATTCCGCACCATCGAGAGCCTTCAGGACTTTCTTGTAGAACACTTCGCTTGGTTCTTGATCGGGAATCACGAAGAAGCAGTCTTGACTGTTACGTCCGATTTTGTTCTGTCCGGCGGTCACTGTTGACAGATTATAATAAATTATATTAGACACATTTAAATATAAATACATATATTGTAATAAAACATAAACTTACAGTCAACGATCCAGTTGTCGATTTCGTAGAAGTATTTCAGACTGTCTGGAATTTCTACTAATTTGTGGTGCGAGTCGTATTTGGGTCCAAGGAAGATTCTGAACGCCGCTTTCATTGGTTTCTCAGAGTTAACCGTGATGTGGAAGTTGAATGGCTTGTGATTCAGACGGTACTGTCTAATTTTTATTAACGATGTTTCGGCTTCTCTTTGATCTTCTACTAATAAACCATTGCTGATGGATGTGTCATATTGATCGAAGTATGTGGTTAATTTATCAACAACGAACGATTCAATCTTTAATTCTGGGTAAACAATTTCGTCTCTGGTGTATGGTTCTTGACGCATTTTGTATCTGGAAATACATATTAAGTAACATTGAAAATAATATCTAGAATTTATTATAAATTTATTAATTACCTGTAGTAATAGCGGTATATTCTCTTGTAAAGCCTGTAGAATGCAGGGTCCCTCATGGAGCTGCTGAACGTTTCCAGGGCGCTAGGGAAGATTTGATAGGGGCTGGCTGGTTCCAAATTGTAACCAAGGATCTTTCTGCCCAACGTATCGATGCTGCCATAGAAGTCACGGTTGTAAGAGTCTCCGTTACCCTCGATTATATTTCCAAGCATATTCAAACCATCCTCCTGGTATATATTGTACCACTTGCTGTCGTTTCTCAGTATAAAGCCAGAATCAATTGCTGCAGTTATTCTTGATTCCATGTCCATTATATCCTTTAACAAATAGATTTATGTTAGATTAATTGTCTCATTATTATTGTTACTGCTATTATTTATTCACCTGAATATATTTGTATTTGTAGACAGGGAAGTTGCTCCAGTCTGGTCTCTGTGGGTACGGCATTCCATTGTGATATGTCATAGTAGGATAGTAACCAGCGTAGAATGGTTTCTGCCAGTCGAAGTCTTCGATTTTAGGCAGGTCATTGGAAAGTCTTTCCAGATAGTATCTGTTCAACAGTTGTTTGTGCCCGTAAAGGTATTCTTCTCCTCGGTATTGTAAGAAATCAAATTCGTTCGAGCTCAGCCAGAATGGGCATTCTTGACGGAAGAAGAAGTAGTACGCGTTCAGACCTACGTCCTCTGTGAAATAGTTCAACTTGTTCTCAAAATTGTATTCGCGATTAAGGTACCAGCCGGAATAGTTGGCAGGAATGATGTACGTTTCGTATGGTCCAGTTTTCTGCGAGTCTGAAATCAAATTTCTTATGATTATTTCGCTTCACAGCAAGCGCAATGAGATACCGTACCATAAACGGTACCATAAACCGTACGGTATTTTTACCGTACCATTAAGCAGTCTTCAAGATTGATACAGGAAGTAAACTTTATAAATAATCTTATCTACCCCTTTGAAGTTTATTTTTAGCTCTATTTGTCTCCTTAATTAATTCTGTCGATATTCAACTGCAGTAAAGACATCTAAATTGATTAAAAAAACATAATTACCTAGTTTACCGAAAACTTTGGCATGGTGTGCCTTTTCAAGCACCTCAGAGTTGAAGTACGCGTACGGGTACATTTCATATGGGGGTGGTAATTGAATGTATTTAGTGTCCGGTCTTCTGATTACAGCATTGCAAAGAGCAAAGTAGAATTGACCCTCGTTTACGTAAATTCTTGCCCAAAGTGCTGTGTTGTAGAAAGTATCGAAATCGTTCGCGTAATAGAACAGTCTGAACAGAGCTACCATTTCTTTAAGCAATTTTGGATAATAAGGCGAGAACATTTCTCCCCGTGGAAGCATTCCATTTTTGTACATGTACATGAATTCTTTCACGGCATCCTAGAAATTAAGTAAGAACATTTTTTATTACTTCAGATTTTAGTTTGAGTGAGTGCCAAAAAATTACAGCGAAGAAAGGTTGATTTAATATTAGGTAAGTATAACATGTGTAATTCATCTACAACAATTTTATCATATATCATTTCTAACATAAATATTTTATTTTTAGGTAAAATGGGGCGCAACATACAGACAGACAGATGCAACATAATATTAAGTAAGTATAACGTGTGTAGTTAATTTACAACAATTTTATCATATATCATTTCTAACATAAATATTTTATTTTTAGGTAAAATGGGATGCAAGATACAGACAGACAGACAGATGCAACATAGCCAGGAGGTGGGCGATTATAGTGATTCTTAGTAAGGAAAGGATTAATAATTATTACATTATGATTACTGACCGGATTCCTGTACAAATTAATGCTGTTCTCGATGTTCCATGCTTGACCCTCGTTGTACAATTGAACGTTCACCACATTGGGTTGAGAGATGTGATAAAGTAAGTTGTAAATCTTCTTTTGCTTCAATAGGAAGTCTTTGTCGGCTGTTTTGGTGGTGAAGTATTCTGCGCTGACCAAACTGAAGGCCAGCAACCCTAGCACCCAGATCCGTGTCAACAGTAACATTATTTTTCAAAGTTCAAAACTCTAGCGTCCCAAAGCGTGGATGCTCCGCTCGCGGCTACTTTTATACTCTGTCATCCCCTCCATTAATTGTGTCTTTTATAAGTAAGACCTCAGCGTTATCGAATAACTTTGTTATTTAACTAACTATGAAAATAATGTTTTGTTTATTCGTTTATTCTGACACTTGTATGGATGGGATGAGATTCAAGCGTGTTGCTTTGTAGATTGAATTTTGGTTGAATAGTTCATGGGTATTAGGTAATGTTGCTGATATTATTAATATTTTTATATTACTACGTTTTGTCAATAATATTTTCTATTGTGATCAAATTAGGAATTCGTCAAACTAAATTACGTGCAATTTTTTTTTTTTTTTCCCCGTGCCATTTATAATGACCAGGAAATAATGATGGTACGAATGGGTTAATCAAAGAGCAAATTTTGAATTTTTAGAATTATTTTGTTTTCTCTATTGAGAATAACATTTATTTTGTATTTTTTTATTTCTTAAGTAATGATTCATTAGAAAATTATCTATCAAGCTTCTCGGTGATTAATTTCACAGACAAGCCGTCGTCTGAAGAAACTGATAAAGTATGTTGATTAGGTCAGTTTCGCCAATTGTGGCACTTCATATTTTAAATGTTTCATTATTTTTAAATCAACTTCTTATACTATACTTGATATACAATTGTAGTATAGAATAATTGTATTTTAATTCCAGGTTTCAATATTGAATCTTAGTCATTATCAATTACCAATGTAATTTTCTGTAAAAAAATAATGACTGTTTAGAATACATAAAGCAAAGCGAATACGTATTAAATTGGATAATTGCTTTGGTCACTTATTAATCTTGGGTAATAAAAGTTCAGTGTAGCGCATCGTTGTTGTTAAAGTGACTTTTCTTATCAATATTTTGTTTGTTTAAACGCAGAAAACTAAAGTAAGCAAGTAAGTAAGCAAGATATCTGAACAAACTCGAAATCTGTTTGACACCCTGACATCGAGTAACAAGTACCAATTTTTAAATGACCTATAAATATACCCATTTAATATGAATGATAATTAGTTTTTTTTTTTTTTTTTTATTTAACATAAAAGTTTGGAAAAACATCTTTGAACATAATAGGTGAAAATTTGAATATGTAATATTTTGAATGACAAGATTTCTTAAATATCTAAAATTTCAATTTTGTTTCAAATATAAGATTAATGGAACGTATAAAAAACACGTTATCAGTCATTGATATTTCTTATCACCAGAAAACACTTGCTCTCACTTGAGATCATAGCTTTCCCTTCCCTTATTAGTTTATGTTTTGTCAATAATTCATGAAGATACTATTGTCTTCACGATAATTATCCGTGATTTATGCCGGAAATAAAGCCGTCTTGTCCGAGCAGCTGTTGTTTTCCTAATAGAAACGAACGTTTAATGATCGTCTCCTAGAGATAATCAAATGTATATCTTATTAATTTCAATAATTTTTCATTAGTCATCGTTTACTTAGAACAGTATTAGATCATTGCATATCAAATGGTAGATTTCGATACATTAGAAAGTTTGAATATAATTTGATGAATTAAAAGCATCATGGAACAATTCTTCTGGCATATCAAAATTTGTGAAAGTGGATGGGGTGTGGTGGTGGTGATGGTGGTGTTCACGAAAGGTGGGTTGTGATGATTGACCAGGAAGTAGAAGTAGTTTAAGTCAACATCCTCAGTGAAATAGGTCAGTTTTTGTTCAGGTACGTCTTCTCTGCTCAGTATAGTTAGCTGGGATTACATAGTAGTCGCCTCCAGTCGCTGATTTCTTCACCTCAGCTACTTTAAATTAAACTATTTATATATTAATAATTCTCCATTTGGCATTTAACTGGTATTATAGCAGTGCCATAGTGATAACACTTGCCATCATTAGAAAGAAAGTTCATATTATTTTACTAATCAACGTCACCAATGGCGATGTTGTAAGCTTTCTGCATGGCATCCTCGTTGAAGAAGAAGTATGGTTGCACCTCGTACAAGGGTGGCGACTTGATAAACTTGGTGTCAGGTCGTTCACATGGAATCTAGCCCATACAACGGTGTTATAGAACACCTCGAAGTTCTTTGAGCTGTAGAAAACACTGTAGATAACCTCAACTATGATGGTAGACGTGCGGGTTCAGCAGGGTGAACTCCGTTCACTGCTTCGTAACCAACAGACACCATAATGAAAAATATATTTTGAAAGTTTATAAGAGAAGACTACTGCTCTATCATTGAACCGTAATTGAGTCAAATCATCTCGGTCCCGTTCGGTTTATATAGTGGGTCCAAAAGCTTGGACTTAGATAAACATCGGCGATAATGTATCGGGATCGATTTAGGGAAAGATTACAAGGGTGGTGAAAGTAATCATCTTATCTTCGGCTCGTGGACCAAGCGTCGATAGGGTGTAATTCGATTGATTTAATTAACTGAAATTTTTTGCGAAGACCTAACAGTGCCTTCTAAAAAATATTACGAATCAATATTTAAAACAAAAATAATATTTTTCAACATTCATAATCTGAATGTGAGAGTAGTGATTGACGAAAGCAGTAAATATAACTGATTATTATTTAGTCGAAATTTATATTGCTCGTTATCGTTTGATAAATTTTTCTCATGATGAGATATGACAAATCACTATTTACGTATATTATTGATAACGATTAATTGCATATTAATTACATAATTATATGTACATTCGATTTATAATATAGAGAGATATCATCTAGTCAATTACTGTATAATTACTAGGTTTGTAGTAATCTTACCTCTTATAAATTCATATATTTGGACATTACTCAGGCTACGCACGAGGTGTAAGGATGCTGATAAACTTTCAATTTACGTTAATTAATAATAATCATTCAAGACATACGTTCACCTTTGACCCGAAAAATCTATTTCAACAGATCATGCAGTCAGAGTGAATGTTGTCTTATTTTTCTTTTATATAAACAAAATCCTTTTCATTAACAGTCATAATTAGAGAATGCTATTCTAGTTTATATTTCTTATTATTAAAGAAATCATGCTGCATTATTTTGTCTGAGCAGTATTTTAATTCAACACTGTTTATTAGGAGCTCTTCGTTTGGAGAAATCATAGTTCCCTCTTTATCTTAAATTTATGATTATATCAATTTAATCCAGATATGCAAACATTCGTTCTCTAATTGTGATAAAAAGGTAATGTTATCTTCTACTTATTTATAAAGAGACGATAGTTTAATATTTGTTATGTAAAGGAGATTGAATGTATACATTCTTTATCTCTATTCAATGTTATCATTATTTTGAATCAATTTGATTTGATCTGTATTTTAATATTTGAAATGGAATTTCAAACGTTGTTAACACATAATAAGTTCATTCACACTCGGCACACAGAAAGTTCATTCACTCTTAGGATTTTTAATTTCTCTCCTGGAATTAACAGTTATCGGTTGAACGGACTTTGCATGTGCTTGTAACAAGTTTAGTCGAGTAAATCTTCTTGTAATAGAATACTGATAATCATTATCTCGTTAAGTATTCCTTTCTTGATACAATGGCTGAAGATTGCAATGCATAAGTAGCGTATAATACTTATTCTTAACTAATAAAAGAATTCTACATTGCACCTAAGCATATAGTGTCCAAGTATCGGGTAGTCTTCCTTAGGGAAAATGGCACCATAAACCTCTCCTTAGGCCCTACTACCATATTATCAATATTCCTTGTAATATTCTAAATTATTGAGGCTTGTTAGTGGAAAACAATGGAATAGAATAGTAAGATTTAATAAAAAAAGCATTTATTTAATTCAGAATCTTTTATTTAAAGAATCTTTTCTTTGCGGTTAAGTAATCACCGACAAAGGGATGCTTCCAGTTTCACCAAAAGGAAAGTGTCCGTTTAGTAGTTCATTCCCTCGCCCTTTGGAATCTCGTAGATGTACACGTCCTTGAAGAACATGTTGGGGATAGAGTAGTTCCATGTATCAGGCATGGGTCTGTCCAGAGGGAATCCAAGTGATTTCTTTTGGGGGAATTTATCGGCCGCGGGGTTCAAGCACATCGTCGGGTCGTTGCCGTTGACCGTGCTCAGGAAGAAGAACATCTTGTACTTCATACCGCCCGTTCTACCTCTGGGCAGAGTCAGATGTTCTGGGAAGCTGCGGTCTTCCTCGGAGTAGACGAAGGGTTCACTACCGCTGATGGCTTTGTTCAGTTTGCTGTAGAAGTAGTCGGCTTCCATCATGTTTGATGTTGTCAACGAAGACTCTGAACTGCTACGTTGAATGTTATTGGGACCAGGAACGACTGGAAAGATGTAAGAAAAATCTGTTAAAACATCCATTTAAAGAAAAATTCAATGTAAAATAATAAAGACACTAACGTGTCACGTTGAATTGGTCCATTTGCATGAACTGATAGTAGAATTTTTTCAGGTAAACCATGTCATCTTTTACGTCGTCGTACGCTGGACCAAGGAAGATGCTGAGGGTAGCATCCATTTTAGTTTTGGAGTTGATGGTGAAGTTGTACATGAATGGCTGGTAGTTCAAGCAAGGACGACGCGCTTTCATAACAAATTTCTTTCCGTTCGTGAAGGTGTCCACTGCCACGGCATTGTTAATAACAGTGTCGCACTTGTCGAAGTACGTGTAGAGTTTATCTACGTTGGAAACGAATTCGAATTCCACTCCTGGCAACACCAGTTCCTCTTCAGTGTATTGAGGCTGGTTTTTCTTGTATCTGTGGAAATACACGGTGAACAGTTTTATTAACTTATGTTATATGTAAACTTTAATAGACTCTGAAGGATGAAAATACCTGAAGAAGAACGACATGATTCTCGAGTAGAGCATGTAGAATGCTGGGTCTCTCATGTTGGTGGCGTGCATTTCAAGAGCACTGGGTATCGACACGTTCTGGTTGGGTTTATCAAAGCTGAAGCCAAGGATGTTACGTACCACAGCATCGTACATTCCGTAGTATCGACGGTTGCATGAAGCACCGTTTCCTTCGATCACATTGGCCAACATGTTCAGACCTCCCGGAGTGTAGATATCTATCTTCCTTCCTTCTGTGTCTATCAAGTATCCAGAGTCAATTGCGTCCATTATACGATTTTCCAGAGTGAAGACCTCCTGGAAAATGAAACAATTGTTGGTATCCAGTCATCCGTAAACTCTTAAGACTGAAAATGGTTTCGGTAGAAGCTGCATACTTTAAGATAGTTGTATTTGTGAAAGGGGAGGGACGCGTATTTGTGTCTCTTAGGAACTGCTACGCCATTGGAGTACATCAGATTCGAGAAGTAAAGGGGGTAGACGGGTTTGTTCCAGTCGAACGATGCTATCCTGCTAATGTCGTTGGATCTGCGTTCCAGGTTATACCTGGCCATCAGTTGTTTGTGGATGAAGAAGTAACATTCTCCACAGATTTCCTTGCGTTTGTTGTTGTTTAACCAGATGGGGGACGCCATGCGGAAGTAATAGTAATAAGCGTTTAAGTCGGCATCTTCTATATAGTAGTCCAGCTTGTATTCATAGTCTACGTATGGATACATGTATTTGCTGGAGTAATTGGCAGGGATTATGTAGGTACGTTCCTGAACTTCAGTGCCTGAAAAGTATTATTAATATTAAACATCGAGATTTAAGGTATCCTGTCCGTTCAATGAGGAATAGAGTGTTAATAGACGAAAAGAATCACCTCTGATCATTTTAAGGTAGTGTGCTTGTTGGATCACTCTGGATTCGAAGAAGAGGTTTGGATAGATCTCGGAGATCATTGGCAGACGTACGCATTGGCAGTCGCTTCTGTAATTAACTGCGGTCGTAAAGGCCATGGTGAACATGCCGTCGTTCATGAATATCCGAGCGAAACAAGCAGTTTTGTAAAAGGTCTCGAAGTCCTTGGCGGTGTAGAACAGATCGAACAACAATTGCATTTCGTACCGTTGCTCATGGTTGTACTGGTTGGAGATGGCACCGCGGGAAAGGAACATTCCTCGCTTGTACATCCAGAGGAACTGTTTGACAACAGTCTGGAACAAAGATGTTGAATTTTCAAATGGTATTCCAATGGGGAAAAAATGGCAATTTGCTATTTATCCCTTTTCAGGTACGTTAAATTCTTTAGATTAGCTTCTTCTACTTTTCAAAATCCAAAGCAAGTTATAGGAGACTCTTTCCTCTACCCTTATCCTTAGTTAAAAGAAGCATATCCTAGCGCCTGGTAAGGCATAGTAAGCATCCTTAAGGAAAATGGCACCACTTTCAAAATAGAAAACAAAAGAAGTCACCTGGTTTTTGTAATTGTCCATGTTTTCGCTGATGTCATAGTGCATGCCGGTGTTGTACCAATCCGTGTCTTTCAGATCGTTCTGTCTGATATAGAGCAGGATATTGTAGAGCTTCTTCTGTTTGTCCAAGAAGTTCTTGTCGGCTGTATGAGTTCCGCTCAATTTCGCGCCTTCGGCAACGCATAGCATGCCGCCGAGCGCCAACAAGAGCGCTACCTTCAGCATCCCCTTTTTCTTTCTTTCAACAACAAAAAATATATACAGCAAATACAAAAAAGTTGATCACCCTCGGTAGAATTGAATGAATATGTACCGGGTTCCCGTTCATCCGTGCTTTTATACTTATTCGGAATAAAATAATCACGGTGAACCTCTGACCCACATCGTATTACCAAAGATACCGTGTGTCATCGTTACGTGTATATTTGTACGTTTGATTATTATTAATGGTTGGATCTGTCGAAAGAGGTTTCAATTTGTTGACGAGAAAAAGGGAAAAACTGATATCTTTCCTTACTTTTCTCGCTATTTTAATAAGACTATTCTAGTTTTCATCTCGATAGGGGTTTTCAAGGATGTCACGGATCGAGGGGTTTGTTTTTCATAAGAAAATAAAACCTATGTTTTATATATATGTAAATAGTTAACGAACATAGTGGAATATTTTGTAATTTTTAATATCAAAACTAATTTTAATCTATTTATATTAAAAGAATATACAAAAATTGTAATATTTCCTTTAACATACAAGAAAAGATTTCGTTGATATCAAAAGAAAAAAAGAGAAAATAATGTTTACATTGTTACATAAACATGGACCATTCACGAGGTCTTTTTATTTTTGAAAATTTTTTTATTGATATCTGGACGACAGTCCAAACTACATTAAATATTTATTACACTTTTTGTATTTATTATTTTAGTTACATGATAAAGATCTTGTTTCTTTTTTTTTTGTATTTATCAAGTAAAAATATAGAAAGATACCATTTTTTATAGCCCTTTATAGTCGTTTAATTAGATTTATTAATATAGAATATTCCATAGTTCGTAGGTAACATAGAAACAATACACCGGTATCTGAAATGTCATTCTAACTAATAAATTAACATGTTTCAGGTTTTGCGGTCCGTCAGTCGGTTTCGCAAGCATCAACTAGATCTGTTCAGAAACATGAAGAGGATTTATTTGTATGGAAAATTCTTGTACGATAGAAGACGATTCCATTGTTGCAATGGTAAATATGTTAACCAAATCTCATTTTTATTATTCTTCTCTATATACACGTGGAATGTTATATCTTTCCTTTCAAAGAATAACAAACATTAGTCTGTCTGAGATGAAATTGAAATCATCTAAATAGGTATTATCTTACTATTGATAAGTATAATTCATATTTTCTTTTAGTATTTCCTTATTAAGTGATCATTTTTACCTTTTTATATTATATTAAACATTTATTACTTAGGATGAAAATTTTCTTTTTAATTTAAAAAATCATTTATATTCTCGAGTATTCTTATCTATTACCTTATTTAATTATTAATTCTAACATTATGCGTGTATCTATTGTAGAAGAAAAAAAAAATGATATACAAATGACTATTTTCACTAAGTATTTGATTGATAAGTATTGTGCGACAGGTCAATGTCTTGAACTTCTGTTTCAAGGGAAAATTTCGTACTCCTTATCGGTTCCATTGATAAACGATGAAAACATTTCTTTCTGAAATGTAATTAAGACAACTGGGTAATCATATGTTGCAAATACATGCAATTTATCTGCAACTGTCACTGCCTCTTTTTTTAAATTTACGAACTTTTGCTTGAGTGAAGAAATCTCTTCACCCCTTTTTATTCTTTCATGATTCTTAATAATATTCTTAACAAACATTTAATATAATATCTAAAAATAAATACACTTCTAAATGGGCTTTTTAATTATTTAAAATTTTTTTAATTTTTCACTTTGGAATCTTAATTTTCTAATTTTTTACTTAATAATTTTATTTAAAAATTATGTATGTTTTTGTATGTGTAAGTAGCATGTACTTGGTTAAAATTAATAATCCTATTTTATATCCACGTATAGAAAAGGGCTGTAATTAAATTAATTGTAATTTAAAAAAAGAACATTTTTACAGCTAAAAGCTGAAGGTAAATAGATTTCTTGAAATAAATAATGTATGAAGAATTGTAAAATGAGTTAATAATCATCTTTGGAATTAAGAACGGACGAATCATAAGAAAATCTGTTGCAACAAAAGTAGGTATTGCAGAAGACTCCGTTATGGCCAGTTACTAGAAAAAGCGAACGTTGATTCCACGGGAGTGCAGTAGGTTTTTACTAACGAAAAGTGAACATTCCCGAGGACATTATGGGAATTACTGTAAAAGGGTGCAGTGGATTATCTTTGAATATAAGGAAACATCATAAAAAAGTTATGGGTGGTGGTTATTGAAGAAAGTAAATTTGAAATTTATACCATATGGTACTGCAGGGACTATGAAAAGACATCTTGGATTAGTTCAGTGTAATAAAAAAGAAGACTAAACGTATGTGCTCCTCACAGAAGACATGATAATTGTGAACAATTATATGATAAGTAAAGTGAATTTATAAGTTGTGGATGACCCTGCAGAATGGCAGTAGATTACTCTAGTAATTGCCTTCAACATTTTCATGGTGTCCATAATATCTGTTCTCTTTTTATCATAGCAATGTTGTGAGCAATTGCTGAGAAAAGTAAAGTTGTTTTTCTATGCTTCTTTTTAACTGAAAGAAGCATAAGTTGCACATGACTGTGGTGATACAGTGATATTATACATGACTCAAGAAAAGAAGAAGACACCATTGTTTGTTCATCATAAGACTGAAACACAATACATAACTACTTTTATAGTTTTACAAGTAATTAAATTAGATGTTGCAACCTGTATATTGTATGAATTAAGTTTTTTTAGTTGTTTTGTATAAAGTAATCATTCGATTATATTTTTTTCTGACAATTATAACGTGATTGGAACATACGATGCAAACATGTTGTCATTTATAATGCTTTTATTTGAACGATTAATTTATCAGTGTATCAATTAACGTAATACGAAGAAACATCTCGAATGTGTATTTCGTAATAACTACCGAAAAATATTTTCATGAAATAATATGTAAATAAATTTGCTCAATACCTCGGTAAAGCTAATCTCTGTAAATCAAATGTTTATAAATTTTTAATTCTACAAATTATAAACTTTTGTTTTAGGAGAAAAACAAATGATAGTAACTTTGATTGCAATGTCAGAAAATAAATCAGTAATTTAGGTAAATAAATTATAACGAAATTGATTATTTATGATTAAAATTCGAAAACAATTACATTGCTTTCTACATATCTGAAAGATAAAAGATTGGAAGCAAAGGAAAATGAATCTCCCAATTTCAACGTCAGATTTTTTTGTAACCGCATCTGATTGTGGTGAATTACTTACAAGAGTTAAACTCGACATAGAACAGTTAGAATCTGCTATGCAACATCATATAGATGATTATTTAAAGGAAGTGATTGATACTAATGTTAAAACAGATGCAGATAATAAAAAACAGAATATAGACTTTGATAAACACATGGAATTATGGATGAATGATTTGAAACAGCAATTAATAAATTTGCAGTTTTTTGGTAGAGTAAGTTACAATTAAAAAATGTATTATTCAAAATTAATTTTCATTAATACTTGATACATTTTAAAAGGCTGCGACGCTTAGAATATTTGTCTACTACACTAATTATCTAGATATTCTACGAGCACCGATTAAAAAAAGCCACCATCAGCCGTACAAACTACCAGTGTATAATATTGAATTTCCTAAAAATGAACAAACTAAACCAACTTTACTGCTTAAAGATTTGTCTAAGTTGAAAAGGAAGAAATGTTTACCTAAAATCAGTACATGCAATTAAAGTAATATGCATAAATAATTAACTAATAAATTTTCTTTGATTTATTATGAAAAAAATAAAATTACAACAATTTTTTAAAATGAAATTATAAAAACTCTTAATGTTATAATATTTAATTTATCGTAAATTCGTTTCCATTTTAATAATAAAATTTATTGCACCAAGTCTTATTAAAAAATTTGTACGAATTAATGAAAAAATATACATTTCGATAGGCTACATATAAATACATATATTATATACATTTATTATTTCTACTTGTTTAAAAATATAATGCTTTGTACACCAATAAGCAGAAATATCTAACACAACAATAGCTACTACTTGTATATAAATATGATAAAGAATTAAACTTAACGCAACGTTAAACCCTGTTGACGTGTAACAGCACCAAATAAATATGTTAGTTTAACAAAGGCATCATAATTCATTGTTGTTCAGACTTTATTAATTTTTTGTACCATTTATTTGTTGATTATATAGCAAAAAAATAGAAATTCTTTGCAAAGTTGAGAAATACTGAAATAATGAACTATCTATGCACTATATTTTTATTATATCGTTATATAGTTAATAATTATTCATTTTTGATGTTTGAACAGCAATCTTTACAATAGAGGTATTCCTGTTGCAAAAACTTCCAGTAAATGTTAAATATTTATTATCACAGTTTCTGTACAGCAAGGATTTTTATACAGGCCTTTTTAAGAATAAATTTGTAAAATTGTTTCATTACCATTCAAAGAATTTTTCTAATATAAGATTATCAATTGTGTCTATAACTTAGTAAAAAAAGATATATACATTAGTCTATAACTTCTTTACTAATTTTTTCATTGTCTACCTCCTCCTTTAAAACAGCTTCGTTTAGACAAACATTATTTAAACTGATTGAACTATTGGAAAACATTGCTGTAGCTAGATTTGGATTCTTTACATCCGTACTAGTAGCTGAATGCTTTAAAGACACCACCTCCGATTCCTTCGTGTGCGATGCGATCAAATCGCATGCCTTACCAAGAACTACTAAGCTGATTAGAATTCTTAACGCTACTAGAATTAGGTATGCTAAAAGTAAAAGAATTATGTTTGCTGGTTTCGCAGCTGGTGTGATAGTTGTGCATAGGACTCTCCCTATCGCAACGCCAAGAGGAAGAGGAATGAAACCCATCCTACGAGCTACCAAATCTGAAGGATCAGAAAAAGCAGTTTCTTGACGCGTTTGTGCCATATCGTAAGCTAAACTTATAGTGTAACCCCTATACACTGTGGAACGAAGCTCATTAAAACGGGTTATAAAGGCGTGTTTCACCTGAAACAAGTAGAACCTTTCGTTTTATATCAGCAGCTAACGATCACCATGATCTGGTTCTACCAAAATACGTACCCAATCTACGAGGACCTCTGCCAATAACAACATTATACAATCTGGTAAAAGCACCGCGAGACGCTCCGCTTTCCATGCATATTCTTTCATCGTTTGCAGATTTACAGCAAGAAGAAGCATCATTAAATGAAAACGCTCCCTTACGTCTGCGCAAGATAGTTGAAAGAGATTATTCTTGTCAAATTTCTTAAAAACAGAACCTTTCAATTCTACAAACTGGAACAGAAGTACATAGCAGGTGTGTAAGTGGCAGTAGTAAAGGAGATAAATATTTAAAATTAAACTTACATTGTTAGACATCATTATAGTCAGTAAGGCTTTGTTGCTGCTATTTATTGCTACATTTAATGTAGTTGCTTGGAACAATACCAATATACTGTGCAACACTTTAAAGATAAATCTTGTATAGGAAAATACGTTCTATGCTATAAACTTAAAAATTTACAGAAAATGACATTTTTATTTTATTAATCCGCAAACAGTAGCGAGTTATTAATTTATATGTAAAGGATACAAACATAAGTAACCGCAAACAGCAAATGCGGTAGCGTACCCAAATGTTGGGATCCTGTTTGGGTCTTTGATCTAGGCTCTGTAGCAGTCCACAGCAAAGCATCAATTGTATCTTGACCAAAAGCACTGAACAATCTATCCCCAACCTCCAGCATATTATAAAATATGTACAATTTTATTACCGACTGACTTTTCACCAAATGATACATCATAGATGTATCAACTTTCCAAGTAGCTGCCCAACAGCTGATCACTACAATTCCCTTCAAAAGATCACAGATCTCTGCAGGTCTTAAATGTCTTTCTCCAACTTTTAAATTATTCCTCTCTTTTCTAAATTTTACACAGAACATACGATAAATCTTGATACTTGTAAGATTATGCACAACATGCAGGCTTACCTTAAACAGTACCAAAGGGGTCTTGTAATTACTGTCCATAGTGCCATCATGAATCTCAATGGTAAAAATGTGTAAACAAATAGAAATGAGTCTGCACACTAAAACAGAAGACAAATATTTTTAACTACACATGTTACCTTTTATTTGTGAAATGAAATACCTAAGCAGGTAGCTGTACCTGCAAGAATCCATAGGTCATGAACTTTTCGACTTCCCTTGGAATTTTCATAAAGGAATAAATTTTTTCCCTTCTTGCAGAAAATCTTTCTTCATCATTTTCCAATTGATAGCCTCTCGTTAATTCCGTTCGTAAAAACTGTGAGAGAGACATACCTGAGGTGATAAATAAATACATTACTATTAAAAAGGATGCAATATATCTTTGTTTTGTCTATACATCATTTATATTTACTTTAAAATGAAAGAAATGCAAATAAAATATATCATAACAATGTATTTGAAATAATTTAATTTTAATAATTCCTTTACTAAAAATAAGCAAGGTCTTTAGCTTCATTTACAGATAAAAAGAAAAATAATATTATGATAATAGAAACATTTTTTTAATTTTTACAACTTCTTATACACATATTCAATATGAACACATTCGCATATGTTAGTAATTAATAATGTCATACATGTCAGTAAATTTGTCTAATAAATAAACCACAGTTATAAAAACAACACCTTGTCCTTTTTGCCGACGTTTCTCAAAACTGAATTGACTCTTCACATCTTGAATTTTATTACTCTGGCTATCGGACTTTTTGGTAGACTTAAATCTTATACATTTTTTTTCAGTAAAATTTTGCCAATTCTCATCGATATTCATCGTTTCTGTTCATTCCTTTTCACGTTACTGCATAACCTTAAATCTGTCGTCTTATCAATGTCAGTTTAAAATTTATTTTTACTTGTTGAAATACCTTTAGCTATCGAAATTCTCCTTCATCGATACTTAAGTAATTTTAATTATCTAAAGATGTAATTTATCATTTCTTTTGTAAACTGTTATATAAACTAAAAACTTGTAAAAAAAGATACATTCCATACATAAACTGACATACAGCTGTGATAGGACAGTGACTACAGATGTAGGAGACTGGACATGCCTTTGTTTTCGATGAATCATGATTTTGGAAGTTCCAGTCATTCCCAGGCAACAGTCGTGCTTATTTTATCAGCTCCTCTATTACCATACCTTGCATTGACAACTGAAAAGACACAATTTGGACTCCCTTTGATTCTATGTTTTGACAAGTCAGACAAAATCAGCACAAGACCGAGAAATTATTAGAATAATTATTTGACAAACTTATATTTTGAGAAGACCGCCTAAAGTTCCACCACTGCGCCATCTATACAAAAGCGGCGGAAACTATTCAATAAATTACCGACTTATCGACTGAACTTCCGACAGTCGGTAATTGACCCTTCAGCAGTCGGTAAGTTAACGAATAGTTTGCGCCGCTTTTATATAGATGGCGCAATGGCTGATGGCTTGGGGTGTTAGGGACCCCGAAGCACTGACGATGCTCTTTGCACGTCGACATTATGGCATCTGGGGTGTCAGGAACCCCGTATGGAGTTTCAATCCATATTAAAATTTAAACATTCGGAAGTATAAATTGTAAATATTTATTGAAATAGAAATTTAAGAAAGGTTAACATGTCTTTACAGTTTGAAGATTATTGAAGGAATGAATATACAGAAAAGTTATTTGAGGAGAATTTCTCCTGAATGAACATTTTCTTCTTTTTCGACTTCTTGGTCTATACTGTTTCTTGGTCCATGATTATACATATATTATTTAAAAATGGTAAACGTTATTTGTATTGTTAATAGCGCATGACAATGTTGTAAGAAGAACATAATTTTTTAAGAAACTATGGTACTTTCATCCAGGGACAGAGTACAAGATTTTTATGTATGTAATGTAATAATTCCAGTGTTTGTTTTTCTACTAGTTTTATTTACTTTAATTGTATTTAAAAGGTAAGTAATTTGAACTTCATCATATGTCAGTGCTCTAACAATCTTAATTTCCTTGTATAATATTCACAGCCCACCCTGCAGATACAGGGTTGTCGAATACCCAACAATATTAATTAAAAATTCTATACTTCTGTGTTTCAGTATCATCTGGGCACTAGTCATATGTTGTCTCTATGTAATAAATATCTTTTATGGACTGGTTATATTACAATATATCAACTTGGTACTAGTAAACTTAAATGCTATAAGCGATACTTTTAATCCTACCTTTGAAGTGAAAGATCCATGTAGTGTCTGCAGTAACAATAGTTGCAAAAGGCATAAGCAATTACCGCATTCAGCTAAAGTAAAAATACCAAAGGACTGTGACCGTGCTTTGGAACAGGTAATCATCAATCAGAATTTTAAATTTCAATGAATTTATCTTAATCATTTGCTTCTTGTTTGCAGCTTCTCGAAGACTTGCTACAAAAGTATGTTTGTGCCTGGTATTCAGACTTCTCTGCGGACGAAGCGTTTGTACAGCAACTTCGTCTGGCTACAGCCACGGCGGCGAAAAACATTGCGGTACGGTTGCTTCGTACAGACGTGGTTAATGTCGTCCTTTGTCGATTGGTACCGTTGATATTGCAACACGCCCAAGATTGGAAGAACCTGAATGCGAAAATAAACGATACTTCTCGTTTAGGAGACCAAATAATTAATTACTTCGGTCACGAAATTCACCCAGCCAGTTATTCGCGTAAAGCCGAATTGAACTATCTTAGAGGAGTAGTCACTGCAATTATCCCACATTTACTTCCTGCTATACACGTGTCCACTAACAACAAGGTAATTCTCCGTGAAATCCTAGCTAATTGGATTCTTCTACCAGCGGTGGATGCAATCGCCGATCCAGAAAACATTAACGCATTAGTAATGCTGTCGACACATCGGGACGGTTTAGTTTCTAATTCTATGGACGCAGTGAACGTACCAATGTTACAGTATTGGGTGACAATCTCATCGATGCCAAAGATTGCACAGAATTATTTAAAACCCTCGTTGGACGAGGTGTTAAATAACCCTCAATTGCTGTACATGTTCATGCAACATATCAAAGAAACCGGCCCTATGAATCTCTTTCAATTCTGCTTAGACATCGATGATCTCAGTAAGCGTATGTTAAATCCAGAGATGAGTTCGAACGCTGAAGATAGTTTATACCTTGATATACAAAGTATGTATTTAACGTACCTGGATCCAGAGGGTCCAGAGTATCTGCATCTACCTGAGGATATATCAATGGGTATCCGGCGAATTCTTGAGAGAAGTTCAAAGAAAATTCAGGAGCTGAGGACGTCGCGACCATTTTATCAGGCGCATCAAGAAGCTCATGCGTTATTAGAGTCCACTTGTCTGCCATCTTTTCATCACAGTTACCAGCTGTATGATTTATTGTGCGGGCAGCCAGCTCCCAATCCCGTGAAGCAATCTCGTGCGAGCGTTTCCAGTGGAACCGGAAATTCTTCTTCAAAAATCAGCAACCATTTTCCGAAGATCGATGGGGTGCTACGAACAACGACCATCGATGGAATGCCGTTCCAAGACATCTATCAAGGCGAAGAGATAGACTACTCGTCGCGTGCTTATAACGAGATCAAAGGCGCGGATGATACTTTTTCCAGAGACCTAACGACATGGCGAGTGAATATTCCACACATGGAAACAGGTGATAATCAAGCCCTGTACGTGATCGATGTACACAATGTCGCCGAAGGGAAATCATGGACGGTCTTACGTCGAGATCAAGACTTCTACGTTCTACGAACACGATTAGCGGAATTCCATGGCGATAAAGAATTGAGCGATTCACCTTTGCCTTCGCGAAAAAATCCTCATGGTTCTTACACCATAAATAGACAGAGATACGAAGACTTTCTTGAGAAGCTTCTTTCAAAGCCGGTACTTAGAAGCAGCGAACTACTGTACAATTTCTTAACAATGCCAAATTTCAAGCCTTACCTTACAAACTGTAGCACACCAGATATTGGAATATTGTATCAGAGTATGGCAAACAAATTGAGAAAAGAGAAAGGTCAGAATTTGGACAAATTCATGAATGTCTTCTTGGCATCCACCAATGTTAAGAATGAATACATGGATGTAGGAGTTGAACCCTTAGGTGAACCTAGTGTGAACGAAAGCAAAAAGGTAAAGGGTCGTGATCTTTTGTTTGGAGTGTTCGGGGACAATCTTAATTTCGACCCAAACATCAGGGATTTATCATCTTCTTCTTCGTTGGAACGTTCTCACGTTAAGGGTGCATCTTTTTGTACCGTTGACGCAGGTAGGTACTTATGCTATGCTACTTAGAGCATTTAAAAGGTAAAAAGGTACTGAATCATTGTACGATTATTATTACAGTGGATCGGTTATTAAACGTGCCACCAATTATCACACGGATCCTTTGGATGTTTGCCTCGTCATCACGCGCAAAGATGGATCCGTATGTCAACGTTTTGTTGTACAATACATTAGCAAAACTTCTAAGCGGAGGACGCGCAGCGATTGTCGTGAAACTTCTACATGCAAAAGTAATGGGCGATAAAAGTAGCACCAAGGATACGAGTCGTAGAAATTATTATGAAAATGCGAAGAAGGGTTTGTACGGTTTATTGCCCTGTTGGTTGATAGGATTTTATAAACCTTGGACCGAGTTGATGGATTCTATTTTAGATTCGTTACAAAACGCGGCTCTCAATAAACATCTCGCTTATGTACTTCTAGATCACATTTTGATCAATCTATTTCCTGAGCTTACAGTTTAATAGAAGAAAGATCATAGAACAATATTTCATTTTTATTACACACACTTGTTTGTTTTTAAAATTACATAGTATACATGTCACTTCAATGAGATAAATAATTAGTTAATTTTATTTTGAAAGGAAAAATCAAGCTATTTATTATAATTTTCAAAATGCATGTTATACGTAATCTTTAAGCACTTAGCTAGTGATTCAATTAATTTTACAAACCCAGTGTCTTTCGGTTTTTCTAATCCTCTCAAAACTCTGTTTTTCATCACAGCAACAAATTCTTTGTTACTTAATTGGCCATCCACTAGAGATTAATGGGAAAAAATTAAATTTTAGTTCTCCAAATACATTAATACTATGTTCTTATTTGTTAGAAACTTACGGTTCTCATCAAAAATCGTGTAAACCACTTGTATAACATGATCGCTCAAGTCAACGTGTGCCACTGTTTTTGCTACATGCTTTAACGTAGCTGTAAAATATTTTAATTACATATTATTAATAAATTAAGTAAATATAATCTTAAGTGAAACCAATTTTTATAGATCTACTGTGCATTTTTGTATACTATTATATATTTCAGTGATTCGGAGCGGTGTAAATAAAATCATTTTTTTAAAAACCTTGATCTATGGATGCTCCTGCAATATGATAAAACGTCAGTGCTGTATCCACGTCGTTAATATTATTTAAGAAATGAAAGAATTTCAAGTACTCGTCTTTATCAATTCCTTTTGAATCGTCTTTGAAGCTGTAACATTCAAAATGTATATTTTATACATTATTTAGAAATGATATTCGTCTCTAATATACTCACCGTTTTTTCACAGTTTTTATAATCTTTGTTTTCTTTTTGTCAGGATATCCGGCATAAGCAAGTAATAATTCAGTGAAATCTACTTCACTTATTCGACCATTTTCATCAGGATGTCTTCGTTCAAACTGTAACAAATGATTTTTGTTGTATTTTCTGCCTAGGAAAATGTTCCTGCAAAATTTACCTCCAAGCTAAGTATTTCCTTCTGTAATTGTTGCTGAAAATCAAGGAATTTTTCAATTGTCAGCTTCCCATTCATGTTGGATCCAAAAAAGTAGGTAGTTAACGCTGAATTAACACCCTTGATAAACATATAATAAATATTAGAACATACATAAATGTTTTAGACAACAGTAATCATTTCCAGTACCTTGAACATATTGCCAGTAGCGACATGATCACGATGACGATTACCAATACTAGTTTGTTGTCGAATTAAAGTAGCAACTTTACCAAATTCTTCGGAGTCCACATCACCATCGCCGTTGAAGTCAAACATTCTGAAGGCAATTTCAAAATGTCTTCTGGAAGCTATATAAAAGGGTTATTAGTTTCTCAAGGATATTAACTTAAAATTGAATAGACATAGATTAACTTACTGGATAACACTGTAAGCAGAAATATGTAATCAGAGAAAGTGATTAAGCCTGCACTTCCAAGTTTATAGAAAATGCTGTCCTCGTCCAAAGCCAACTCTAATTTCGTGTGAATATGCTATAACAGTTTAAAACAATATTTATAACTATTCTACAGTTTGAAATTTAATGATACAACAGTTAACACACCTTTGGATCATAGCGTCTGTATTTGTCCAGGCCAAGTCCTAAAAATAATTACATCAGAATTTCAGAATTCTCATCATAATTCTATTCTATTCTATTATTAATTCATTATTCTGTTTTCAGTTAAAAAATGTAACGTTACATGCATTTGATACACATATAAATATGCACATTAGTATGTAAGCATCGTACGGCAGGCTAAAGCTTGTATGATTTTATTTTCAAAAGCAGCGTTTATTGTGTTTACACAAAAAGTATGCCATTTAAAAAACAAACGCGGTCCCCTTTGGAATCAATGATCTGTCACTTTATTGAACATTTTCAGTAATAAGACTCTGTGGTAGTTGACTTGCCATGATCAGGGATGTTCAGAGTAGAGAAGATTTTATTGAAGACACAATGAATGATACTTGTCATTTTCAACAATGATTATAAGCAACAGGCAACTTGATATATTTCCATGGTCACCAGAAAGGAAAATCTCTGACATTTAAGGATGATTTGAAACAGGCACTTTTAAAAGAACGAACAGAAAATATAAAGGCATTAGTGGAACCTATTCAGAGAAGATTGCAAATTATTATTAATGCTAAGTGAACGTATACAAAATATTGAAACATATTGATTTGGAAAATAATAAAAGCCCATGAATTTAATAACAGACAAGTAATCAACTATAGGCATAAATTTGCATACATATACACACAATATTCGGACATTTCATTAATTACCGTCTGGTTGTTTAACACCAGGCGTTATAGATCTTAAGAAGTCATCGGGTGTCATGAAGATCTCAGGGATGTCGTTGTTAACCACTTGTAGTGTCGCAAAATATCGAAATACCTTGTCCGGAGTAGAATAGTGCCTCATACGATTTTCATACTCTATTATCTGCATTGCAAACAATTATTTGTTCGTTTAATTTAAGCCCAGTAGCACAGCATCTTGAAATGATGAAATTCAATTAGACATACTTCTTACACAGGGTGAGTATCACAGTACAGTGTTAGGAAAATCAATCATTTCTGAGATATTTCAAATCTTTTAATGAATTTCTGGTCTAATGGTCTGCCTCACCCTGTATATTAATAATGAGTGCTGTTTGGGCTAACGCAAGATGATTCTTTTATAGTGACCAATTGTATTATCTCCAAAATAAAAGATATATGCTCTGTATTAGAGCAGATGATTCCAAGGGTATCAGCTGCTGTTAGAACAATTTTTCAATACTTTTCAGTAACAAAGAATTTCCATGGCCACTTCAGTTGGGCCAATCTTACAAGTATTAAAATAAATAAATATATGTTCACAATAAATAAAGAAACATCTGGTTAAAGCAGATTTTAAAGTTAGTAAAGGATGTGAAAGTTAAAAACTGTGTTAAACAAAGAAGAAAAATAAAATAATACCATCCGGTTGTCTCATGCCTGGAGTAATTGATCTCACAAAGTCATCAGGCGTCATATAAACTTCGGTATAGTCTAGGTGCGACACTTTTACGGTTGCAAAATAACGAAAAATTTTATCTGGAGTTGAATATGCCCTTAAACGATTTTCGTATTCTATAATCTGTAACCAATTCAAAGATAAATATTTCTAATTGTACAGACATTCATTTTCTCAAATAACATAAATAGTTTCTTGGATTTATTAGCTTTGGAGATGATTCTTTTGATCACTGCAAAAGAAGATAACTGTTTAAAAAGAAACCTAAGTATCTAAGTTGTGTCTTATTGTTCACCTTTCGATCTCTGAAACCAATTTTCTCTTTCTTCTTTTTCTTTTCATTATCCTGTTGTTCTTCTATTTGTTTATCTTCGTCATTAGATTCCTCTTCAGTAATCTGTTCAGCTGCATCAACAAAAAGGAAGTACCTTCCTTTTATACTGAAACTGATTTTATTGAATTTTATTTCAGTTCTGCTGTGTTCAAAATTATTATTAGCACAGCAATGATCTTATAGAAAACATAAGTTATTTCATGATAAAAACTTACCTTTTCCAGCCGATCAAACTTGTAACAAAACAAGGGATAAAAAGCAATAACAGGATACGATTTCTCTTCAGCTTCTGTTCATAGGAAAAATATCTAAAATTCCTTTTAGACGAGTATCGGAAATTATTAGTGTAATCTCTTAATAAAAGTATATTGGACTTCTTAATAGTTTCACATGAAACATTTCGTCTTATAATATGTATAACCTTATTGATAAACATTGTCTATATTTATTAATAAATTGAGAATTGCTTAACTCCTCTTTTAGAAAAACATTTTTTGGTCATCAGTTATAATTTAACACATATTTTAACAGCAGTATTGTATTTTGTTCTAATATCAGCATTTATCTTTGTATAATACACAAAAAAAAACACAAAATATTGTATATTCTGATGCAATGCAGGCTTCTGTTTTTAAGAGGAAAAGAAAGGAAAGGAGAGGAGTCTCCCACTTGGGAGAAATCAGGAAGCAGGGACGGCTAGCCATTGGGAATTTGGGAGCATTCCCGAGGGATGATAAGGATTCGGAACGTAATTAATGAAATTTATTTGCAATAAAAATTTAAGTCCCAATCTTGCCTTGCCTGGGAAAAACTGGGGAGAGACCGGGAGAGTTAAATAAGAAATTACAGCTAGCTTTCACGTCGCTGAAAATAATTAGAGCATTAAAGATGTGCGGTCACTGATCAACGCGACAGTTCGATTCGAAACTTGGCTAGTGAATCGCTTTATACTTTTAGTATTGATCAGAATCAGTACAATAATATGTTTAAGCTTTTTCATTTACAACTAATTACAGTTTTTTTCATTTTTACAAGTGCACTGAGGAAAGAACAAGAACTTGTTACAGGTAGTTTGTCATACATTCCTCATTTCAATTATAATGATTTTAAATAATATAACAGTGATATAAATTTATAGACACAGATGGAAAATTAGAAGAAAAAGCTGTGGATGATGATTTTGATATAATTTCTTTAAAGAAACATCTTTTTCAGTAAGTATAATACTATAAATATAAACAGGTAAATGTATCAAAAATTTTAATTTCAAATAGAGCGCTTTTTTCCTAATGTAATGCCATCTAACGGTGGGACGATGAACTAAAAGAGCAAATAATTTTTGCGCCCCTGTTGGTAAAATCAGAAAGCTCATTTTTGCACCCGCCGGTAGATGGTGCCACTTATTTTTCGCGGCTTTTTCAAAAATAGAAATTTTTACTTGCTTCTGTAATTGGTTTTGATATATGATACATTTAGAGATATTTTTATGGAGCATCAAAAGAATAATAAACTACAATTTGGCTACGTTTGTGAAAATCCAATGCAATGGGAACAGAGGTTCGAGGAAAAGGATCTTGCGGAAAATCGACATCGTGGAAAGGTAAGGATTTAAACATCAAATGCACTTCTCCTTAATAATTTATATAATAAAATTATAGGTGAAATGGGGAAACATTGATGGTAGCTACGGTGAACACTATTGGGACTTGAATCATAAATGATAAATCACCTACGTATCCTCGTCTTCTGTAACATCCTTCCTTTTAATAACGCGGAAACATGTCTGTGAGTGACGCTGAGACGTAGTACCACAGTATCGATCGAGCATCAAATTTTTGTTAAAAATTCAAAGTAAAGATTATTTGCGTTAACTTTAAGACGTTCATTGAATGATGACCACTTGATTAGCGCCAGTGTCGGTCGCCGTGGGGTTTTAGTCAATAGAAATTTTACATTCCCCCGCCGCCCTCTCGCAGGGGTCAGTGGGGGTCTTATGCAAGATTTCCCCACGTTAAAAAAAAAAAATCCTTTACCTCTCCTTTCCTGCATCCCTTACATCTCTGCTTTCCTTACATTCCTGCATCCCTTACATCTCTGCATCCCTTACATCTCTGCACTCCTTACATCTCTGCATCCCTTACACCTCTGCATTCCTTACATCTCTGCATTCCTTACATCCCTGCATTCCTTACAACCCTGCATTCCTTACATCCCTGCATCCATTACATCCCTATATCACTTACAGCACTGCATCCTTTTACATCCTTGAATCCCTTCTGTTAGCAACCCATCATAGCGCCATCTGGTTTCGGAAAAAGGAACTAAACCTTGCACCAATTTTGGCCCTCTAGCGGCAAAAATGTGAACTAAATTTTCGATGTCGAATCAGCGCCATCTGGTTTCGGAAAAAGGAACTAAACCTTGCACCAATTTTGGCCCTCTAGCGGCAAAAATGTGAACTAAATTTTCGATGTCGAATCAGCGCCATCTGGTTTCGGAAAAAGGAACTAAACATTGCATCAATTTTGGCCCTCTAGCGGCAAAAATGTGAACTAAATTTTCGACGTCGAATCAGCGCCCTCTGGTGGCAGAAAAAGGAACTAAAGTTTGCAAAAATTTAAATTTAAAATTATTTTTCACGAGACTTTACTTACCTTTACTTACCTTTACTTACCTTTACTTACCTTTGCTCGCACCAGTGGCCATAAGTATATTATTTATAATATATTTATTATATGGGTTGAAAGGATATAAGAGATGCAGGGAGAATTCAGGAGTGTAAGGGATACAGAGGTATAAAGGATACAGAGATATAAAGGATACAGAGATATAGAGGATACAGAGATATAGAGGATACAGAGATATAAAGGATACAGAGATATAGAGGATACACAGATATAAAGGATACAGAGATCTAAGGGATGCCAAGGTACTAGTTCCACTAGTATAAATAAATTAAATTAGAAAAAATATTACTAATAAATAATGTACCTTGGTATTCCAGTAAATAATTGCTTCATTCACATATAGGACAACCTTTATTATTTAATACATCACCAATATATAACATAATACTACGAATTATTATTACAATGTTAATATTATTATTATATCGGTTGCAATCTGAGTTTTTAATTGTGTTGCTTGCGTGCATATGCGATACGTGTACATACGCGTGCGCACTCGTGTATACATACGTACATATCATTTAATTTTATATAAATAAACAAATAAATACATATAGATATACACTTATTTATTCATTCTTATTATCCTACGTAATGCATTACATCTGCAATGCGTGTATATGTGTACTTATACGATACTTTTATACGCACTTTCTGTTGCTTATAATATAATCGTTCTGTTTTTTTTTTTCCTTCTTTCGATTATCGCATCTTTTCTTACCTACAATTTTTCTGTCGCTTTTTCATTTGCTCTTAATTTATTTATTCTACTATGTATGTATATATATATATATAACTTCCATAAATATTACATTTTTAAGAAGTGTACATTCTTTCGGCTTCCTTACGAATCTCGGAAGGACAACTTAAGACACATTACGAACTACAGATACGGATAGTTTAAGTATTAGACATCGTTCTGCGTTGTTTTCCTTTTTTTTTTGATCAAGTATCCTCCCCCCTGCCCCCCATTTCTTTTCGATGAAAAAAATTCCGTTTGTGCTTAGCTATTTGTAGCCATTGATTCTTTTCTTTTCTTTTGGAAGACTATCATAACTGACATAATAATTGTTCTTCTAATCCATGACCATTTCGACAGGAAAAATAAAATAAAATAAAATATAAAGATCTGTATTTACAGATTGACAACAATGAAATGGCACGAAAGAAAATAATGGAATATTATTAAAGAAAAAATGAAAAGAAATATTGTATTACAGAATAGAAGGATCGATCATCGAATAGAAGAAAATTATACCTATAACATCCTTCAGGAAGCTGGTATCAAGTTCCGGTAGCCAGCATTCTCGAAAGTATGGCATAGGAGGAAAATTGAAACGGATTCGGTATAAGAATGCAAGTGTATCGATGTCTTCGTACGAAAATTAAGCCTAATATTCATTTCTACCGTGATTGTTGATTATGTTCGAATAGTCAGCAATTTTTTTGTTAGCGATTAATAGTATCGTTGTTAAAAAATATTTGATATATAGCTTAGTGTTTTAGAAAGTTCCAAATGAAGAATGGTGTATCCATAGTTCATAGAAGATAAGTTCTCATTTTATATCCATTGGATAGGCATTTATTTCAGCTTTCATCGTACCATATTCATTTTTCTACTCGTTTCGATAAATATCCCATATCTGTACCCTCGCAATCCATTTTTTTTTAAATCTTTTTTTTTTATTTCATTTTTTTTATATTTTTTTTTAGTTTGGCTGGTCCACTAACGTTCCTAGAAAAAATACTCTCTGCAGTCCGCTACGTTATAAACTAAGAATTTGTTGTTCCTCTAATTTCTCTGTTTCGGTTTTCTATCGTTTCATCGTTTTTCTTTTTCGCTCCAGTGACATCTCTATCGTTCGTTTAGATTTACTACTTACAATTAAACACACTGAGAATATCTCTCCTGTTGTTTGTTCTAAGAATCTTTACACGTGTAAGTGTACATCATGGTTGAATTGTCTTCGTATGTTCATCACATGATCACACGACTACACGTAATGTGTATTAGCGCACCGTAAGTCACTGTTTAGCGTAACTCAACTAAAAAAGAAAATTTGTACGATTGTACGATAACTTGTCGTTTATCTTTCTTTTTTTTTTTCTTCTCGCGAGGAATCCAAGAGAAAATGAAAGCTTGTAACAAGAATAAATGTTATTTCGTATCACAAATATCGTTATAGATTGTGCTAATGCCTCTGGATGTAAATTACTTAATAAAGCAACAAAACATTATTCATTCACGTTTGAACGTTCACATTTACACGTTAGTTTATTTATTAATTTACACACCTAATACATCGTTACGTTGCCAATCGATAATCGTTTAGGAAATGAAATTAGGATTGTTCAGGTTAACAAGAGACATTATCAAAGGATGCAGTACCGATTTTGTTCTCCTTGAGATATGTTATTAAGAACTAAAATCTAAGAAACACTTATTTCAAGTATCTCATTTTATGCCCTCGAATCTCTCGTAGATTTTGGGCTAAAGATTTTGGCAATGTAGGGCCATTTTTCTACGATTACGAAAACGAACGTCACTTTAGCAATTATCACATGCACTGGCCCTTTCACGTACGCATCACAGATATTTATGAAAATTTTTCATCATTTTTGTTTTCTTTTATTTTTCTTCTTCTTTATCGCTATTCATTTCAATCGCCTTGCTTTGTTTTGTTACAGTTCATCGAGCGCGCTTTCCTTCGTTAAAATATTATTTCTTTCCTCGTTATGTTACTATGAGGCATAATGGAAAGTCGAGTAATATCACGGTGAAATAATTAAATGATATGGTGGAAGGAATGATTAATCAATGTGGCTTTTGCGAGTATCCAAGATCTCTCATCTCGACTGTAGTATTCACCCGTAGTCAGAAGTTTAGTCTAAAGTCTGGTTTACTTTAGCAGAGCGAGTAAGATTAGTAGGAAAATCCATTTACTAGGGCAATTACAGTAACTGGATTTTACCTACTATCGCTGGTAAACCCTTCTACTTACTCTACCACAGTAAACTAGGCCGAGAGCCAGTAAATATGGGGTAGTAAATAAGTTACTTGCGCTAGTATACTCTGCCATTTACTCTACCGACGCAAACAAGGTTTATAGTCTTGATCTCTTGATTTTCAACACTCAATCGCGTCCCTATGTTTACCGTATATTGTTTTCGTAGCTTCATTATTTCATTTTAATAAGTCGCAATTAGGAAAAGTATATGACAGTCAGATTCTTGATTTTCAATCATCCCCTTTTGATTTTCGTACAACACATATTAATGCCTCAATTGAATGGCAGCTAATTATTTGTAATAGTTAAATTAATGTGAAATAATGATAGAAACATGATTCAATATAATATAAAAATAGATCCTTTATAGAAAGTTGCAGCCACCATTCTTGTCCATAAGTGTTTTTGTCAATTTTCAAAGATTTGAAATCAGGTGTATTTTAGTATTACGAAATGTAGTACAAGGACGAATCAATTGTTTCTTCAATGCCCTATTTTGAATTTCGTTTAGTTCTAATGTAAAAAAGTGGACAGTTGACAGAAGACGTTTTCGTTTCAATTATTTGTATATAAAAGACAAAGAAATTGAAAGAAACAAATGTTAAACACCCTGAATTTGTTAATTAAGCGAAAGAAATATGGAACTTTAAATTACAAAACCGCTGATTAGATAATTGATACGAGCTTAGAAACTTTACAGTGACAGTAAAAATGACTAGTGCATCAGTACACTTATAACATGCAAATTTTATGTAAATGAAAAAGAAATTATTTTATGCTGAGATTTCTAATATAACTTTTTATAGTGTATTTTTGTGTGCGTGTGTGCGCGCGCGCGCGCGTACATTAATTTTTTAATAAAATACGACTATTATGTACGATTATTTTGGTTTTGTATTTTAAAATCGACTAAAAACAAAAACAGATTGAACAAGCATTGTCGAATTTTGAAGAAGAACCTTGTTTCAAATTTTCACTAACAGTAATCACTAATAACAATTAAATAATTTATTTTAAATGATCCTTTAAAATTTCTGTATTTTACTCTATACGGTTAATACAACGCTAATCAGTCATAAAGTTATAACAAATGGAAAAACATGTTTATTACTTTGTTCTCTTAATTATTGTTCCCTGGTGTATTGGCACTTGACACTTACAACAAAGACAATAGAATCACAGAAACAAAAGAATCACTGGATAAAGCGTTGATGTTATAGAACTTCCAAGGGCAGTTTATTAATTAATGTACATGCAGTTTAAGAAGAATTAAAATATTTCAAAAAAATATTTCAATATTATCAATTTTTTATATCTTTCATACGTAAGGCTTAACGATGCTAAATATAAGGTTGTATCATATCAAGGCTGACAATTTCAAAACTTAGGAAGTCTTATGTAGACTTTATGTTTTTTCAAATTGGTCATTTGATGTGATGCAACCTAATATAATCGTCCTATGTACATATTATATGTTTCCAATAAGTTTTAAGAGTAGATCATTCTTGAGTATGTTTCGCAAAATACAGTATACTTATAGAATTCAACGTTATTATTTTCGTGGTTTAGGATTGATGTCATTTTGTTACGGTATTTCATGAATCAATAGTTGACAGTTATCGTCAGTTTAGTGTCGTCTATTTGGTTGAGTTTTGATACTTTTTTAACTTTCTTACAACTAATTTCAACAAGTTCGAAAGCTGACAAAAAGTTCTTTATTCGTTGTTTGCTCATCATCGTTTTCTGTTGTTTATAGGCCGCTCTACATGTAGATGTGACAAAAGAAAAAACAAAATTCCACATTAAAGTGCTACAGTCCTACTCGCTTGAAGATCCCGCATGGAACTGAAGACCATGCCCCTGTGCGCGGTCTATTTATACACGCACCCCTGTGCGCACTCTATTTTTATACGCGCCCCTGTGTACGCTCTATTTTTATACGCGCCCCTGTGCACGCTCTATTTTTATACGCGCCCCTGTGCGCACTCTATTTTTATACGCGCCCCTGTGCAAGCTCTATTTTTATACGCGCCCCTGTGCACACTCTATTTTTATACACGTGCCCCTGTGCACGCTCTATTTATATACACGCGCCACGGATCTTGCGCATGCGCAGTATGACATACACAAGTTCAAATTCTCCTCACTCAATACAAAATGTATTAGTCTCTTATATTTGCATTATTCACTCAATAAATACATAGAAAACAAATTTTGATAGCCATAAAAACATACAAATTAATCATAATATATTACATAGAACTTTTTGTCAGTTTCTCTAACATAAATAGAAATTTTCAAACAATTATTTCTAAGATAAATACTACTACGCCATAGCGCCTCCTCTTCACTGCATTATCTTTTCTTGTATCTCTCACCCTGTTAAATAAAACAGGCTTAATCTGTATCATATTTTGTTATTAAAAACATAGATCAAAGCTGGAGAGTCTAAGTTTGCTAATAGCACAATTGAATTTTTTTAATAAAGAAATAAGAAAATTCATATATCATGCACCCCAACAATCTTTTTAACAACAATTTGATTTGTTGAATACGACACAAGATTGTCTGCACGCACTTTCTTTCAACATTTAAATAATTGTTTAATGAAAAGTACTTTTAAATTACTTTTGCATTAGACATTAATGATGAAAACATAAATCAATTGGACTTTTATTTGTGAGTGAAGATTAAAAATTTTAATTTTGTACAAAACATCGAACGTACCTATTCTGACCCATCACTGTTAAATCGTAGGTCCATTGTTTTCCCAATATATATCAAATGAGCATTAAACAAATTTACTTACGTATTTATAAAAAAAGTGATTGCAACGAACTGAAGAAATTCGTATGAGGGAAATATTGAAAACAAAAAAGAAAAGGTTATAATTTGATTTTAAATAACTTTATTTCCTATTATCATCATAATTATTAGAAAATGAGAGAACACCCATGATCGTTCAATCACTCGTTATTCTAATTCTCACTCAACGATTACATAATTAAGTAATTTTAAGAAAGCAACCCAGAGACATATCCGAAAGAAAAAATAAAGAAAGGAAAAAACTTAAACAATCTTATTATAAACATATATTAAATTCATACAATTAATTAATATACATATGCATTTCTATATATACATATACATGTATATATGCTCAATGATACATATATACACATATAGATATATTCATTTATATATATATATATATATATATATATATATTAATTAATACAATTAACTCCTACGGATTTCGATTAAAAATAAATAATAAAATGAAGAAAAAAACCACGTTTAACTTATTCTCCAGAGTTCTAATAGGTGTATGACGACATTATTCATTTTTTTTTCTTTAATACCTTCTATAAAGAATTAACTAATTCGCTTATCGGTAGAGTTCTACAATCATTAATTAATACCTTCGTAATGATTATTTTTAAATTCTGAAAAACAAAGCGTACTCGAGTTGATTATTTCGTTTTGTTTCGTTTCATTTATAAAAGAAAAGTCCCCATTTAATGGACAGAAAAAGGGAAACACATTTAGAAAATGCAGGGTGATCGAAAAATAATGGTGCAAGAGACAATTTTAGGATATCTTTAAGTGGAAAATAAGACGATTTTCGAAATTTTCCCAATAATAAAACCAAGTCGACTTAAACAAAATTTGATGATCATCAACTTCTCAGCTCATAAAAAGTTATAAAATTTGTAAAAAATGTAAGTTAAAATTCACGAATCTACTCTGAAAATTAATTACATAATTGCTTTATTCTATACAGTTACATTAAAATACACTGTACAATTCGACTCTTCACAGGAAACAAATCAAGAGGAAAATCGAAAAATCATGTTATTTTCAACTAAAAAATCGTTGATTATTGCAGCCAGAACTTTTAAGCCGTGATCGCTATGTATCGACATTGTGTTTTTTCTTTTCTTTTTAACGAGGCAATCATTCTCTCGGTGAAGAAAAAACCACGGTTTAAGAAATATATTCCATTTTATATCTAAGAAAGGCCGCAGTTTTCTCTTGTACTACAATCTTTAAAACACCCTGTGTGTGTGTGTAGTAGAAAGTATGTTAAGTAATTAATATGTATACGTGCACACGTGAATGGTACACATTTTTCCTCATCCTACATATTTATATGCATGACTACAAAGTTCGGATACATATATATAATATTTAATGGTGTTCATACATCGTTCACGTATATACGTATTATGTACAGTCGCGTGCATGGATGGCTTTCTTCGATTAAAAGAAAGTGTACTGACCATGCGAGGTTAGCGAGAGGAACTCCCTCGAACCACTCCGAACTGCGTCGAGGTCGGAGCTTGACTGACAACGAGTAAGAGGCATTGAGCGTGACAGAGATATACTGGCGAAACGCACCGAGCTGCGCCGAACTTGGCCGAGTTCGGGACGCGAGCGAATCAGAAGCGTTGGGCGGAGTTACCGATTTCAAATTTCACGTATTTTCACACTTGAATGATCGTGGGACTACGCTATATCTCTTCCACCAACTGTACACTTTGGCTAAGAATAAAGATAGAGAGTTTGCCTTTGTTCTTTGGAGATGCTAACCTAAATCCTCCTCTACACTTTCGGTTAATCGAAGGAAAGTAACATGGTAAACGCGACTATACGTTTAAAATGTATACCGATATATCATACACACGCATACATGAGCACTTTCTTCACATAGGTGCACGTATATTCGTATATATACGGACATAAAATGTGCAATTGAAGTGGAAGGGCGATATGTAAGACTCCCGGGTTCAAATTACACCAATTATTCAAGAAAATAATAAAATTGATACTCGGTTGCACACGCACTCGTCGAATCGACAAAAATAAAGTGAAGCATTCGCTCTGTTATAGAAATAAAGCTTAAGAATACAACTGTTTCCTGTAGCAGTATCTTTCTTTTCTTTTACAAACACCCTGTATATAAAAAATGCGTGCAGTGAAGGAATCGAATGAAATTTAGAATAATTATTCTTTTTTGTTTTCAAGCGGCATAAAAACATAAAGTGTAAAATTCGTTTTTCTTTTTACGACGACTGGGTTTAATCTTATACATTTATATAACCGTATTACATATAGGGTGCTTAATATAGGAGGCGCTATAGTGTACAGTACAATTCCCTACTATAAAACGAAATAATTTTCGGCAATGCTCCCCCCCCCCCCCATTTCCATGTAACTTTCAGTCAAGTAAATTTGGCGGGAAAAAAATGTACCTTCAAAACTGGGAATATCTTTGTAGAAACAACAAAAAAAAGGGTATTCGATCTCCTGAAAATCATCTTATTTTCAGCACGGGAATCGTAACTGCGTTCTTGTACTATAATTGATGAGACACCCTGTACATATTTGAATCGTTAAGCATAATATATATATATATACCACACGAGCGTGTTAGAATCTTTCCCAAAGAAAAGATTTCCTTCTTTTGTGTCATTTTTTTTTTCTTTCTTTTATCTCATTCATCACAATATCGGCACACATACAGAGACGCAGGTAGAAAATGGGACCAGGTTCAATGTTACACATGCGCATACCATGCGCGAACCTTTTTTTCTCAAGTAGAAAAAAGTCGAGGCTTTCTTTTTTTGAAAATTTCCTGTTTTTTTTTCTTTTCATTTTGTTCTTCTTCTCCCTCCCCAAGCTAAATCCACCGCGGTTTATTCATTAACCCTAATTCTTCATTTTTTAAAGTAATTATTTATATCCTAGAAGAGCTATATACTCAATATTTATTATCACAACAAATATCTTTCCGCTAGTTTAAGAAAGCTTTTCGCCCTTTGATTCAATTTGATATATATATGTATATATGTATATGTATGCGTATTGTGTACGTAATGCATGTTATGTATGTATATCTGAATGTTAAATACAAGCAACATTCAAATAACCCTATACACCTTTTCCCACTTTTTTTTCACTTTGAATTCTTTCTGGACTTTTTCTTTCGCAATTGAAGACGATGCGTATCCGTGTCATATTAATTAAAAATGATACGAATTCGCAATTAGCAGTTCATAAAGTAACAGAATAAAAATAAATTTTCGATGTTTCTTCAATTCTGATATGTGTAACATCCCATTTCAAAAAAGATAATTATCTATTACTTCAGATGGACTTTCGTTGAGATTTTGAAACCTACGTTGAGCTCATAATAAAAATAAAAAAAAAAAAAAAAAAACATTATTAAATTACAAAGAAAAAGATACCAGAAAAAATTCACAGGTGAAAAGCTTCTCGAACGACATTTAAATAAAAGAAAAAGAGAGAAAGAAAGAAATGTTGCTGACATAATCATAGTTACTTGTTCAAATTCATCCCCATTTACTCGCGCGGTTTAGTTTCTTTCTTTTTCTGCAATTCGAAATCTTATTCTAAGAGTCCGTTAGAATTATTATTATACTAAGCTACATACTGTGAATATATCTCTCAAATACCGTTAGACAATGAAAATCGCAAAAATCGTAATAACTATACTATTTATATTTTTTTTCCATTATTTCGTACCGCAATCTCTATTTCTTTAATATATGGTTATTAGCACTATATATATATAATATAGATATATATATATATATATATCGCGTTTTTATTTTTAATTTTTATTAATGAACATTACGATCAATTATTATTTATTATTACTGTTAATACCTACTTATTCATTCATCGTTATTATTATTAGTTACTATTAATCTGTTTAAAATTAATTAATCTTTCATTCTTGTTAGGAATAGAGGTTACTCGCGAATTAGTCCACTTTGTTGCATTAATCAATAGTCACTTTTTTTTCTTTTACAATAATTAATTCAATCCTTATCAACTAGTACTCTTTATCAAACTGCGTGTGTTGTTTCTTTTCAATCTTATGCTATTAATAATATTATAGGAATGTATATATGCGTAGGCGCGCGCGCGCGAGTGCAATATATACGTATAAATTGATAAACAACGTGTACGTGTATTTAAAAGCCTGCTGTGAAAATTTGATTCTTTTAACACGTGAGAATCGACCACGCGATATCGCGTGACCGACAGTGAATCTGTCAATCGTGTGTGTATGTGTGTGTAAGTGTGTGTACGCGCGCTCGTACATCCGTGCCTTAATGTGTCCTGTACTTGCTACCTAATCGTAAGTATGTATGTATATTGTTGTTAATAATACGCTTAAACGACGAAATTGGACTTCTTTGATCTTTCGGGATGTTTTATTTTTTTAATTCGAAACGTGTGCACTAGGGACACTTTTATTTTTATTTATTTCTAGATCTAATGAACAACGTGACACACAGACTACTCGCTGTGTTTAGAATTATTTCTCTTGAAAAATCAGTGCATGGCACACATCATTATTCCTCTAATGGTCTTAACACTTTGACAGTCGCATTTGTTTGAAATTAAATTACGTTTGGTTCAATGAATGTTGAATGCCAAAGTGTTAAAATCTACAGGGTGGTTCAATGTATTATACATTAAATTTTGTACATAATTTTTGGCCAACGTTTCTGAAGCACCCTGTACATATATTAATTTAATAACAGAAAATTTTATGTAGAGCTCTTTCCTAATGGAAAATCTTTTTCTTCGAGTGTGCGTAAAAGCTTTATTAAAATTTCATACTTCTTCTATCCACCATAGAGATTGTACGTTTATTGCAATTATGAATATACACTTAAGTCGCATAATAAAAATCTTCACAAAATTGAAATCATTTCAAATTTCATTTCATATCTCGAACCGAACTTTCCTTTTAATCTTTTGCACTTTCAAGCATATGTACTCTATAAATCTATTTATACTTATCAATTGTGTTATCCTTTTTTTTTTTTTATATATTTAAGGCAAAAAATGCTATTTAACGTATTTCTTGCTACTTTCGAAATTGCATTTTGAAAGATTCGTCAGCCTTTGTTACATTTTCGTAATGCCTACTTAAAAAAATATTTACAGGTTTCGCATTTTCGTTTTTTAAAGCACTTTTTCAATCGAATACCGAACTTTTGATCAGTGTTTTGTCACCCCTGTATGAAACTTTAGAAATTTTCCAAAAACTGAGTATTTTAAGTACTCGAGAAATATTTTTGCTTCATTGATTAAGAAAAACAAATACTAGAAACGTAAAAGAATATTCAACAAGCAGTATTTTATTCTTTATGTTTAACATTTAGAAATAATAATAATGGTTAGAACTTAATTATCGAGGGTACACTATTATTTAAGCACATTTCATGTATATATATATATATATATATATATATATATCTCTTACAGAAATACGAGGAACTGTAGAACATGTAGGAAAGGGGGGAAAAAAGAAGTGATTTGTTAAAATTTGAACACACACTTTCGCGGCTTCTTTAAATAATACTGTGTATAACAATTAAAAGATCAAAACTATAAAGATAATTTTTTTATACTTTGCAATCTTTCCGATACTTACAAAAAAAAAAAAAAAATTAATTAAATAGCAACTTTAATATATGTTCAATTTCCACTAAACCTACTATTATTATCATACATTGTTTATATAACGAAATGTTAAGACGTAAAGCTAATTACGTATGCCTTTTTGTTTATTTAAAACCTTCACCGGCATTGTCTTATTAGCCATTGTAAAAAGTACTTAAATTTCGCGACTTAGAAGCACAGAAATCAAATTTACAATTATTCAAGTATTCTTGTTAAAATATTAGACAAAAAATAGAGATACTTTCCTAAATTAAAAAAGTATTCGATACTTTTGGTCTCTATAATGATTCCCTTACATTTCGAATGATCGAGCCTTGACTATAATTTATAATCAGTGATTAGAATTACACTAGTTAAATGTTACAATTCTTTTTTTATTTTTTTAATCATCAAATCAACAATGGCACACGCCCCTGATGCACACGCATTTATGTCTGGAAAGAGATGAACATCCCGAAAGAAGGATTAGCGTATGTGTACGTTTTCTTACTGGCGCGTGTGTACGCATGCGCACAACATAAGTAAATCTGGGGATCCCCAAATGGAACGCATGCACATAGAATTAATAAAACCAATGCGTATGCATGTATAAGCGTACTGAATCAATATTGACGATAAAAATAGAGTAAGCACACACACATGCGTACAAATCTTATCATACGCAGATTTAAAAAAAAGGAAGAAAAGAAACAAAAATAATTGTGAATCAACAACACGCATGCGCGTAAGCGTACTGAATTCGTATCGTATATTATTACGAATTGCGCGTATGCATAATACGTTTGATAAATATACACCTATTGACTGTATTCCTTTAAAACTTTGTCCCTTCATTTAATTTATCAAACGTAAATTCGAGTTACGAACGGTTCGTGTTTCTAAAGCCTTTGAAATTCGATGTTCCACGCGTTTCACTGGACACGATCTATGATCTATAACACGTTCGAGGCGGTTTGGATCGATCTGCCCATGTTTACGATCTCGCCTGATCTCGGTTCAGTTGGACCGATTATTCTGGGCTCGAACGTGATCAGTTTGAATAAAGATATTTGTACTGGTCAAAGAAACAAAATGGTCTTGTAATTTCATACGGTTAAGTAGCTGTTTGGATGAAGAAACTCTTCTTAGGACGTTTATCGTGATTGATTAAAATTATTATTGCTAGGAATGTACGAGAACTTGATCTAGGGAGAGTCAGATCGGGTTAGAGTCCGAAGAGTATCACATGGCATGAAATTCTAGGGATCCCTAGATTGTGATGCCATTAGATACTTCTAGGACGCGAGACCTGATCCTAGATTTCCAGATTCTCGTTCAAACCTAATTATTGCAACTGTATCGTAGAAATCGGAACGGTTAGTGATCACAACAACAGACTGTGGCCTGACAAGAAAAAATAATTGACTCTTTGAATAAGTTCGAGCGACAGAACGCTGTTGGTAGTTTCAAAAGAAGACAGACAATAAAAGTAATATTAGGTACAATAAATGTTTCTTTGTCTGCGACGAATAAAAATGATGTAACGAGTGTGTACACGGACGAAATGGCGAAGAAAGAAACGGAGGAGAGAGAAGCGCGTCGTTATCATATTTTTTTTTTTTTTCTGCGCATGCGTACAAGTTATCGTGGTGTTGCATTGCGAATTACCCTTAAATATACATATATAGCATGCTAATTCTAATATCTCGAAGTATGTTTGTTTATAAAATTAATAATTAACGACACTGAGGCGATGACTAAATTGTTATCAAAAAATCATGAGATTTTTCCTTTCTCCCTATTCATAGATATGTGTTTTAAATGAAGTTTTAAAATATATAGAAACGAACCACCCCTTCCTCCACTTCCGTTGTTTAACACTTTCTCAAAAATTCTATCTCCATAAAAAGTATTAAAAAAGAAAAAGAAACAATTGTAACGTTAATTTCAGAACACATTATTTCATAAATAAAATTACTATTAGATTAAAAACGAATTGTTCCAATGATTCTTTTATAAATAATTAAAAAAAAAAAAAAAAAAAAGGGACATTTTCTACAACATCGCTCGAAAATATTGTTTATCAATTTAAAAGAATATTTAACCCCCAGTGTCGTACAAGTTCCATATAAATACTCGGTATATTATCTTTAGCTTAGCATTTTTTCAAACTTTTACGAGCAAATACGTCGCGATCATGCTTGGAGTGTGCTGCCGTTTATCCCCGTGATAAAAGGACAATGGATTCTCACATTTCATTTCTTTCCATTGAGACAGAGAGAGAGAGAGAAAGAGAAAGATCCATTGTCGTTGGAAGTACCAGCGCTTGCATAAATTTAATTATTTCTTTTTTTCTCCTTGCAATATAAATTTATGTTCCATCACGTGGAACGCAAAAAAGGTACATTCACTATATTCAATACGCCCTCAGACCTCTATTTATGTGTGTGTGTATATATCTATATATATATATATTATTAACATTATATACTAATTATAATATCATCGCTACATATATGTTCCTTATATGACTGGTGCTTTTTTTTCTGTTTGTTTAAAACTATATACTGCCACTGCTGCCACACGCTAAATATTCAACGACAAATATTATTACTGCCACTATTAATACTACTTGATTTAAAATATTATAATTGCGATTATTAATATTCATTAATCGTTATTATCGTCCTCGTCACAATCACTCTTATCTTTTTATTGTGGTTTACGGATCATTGATTACTAAATATATATATATAATATATATATATTTATATAAACAGTAAGTTATACTCTTTTTTGTTTAATATTATAATTAGCAGCCTTATTACTATTACCATTGGTTAATTCTATATCACTTAAAAACTATTGTGTGTGACTACTGCAGCTGACCGTCTACTACTATCATTATTTTTGTTCTTTTTTTATTTTTTAATCTTTCTGTTTGTTGTTCTTGTCCCACCACTACTATTTATTATTACTATTACTGCTATCATTATCTGTGCAGCATCAGTAATGACAGGGGGAATTGTCTTAAATAATAGTAATAGAAGCAGTGATGCCAATACTGATAAAATAACAATAGCAGTAACAAACAGCACCAATAGTGTTTCTTTATATTCTATGTTTTTTTTTTTCTTTAACATTAATTATATGTAATAGTAGTTGTAGCAGTAACAATAATTGCACCCATAATACATAGTAGTAATGATACACATATATGTATGTATATATATATTATTACGAGTAATATAACTAATGGTAATAATAACAATCGAAAAATTAAAAATAAAACAAACTTAGGGCTGCAGTAAGAGTAATATAAATATAGTGGTAGTAGTAGCGATTGGAAATAGCAGGAACAGCAATAAACAACAATACGTGTGATTAGTACTTTTTTTTTTTAACTTTTTTTGTAGTAATAGTAACAGTGGTAGTAATGGTAATGATAGTAGCAGTAATAGTTGCGTACCGAATATAACCCTATTCAATAGTGGATTTCAAAAATTATAAAATTTATAAGAAAAATTATTTTGAAGTAAAATCAGTACCATATTATTTAAACTGCTATAGAATAAAAATGTTAAAATAAAATTTTTCATATCTCAAAACTTCCAGATCCTTCCCTGAATCCCGTAAAAAAAATTTAAATAATTGTGAAACAGCAGCAACAATAATATCATAATGACATTTATTAAAGATAGCAGTAATAATAGTAATAGTAATAATAATAATAATAATAATAATAATAATAATTACAACAATGATGATGATTGTAGTAGTAGCAAATGCAGTAATAATAATAGTGGTAACACCATCATTAACACTATTATCACAATTACACAATATTGCCGCTATTACTATCATTGTCAAAGCCACTACTACTGTTGCAACTGCTATTACTGCGATTATCATTTATTTATTTATTAACCACTATCGGGTACCAACTACTTTCTTAGAATTACCATTGTCAATATTATTGTTGCTGCTGTTACTAATGCTATTTTTATGAATATCCTTATTAAAAATTACATATTATTCTTGGTTTCATTTTTAATCATCGTTCTACACATATTCATTGATCAAAATATTATCATGGCTATTTATATGTTGCTATTACTATTGTTATATATATATATATATATATATATATTGTATTATTAGTGTTCTTATTTATTATTATTGTTGTTGTTGCTGTTATTTAATATTAGTGTTATTATTACTATTACTATCATTATCATTGCATTATTATTATTATAATACTTATTATTATTGTTGTTATTATTATGATTCAATGGTTCTATGGAACCTGAGATAAATCTGGGTAAAAGCTTAGCATAGAACTAATTTTCGATGAATTGCAGAGGCAGCTTTTTTCAAGCATTAGGATACAAATTTTATGATGAAATCTATATAGTTAAATTGAACGTTCGTTTGCTTTAAACATAATTAGTCTTCAGATATAACTGACTGAGATATTAAGAAAATGCATTTTTATTCATTAAATAAACAGTAACGAATGATTTGATACTTAAATCTTGACCTACTCTCGTTGGAATAACATAGTACCATTTAAACATGACATTTTCTATGGAAATCTTTTTCAAGGCTATTTGAACCGGTCATTTACGAAACTGATTAATTCCACAAAAATAAATTAAACATCAATCAAGTGGAATTAATCAGTTTGGCTTGTAAACGGTTCATTTAACACTAATCTACTTTTCTCTTTCTTTGTTTTTCCAGTAAGTAATATACACCCCCTTACCTGAATAGCGTCCCGGAGGCAACTGAAAGTGAAGGGACAACGCGCCCCGCTTTTATACCCCACTCCTACTACGGAAAGACCCGAACGCTGCCGAAGCTCTCCGAGGTAGGTAACTGGAAGGGGGCCCTTCTATGCTTTCAGTCACCCGGCGGCAACCGTTTTTGCATGTGGGTATACACACTTTTAATCATAAAATATTTCTTTTAAGTAGTTATTTTGTTAATAAAGCATCGAAAATGGACACGATAAAAATGTGAGAAAACTTTCATGTATCTTAGGTACGTTGGATGATAAATTTTAAAGAAATTATGTCATGAAATAGAGAACCCATTTTTACTTCTAATGTGCCACAACTATGGAAGCGTTCTTTTTCTTCTTTTCTTTTTTGTTTGTTAAAAAGATTCTAAACATTTCTGACTGAACCGAAATATTATTTTCAGTCTATGATGAAAACGGATAATTTCGTTTTTTTTCCCTTCAACGTTGTTCACTTTCGTTACCAGCCACGTTTTTTAAATTTAAGTTAATTAATAGAAGTTTTGTAGCATCGTGTTTTCTTTGGCTTTACCAAACTTACTAATGAACAAATTTTTTTTTTTCCATTTTTTTTCTTTTTTATAAGTATCCCATTAGTATCTACACGCTTATCGATCATTTTCCATCGAAATACACGGTGTATAAATAAATTTGTTAAATATTATAATTTTTATTTTTTAATATTATGGAATTCTAATGTATCCACTCTCTCCGATCTTTTGATTTTTAAACAATTAACCCTTTTCTCTCTAAACTAAATTTTACAGAACCATTTTGATCCCTCCAGTTTTTATGCGATAACCCAAATATAAATGTGTTTGCTGACTCACAAGAAAAAAAGACTAATTAATAATAGTTTGATCTGTCATCTGCTTTAATGGCAGTCCGCAGAAAAGAACATTATTATTCTTAAATCTTGTACCTAAGAGAAATCAAAGGTCTGAGGGCGTTATGATATATTTTAGAATATCAGAAAAAAAATATTGTGCAATGAATAAACACTCTTTTTTTCTTTTCCATCAGTATGGTTATCAGTCCATTCAGGTACCTTTGACGTTGAAAACATACACATACATACACGCGCACGCGAGCGTACAAAGCAAATTTACACATGCACCCACACGTAACACGTTCACACATACATACATACATACATACATACATACACGTATGACGTATACTCGGATTAATAATGCACACGTATGGGTCAGAAATCGAAGGAATGAGAATTCAATTAAGGCCTTCACTCAAATTCATTTTCACCACTTTCTCGTAAACAATTCTTCCCAATGGTGGTTGGGTCAATTGCGACCCAGATTCTATGAAATGTATATCGAACAAAGGATTATTCATACATTGGAAATGGTGTAAAATTGAAAAAAAAAAAACCTGTGAAATTTCTATTTCTGTATCCTCTCGTCTTCTAGAAGATTCTTTTTTTATATTAATTTCTAAGCGATTAAATATGTTGTACATTTATTTTCCACAACCGAATCGTGAAAGAAATTTAAGTGTTACGTTTCTATCACATGCGATAAAGATTGACTAATTTGTTGTAAGGAATAATTAAACTAAAGTTCATGTTTTCATTTCTCTTTTACGCAATGCAACTGGGATTCGTTAATTGCACATGGCATGGACCAGCGATGACTATTACAAATTTAAATAACAATAAATATAAACAACAGAATGTGAAAACTAGGGAAAATATATATATCTTCCAATGATCGACGGAAACGTGACGTATTCTGTACGAAAAATATAATATTTATTACTATTTTCAAATGACACATGAGCAAATATTAAACCATCACACATTCTATGAGTGTGCGTGGGTGTATATGTATGCTGATATACAGAGAGTCCTAATCATGGTACACGTTATGGCATGGCAAAGTCTGTTAAAATTTTCAATAATTTTTTCAGAAGCTTTAAAATCCTTGTTGTATATTACTAAAAATATGTACAATACTTTTTTTTTTTTTTACAATTAAAAATAAAACCGCTGTGACAGTCAATTTCTCAAATTTAAAAAGCCATCTGTCAATAATAGATATTGGTCAGTTATTGTCTGATACACGATGTACCACTTTTGTTTAAATGGCTGCAAGAATATTTTGTAGGCTTTTCTTTTTAATTAAAGATAAGCATAGGGAAAGGAACCTCCCACTGACTGTCTTCGATCCTGGGAGAATCCAAGGGGAACCCAGGGAGAGCCTCTTGTCTTTGTACGATATATATGACAAACAGTGGGTCACTTCTTCCCCTATGCTTCCTTTAACTAAAGAAAGCCTAAGCTGCACACTACTCTGTACTATTAACACCCTATGTCTGAATGGATAATCTAAATCAGCCTTAAAACTAATAACCGAGGTGATCCGTTTTGGACAAGTTATTAGACAATTGAAACGTTGCAAGTATGATATCAGGTAGATAATTAGGATCAGTCAGTGACTGTGCGAATCAAATAGAAAAAAAAAAAAAAAAAAAAAAAAAAATAATAAGAACTTAACTCATTTCAACTCGTCGTCCTCATTCGAGAGCACTAAACATGAAATTTTCTTTATTAAATTAATTTCTTAATACATATGAAAGAAATAAAATAAAATCTGCATCATTGGTAATATGATGAAATAATTGATAATACATAGCTAGTTCGAATATACAAATATAATGAATAAATTTCATATATAGTGTACTCAAATGAGTTAATGCAAGGAGGGAAGCTCTCAGGTTACACACGACAATCCTAATTCGATTTTAGTCTTAAGTCTTACATACGTATAAGAACTATGTCATAAGGCCACCTGTGGGTATAACAGCTTCCGCTTGTGGCAGCGGATATAAAATAAAATTCACTTCCCTAGCTTTATACAATTGAAAGATGGAACCTCGTTAAAATCTCAAGTTGCTAAAGAAGTTCGGTGAGAACTGTCTACAGCCATAAATAAATAGAATGTGAAGAAAGTGAAGAAAGTGAAGAAAAAGCATTCTATGGCTCGTTCGACAGAAAAGAAAAGAAAGGATATACATTTAGTTTGTAACATTTGGAATGACATTATAAATAACTGAATTAGCGATCAAAGTATCAACTAACGTAGGAACAGTTCTTAAAAGGTTCTCAAGAGAAATGTTTCCGATGAAGAGAAAACGGAGATCAATCAGTTCTTAGAAGCATACACCACCTATTCTAAGGAAATGTCTTTATTATCACTAGTCATGGAGGATACTGATATGTCAACCATAACTCCAACACATTGGAAACAAATTGGAAGAAGTTTCGAAAAGCGAACTGAAACAACACTTCCCTAGAAAAATCATTCACCAAACTCAATATCAGGAATTAGTGAATATAATTTCTATGTAAAATAACCGGTCCATTCTGAGCGCAATTAACAAATCTCTAGTGTAGAACTTAATATTTTAATTTATCTATACCCTCGCTGAGAATTATCTTATAGATGTAAGCTTCCTGATGCTTCTTAAAACATATGTATCTTTTCAATACTTTCTGTCTTAATAACTGAGAAAATATAACATATCACTAGATTCTTATTAAAATTATTAATTTTGCCAGTCTGTTGTCTGAATCTAAACGTGTAACGCATATTTTTATTTGTACCAAAACAGTTCACCTTATAAAAAGGCTGCTGATAAGTCTAAGAAATAAATATCACTTGGCTGAACAATTAGAAAATTTCAAATCATCTTAAAGACATTGATTTACAATTTCGTCTGAATACTTTGCATGTTGTTTAAATGCTATTTCCTTCAACTGCAACCAATGGGAAGTGGTAGGTTGTTTACTCGGTTATTGTTCAATTTACAACACCCACACATATAACATACGCACAGAGAAACAGACCTAATAACGCATGTATGCACTCACGTACGCACACAGGGAGGAGAGAGAAAGAGAGAGACGCACAGGTATACACAGAACAAGATAACTAGAGAAAAACATCGAATTGCCATGTTCGTTATAACTCTATAATTAGTAAATGGTAAAGAGACACGCTGGACATTGGCACGACAGGTGGCATTTAGATTTAATATAGAATAAAATTTATGTTATTGCGATAACATTTGGTATCGTTTTTGTTGTTGTCGCAAGAATTCAGACCCCGATGTAATATACCCTTTTTATTTGAAAGGTTACTGGGCACTTATTGGGATAGAGAATCGACCTTTTTAGTTTGAAACATTTTTCAATTTTTAATATCATCAACATTCAAAAATGTTTCCCTCTTTCAATGGTCACAATCTTTCCCAACAATTTCACAACATATAAAAACTAACTATGGCTATCAATTAATGTTCAAGCAATTTCGTTTCTGCCAATTTAGTTGAAATTTAACAAAAAATGTCGATTCTGTATCACCAGATAGCTAATGGAAGAGGTAATTTTACGTAGCCCGAAGCATCGACGTGGATCCTTGCTTGGTTTTTTTTTTTTTTTTTCCTTTAAAAAGAGGTAATATCCCTTCCCCCTTTTTGTATTTTATTTTTGTTTCATTCAACTTTTCTCCGCCTCTTTTTTTTTTTTTTTTTGTTTTGATTAGATTGGTACAGTCTACGTTTGATACGCATCGCAGTCTCGATTAAAGGAAACCTTTAAGAGCAAAAAAGTGGAACACTCATGAGACCAACGATCATAATTTACTTTCTTACACGCGCATTCTTTTAAGGAATCATTTTGGCGGCGCCTTTATCTAGAAGCAGCCATTCTTTTCGAAGCTAAACGGTTGCGGTGTATGCGCGTACCTTTTATCTTGTTTCGTGTTCTAATTCTTTTATTCTTTTCGATACGTAAAAAAGAGTTAAAAATTTGTATCATTATTTTAAACAAATCGTTTGCATATCGATGTTTTAATATTAAATCACACGAGCGCGTTCGCTTTTGCCATGTTAATTGAAGAAAAAAAAAGAACAAAAAAGAGATATAACACACACGGACAATACTTAAAAAGAAAAAGAAAAAAATACAGATACAAATATATACTGTAATTCTTATTGATATATACGGATCAATATGAAATCATGTGCGTTTATTAAATATATATACATATATATGTATATAGCGTAAAAAGAAATACGCACAAACACCGAAGATACCAAAGAAAAAAATGCACTAAAACGTTAATTTCAAAAATTGTTAATTCCTTTTCTTGCAACATAATCTTAGCACGTGTGATTTTAATTACCGCGTTAAAATATACACAACGACAGCATACAAAATAAAACCGAAGAGATATTAAAACATCGAGAAGATCGTTAAGTATATACCAAATATTCTATCGAATGAAACATTGAAAATATGCTAGTAATACACGTTTGTCGGATAAACGGAATATCATTTGAGAATATATATGATAATCAAAACATGACTTGCACAGGAAGAATACTAGTTCAGTAGTGTCATTAAAATATGTGTGTTTTAATGGTGCGCACTTAGTGTACACACATACGCGCATTATTCGTCCGAGATGAAATTAGTATTATTTTAAAAATACCAAGTACTAAAGGTATAGCAACACAAGCAATATTTATATAGTGTGTGATATAATACTAATCATTACGTTTTGTTTTTCTTTAAAATGTAAAACGGTGTAGTACACGTTTATCACATAGTACACGTGATAACAACCAGCATTCATGCGTTAATTATTTGAAAATCGGGTACTACTCCAACAAACAGAGAGATAGAGAGATAGAGAGAGAGAGAGAGAGTTGAGAAAAATACGGCGCACACCAAAAAACCTTTGTGAAGAAAATTCATAAAATATTTCATTTCCCTCCCCTCGTCATTCCTCGGTAATATGTATATATCCTGAATCGAATAAATTCAATTCTCCGTTGAAAATAAGGAAATAAAACAAAGAAATTGAATAATCAAGTCAGATCCCTGTGGTTACTGTTTCAATTATCTCTTTGTTTACGACGCGTCTCGTATTAGGATGCGCGTATACGCGGCGGCACTGATTTAGATTTAAGTAACTTCTTCGCGAGAACCGGCCCATCTGACAATGCGGAATATAATTGACGTATCGTGAAGTAGAAGGCGGCTTGGTCGTCGCACGAGTGACACCGCTCCCTCCGTGCGGCACTCTACATCGACTCACCTCCCAGAAGGTCTCCGGGTAAGTACGAGTTCAGTGAACTGGGCGTAGCACGTTGCTGATCGTTGCTGTCAATACCAGTGCTGCTCCATAGTGAATTACTGCTTGGTGGAGCGCCCCATAATTGGCTCGAACTTCCACCCCATGTGTCGGGTGGTGGACCAGTTTTGTTCGATGGCCGTAAACTCCAGCCTGCTCCAGCTGTAGCTCCGGCTTGCTGTTGACCCCCATGACTTAGTTGTTGTAACAGTGTGTGTACTTCGCTATCAGCTGGTGATTCCGCGAAAATTGTCGTGTTGCCCAGGACGCAATTGTTCAGAGCACCTTGTGCCTATGAACAATAAACATTTGATCTTATTAATTATTTCCAAACCGAAGAATTTTATATTTTGTACAAATGAAAATTCAATTACTACTAGAAAATAAAATGTATTCATACCTTTATAGCCTCGTCTCTAGATGAGTACTTTGTTAATGCAATTCCATGATTGAGGTATAGTCGAAAGTCTTGAACAGGACCGTGCTGCATACAAAGTGTTTTCAGCGTAGAACCATCAATTTGAGGCGTCAAATTTTTGAGTAGTAGCCAGGTAGAAACCCAGCCAGCATTTGTGCTTGATTGAAGACCCCATGAACTAGATGATCTACCAACAGTGCCAAGACCTGCCCAGCCATTGCTTGTATTCCCTGTGGCCTTGCTGCTTAGTCCTGGCGGTGGACCACGAACCTTACTCATCGGTGCTCCCCACAGTTCTGAGGTGACTGCGGTTGGCGGTGGTGCAGATTCACCCCAAGTATTTTTCGCACTAAACATGATACGTCTACTTATTTAACTACGTCTGTTACTTTCAACGGAAAGAAAAGAAAAGAAAAAAAAGAATAAAATATATACCTAGTAAAAGCACTTGGGGTAGTGGCGGGTGGATTGAACGTCCATGTAGAATTACTTAAACTTGGTATGGATGTATCAGGATTGGTAGGTTGTTGCGGTGGTGGTGAAGTCTTACTACTTGAAGAGAAGATAGCATCAGGATCTTTGATCGCTGCTAGAGACAGTGGTGAACGGACCACAGAGCCGGGAGTAATGCTAGGATCATCCTCGATGCTCTTCATCTGGGTACCCTAAAATGAAATCAAATATAGGTGGACCCGAATAAATACCACACCGGGAAATTATTACTTTTTCCCCTCCTTTGATCGAGATTTTTTCTAAACGAAGCTTCTTGTTCGCTTTCATTAACATATGATGCACTAAAAATATTAGAACAAAGCATTCATAATGGTTACAGAATTTAGTGATTACAGACACGAGTCATCAGTTTAATTAATTGTTGATAGTGGAAACGTTGGTCACGAAGGTTTTGTTTACGGAATGGACAAAGAAAAGCAAATAATTTATTTAAGTTTATTATACTTTTCCGAGATGTCAAGAATTAAAAGTTAAATAAAATATCTATTAACATTGAGATAACTAGAAAAAATATCCCTATAGAATGTACATCTAATCTTAATAATGCTTTCATAAAACACTATAACTCCTTGCTAAATAATAATCAACATATAAGGTTGTACTGCAAATGTTTCTATTAAAATTTTCAAATTCAGAAGGATTTTATTCTCGTGCAGAACCAACAGCTTCCGACCTCTACTACACACAGGATACCCCTGTATATCCTTTGATCTGATTCTAAATGTACCAATAAGGCATGGGCCTGCTACGTAGCCGAGGAGTCCACTAGCAGGCCCAGGATGAAACGTTGTTTCCTCCTCCTTTCCTTTTCTCCGTTCCCTTCCGCAGCACAACCACCATAAAACAAACATGAAAATTTTTAAATGTGTTACTGCCAGTGGTATTCTGTGCCCGTTATTCGAGCACAATGGGATACCATTGACAATGATGGAGATAAAACACCTATTAGATGTTAGTGTCATCATTATTCACAAACAGCAACACGAATAAAATTCATACTCTCAAATGATTGTGTAACACTTTAAACGAACGATTATGCGGGCTAGTTAAAATTGTCTTCACAGAGGAAGTACGATATTGGAAATGGATTACCTTCCATGGTTTGCCAGGTTCAAATTCAGGTACTAGGTCGGTGAAGGCAGCGGCACCAGCAGCTGCTCCTGTTGGCTGCCAATCCTTTCCGTCGGTGGAGTCCGTGTTACCTGGATCTGGCCAACCACTCTCCCCAAGTCTGGTGGACCATGTACCATCTCCTTGACCCAACAAAGGATTCATGTTAGGACTACTGTGAGATCGTGTCAAACCAGCCGGTGTAGCTGCTGGCTTACTGGTTGTTCCTGGCGCTCTTGAGAACTCGTTGGTAACTAACTCTCCATCCTTGTCCAAAGAAGGCAACTTCCACTGATTTAGTCTTGATTGTTGCTGACTCTGTTAATCAACAAATAAATATTTCTATACTTCCGCCTACGCTAACGGAAGAGAATGTTAATTGAAAGAAAAATGAATATATACACTTACGACAGGAGGCTCCTTGTTCATTGTCAAGTCCGTGAAACTGTTTTGCAACGCCGACATAGGATCATGTACAGAACTCTTGTAATATTCGGAGCTCTGCGATGGCGGGGCCGGATGTTGTTGCTGCTGCTGCTGCTGCTGTTGCTGTTGTTGCTGCTGCTGCTTCATGTAAGTAGCTTGTTGCACAGCGATTTGATTCTGTAGATTTGCTATCTGCTGCTTTGTCTTTGTTATTTGTACGCTTATCTGAAGGACCGATTGGCCGTTACCCTTCATTGTACTTTGCACAGAATGTTGCTGATGAAGTTGCTGTAGTACTTTGATTTGTTGCAATAATTGGTTCAAAAGTATTAGTGTTTGAGGTGCAAGTGGTTGATTTAGAATTTGGTGGTTTAAGTAACCTTCTTGGACGGCTAATTGAATTTGTTGTACTAACATACGTAGCTGCTGAGTACTAGGCTGATTTTGAGGAGCTCTGGAAGCCTAAAGGTTTGAAACGAAGGTAGAAAATCTATTGTTTAAATAACTGAATCATAGACCAACACTGTACACAGAAAATTCAATATTAGTACAACTATTGTTATCATTCTTACCTGATTAAAAGGTGGTTGAGGTGCATTAGTACTAGGTTGTTGTTGTTGTAACGGAACAGCGGCTTGTTGCTGCTGCTGTTGTAACTTTAGCAAACTTGCACTAGCAACCGATCCTCCCACGCTGCCAGTTGTATTTCCACTTGGTACTCCAGCACCCTGTAATTAGAAATTAATCCGTAACAATCGTCCAGTTCAATGAACACCCTGTACTCCGTTCGTTATTAGAATGCTTACGGGAGGGAAAGACATCTGCTGTGCGACGTGATTAAATCTAGGATATGCTGGTGCAGTTGTAGCTTGATTGGTTGGATCATAACTGGAGTGAGCATCGTGTCTTCTCCATTGATCCACAGGCCGCAACTGACTAAGAAGTTCCAAGGCTTCTTCTCTATTCATTTCTCGATTCCTGAGAGCCAATTCAACATCCTCCTTCTGTAAATGAAATAGTAAATAAAAAGAAATATTACAAACCGGCAGAGAAAAGAAACGATAATTTATTTGTAAGATGCGTACTTTGAATCCTAAATCACACAAATACCGGAACTCCCTGCTGTTCCATATAACTTCCTTAGTAAGAGTTGGTTTAGTAGGATGTCCCCAACTGGGAGTAGGATCCATGTCGGTATCGACCCAGCTTCCAGTAGGTCCCATTGGTTTAGGTTTATGCGTACTAGGTGCACCCCAAGTGCCAGGATTCAACGGAGCCTCGTTCCAGGTACTTGGAGTTTTAGGCTCATCCCATGAACCTGCGTCGTGCGATCCTTCTGCCCAACTACCGTTACGTCCGCCAGGTGCACCGGGATGACCCCACATTGGTCCGCTTACGTCTGGTTTCATTCCAGGTTGACCTGGCATTCTGTTCTGCGGCATGCCCGGAGGGCATTGCATTCCTACTGAGAAGATTTTCAGGATTTATCAATTACATCCTGACGTATAATTTCATTTACGATCAATCGATTAACTGAACAAACCTGCTCTGCCCAGATTTGAAGGTAGATCCTTCCAATGAGAAACTTTGCTTCCAGGTATTGCCCTTTGATTGGCTGCAGGGTTACCCCACAAACTTGTACCGTCGTCGTAATTCGGAACGTTTCTTCTTTGCGTAGGCGGAGAAGGTTCTTCCCAACCCGATGGTTTTCCAGGCATGATGTCCTTTGGTGGCGGAGCAGCCCATTGATTTATATTAGATGGATTCAACATTTTAGCAGGAGGTCCTGAAGGATGTTGATGTCCCATTTGATGATGCGGAGGACCTGGAGGTTGACCCCACATCGCGTCAGCATTGGCACCGTTCAATCTTCCAGATATTCCGCGGGGATCGCCGCGCATATCCGCTATTCTAGGATCACGAGCCATCGGATCCATTACTCGCATGTGTTCTCGAGGATCCAACGACATCCTGTGATCACGGGGATCTCGCATCTCTCTAGGATCGACGGAACGAAGATCTCGAGGATCCCGGTGATCGATTCTCGGGTCACCCCAGTTAGATCCTGCCCACATGCCGGATTGATTTCCTGTACTGGTTGTCCATTGTCCAGCTGCAGAGTTCGGTTGAGAAGAGGTAGGAGCACCAGTCCACATGTTCGACGAGTCAGCAGCTTCGTCGTCCTCGCCCCAGGTTCCACCTATGTTCGTCGCCGGTGTATGACCCCAGGGTGTCTTTGCTTGTTGTTGAGGCGGCGGTTGACCACCGTTTCTAAGATTAGCTTCCCATAAGTCTGTACCATTATTTACCGGTGGCTTCCACATTGGAACTCCATCCTTAGTCATGCTAGGCTCTGGTGAGGTTGGAACGTCCCAGTTTGTGTCTTGGTTAACGTGTTGCTAATTGAGAGAAAGGAGAAGGAATTTAAGAAACTAATTCAAAGATAAGTTTACTTGTAGAGATACTTACACAGCCCCAACCATCCTGGCTGAACAATGCTTCTCTCATCGTATTCAACTGCTCTAGTTGTTGTTTAGTCGAAGGGGTATTGCTAGCAGATGTGTTATTATTATTAACGGATCCCTGAGCCTGATTATTCGGCTGATTATTATTGCTACTGGAGTTTGATTGTTGCTGCTGTTGAACTGAACTACTATTATTATTTTGACCAGAAGAATTTTGCCCAGGTCCCCCGGGATTGTTAGATTTTCCTTGCGACCATTGGTTACTGTTCTGTCCACCCTGAGCCGTGCCGCTCGACTGAGATGTTGGTGGTCCTGATTGTTGATTGGATTGTTGATTTGGATTGTTCACCTTATTTACATTACCTGTAAAAACGAGGGCAAATAAATACATGAAATATATGAAATGTCTGAGATTTTCAAGTATTAAAGAGAATATAAACATACCTGGAACATTTTGTCCACCGGGTCCTTGATTCTGATTTGGATTCTGATTCGCAGCAACAGATCTGTTTACACTATTTCCAGTCCAATTTCCAGGTGCCCCACTGTTTCCAGAAGGATTTCCCGAACTACCACCCCATCCGGATTGATTATTATTGTTGTTATTTGTAGTACTGGTCTGCGTAGAGCCCCAGTTGGTAGCTCCAGCGCTGTTCAATGAAGTTTCACCACCACCGGCTAATCTGAGAATGCCAGGAATGCCCCATCTTTTCTTATACTCTAAATTGGGCTGATCCATGTCGTAGACCGATCCGAAAAGAAGCTTCAACGTCTGCTTAAGATCATTTTTCTGAGCTTGTAAAGTGCCATCGGAAACTCCCAGGGATGCTGCTATGAGATTCCTTGCGTAAGCAATCAGTTGAATTCGCTTTGACCCGTTTACAATCGTTTCGTTACTTTCCAATCGAAGAGGAATTGGATTCTTATCGTTCGTCTTTTCTTCGGAAGTCGTATCATCTCCTGAACGTACAACTGTTTCCGACATTTCGTATTGACTGCGGTCGCGAAGGCGAACAGTGTCGTTCTTGTTCTTGAAATCCGGGCTAGTATTCTTATTACAATCATAACTGTCGTCGACAAATCGGGCAGTCTGAGGCGTCGTCGTCGTCGTCGTCGTCGTGCCGATGAGAGCAACTTGTTTACAATTGATCAGACTTTTTGTAAAAACGTTCTCAACATTATATCCGATAACTTCGTGTACTTTGTATAACCTTCTTTTAAATCGATACAAATCACAGAGATCCTCACGGGAAATTTTATCATTCATCACGTCAGCGAAAGCTTGACACCTTAGCTTTATTCGTTTAAATAAATTAGAGCGCAATGAACTAATAGAATAAGACGCATGTGACCCCGAGTACTTATAGCTCGCGAGATAAGTGGCCGAAGGCTCGTTAGACTTAACATTATCCTGAAATGAAAGAGCACCAACAGTAATTGTTGCCACGCGATTAATACCATTAATATCCGAGGACAACATCTCCATTGTCTTTTTCTTTAACTTGAAAATTAACGTATCTGAGGTTCTTTTTAACAAACAACCGTCGTTTGGATATTGTTGTTGTTCTTGTTGTTCATTCATCAATGTCACATTCGAATAATACATTCTTCTAAAGATCTTTAATAGGAACACGTAGTTTCGTGTAAGAATTCTTATTGAGGTAAAAATTTCATCGTTCAATAATTTTCTTAACGTTATGATGAGTGACCAGCAAATTTTGTAATTTTCCATACCCACGATTGACATCCTACACTCTACTAGATTTCTAATCGAATTAAATAATAGGACATTTAATTGTTCGTCTTTCATTGAATTCATGTTCTCACAATTCATCGTTGTTGCTGTTAATTTTCTAATTAATGAAAGAAATATATCATGACTAATCCCTTGTTCAAGGGGATCATCGTTCAAGAGACAAGTTCTCGTTCTTCTTAGAAAATTTGGTATCTTATAGGTGAATGTTGTCTCGTTTATTTGAACAGAAATACTCAAGAATTGAACATCGAGATGTGTCCTTTTGTAACTAGTCTCGTGGCTCGGTATCCCCTTCCACGTAATACTAAAATCGCAAATCACCTTATAGCTAAATTTAACCACATAAAGCTTACATCCTAACGAGAGTGGAACACATGCGCGTTGCGTCAGCTCGCTCGCGACCAGATCGAGCCACGAAGGAGAGGATTGTGCGCTGTTGGGCGCGTTTCTCAATGGGAAAGGTCGCGGAGGCTGGTCGGTTAGCTCGTTTCCGGGAACGATAAGCGTAATGGAAGAACTGGTGGCCACGCTTTCCCCTTCTTTAATCAGACGTGATTCTTCGTTCGACGACGTATCCCTTACATAAACATTATTCCTCGGTATTATGAAATTTAAAGGCGCTTTTGATATTCTATACTTCACCGAAACGACGATCACAACATTTGTCAATGTTTCATCTTCACTGATTAAACAAGATTTCATCATTGGGTGCTTGTTGCTTTCTGAGCAAGCAACGGCTGGCAACAAAATTTCTACGAAGACAGAATTAATCTCTGACAGTGTTTTTAAGTTATCTGAATAAACTAAGCGAAGAGATTCAATTTTCGAATATAGATATGTTGATAAAAATATTTCAATCTTTGAATCAACACCGATCGGATAAAGATACTTAACAAAGGTACATAAGCGTGACAAACAAAGTTCGTTTGAGTCTTGATTATGACATGAAAATGCATCATTTTTCACGCAACGTATTATAATCTCCATAAGAATTTTACTCGAGAATAATTCTAAATATGTTAAAGAAAATTTCCTCGATCCGTTAATCGATTGAACGTTAATAATCCAACGATGCTTGCTTTTGATCATTTGGTCATTTATTAAGAAGTTATATTCATCGTCATCCTGTTCCGGCAACAGTATGAAATTATATTGTTTTTGTAAGGATAAACCGTCGAAAAAAGATTTCACGAAATATCTGAATAAATCCAAATGGGTTCTTAATTTCATTGCATTCGCACCACCGTCCATTTCGACGCGGAGGAAATAATGGTTACTGGTTGAGCTGAGCAATATCACAGACTTGTAGTTATCGTTATTATTACTTAGGAGGCTAAAATTAGACTTAACGTTATTGTATTTGCCCGAATGGAGGCAGGACCCTAGTAAGGAGTAATTGTCAAGAGAGTCGAGAGAGAAGTGGCCTGATGAGGGGCGATCAGACTTGGGTATCCTAACTAGGCTAGGTACCCCTTCACCGACTGCACACTTATCTCCTGTTAATCGTAGATTTACGCTTATACTTAGTACCCTAATATTTAGTACGCTAAAGCTAGTCTTATTATCACTTAATGTCTTAGACATAGACTTAGAGTTATTGGCGGAGCTGACCGGTTTCTTGTTACCGGACATGCCCGGATGTTTTCTTTTTGTTGTTGTTGTTGTTGTTGTTGTTGTTGTTTTATGAACTGTTGGTTTTCGATCGTCTTGATGATTATGTTCCGCTCGATTTGAGCGATCATTTAGTTTAGGATTATCATTATCGTTATTATTATTATTATTATTACCACTACTACCATTGTTATTATTATTATTATTAATATTAATAATAATATTATTATTATCGTAAGTTAGAAGATGATTTTTTGTTGGGTGTTTTGTGGTTGACGACGCCACTGACTGGCAGATCAAGCTTCGACTAGTCAAGATAAACTTGCCTGGAAAAGTAAAATAATTTTGTCAAAATTACGTATTATCTTCCAAAATTATCTCTTTCCTTGACAGCATTCATAATATTACTCGAGTATTGTTTATTCTAATAGGATAATATATATGAAAGTGAGAACTGTAAGTAGTAGGGGGTATCATCCCATGCCAATTGTAGAAAATTTGCGTTGTTTAACTTGTCGTATAATAAAATATACCCTCTTTTCAATACCATCATTATAATAGAATACGAGATTCAAGATGATAATATAAAAATTGATAGTTACCAGTTTGGCTCGACAGGACGGTTAAAAAGTCAGTGGCGACGATATTTTCGAGATGGCTAGTAGGTTTTGCCATCATGCTGTTGTTTATGAATTCAATATCACAGTATCTAGCATTCTCTGATTCTCTTCCCTCCCCCATCCCTATCGGACTGTTTTTCCCTAATACTACTACATCCCCCTGAAAAAAGAAAATGTTATTATTAAATATACTTTATGCTTTAATGCTTAAAGCATTTCTTTTTATGTTTCAAGCTTGCTTGATAGCATTTATCCAAAGAAATTTTCAAGGTCTCATCAATCTATATGTTATAGTATGGAAAAAATACAATAGCATGAAATGAAACATGAGACAAAGTGGTACTATAAATGTACCAAAGTATCCTGTTCTCTTTTTGGAATATACAGTAAAGGTAAAATGAAAAATTAAGTTCACATTTGCTACATTTTCAATCATTAAGTATACTTTTTCTAATTGATATTAGTTATGTTAAATGAAAAATAATAAATGAAACTTACCATGGAATTTTGTACGAAGGCATTTGTTTCTGTAGAAATCTCATGTGAACTAGAATTGTGTGGAAACATAGGGCTCAGTTCTTCTTTGGCAGGCAATGCATAGAAACCAAGATCTAATGTTTGAAAACAATGTACCTTACAATAAGATACATTTAATAACCCTTTATATTTTGTGAGTTGAAAGCTCGCGATATTACTTTAAATTATTCTTGTACATGTGAAAGTTAAATGATTCTTTGTTAAATGTCAAGGCTCTTTAAACTAAATTCATAAAATTATGAAATCTTTTACAAAATGTAGATACTAACCTTGTAGACTATCACTATCAATGTGCTCCTAGCTCCATGCCAGTGGAGATCTACAACAAAAATTACAAACGCTATAAGCACATTCATCCATGTTAGTTTACTTCTAGAAAAATGAAATTACAAAAGAATCTTTATATCTTTAGGAATTTATATTTGAAAATACAGATTATAATTTTATTGATCCATCCCTAAAAATAATTGAATTTCACATAAATAGTTGTGAGACAAGAATAGAAAAAATATTAATATAAATTATTAAACAGTCTTTATCAATGAAATGAAATATTCGTCTACACGTTCAATTCTTAAATGCAACCATGAATGATTGCACACATACAGTAATATTAAAGAACACCTCATCCTATTCAAATGTCGTAAATACACAGTGCATACCGAAACGGAAATCGTCGTTTCGATCGATCTTATTCGTTCCGGCAACAAGCTCATATTCGCTTTTTCTAATTCTTCAATACAAAATAAGCAAACGGAATCGAATATCAGCGATTCTCTATGACATGAAAATACGCCATTTACCAAAATTTATGCGCAATCTAACAAGGTTAGATAACGTACAGAATAAACAAGATGAAGACGAAATTTTTGCTCTTCATAGATAATATCGCACGTATACATGCGCACGCATACATTATATACATACACGTGCATATATAACGTTAATTACAAAAAATATGTACGAACGTTCAACATTAAAAAATAAAATTTCTTCAATCTCTGCAAAACTCGGTACATACCACAATAATACAACTACACGTATACGTGTGTGTGTGTACATATACATATATGTATGCTCCGAAAGAATATATAAATTTAGGTGTGTGAGCTCGTGTGCGCATGTGTAACTTATATTTATATACACATCTCATATATGCACATATATGCATAAAGGTATATACGCATACATATGTACGTACATGTATATACATATGTACATACATGTGCGCCCATCTTACACACCCGTACGTAATACTGTAAATACATATGGATTTATGTAATATGTACATAATCAAAGAACGTAGAACGTAAAATGTGAATCAAGACCGAAAGAGAAACAGTCCTTTTTCCAATGTATCCAAAGGGATACGCCGTTAAGATATAATATACGCGTTCCTTTTACGGCTAAGAGAAATGGAAAAGACTTACTGTTTAGATTCGGTGCCCGAAGAAGAGTTCAGTCTAGTCGAAGATATTTCGTTGGTGCACGAAACGGGCAGAGCGAGTACCGCTCCGCTGGTGGGCTATTCCCGCGAGCGGCGCTACTCCCCCGGATTTCGAGGACTCGGTGCTGCCGATGCGCGCACCGACGCCCGATTCATACTTGTACCGTACAAAAAGCCCCTTTCACATCTCTCAATGTATAATAGTAAACAACAGTTATATATTCTAACAAACATTATGTATCAAGAATATATAATAATGTACACTAGTGTGAACAACATTACTATTTGAATGAACTTTAATGAATGACAGATCAATGTTTCAACAACAATTCAAAAGTGACCTATTTAAATAGTTTCAATTTGTTTTGTATGATGTTAGAATAAAAGGAATTTATGTTGAATTATTCATTTATTCTACATGTTTTCTAATGTTTTTAGATTGAATGTTTGATGATTGAATGCACGTATGTTTGTACAGGTATGTGTTATGACTGCAAGTACAATATGTAAATGTAATATAAATAGAAATACAATCACTGGAACAAATGTACTTTGATAGATCATAAGATTTAAATACTATACGTTTGGTAAGTTGCAATAAAGGAACTTCAAAATTAAATAATTTATGTTGCTTGACAAAATATTTATGTAATCAATCTTAAAATTGGACTTTTAGGTAGTATTCAAAAATAGGAAAAATATAGATATTTGATATATATCTATACCATACTTTAATTGAAGGAGTTTACATAACACTTAAGATTACTCATTTTAATGAAGTATCGTAAACACTGAAGTACAGAAGCATTTAAAAAAGTGGATATAATTGTACCCAAGAGATGAAAAATTGAGATTAAAATTTTTATAAGGTATTAATCTTCCTTATACAATAGCACAGCTAATATTTATTAGGCAACATAAAAGAGGAAATGAAGAAATTTTATGTAAAAATTCTGATCTGAATCAGTTATAAATGCCGTATCATCATTGTTTCAAATACGCATTATACCGTTATATAAAGTTGTACAATTATGTTGCGGGTAAGGTAAGAATTTTCGAATGAAAATGGAAAGTTTCGTTAGTACTATAAATATACGAAACATCATCCAGATATAATCGGGTAAAAAATTTCAGTAATCTTCATCATTGTTTCATACAAGATAAAAGAAGTTACATTATGCCGTCATATTTCCCGCTGTTAAGATATGGAAGTTATCGAACCGTTAAAGGTGGTACTAGCTAGGTAGATATACGTATACGATCTTTACCTATAGAGAACCTCTAATATCTACGCGTGTACAAGTGCGTGCTATTCTCTGTGGCGCACGTCTGCCCTTTGCTGCGACAAGTCCGCTTGTACTATAAATTGCCAATGGAAACTCATGTAAATACTTTATACACAGAGTTCAGCCAATTATCTATTACCACCTTTTAAATTATCCAGGACAAGTTTGTCTAACACGAATTTTATCGTACAGAAGGGATTCGTACACATGGTTGATATCAATTTTCTTTCCAGATGGAGTTGTTCTCGAAATTAAAGGTCACCTTTGTTTTTCTAAATAGAATAACTATGCTTTTAGATTTACTTTCTAATAGAGGTTGCCTCGGATGAATACATACAATGGTGTATGACGTACATTTGGTCGAAATGAAAACAACGAAAATCATTTGTTGACGCCATAATTATAATTAAAAATATGTCGTAGAAAAATATGATAATATTAGCCATGAATAAATAAAATAATTGTGTAGGATGCATTCGTTTATAGAACAAGTTGGCATGCTTTTCATTTGGAAGAACACGCGGGTCCAGAAGTTATGTGAAGATATATATCTTTATAACTCATTTTAATACAAAAAATTAAGATACCAGCAAAAGGAATTTTGATTAAAAATTAATTTTCTTTTTTTTTTTTTTTTTTACAGATTCCTGAAGTGTCGAGGAGCGACAGCTCTCGTTAACCCCCTCCCTGAATCCGTCACTGTGCTGAACTAACATCTTTACCGTTCTCAACCTTTACGCTGGATGAATTAAAAGAATAGCTAAGGCAAAATTAGAAGTTAAACTCTTGAAAAAAAAGGGAGCCGTGTCAAATTTCATGTAAACCTGATGTTAGTCGCAAAAGTGTACTTCGCATTCATCATCGTATCATTCACAGCTTCTACCGAGAATTAAGTGGCACAGATTTGATAAATTGGGTTGAACTTTATGGAGATGGATTCCGTATCGGATTTCGAATAATGACTTGTTTTTTTTTATATGTGCTATTAATTACCGCTATAACAGAGATAAATCATGGGGGATATTAATATGTATTTTTGTTGAATTGAAACGCAATATTGGCTCTACCAGACACTACATCGATAACAATAGCCGATACGTTTATGGGCTATCGGCAGAGCCGTCCCTAGCACCGGGCAAACTGGGCACTTGCTCTGGGCCCTGTGCTTACATGTATAATTTTTTACAAAATAACCAAATTCAGTATCAGTAGTCAATAATCTTTTAAATAGATGATAAACTAATACCAATGCAGTGGAATGGATACTTAAAAATGGATAATACATACTTAATCCTTCTATTGAAATAATGCCAATGATATGATACAATAGTATTCAAGATTAATGTTGAGTCAAAAAATGTAATATTACATTTGTTTCTTATACCAGATAAGATTATGTACTTTTTATTGCACTCATAAGAAACAATTGAAATCCACTGTATTGTTAACAATTGTAAAGCATGTAAGAGAAACAGAACCAGAACATAAATCTAATAGGTTATGTCCATTTGCTTCGATGACTTAACAATAAAAGAACACATAAGGTGAAATTTATGCTATAAATTTGTTTCATATAAATAAGAAAAATCTCAATTGCTAAAAATGTTGAAATTACCATCAAATGAGTATGCTTTATTGTATATATACAAAAAGCATGTCTATAGAGACACCATTTGGTTATCGTTTGCAGCAAATGTATAAATTGAATCTGTATGATTATTTGATATATTAACATATCTATTGTGATTAATTAAACTCTGAGTCCAATCAGTTCAAATAATATTAATGTAATAATTATTTAAACAGTGGATCAAGCTATGTTACATCAAAAATATATTGTAACATAATTAATATATCATTTGTTTATGCATTATTGATATTTCTATCACTTTATGTGCAAACATAGATCAACTAGCTAATATTTTTCTAATAATATTTACCAATACAAGAATTTTACACAATAAAAAGGTGTTTATTGATTTTTTTCATACCCCTTATATTCTAGGAACAATATAAAAGATTTAACACTGTGTGAATAATTGCATTCATACGAAGTGAATATCAACAGTTTGATTTAAATAAAAAAAACTAATAGCACTTGAATATTAATCAAGTTACTGTGTAAGGTTATACATATACATATATAATACAGATATATTTTACAATAGAAATAACGAAGAATTTCACTTACCAGAGTATATGACCATGGAAAGTTCTCAAGATCAGGTAGATTACAACACTACAGGCTTTCAAAAACACATTTCGTTGTGAGCACAATATTATTTACCGAAAATACATCTCCACCACTAGGCACGGAGTTTAAAACTGTGCTGTTTCACGAGCCACGTCATACAAAACAGATTGAAACCTTCAACGGGGTATTCTCTTTCATGCAAGGACGCCATCTTGTACATGAGAAGTAAAAAATATACGTGAGGAGGGAAATTTGAACGACACTTATTTTACGTATTTCTTTTCCACCTGCGCGGGAAGATTTGATTCGACATTTATTTTATTATTCAAACTTCTTATTAATTATATACTAAATCCTAAAACGCGGGTTATTAAAAATAAGGTTTTAGAAAATGATGCTTCGTTTATACTGAAAAAATAATTTATTTTTAGTAATAAAAACGTAACTTTGTATCAAATAATTTTAAAATCATTTTTCCTATGATATTCAACGAAACAGCTAAGGCAAAGGCCTGGATTACCTTCGCAGCCTGGACAAAACGTGATGACACTTTTCATAATTTTTTTTTCGTAACATAATCTACATCTTTTTTGTGCTCGCCTTTTTTTCTTCGCAGGACAATCCGGATCCGTAGTTGGAAAATGAACTGAATTAATGAAAGACAAAGTAGAAGGAGTACGAACAGGACAAACTTTCGGCATTCCTGGACCTGATAAATTCTTTACGATATCCAGGCGAAAGTTAAACAAACAACGATCTTTTTGCTCTGAATATCTCTTGTATAATAAATAAGAGTTAAGCAACATTAATTCTAAAATATCGAAACACAATTTTGTATACCACTTCAATGATTTCCGTGTGTTAAGATAATACGATAACAGTTGATCAATGGCTCCTATACGTTTATTAAATTGAAGCACACCTTTGGGTCTTCCTTGTTCTCCTCCTCTTTTTGTGGCAGTTTTTGAAATATTTACATGGCTGGAATTACCTTTTCCAGCAAGCTCTTGAAGCATCTCAGGACTAAAAGCTACTCCATTATAAAGATTGTCCATAAATGGAGAAGGTTGTGCATTTTCCATGCTTTCCAACATTGCCTGGGCAACTCTACCAGCATCACCCTGGCTTTCCAAGTCACTATCCTCTGTACCAGGATGAATCAATAAACGATGGATGAGTCCATCATTCTCTGCCAATATATACAATTTAATACCATATTTGTAAATCTTGTTTGGAACATAGGATCTATAAAAAACACGTCCCTTCCATGTCATCATTGAATCATCTGTGTTAATCTTCTTTCTCGATTCATAGACTTCTGTCATTCTATTGTGAAAATGTTGGATTATAGACCGGATTTGATATAAAGGATCTTTAGGTGCTGCTTCTGCTTCCACAGGATCTTCAGTGAAGCGAAGAGATTGTAGAATGGAAAGAAATCTGTCTCTAGACATTCTATTTGAGAAAAATGGGAAATTAAATAGTTCACTTTTGTCCCAATAATATCGTAACCGCATTATCTTGATAACACCAGTGTGGAAAAATAAACCTAAGAACACCTTGATTTCGTCCGTAGTCAGATCTTTCCAGTGTGAAATTTGGGAACTAGGAAGCCGCGCAAATTTGTTGGTTTCGTCTACTATTTGTTGGAAAAATTGCCGGGTAAATAACAATGAAAAATAATGAATAGGGGAACTGGACTCAGGTTTTATTTTTAATTCTTCGTTACCGGCGGAATTTATATCGAAAATGTTTAACGAAGGAATATATTTACACTCGAAAGGAGTGGTAGTTAGGGGATCGGTACCGGGTTCACTGTCGGCAGACTCGGAAGATTTTGGAGAATTCTGGGTCGGTAGTTCGGATAAAGACAAAAACGTAAAAAGAGTAGGACATGTCATGCCAGGCTGTTCTTCTTTTATAGATTGCACCGGTTGAAGCTTATAGTCATTGTCACTGCCAAAACCATCTTCTGAATCTGAATCCAAATTATCATCCATTTTGATTGCAAGTTGGAGATGTTGAGCATCAGAGATTTTTTTCCTTTTACTCGGTGGTTCTGAGGATGCTTCCGTGGATGAATCTCTACTAGTCCCAGGAATTGATTTACCTACAAATTTCAATACTTTGCTTTAATTAAAACAGTTAAAAAGTCATCACAAAGATAAATGTAAGTCCTTTCCTTGATTGAAGTAGGTGTACACTTTTGTAAAGTTATTTTTTTTTGTTGTAGGTACTGTGTCTAAAAATGATGTGCTCTTCTATTAGTATTCTCTGACAAAATAGAAAAAATAACTCACCATTGAGATCCATACGTCTGTGAATGTACTCAGACTGTAGGAACAGCAAAAATATAATTCCTTAGAAAAAGTATAATGACAGTATCATTTGTATATCACAGTTTCCTCATAAAAATTTGCATGGAGTCTTTGTTGTTCACCATCGCGTACAATAAACGTTCTGGCTCAGGTTTACTCACTTTGAGTCCTGTTATAAATGACTAAATTCGCAACTTTTGGAAAAACCATGGATACGCTTCGTTGTTTACTGGAAAGCCGGTTACAAGACTTGTGTAAATCATGTGACAGAGCTGGGAAGTTGACATCTAGGATAGCATAGAAACAATTTTCCGAAAAAAAGGGAACGCCAGCGCCATCTACTAAAAAGTGGCGGAAACTACTCGACAACTTATTACCTACATCTGTTAATAGATGGCGCTAGTGCCCCACGGAAGATAGATCGGTAATTCGTCGAGTAGTTTGCGCCGTTTCTGTATAGATGGCGCTGAGATCGAATTTAAAAATAATTTATGGCGGTCTTTTTGAAATACTAAAAAATACTTGTTGTAAACAATTATTTTAATAATTTTCCAGTTTTGACTGATTTTTAAGAAATAAAATCAAAGACATCAAAATTGAAAGTATTGAACCTACTTTAAAATGAAAATTGAAATGAAATATATCCTATCCCGATACTTACATAATTTTAATATTTCAATAAAACATATCCAAGTTTAAAGAATGTCTCAGACATATATTTTTGCTTATATAAATATAAATAATATGTCCAGCTTCCCATCCCGCCTTTTTTAACAGCAGATTCAAGAGCCATCTGTTAGTGAAAGGGAAATATTGTTCGTTATTTAAATATCTATCAACGTTCAAACGTCTGTGATTATTTGTGTGTTTGCACGCTTAATTAAAAATTTATAGAATTTTTTAAAGTAAGAATAGTAAGTACCTACAAAAATACAAATTAATTTTTTTCATTATATTTGATTTGAATGTATACATTTAACATTTTCATATGTATAACCTAAATGATTCTAAGTTAAAATTACCAAATTTATACATGAAGTTAATAATAAAATATTACTCTTTCAATAAAGCAGCAAATATTCTAGCGTTTAAATTTTTTTAAACAGTACTACCACCAATTTCAATGAAAGAAATAAACGTTTTTTTATTTTAGATGGAACCTATGACATTGGGATCACCTGTTGGAAGTCCTGTGCAAAGTCCTGGAAGTCCAGTAGCTTCTGCTTATCTTCCAAGTTTCCTGTTAGGTGATAGCACAACTGTACGTAACATTCATCATTTCATTGCATAGTACTTTATAGCACATTTATTACATAGCAATGTTTGATAATTTTTTAGCCAGCTAAAGTAAATCTAGCAAGTCCTCAGGAGACTCCAAAGCAATTGCACATTGGACATACAACTCTGTCATCTCCACTCTCACATTATGGCACTCCAGACTATCGTACTAGCCGTCAGAAAGCAGTATTTGGTGGTGGTAATACCCCTAATACTTCTCAAATGGTCACAGAAAGTCACACAGGTGGACCACCGACCAGGGGATTATTTGATACTCTAGAAACATCTCAAACATCATACATGTCACCAGCCAATCAAAGCATTCCCTGCAATCAAACTAGAAACTTAATGAATACCATGAATGCTTCCATATTCAATGATAGTTCATTAAATCCAAATAAAAATGAATCCCAGGGACTTCTGCAATGGGTAACCGTTTTTGGTTTCCCTCCTAGTGACACGAACACCGTTTTAGCTCATATTTCGAGCAGAGTTCGTATAGTGGACAAGCATCCGCCTCCGCATGCACAGAGCAACTGGATTCATTTGAAATGTGCTTCAGAACAGGAAGCACAAAGAGCACTCGCGTGCAATGGTAATATCGTGTCTGGATCTATTATGGTCGGCGTAATTCCTTGTACGGATGAGGGTGTAATACTAGGTTCTGATAAAGAAAATCGTTCAAGAATAAATGGAAGTATCAAGTGCTTCTCCAATCTAAGCAGACTTAATCAATCACCGGAATACAGTACACCGCGTACACCGGTTAGGATACAAAATGCAAGACCTCTGGCAGCTGGTTATAATCAGCTTAGTCCTCAGTCAGTGAGAGTGCCAGAAAATGTACCACAGAAATCTACGGGTCTAGTTTCTAAAGCGATGGAATATATGTTCGGATGGTAGTTCTAATTATGAATGTTATTTATTAATGACAATTATTATTTAGCGCGTAATTATTTTTATCAGAATTGGATACATAGAAACGCAAATGATCGAAGAGAGGAATATTTGAAGATGTTGAAACATTTGTTATTTTGCTATATTATATTTTTACTATATCAGTAGTATGAAATATAAATCTTTAGAAACATCAAATAATTATCACACAATGTTATGTTCAAACTATATTTCTAATGTTATTCTTTTCTATTTTTAAACTAAATACTAATCACAACATACTAAACTTCTCTATTGTAATATATGTAACTTATGATTAAGCTTTTAAAGGTATTTTCGCGGTTTCCCGCCACATATATTGCACAGATATTAATTTAAATGGTCCGTTTCTTAGTGCACACATATCGTCTAAGAAATATTAGCAAATGCTTTTACAAGCAAGCGACGAACTTGTACTTTTAATCGTGTTTGTGATGTCACGTATGTGAAAAGAAGTATGACAGTGACTTTGTTTACAATATTAAAAAACACTCGTTAATCGTAATTAGCGCATTCCTCTCTTTCTCTTTGAATCTATGATCGAAATTCGACGTTTCTCGTAGAAAATAATTGCTATTCAAATGAGAATATATTAAAAAGTTCAAATTTTTATTCTATTCTTGAAACCTGTTCACATGTTAAACACTAATATGATACAATCACACCTCTTTTCTTCATCCTAATAAATAAATTTTCATCATCCCACACTTTGTCCAATTCAAATTATTTCGGGCTTTCGATAGTGGCACTACCTAGATCAGTCATTTTAGGATACTTCACTTTTTTCTTTTCCAATTCATCCTGTGCCCAAAGTATCATTTTGAGTAAATTATTTACTCGCGGGCTGGTTGATTCCTTGTATTCCATTTTTAATATAGCTGCGTTCAGTTCGCTCGCGATCTATAATTTCATAGAAAAATCAAAATGTTTATAACAGATATATAATTAATTATAATTCTTACCTTTTGTCTATGAGTTGGATGCAATAAATCACTGTAAGGACTCTTGTGAGGTTCGTCGAAAGCCAGCAGAGCCAGAGTACGTTCCAATTCGCATAAAATATTATCATCTGACTCTCCAGCTTCGCTTAGCCGATCCTGAGCAAACTGTAAAGCCTCCTCTATTTTCCCTGTGCGAATCAACTCGATAAGATGCAATTGTTGCAGATGAAAGTAAAGGTATCTATCGTTATCCAATAATTCTGGATGTAGCTGATTTACAAGATCCGTCGCCTCTTGAATACGGCCATTCTGAATGGCTTCTCTGATACGGATTCTATCATCCAAAGAGCTCAGATCTACAGTGGGTTCTACCCCAGATTCTTGTTGAAATTTTTCAGCCGCTTCCTTGAATCCCTCTGAACGACACAACTTATTGAGTACAATAGAAAAATTACAAAGTTACTTCTTAACAATGGAAGAACTAACCTGTGACGAGGTAATTCATGATCAAATTGTTCATGGAAACGCGTAGCGTATGAGAGTTCTCCTCCAGCTTGGCAACCCATTCATCCTTCGATATATTATCTTGTTTCTCCGGGAAGCTCATCGTTCTTTAGCAATTAGCATTGATGATTACGATAAGCGAAGGTTAATGAAATGTATACACGGTGCAGATTCGATCCGAGTACCTACACAGACTTCGAGAATTGTTTGACACAACAGCTGATTCTTTATCGCTGTTCAAAGCCCAGTGTAAATAAAGCTACGCCATGAAGGGAGCGCCTTTAAAACGATCGACTACGAAATTCCGAAAAAGATGAACAACTACTTTCTAATAACGCATAATAAAGAAGACAAGATTTCTTAAAAGATACCTGCAGATATTGCAAGATGTTTTTTATACGCCCTCACCTTTTGAAATTATAGAGAAAATTTGACGTTTGTAACTTGACAACCAAAAATTAACATGCATAAATAGTGCACTGTGCGTAATTTACTTTTTGGTTTGTCAGATTAGCCAAAGGTGGGGTAGTAGTTTGTAATCATGGCGGATCCATTGAGCTTGCTACGGCAATATAACGTTAATAAAAAGGAAATAATTGAACGTGAAAATCAAATTATATTTGGCGAGTTTTCCTGGCCGAAAAATGTGAAAACAAACTACTTAACTTACGGGTAAGTGTACACTTGGTTAATTGCGAATTAATATCGACAGCTGTAACCTGTACTCAGGTTCCACCATTAAACAGTTTTCTGCACGAATTTTCAATCACCTGTAATAGAAGTGCGCAGATATTTTAATAAAGAAAAATAACCTCATGTAGAAGAATACAGATTATAGAATATATTTTATCGTAGATCTGGCAAGGAAGGAACACCAAAGGAATATTACACCCTCGAATGTCTGTTGTTTTTACTCAAACATGTGCAACTCACCCACCCTGTGTACGTACGACAAGCAGCTGCAGAAAATATCCCAGTTGTACGTCGACCTGACAGGAAAGATTTATTGGCCTACCTCAATGGTGAAACTGCAACATCAGCCGCCATAGACAAATCTGCTCCTCTGGAAATTCCTACCCAAGTAAAGAGAACAGCCGAAGATGGGCTGGAAAGTGGATCCTCCAAGAAGCCTCGTTTCGAGGAGACTCATGTGCAGAAGGTTAAAGAACAGCTTGCAGCTAGACTGGATGCCCCTAAAGAAGCCTCTGTTACAGTGGACAACATCAAATCCCTGTCAGAGGCCATGTCTGTTGAAAAGATTGCAGCCATCAAGGCTAAACGTTTAGCCAAGAAACGTACTACTATCAAGGAAAATGATGATATTGGAATGGGATCTGATTTATGCGTTATATTGATGGACGTCGACGGTACCAAGGACATAGTTTCAAGGGAGAGGCAATGGAGAACACGCGCGACCATTCTGCAAAGCAGTGGAAAGATATTTGCAAAGAATATATTTGCTATACTTCAAAGTATCAAGGCTCGCGAGGAGGGTAGACAAAAAGGTCCTGCTGCACCTACACCCATGGTTACCCCGCGTTCCACGCCTATGCGCCCGTTACCCCAGCCAGCCGTCTATAATCGTTACGATCAGGAAAGGTTTATCAGGCAGAAGGAAGAAACAGAAGGATTCAAGATCGACACCATGGGTACCTATCACGGTATGACCCTGAAGTCTGTGACCGAGGGTACCAATCCAGCAGTTAGGAAACCACCGACCAATCCTTCCGCGACACCCAATTCCGGTCTCCTACCGACTTCGGCCGCCAAACTGACGCCGCAGCAAGCGGCACAGAACAAACGGCCTAGCAGAACTCCTATCATTATCATTCCAAGTGCTAACACATCCTTGATCACAATGTACAATTCTAAAGATATACTTCAAGATTTGAAGTACGTCAGCAACGAGGAGAAACGAGCACAGGGTTCCAAACGAGAAAACGAGGTCCTCCTGCAACGTCGAAAGGAAGGCGGACTCACGGTTCCATACAGGGTGGTGGACAATCCTCAGAAACTCACAAACGCAGACTGGGAAAGGGTCGTCGCTGTGTTTGTAATGGGTCCAGCTTGGCAATTTAAGGGCTGGCCTTTCGATGGCAACCCTGTTGAAATCTTTTCAAAAAGTACTTATACTGTAATTACTTCTTTGCTCATTTGTATGAACAATATTAAGTCTATCGTACCTTTACAGTTTGCGCGTTTCATCTGAAATACGACGAAATGAGGCTGGACGCGAACGTGGCACGTTGGGCTGTGACGGTGATAGAATTGAGCAGAACAAAAAGACACTTGGACCGGGCTGCGTTAATGGTATTCTGGGAACATCTCGACAAGTATGTATTCTTATGATTAAAAAAGTCTTACTCGAGTACAATATCAAAAACTTATACAAATTATTTGTTCACAGACACATGATTAAAAACAAGCCGCACCTTCGATTCTAAATTGAACTTGCGAAGAAATAAAAATCATTGTACATACTATAGAAGAAAACATTACTTGTGTACATGTATATATATATATCTAAAAAAAGAGATGCAAAAGTTTATCACGTGTGTTTTGTTTCGAAACAGTCCAACTACACACGAGAGTATAGCAGCATACATCGAATATAAGTTCCATTGATTCGTTTTCAATCAGTATTCTTAATGACAAGATTAATATTTTCATTTAACGTAGCAGAATATCTTCAACGTTATATATGTTAGCATGAAACTGATGTGCCTATTGTTTAAGTGATCATCTTTAATTTTACTCTTAAAAGAAATGCGTGATATGTTGGTATATTATATTCATATAATGTGTAGGAAGAGAAAAAGGGGCGTTTTTCGTCTAACGACAGACGATCCCTGCCCCGGACGCCTATAACTCCGTTTTTTTGGAACTCATGCCGGGGGATCGCCAGTGAGAACGGACCCAAATCCCGTTGTCACCTGGTGGTCGCCCACCTGAGCTAAGGGCGTCCGGGGAGACTCACCGCCTTCCCCTTCGCCCCATTAAACGCCTACAAATGTATGCGTACCAAAAACAAAGAGGAGAATGTTATTGTTCACGGTAACATGTATCGTGGAACGTTTATTAAAGAACCAAATAAAGACCTTTACACGTCGTTCATGTATCTGACTGTCTATTTTCTGTCCAATCCCTAATGAAAGAAAAATGTTCACGTTGACTGAATCACTGTTCTTGGCACGGTGTCGAAACCCTTTGTAATTCAGTGCACGACGGATCGAGGATTCCCTATGGATCACCTTTCAGATAAGGGAGCCAAAGTAAACCGCTTCCGGGCATCGACAGTTGATATCCAACGCTATTTACAAAGACAATTGAATCTTCCTAACTCGATCACTGCCGCTTTATTAGTTTAGCAGATACGCGATAGCCGCCGCGAGAAACTTTCCAACCAGTTACCAAAGAAAACTCGCCCTTCCCCGTCTAAAGGAACAGCTAAACAAAATATCTCCTTTGTATAAACTCTCCAGGGCTACGTGTTGTAAATAACGTATAAATAACCGGGCTATTTACGTGCCTCCACCGTGGCTTGTAAATTTGTTGTGTACCTTGCAGTTATTGTACAATAACAACATAATCCTTAAATATTTTTAGTAAACCGAACAGCTACAACGTAACATTTTTCTTTTTGAATATTATTGAAAAATATTCTACAAAAGAAATTAAGTAGATTGATTAGTCATTATTTCTGGCAAGGGGTTAAACTTCATTTTCTCCTTTTTTCTCTGAAATCATGTTTACGATACGTTCGACAAAGATCACCGAGAGAGACTGGTTACGCGTAAAACTGTCACGATGATCGTGGGGTACAACTCTAACAGGTTTTATTTCACGCTCGACGATCAAAGGTCAATCGGTAGACGAGGCAGGAGGCAGTGGAGCAAGTGATGCGTGGCAGGAGTACGCTTCGCTTGGCCCAGCTCGTTTCGCTGAACTTTGAAGATTAAGCTCTACCGATCATAGAACGCGAAGCTCGTTAAATCCACGTGTAAATTTCACACACGATAAGCCTGCTAGCGTTTCAAGATTCGTGACGTTAATCTATCCTCGCATCTTGATGCACGCGACAGGTGTTCACGGTGACTCATGGCACATCAGAGATCCATCGAAAATCTAGACTTATCGTTGCACGTCACGGTTGTAAATGTAAATAAGAGAACAGTCGATAAAAAAAAAATCCAGTGAAATGGTTTCACTATGCACTGGCAACGCTACTGTACGATTATATAAAATACAAATATACAGAGAATCATATTATGAAGCAGTTCCATCTCAAAGCAATACCTTAATAGTGGCATATTGTCAATTTATACAAACTCGGAGACAATTAAGGGAACTTGTAGCTGCACTGAGGGCAATTTGGTTGCACGCAGGGTATCCCAGGAATGACAGGAGGGAAATGAAGAAATCCAGGCCTGGAAGGTAGATGCTCGGTGACCTGGGCGTACACGTGATCCCTCAGCTGCTGTTGTGCTCCAGAGTTGAAGTAATTATTGTACTGAACGTTAAAGGCCAACCCTTCCTCGTGCTGACCAGTCTTGATGGGCAGAGAGGTACAGGCTGTTGTGTCCGACACGATACTCTTTGGAAACTGATCAGGAACGATGTTCAGCAGACAGTAGCCGTCTCCATAGATGTTCCTGGAGAGGCTGGAGTAAAAAGGAGCCAGCATAGTTCCTGAGAGCGGTTCAGTTGACCTGGTTTCCTCGGTGGTCTGCGGTGGTCGAAAAGCAGAGGCATAAGCGGTCGAGTTGATGGCAAAACTATCGCTGGCGAAGTACTCGATCGCCTTCAACAGGTCTTGCCCGCATCTTTGTAAAACTAACTGAAGCACGGAGAGCTTTGTGTTGGGAAACAATCGCGCCAACGTCTCCACGGAGGTCTGTGACACACTGCTCTCTTTTGTCTCCTCTTGGTTGTTGAATACCAGGCTCTTGTACTTGGATCCGTTCTCGTTGATCGACTATAAAAGGGGACGAGGCGAGTAAGAAGGTTCTTGTTGTTTAAACAAGCAAGATGAGATCGTTTGAGTGGTGCTAATGGTTTGTTTCTTTTCTGTAATAAATATTCCTTTTTTTTTACCTACCGGAGAGTCTTGACGTTGATTTATCTGAGTGAAATCCTGCTTTGAATCTTCAGCCCCTTCCTCTTCCTCTTTCTGGCCTGAATCAGTCTCTTTATTATCATTGATTATTGACTTTGGTTCAGTCACCGACATTCCAAATATTTTCCCCGGTGGAAGACGACTCAGCTTCTGTCCAGTGGCCACTTTAGCCATTTTCAAGGCAATGGCGTCCTCCGCTGCTTGCTGCCTCTTCAGGGCCACCTTGTCGCATAAAATAGAAGAAACGATTCAGATTAAATTCCGTTAACGTGGAAATGTAGACAAAGAGGAAGATTGTTGGCAGTGAAAAATGAAGTCGGATCAGATCATCACTGCGTTACTGGATTTATAAATGGATCTGCCGCTTAGCCGATACTGCATATGTGTTTTCTTAACGGGCAATGTCAATAGAGATACATATGGGACCATTTGGCACGCGTTATTCCCGACTGGACCACCCACTATATTGTTTCACATCGTCGGGATTATTGAGGAAGCCTAACAGAGGGTACCCTCTTTTAGATTTTATGAGAGAAGATGAAGTAATGTGATCGAGTTACTCTAAAATCTAAACCAATGTTACTATAATCAATCTTCATTTACAGAAAAAGAATAAATTAACTATGTCAGAGGTTCCAGAAGCTAAATTGCATTGTTTTAAACCGAATTCACGCTGTTTCTTTGAGAAGTCGTCGATGTACCAGCTTTACATCGATTGAATCCAAATCGTCCCCTCGACGAGCTACGTATCGAGTGTCATAATGTCTATGCAAACAGAAATGAAACGCTACACCGCGCGTTAATGGATTTAATTCCTCTTCTCCCTCGACTGATCGACTGTTTTCCCAACATAGACGGAGGGTGAACGAGGCTCTAGGATCGAGTGGTACAAGTGCAACGAAAACTGAATCCGCTTATTGGCTCCCCTTTCATCAGGCTCATTTAAGGCTTACGCTTAATCGGTCGACGATAATTACATTTTTTTTTTCTTCTCTGCAAAACAACGAAGGGCAAATTAGCCGAGCTAAATACCGAAGGTGATGGAGATTGACCTTTTTCTTTCTAATTTCCCCCATTGCTTCAGGGTCAGATGCTTCGTTAATTAGTTAAATATTTTATATCGTTAAATTTAGTATGTTCTGCATAGAGGTGATATTTATTTGCAATGATGTCTTACCTGAGCAGCCATCACTCTCTGTCTCTCCGCTATCAAAGAACATTTCGGGCAGAGGCACTCGCGATAACGACACTCTCGTTTGTGTCCTCTCAACCAGGAGATCAAACCGTGATTCCTACAACGAGCACACTTTGGTCTCCTCTGTTTCACCTCACTCTCCTCCTCCTCGTTTGCAACCTTGTTCTTGTTCTTTCCACGCAGCATACTCTAATCGATCACCAATAAATCTGTTCAATCTCAAACTAGTCCCTTCATCCTCTCAGTCACAATTCTCTAACAAAATTAAAAACGAGAAATATGATACAACAGAGTTTTAATTTCAGTCGTTACACTTAACACTGTGTCCAAAATGAAAGGATTGTATAAAAGGTAGTTTAAAACCTCTTTCTTTTAGACACAGCTTGCACCAGGATGCTTTGGTATTAAGTCTGTTTATAAAATACTAATAAATATATTCAAATGATTAGAAGATATTGTGTCGAAAAGCAACTAAAGTCTCTGTACGATTGTTCATCCCTGACTGAGTTTGTCAGCATCGCCTAAAGAAAATCTCGCTCCTAAGATTTTGATTTTCCCTGCGGGGTGTCGTGCGATTGGCTCTGCACGCGTTCCTCTTCTCAACGCGGTTCCTCCAGTATAACCACGGTGAAGCAAGTTGAACAAACATTCGCTGGACCACCCTTTCTCGACGATTGGTTCCGAATGTTTGCTCTCCTCGCCACTCCTACTTCGGTGACTTGGTTGCTCGCTACAACAGGGATACGGCCTCCTCTGACCGTGGTTCCTGGACACCAAGAGTAACAAGAGAAGACATTTTTCCGCTGGAGTGACAAGATGATTCTTCTCGTACACTTTTTCGTTGATTCGATCGATACATGCTTCATTTCTTTAGGGATTCATACATCTATTACGATGAGAAGAAAAATAAACACAGCAGCAAAAAGATATTTTACATCTTGATATAATGAAAATGATAATTATATTACCAATGTTATTAAGAATATGATTAATGAAATTAAACTTTCAGCTTGCAGTCATCTTCTTCTATTCCTATTCTTGTAATAATGTGTAGAACTGAAGATTCTCCATGTTTGAAGGAAGAAACCTATTTCAATAAAATTAAAAAGAAAGAAGAATGAAATAAATATTTCCATACAAATGCCATTTGAAAAGAAAATGTAAATAAAATAATACCTGTCCACATTATGTATGTAACAATTTTCTACTCCAAAATATAAAATTACTCTGGTAAACTGAAAAAATAAAATAAAAGAATTATTAGAAAAATAAAAGAGATATAATGGTTTTGATGATATTAAATAATGTATTAGATACCAGCAGAGGTGAGGAATCGACGAGGACCGGAAGTAGAAGGCTGGTTGCAGAGAAGAGACATAAATTTGCCAAGAATCAATTCGATTGTATAATTCGCAGTTTATCATTTTTTTTTTATCTTCACGAGTACAGATTCGTAGCCGGTTAACGATTTGAGTGTGGATAATAATGAACGAGAACCCATTTTCGATATCGGACTCTGTTTCATTTTCTCTAAATATTTAAACATTCTTTGTGCCATTCTAAACGCATTCCTGCTTTGTATACACAGTGGAACGCGCAGCCATGATATGTGATTCCTTCGTTTTCTTCGACAAACGATCGATCCAAAGGCGGGAATTAAACCTTTTTCTTTTAACATTTCAAGTTCGTCGGTTGCCATAGGAATTGTGATCGAGTTCGTTGTTAGTTTTCAATAACATCTTCATTATTTTTATTATTCTGTACATTTGTACCTAAGTCGATTTGGATATGGTATTATGATATGATATGATTTAGCTTTTCATTGTAATTATTTTTTCCCCAGAAAACTTCCCTCATATTTTCAAATTCCCACCTTTGCACGTTCGTATTTCAGTATCTTTTGTTTGTTCGCTTAATTGTTAATAAAACTTCTTTTATACACTGGATTTTTGCAGGAAGCGAGGTGGGCAAGCCTTATTTTTTTTTCACAGCAGTTTCTTTAACATTCCTCGATCACAAACCGACACGGGCCCGATCGACAGAAGTGTGTTTCTGTTTTGTTGTCTTTTAAAATCCATCATCACTTAACAACAAGCTTAAGCCTAAGTAAAATTCCCATAAATAACGGATAACGTATCTTTTTAATTTGGCACGAACGACCGCTTCATCCGATCCGGAAGACGTTTTTGCCCGAGGACGAAATTAACACGGTTCATGATGTTAATTAAAAACGCAAATATTAAAAATTTCTTTAATTGATTACGCTAGGAAGAGAAAACGTGATTAGAAGAAAAAACTGCGCCCCCATAGGGGGGAATCGAACTCTGAATATTTTGTTAGCAATTAAGTTGCTTACCCCCTCCACCTTTCTCACCTACGCTTTTTACTTTCTTTTTTTTAATTACTTATTGTATAATTGTATTTATTATATTCTTTAATAGATATGATTAACATTAATAACGATTCTCTTAAAATTTTGAGAATCTATTTGAAACGCACTGTCTCGATAGTATACTTCTTTTATCATAGTATTTACAAAAAAGATTCTATACTGTTACGGAATCGATCAAGCGCTCTAATCTGTGTCTATCAATTTCTATAGTATGTAAATACCATTCACCTAATCATTTTTTAATTCTGCCTTTTCGTCCTGGAGCAATAGCAACCCGGATCTAGGTTTGAAGTATCAAGGTACGCCGGACGTTCTCGGACACATAATAAAAAATAAAGCATAATATCGTACGAGATCCATCGAAATTTTTTTTTTTTTTTTCTTCTCATGGTCGTGCGTGCCGTGATAATTTGTAACTCGATAAAAAACGTATGTTCTCGATGTACAATATTCTCTCAATATTCTTCGCTTTCGACGAGTAATAAAAGTTTGAAAAAATCGCGGGGCGCGTCGCCGAACCGTCGCGCATGCGTAAACGACGCCGACGCGCGCACGCTATATGATACGAGGACGAAGTGTGCGATTCTTAACAAGAACACACTGAAAGAAAAGAAACGTTCGTTTCAGCGGTTTTACAGGCGAGCATACATCGAAACGAATCCCTCGATGATCACGACCGATCGGCGGTTAAGTATAAAACGAAGCGTTTATTTTGCGAATATCTAAAAAACGAGTACCAACGTTCGTAAAAAGGGGCACCACAGTTTTCGGTGCGGATAGAAAATCGAATTCTCTTTTTGGCATAGCACAGATAAAAGTTCTCAAAAATTCGATTATAGATTATCACGACGTGATCGCTGAGGGATTAAATTCAAAGTGACGCCCGTGAAATTGTGCGAAGACGCGAAAGGAACAGAATTCCGCCTAGTATCGCGCAGAAGAAGCTCACAATTTATGTAAATCACACCGATTGGCCCCGAAAAAATCAGAGAATTACGATTTGTCGATTTCTAAATAGTGTGTGTGTAGTGTGTGTAGTGTGCGTGTACGTGTATGGCTTTATTTCCCTTTCGCTGCTCTTTCAGCTTGCCAATGGTAGACTCCATAAAGTCAGTTTCGCCTTTGACTAGACTTCTATTTAACCTTGCTTCTAAATATAACTGTAAATATGTATATACATTCATACACAGATACGCGGGTGCATCAGGTTGTTTAGGAATTAAAGCTACCTTTTAAAACAGAGTTGCAGGAAAACGTTTGTTGGAACTTGATTACTATACTGTGATTATGGTACACGCGCGTATCTGTTTACTAACAATCTTTTCGTACGCTCAACAGTTACATAGGATATGTATTCCTTCGTACGTTCTGTAAAATAATCGCTAACATCGGTAGTTCGTAGTGGCGGTGATAATGATACTAATCGCTTTTCTATCAAACCCTAATATCGACGGGATTGCGCTTCGACCGTGGTATTTCATCCCTTAAAGCTATCACAGGAAGGCGCGAGTGGACAAAATGGCGAAGCTGAACCGTTTACAAAATGGCTGGAACCTTAATTCGTTGATGTCTTTGAAGAAGAAGCAAATACAGACTGTCGACCAGATTACGTACCCTTTCTTATCCACTCGTACCTCGCAAGCATTAACGTACGAATCCTAAAGACACTCTGAAAGTTTTGAGAATTATAGCTACGTACAGTACTGCTCTATTTACATTCCAACTCTACGAGATACAATGACTAGCAATTCTCAAAACTCTTAGCGTTTATTAGCGAATTTTGAAAGTTAGACCGACGTTCGATGCTGGTCTCTAGTGTTGTTCAAGTTCAGTTTCGCGAAGAAAATGAATGAGAAAAAAAAAACGAGCCCTTCGAGGCAAGTCCCTTTAATTAGCGTCTCCTCGTAAAAACACTACCACGTACGCGGTCTACGTGTGTAAGACATACAGGAAGGAAATACTAAAATCTGGGTCAACACGGGGAAACGCGAGTGCCTAACGAACCTGTGTGTGAGCGCAAGCCTTGCGTATATGTACGTATAATTGTGTGTGTGTGTGTGTGTGTGTATCTCTCTGTATCTTCCGACGTGTCGAGTAATAAATCCTAATTAGCGTCGTTACAAAAACCTTACAACTATTCAACAAAAACCAATATCGTAACAACTTTTTATCTAGTTTTGTCGTTTATTCATTCGCGTGTTCGCCTCGATTTCTCTTCCTCTTCTCGCCGAGAAACTGTGCGACACCGGTCCCAATTTGTCACGCAGTAGTCTCGGACATCGAAGCACGACAATATTTTTCATGAAAGAGCGAGACACGTGTTTTCTGTTGGTTATCAACAGCCACGCGGTGGTCGTACTCGCGTTTTTCTACTGACCGCTCTTTCAAGAAACATCCGCCTTGTTCGTTGGTCACGAAAGGGACGATCGCTCGTCGAAATCGTGTTGGTTCGGAACGATCGCGTCCCTTTCGTCTAATAAGCTCGAGATAGCTGAACGAATGGTGAAAAATTGTACGCCCGATTTACCCTCCTACGATGAATCTCGACTAACGAGCTAACACTGGTACAGAATGAAGAACGCGTGCGTCGTTGGTCTCGTGAAACCTAACGTAACGTCGCTCTGTATCAAAATTAAAAAATCTATCAATAGTATAGAGTACGTTGTTCGATTAAAAAGAGATGTTACTAAGGCGGATCTAATGCTCTGGCACAATCATTGTAACAACAGCTCTCTTAAAGGATTACATGGAGGATGTCTCCTCTGACGGTCGTTGGAGGAAACTCCTCCAAGAGATTACTTGAACGATCACAGAGCATTAAGATACACCTTACTCGTGTATTCGCAGATGTCTGCCGTCCCTTTCGCTCGCGCAAATTTATCCTACTTGAAATACTCTGTGGTCGTGTCGAGACTACCGTGGACGATGCCACGCCGGGTCGAAAAACGTACGACAATGCTCTCTTTACAGAAGTGCTCGTCTTCTGCCTTGATCTCGCTTAAGTACCGTATGCACCACGACAACGACAATATGCCATTCCAGCTTCCCTCCTCTCAGTCGGTTACATCACAGAGCATTTCTCCTTCAAGCTGATCGCGTTGTTGCTCTGCACTGGCTGCAACGAGACGGACCTGTTCTTCTCGAGCATCAGCAGGTCCCGGAACAGGGCGTTCACGTTGTGATTTGTCTTCGCCGACGTTTCCAAAAATCCACAGCCCCAATTCGCAGCCTCCGCTGCACCCTCGCTTATCGACACCTCGCGTACCGATGGACTCTCGTCGCATTTGTTCCCCACCTATGGGAGGTGTTGGAAAATATAAAAAAAAGAAGAAAAAATTCTTAATATTAAAAAAAGGACATAAACAATGCTCTTTAGCCCTTAAACCATGGGAACAGGTGACCTTCGGAAAATTCTCTTTTCTCTACTACAATGTTACACCTTTGCGCTCCATAGCTTCTTCCTCGATAGCTATATAAATAGACAGATGTTTCTTTTACATGCTTCACTCTTTGTGCGCTCTATGCATGGTAGTGAAAGAAAAAAGAAAATCATGTGTCATGTTAAAAAAAAATAATACAAATTGTGGTGGATATTAGAGATATATAAAAATCACAATAGGAGAGGTGAAGTAACAAGAAAACAACGAGAGTATGAGAAAAGTAGGTCTTACCAGCATTATAGGTATCTGCGATATGTCCTGTCCCTTAAGCTCTCTAATAATGGCCCAGATGGGTCGTAGTTCCTCGAGGCTTTGCCGTGAGCACACCGAATATACAAGGATGAAGGCGTGACCTTTGCTAATAGAAAGCCGCTGCATCGCGGGAAACTGATGAGACCCCGTTGTGTCCGTAATTTGAAGCGTGCATATGTTTTTGTTGCAGCTTATCACCTGAAATATTGCAGCGCATTGTCCGATTTATTTCCTGCTCGTCACGCTTCTTCTCGCGCACACAGCACGGGTCTCAACAATTTCACCGACGACGCTTCTTTTGTATTTAGTATCGCATCGATCGATTATCGAATAATTTAAATTCTTTACCTTACCTCGATCGATAGACTGTTCGATATCGAACAACCGATTAATCGAAATCGAGCGATAACCTAAACTATCAATTAATCGATCGATTGTGCGATATTCGTTGCAGCGCCGTTTATAAATTTAATTTATAACCTAGAAAAGAATATTGTTTATACTAATTGCGATTGTTATGCAGAAATATTTATCGACAGAGGTCGCATTATGCATTAAAATATTCAATAGTGAAATATCGTTATTTGTGAAATAATCAAAATGATAATTGATCATTTGAAAGTAAAAGGTATTCAAACAACTTGAATCGAATCTCTAAACTAACCCTATTATCTCAGTCTCTAGGCGAATCGTATGGCAACATCGAGAACGAATTTGAAATGCAAATAGAAGAGAGAAAAAAAATTTGCCGAGAAGATAAACTGTTTACTCGGGGCTCAGTTCCATGTGGATTTCGCGATTACGGAACGAGATAATGGTTGAAAGATGAACGATTAGAGCAATGATCTTGCATCATGTATGAATCATCGGTAAAACGTCACCGTTTTACGTCACGATACACGCTTTTATCTGATTTGGAAAATCTATTACCACTGTCCGATACATGACGTTCCTCTACTACTTGCGTTGTCTCCATAGTACAATTCCACGTCACTTGTGCCATTAATAGTCAACCGATACCACTGCTTTCACTGTATTAACAATGCAGTCTAAATTTCAAGATCATACAATACTCGTACGTATTCTACAACCCTTTTCTCCTTTCCATATACCAGTGGTTTACATAATGTAAAATAGGGGTTGATATGCTTTTATTGAACTTACCTGTCTATAGGTGTCCTCGATTGTCGGGATGTAGGACTCGCGAAAGGTTCCTTTCACGAAACGTAGAACCAGAGAACTCTTGCCAACGCCACCCGCTCCAAACACCACCACGCGGTAGTCGTTACTCTGCTCCGGCATCCTGACATCTGCCGTCCCGACGATCTTAACCCCCGCCACACGGGGTCCCTTTTGCGAGATCGTTTAAATCTGTCTCCCACACAACATATAAAACAAAATTGATTCGTACGCCCACGGTTTTTTCCGAAAAGGTTGCAGCAACCCTTCTCTCTCTGCAACCGAGTTATTTTTCTTTTTTTACGCCTCTGCTGGCTCGTATTTACACTCTTTGACTCCTACGAGCAGTTTCCAGTTGGCTGGTCGTACAAAGAGAAAAAGGCACCGAATGCCAATATACCTGTATTCTAGTTTGATCGTTGAAATTGATTTTCAAGGTACATTTGAATTTAGTTAAGCAAAACTCGAGGAAACTAAATGCAAGGTTATCGAGCCGTACCACGTGTTCTTCTATTTTAAAATGATTCAATTTACTCGTTGATCGAATAGATCATTTTCACGATTAAAGGCACAGTATTTCAACACTGGATTAAAGAGATTGTCCAATCACGGTACGGATAAATGTGTTTGTACAAACATTGAAATGTCCAGCGGAAAAAAACGATGACCCGATACCTGCCACTTCACAAATCCTCTTATGACCTATAATCATCCATCTATACATACATGAATTCAACAAGTGATATTTGAAACTGAGCTTCCTTGTCATTGTCAAATAACATTTACCGCAATATCCACTTCAAACGTGAACGTTCAAACAAATTTTTTTCAGATTTCCAACAATTCTTACATTTAGTTTCAACAAGTTGCTAATCGATCAATTTCGAAAACTATATTAAATAATATATTAATCGGTATAAGCCAGCAGAGAGCGGGATAGTTTAATTATCGTCGAGTGAATTCTGAACCACGACCACGGTTAAACATCGTCGCGTCACGAGTCCCATTAAGCGATAAGATCACGATCCCATTGACCCGGCGATGGTGTCGCGAAGGATCTGCAAGCGATAAACCGTCTTTATGGACATGATCGAGCGGATGACACTTTCACGTGGCTCCTTCTCGTCTAAGAAACCACTTGGATCTGTAATCGAGTAGGCTGGACGAGTTATTGAAATCGTTGCTGTACCTTCTTCTGCCTCAGGATTATCCTGGAGTAAACACCAGGCTTGACGTTGAGTTCAAGAGGACGTGCAGGTTCGACAGGGCCGTGAACGACACCCTTAATCGTGCAGGCAACGTGCCAGCCAAGAAGATTTCTCCAGCCGCCGGTCGGAGACGATAACAACTGGTCTATCCAAGGATGTTTCTCAGGCAACGATGTTCTCAGGTGTCCCAAAATGATTTCTGATGTAACTTCGAACGTTGAATACACGTTAATGACCACTGTTAATTTGCGAATCGATCGACGGGTGTTGCATCCGATTTCCATCCACAAGCGGGATCAGCATATTCGCCTACTCTCCAGGCTTTCGGTTGCATGAACTTTGACGATTTCGAAGGGAAACGAAGCGCACGCCCTCCGTATCGGGGCTCGCCCCACTCCACCGGGAAAACGTGTGTATGTGCGTTAGGTACGTGCGCACTACGCCAAAAGTGCTAAGGAAAATCAATAGCACGTTCGTGTACCGGTGCACACGCACGCTAGGTATGTGTAATTTCAAATTTCGTTGCTTCTTTTTTTCAGGATTTTCTTCTTGCAAGAGGTCTTTGCTAACTCGACGGGAAAATTCGGGCAAATTGGTTTGATCGAGGAGCGGCCAATTGTATTCTACAAGCTAAGGATGCTGCTGCAGCTCCTAAAAAATACTGTTCATGTCAACTAAACAAGGATCTGTGAGGAATTATTTTTTATAGGATTAATGAATTATAGAAATTAAAAAAAAATGAAGTATACGTACTATTTTATTGCTTTATCAATGTTGTTGATGTCAATACCTTGTACCGTGTCTTTCTTTACAGTGCCTCATAACCTAACTGACATCGATATGATATAGCTTGTACGGTTATTATAAATCTCTTACATATCAGTTATTATAAAATTCTTATATACCACAGCCATAATGTTATTTATTGAAATAAAATCACTAATGCATCAATGTATAATACCTAATAGTCTTTTACCACTGGATTTCTTGTAATAACATCACTGCCTTCGTTCTCAATTGATTCATAAGTCCATTTGCGATTACTCCTATTAAATAATTCATACTTACATAGTATTATAAATTTAATTAATTTAATGTAATTAGGATAAAATGTTGAATATCAAACCTGCAGTCGTGACCACATTTTGTAGAACCACATTTAGAACAAGGAAAATGACAACCAGCACAACTTAAATTTAAACAATCACAAAAATCAATCCCTGTTCGTATATGAATACCCCTTTCATTGTACATGGTATGTCTTTTGCAACCCTGATATATTCGTCGATGAAGTTTACGTTTTTCTCTTTCACTACGCTCTGGATCGAAATTTCGAAGGAATTTTGTTGTTCCAGAAGTATCATCCGCTTTTTGACGGGTTCCTCGAGTACTTTTCTGCGATCAAAAATACGTAATAATGATATTTTGAAACTTCAAACGTGTACCAATAAAGGAGATACTTACTCGTTCAGCGCGTGATGCGGATTCAGTATTTGAATTTGAAGATTCGCCAGAATTTTCCGTTTCCATAATGCTTTCTTTGAACGTTATTAAAATAAATTGTACAAATACGTTAAAAGTTTCAATCTACATAACCTTTAACACAGGAGACATCAATTTCTCCTCTCAAACCAATCGTACACGCATGATTCTGTAAATTGCACTACATCTCGTAGTGAAAAGCGAAAGTTGCACATTAATATGATTAAAAACTTAAGTACGATTAAATAAGAACCCAAGTTACTTAGCAAAATAAATAAATTATTACTTTGTAAGCGTCCATACGTATTTGTAGTGACAATTATTGAAAATATCGATAAGTAAGATTGCTCTGTTTAGTTATTACTTTACTGGCAAGTGATAAAGATTTGTGTTGCTGCGCCATCTGTTATTTAATAATTTAACACATATTTTATTCTAAAATGACTTGCAGGTTTATTTACAGAATTAAGAATACTTTTCACAACAGCAGAGTGGCGCAGTGGAAGCGTGCTGGGCCCATAACCCAGAGGTCCGTGGATCGAAACCACGCTCTGCTAAGGGATCGTTTTCCATTTCTTTTTTTTCTAAAATAGCTTTTTTGTAACACTTGTTATAATTTAAACAATATAAATAATACAAAAGCAAAAGAAAAAGGAAAATAATCGCCCAACGTGGGGCTCGAACCCACGACCCTGAGATTAAGAGTCTCATGCTCTACCGACTGAGCTAGCCGGGCTTGAAAGTTTGTTTTTTATTCTCCCATATGAAGCGGCTGATTGCAACAGCAAAAAACTATGGATAAAACTATAACAAGTCATTTATTTATACATTCAATAAACACATCTATTTAAGCGTAAGTTAATTAATGCCTCAAGGACTTACGTCCTTTTTACATAGCTGCTTTCAATAATTTTTTCGCTTCTTCAACATGGAAGACTCTCAATTTCAAATAATTTCTTTGGTAAATGTTTTCAAATAAATATACCTTTAAAAATTAAAATCTATCGAAATAAATTAATTCGTTAAATACATTATGGCACATAACACTAAGTAATTTACTAAGTTACAGAAATAAAATTGTACTTGGAAACTCTTCTTCTTCTTCGCTGGTCCCTCTCGGTTCGGCAGCTACCTACACCTTCAACAACAAATTGTTAATCATCTTGTGTGTATTACAATTGTTAAGCATTAAAAAAAGTTATTAAATGAACACATGTATCATTGTACCATAGTTAAGTGTTGAATATATCAATGCTATTAATGAACGAATATTATCAGAAACGGTAACAGCAGTACAGCAAATAAGTAATGACCGATGTTAGTAGCTGTCGAACATTCGAATGGACAATCAAACGAACCGTCTGTTTTATTTTGCAGCAAAAGATGCCTTACAAGTTTTTTACCCTCGCATGGATTCTCAAGTTTAATAAACATTATTTTTCGTGCCTCGAGGAATTGTTCCAATTCAACTCGGCACCTCCACTTCAGAGGATTTCCAGAGAACTCGACGATGTACACATTAGGCATGTCATTTAAGTCGCTTGTAAAAATACATTTCAGATCATTGCCTTCGAGGTTCAAATAAGTTAGTCGATTCAAATTTCTAAACGTTCCAGGTTCTATGTACTTGATCGAGTTACCCCGTAAATCTAATCTCTCCAGATTTTCCAAAACAAACCAGGAAGATCCTATCATCTCCAATGGGTTGTCCTGAATGGTTAAATTCTCCAGTTTGTTCATACCATTAAAGGCACCCTGTTCCACGGTGGTTAATCCAGAATTTCTAATCACAAGTTCCTTCAGATTTGTGAATCTATGGAAGACGCCACTTGGTAATCGTGGAAGATGACCATCGTGGAATTCAATAACGGTTACCTCGGGAGGTATGGATTGCAACAACAATAAATTACCACCGCTACAGACATATCGAATTCCTGTCGCATCCTCCTGGCTGGTGCAGCTTCCTTCGATGGTCTCGTTCCTGGTGGGAACGCTGACGGTCGTCGCAGGAGGGATGGCGGTCGTTTCTGGAAGCTGCGTCGCATAACAATCCTCCCTCAGCAGCAACGAATGCTTGTCGTAACGAATTCCTCGAGAATTTAGGAACTCTGCTATTTTCGTGCCGCACAGACAGGACCAAGGATTGCTGGAAACACGTAGAGACGATAAATAATGCAAGTGATTGGCCATGTACCCGACGCCGATGCAGTTCATGGAATTTTCAGAGATGTCGAGGCTCGTGAGGTACGGCAAACGATCGAATACATCATTCGTGATTCTGTAAATATTGTTATGAGATAGATCCAGGCTTCTCAAGTTGGACAGACCCTGAAGCATTTCTGCGTTGATAGATTCGAGCTGATTACCACGCAGAGACAAGTACTCGAGATTGTAAAGATTGGAAAAAGCCCGAGGCTCGATCTCCTCGATACCACAGTCTCTGAACTCCAGTCTTGATAGATATCCGTTGAAGCGTGAAAAGCTGTGCTCAGAAATCTTCTTAATATTCGACAACATAACTCGGATTGTGTGTGCCGTTGGCGGTATCGCACCCAGTTCCTCGAGCGACGTTATAGCTCTACAAGCGTAAATTGATCTGGATTGACCGTCAGTTTTCTCAGGGTAGCACGCACCGGTGTAAGTAGGTGGTTGCGGAGTCACAGTATGAATTTCTACAGGCGGAGTAGACGGAGTTGGCCTTACAGTTGTAATATTTGAGCGTTTAATGCTGTCTTCGAAGGAGGTCCAATGTACTTTTCCTTTAATGACTGTAGAGCCTTCGGTTGTCTGTATAAACAAATAACACTTATAAATTTTTGAATTTGAACGGAGAATACTACTCTATACAATGGAGTGTATTGGTAGTAATAAAATGACCATTTATTTAATCCATCATGAAATATTTCTAAATTCTGAAATATTTACATAACATATAATTAGTAAAAAATTATGAATTAAAAATGATTATTTTAAGCGTAAAAGGTGATGCTGTGAAAATTTATACCGAATATGATTAGCGTTGTACCTGTTGCAATGGCCAGTCGCTGCTGACATCTGGAATGTCGTTTTCGTTCGCGTAACATCGTCCCGCGTTAATCTCGAATCCGATATTTTTCCTTGTCAGAAAGTTTTGAAGATTATTACGACAGCTACAGAGCCAAGGATTACCAATTGCGTCCAATCTTTCCAGCTTCTTCAATTCGGCTAATTCCTCGACAGCTATGCAACGCAACCTATTATTTCGTATATCAAGATGCCGTAAACTGTCGCCGACATGCGACAACGAGCTTCTTTCAAACTGTTCGATATCGTTTCTTTCCAGGATCAATTGTTGAAGATTGACGAGATCCCGAAACCAGTACGCACCAATTGTGGAAAAATGGTTACCGACCAACGAGAGGCGTTGCAACCTGTGCAACCCTGCGAAAGCGCCATTTTCAATAACGCCGATGCGACAGTTGTTCAATTCCAAACTCCTCAAGCTATTTCCAAAACGGAAAAACGCGTATCTTGGAAGCTGATCTATCACCAAACCGGAAATCTCGATCCAGGTAGTTTTATCCGGAAGTCTGTCCAAGGAGGTGAAAACGTTGGTTTGAAATTCATTGCCACGATTCGTCAGTCGGTCCTGAAATAACAAATTACCAATTAAACTCGACTAAGGTAAGCAATTTAACGTTTCTGTTTACCCTATCGAAATTGTTCAAGTGTTGCGTAGTTAACGAGGAGGGAACGACAGGAAATCCAATTGGCGTCATGCATTGGTATTTTCTGCAAACGTTCATCTCCCTCAAACATTGTACTTCCTGAACGATAGAACGAGATCCGAAGTATTCGTCTAATCTTTGCCGACATTCGCAGAGCCAGGGGTTCCCATCGATGCGTACGGTCCTGAGCGCGCGCAGATACGAAAGCTCCTCGATCGGTAAACAGTCAAGATCGTTATCCCGCAGGCCAAGAGTTTCGATTCTGGGTAGCAGGCGAAAAACATCAGGCTCGATGTGCACCAAACCGCATCTGCGAACGGATTTATGATTCACTGTACCTACACGTACATTATCATTTTTACGTAACCGTTTGTTTTTCATTGTATTCACGAGGGCGCTCACGGCGTTTCGCAAAGAAGGAAACACCGTGTTTCCGCGTTTCTCATGCAAATCACGGCCCACTAACGTTACCAATAAGGTATCATCATTCTCTTACATTTCAATACCTTTTTCAAACTGAAATTCATTATTTAATCGGACGTACTATTTCACGATGCGTAATTCTGACTATTTAATATTACTATTTAGGATAAAATTCTGATGCTCACTTCAGGACCCTTCCCTGATCAGTTAATATAGGTAATACATATAACTGTCCTTTTTTAACAATTACAAAATAACGACGGATAATAATTGATCTTGTTTATGGAATTCCAGTTCGGTTATGTAAACCTCTTACCTGTCCAAGATCAGTTTCCTCAAGTCGATTAAAGGACGGAACCACGCGGTCCTAGCCACGTGAATTTTAGTCCCATGGAATATCAACCACTCGAGCCGATTTAGACCGGCAAACGCGTCTGGATCGATGAAGTTCACGTGGCAATTGTAAAAGGACAGTCGTCGAAGGTTCTTGAATCTCGAGAACGCGTTGCCAGGTATATGGTGGAACCGGGACACCGTAAACTCTATCCATTCTGCCTCGGTGGATATCTCGTCGAGGTCGTTCAGGTCGCCATGCGTACAGGCGTAGGCGATCGACCGTTCGTCATCCACAATCGGTGCTAGGCTACATTTGCAATGCACTTGGCCAATTAGGGCGACCACCAACGCCCAAAGTAAAATCTGATGCATCTTTTTCCAATTCCAGGCTCACCGCGTCACCTGAAAATGCTTCAGTCTCGTTCTCCAGAAATAACGTTAGCAACATTGAAGGTCTTGATGCTGGGACCTTGAATCCGTTTTAGAGATTTATAGAGGTCTAGAGAAGGTTTAATAACTAAATTTTGAATTTCATAGAAATCTCTTAAGTTATGCAACTGGAAAGATTGATCAGTGATTTTCTTTTTAATTTAGAACAAACAAGATTCCAACGAGTGGCTCATGATTTACCCGTTTAGTCGTAGAAGTTCCACTGCTCCAGTTGTTTAGCATGTAGAGCGTGTTTTTACTTCGCACACCGGAAAAGCCACTTGTTACAGCTCACCATGGCCACGTTCAAACGAGTCAACCACGATCCTCTTCCTATCAGCCACAGAACGATTCACTTTTCACGTGTAAGGACCTCACGAACTGACCCACCGATGTACTCTTCACTGATCAGCTAATTCTGACCTTCTCATTATCTTCATAATCACTTGCTGCAAGTTTCCAATCAAATTATCATCTTGTTCCTATACCGTATGTAAGTGTATTTGATCACTTGGTGTTTACAATTGTTTTATACATTGTTTCTAGTAAATATATAGATGATCTAAATGAATGGGAGGTAAGGGTACACTAGGAAACACTGGTTCTAGACTAACGTCAAGTCGTTTTCAGGTTGTTTTGACCATTTGAAGCAACAGGAAGGTTCACAAACAGCAGTATGAATTAGGAGGATATAGTGGATGCAAGAATGCACCAGGAAGCATGAACTTACAAGAGCGTGTCTCGGATCGGTGGATCGAAACGGAGCGGCGCAACTGAGCTGGTGGTTCGCGCGCTTCCTCGTTATATAAACTTCTAAGGCCAAGGTCTCCCTTGTCCCCCGCGCCGGTTCTAGGTACACACGCCGATCCCTGAGCACTGCAACCTATCTTTAGCATGCACCGCTCTAGTTTGGCAGGAAAACTCGTGCGATACACTTGCCAGCCTCTGACCAGTCCGCACCTGTAAAACACGACCACCGGCAAGGTCTGGGGCAGTCTAAGAGTTGGCGGTAACATCCGTGCAGTTGGTGAAACGTTTCCCTGACAGATTGATGCGATTCCAGGGCTTTTCATTTGCCGTGCTTCACCTGCAGACCTTGAATTTTCAAGGTGCAGTCATGTTTCTGCAATTACAGAGTAGTCACGGTTCCGTGATGACCTACAATATGTACTGTTCCGGAGGATGCCTTTGACTGTTCCTCATTATGTCCTAACATGAAACAGCACTGCTCTGAATGGCGCGTCAGCTGGTGTGCCGTTTTCATGAATTTCTTTAGTCCATCCTTACTTATTCACGCACCGCGCTATTATTATTGGAACGTGTACTTTTAGACGACCTCTTACAACACCGCTATGGTGTTAAAACTTGGTCCAATTCCGCTGGGATAAATCAGTCGATGCGTAGATACCAGTTGCGTATCTTATCTATCTCTGATGTTGGATGCCATTAGCTGGCCAGTAGAGTTTAGTAAATTTACTCTGCTGGCCCTTGACGTATACTGTTTTAGTACGAGTTGGATAATAGGGAGGTAATCTAACTTCTGATCAGGGTCAAGTTAACCACACCCTACCAGTTCAGGGCCAATCTTGCCATTTAATCCATAACGATCAGTTTACTTTTCTAATTTATTTTCAAACTTGCAGGTTTCACATACGTCTATTAAACTTTCCATCGATTTGACAAACGATTTGACAAGCCATCCGAAGTTCATTATGGAAAATATTAACAATGATATATAAAAATCATAAGGTAAAATCGAATTGAGGAAGAAGAACAAAGTACATATGTAAGACCTTTCATGTTAACCTGCTCTTAAGCAGACATGTTCAAACTATTTCTCTTTTAGGAGATCCCTTTAAAGTGTAATTGACATAGAGATTCTCAGCTTTTCGCCAGCAATGTATAACGTGGAATCGCGTGACGCTGGAATTAGTGCTTGATGGTGATTAGTCGTCGCTGTTACGCCGTTCATCCATCCATTTTACCCATCCAAGTCGAAGACGATGCATCGTTATTGCCCGGCAGTCTCTCGCGGGCTGTCGTTCGCAGCGCATGCAGTTCCGCGTTCGTTCGCCACCGTCCGCCAAGTACGTTCAAGTTTATAACGTTTAACCCTTATTTAACGAACGATTTATCTAGAAATTTCATTAAATAATCTAATCAATGAAATTTATTTCTTAATCTCAACAACAAACATATAAAAATTTTGCGATTAACAGTCAGTTTTCTAGATATACGTGTATAGTTTGTTTGCAAGAGAAGGGTTAAAATGAATCACTGTTCGGTTGGTATTAAACGGTGTTAAATAGTTTGGTGAGTGGTGGATAATATTCCCAATCGCATCGTCACTTGTATACCAACGGTATTAACTGTTAAGGTAATTACAAGCGGGTATCCACTGCAGCATCTAAGCGTTCTAGAAATCTTGAGATACTATCGAGCCGTCTGTACCGTTAATTTCAACGGCCAATCTAAAGCATTTCGCGGTTGCAATTTCATTCTTGCATACCAATTTAAACTGTCCTATATCTTCCTACATTCTATATTGGTACCATGCTTATAAAAACGTTAGATGCTTCAAATTCCTATTAATTTGACAAAAGCTTGAATATGTTTGAATTTTCTTGTATTAGGAAACGGTGTTTCAATTGAGGCCAGCCGGAAAAAGGCAACAGGCAAAAAAATGGATTCTCATGACTGCTACACGAGGCACTCGAGTCATGATCCATGGCTAGATCTACGTAGGACGCCAGGAGCCGTAACCATGCCAGGTGGGTAGAGTCGAACAAGTATTTGGAGCGCGACAGATACCGATGGGCTTCGGTTTAGAAATTTTGCAAAATCTGAATCTCTCATATGACATTAATCGCTCTATGTAATTAAGTGGGAGATAATGGAGATTACCGAATACCTCCTTCTACCTAAAAGTGCCCCGTACCAACTCTGAATACGACGTAAACGACTGGCTTCCTCCACACGGGGATTCGCGCGTTACCTAACGCATACGTTATACGGCCGACAAATGAAATTAGCGGTGATTAGGTCAGAAGGTCACCCACTTCGCGTAGAGCAAGGTCGAGCCTAGAGCGGATCGGGTATCTCACCTACGTGCCTCGCGTACCTTCAAACAAGCAAAAAACCGACCACGTCGTATGGTGCTCTTTTTTTTATTTTTCTGCTCCGGGAAACGACGGAATGCTTGGAAGATTTCTCCAGGATGACGAGGTTTTTCCCTCGAGCGCATTCTGCTCAATGATTAGATTGCGCCATGAGTTTGCAACGGCAAATCGATTTTCCATGCTGCGCGCCAGACGCATAGTAATTTTTCAAACGAAGTTTTTAGTCTACCGCTTTGCACCGTTGACTCGATGTCCTTGCTTCAGCTATCCCGAGGACTATAAAGGAGTTCGAGTTAAGAGGAGGACCTTCACGGTGTCTTCATTTTTTCATATACAAATTAGTGAATTACGATGTCAAAGGATGCTCACATTTTGATATAATTCCAGAATCATCGTCCAAAAGCTCCACCTCCTCGCGAGTCCTCGCTCAACAATCCTGTCCGTAGACAGAGGTCTGCTAGATAAACCTTACCGATGGAGTCCGCTATGATGCCTTGGACAAAACACATACACCATCCTTTTCCTGCACGCTGCTACGTTTATAACAAGCAAGTGAGCGATGCCGAGCGAAGGGAAGAACGAGCAATTGGCAGAAGGGAAGGAGGGAGTCTACGGTAAGAGAGGTCACTCCACGGAATAACGTGGAATGGAATGGCATGGACGTAAGCCAGTCCACATTGAACTGCCGAATCGCGCAGATCGGTTCCCGAGCCACGCGACTCCATTCACTTTTTCGCGCTTCTCTTGCTGCGGTCGTTCCCTCGTCACACGGTGCACCTCTCGCCTGCGGTTGATACTCCGGCCAGCCCGCGACTACTGGACCCTAAAATTGGATACCTATGTACAGGTGCGATCATGTTCGCTTCAAGTGTACCGTCTACGGCTCGGATACGGGCTACCTGTTGCCTTCTTACATAATATTCTTCAATCGTGACACCTTAAAGCATCGTAGGATCTTCAGGATCGTGTAGACCTGATGAAAGCAACGTAGGACCTTTAAATGCCTAAATGTTCACCGCTTCACGCGAGGCCGAAAATATTATTGAAAACGGATGTTATTAAGGAAATCCTAAGACCCGCACCAGACACGCTTATCCGTGGCGATTTCGAGGGCGTTCGAGCGAAGGCGATCAAAGTGTGGCGATAATAAAGGCTGCCACGCGGTCCATTGAATCGCGAAATGTTCCTTACGGCTTTCGTGCATGTGGGCTGACTCCAGTGCCGCCCCTGGTGTGTTCTCGGTGCTGGTGGCTGCGGTACTGTCCAACCTATTGCTCCCGTTGACAATGTGTAGGCCGTGGAAAAAGGTTTATCGCCGCCACACCCTGCGGCGTGAAATGAAAAACGTCTAACAACGATGGAACCTTGCCTGTTTGTCATCGCGCCTCGAGGAATTCTACTTTGTTACTTCAAGGAGTTTCTCAGGACACAAAGTTATACCAGTGCTGTTGGTGATTTTAGATCAGCTTTTAAACTTTCTTATACTCGCCTATCTCTTTCTAGTCAGCCCGTGCGAAGCAGGGCTTTAAATTCTCAAACATTAAGATTCAAAACATTCTTCCAGGATCCAGTTAGACTGCATACGCCCACAAGTAGCAGGCCTTAACTGTACAACAGACCATGAAACTCAAGACTGTTTGCAATCAGCTGTTAACGGTGGATACAGGAGATTATAGAGCGCCTATGTTGAATTACGTGACTACGTTCAGCCTGCACGCGTACACCCTGACAGATCTGTCAATTTGCCAATTATCCGAGGTTCGGTAGCTCCACGGGAACGCCGTGTATCTCTAGCAACGATCCATTCCCCAGGAATTCCAATTCCTTCGGCGGACAGGAATCGCGCGCGACTTGCTACTACCTAGGAATAACCGGTCATGTACGTGCGCTTATGTGGCAGCTACAGTGGATCTTGTATCGTGCTACAGCACCCCTCGTATCCCTGGACATTTGTCATTCTTTTTTTTTTTTTTCAATTTGTACTGGTGAGACTGTCGAGCTTAGGTCTCTGATGAATCTTCATTTATTCGCAACTTATAATTTCAGAAGTTACGTTAATGAAAAAAGTTACACAGGGATGATCAGCCGCGTTGCTTAAAACCCTGTCGATGGTATTTACGGTCGTTCTGGAAACACCCTGTATAAGGATCGGTCGCAGATCGTCCGTGTATCCCGAGTTTAGTATGTACGGTACAAGTATTCCGTGTCGAGCGAACAGCCACGGGTGCAGGGTAGTACTTACGTACGTATGTACAGAACGTAGTTACGTACCGGGCATGCATCTTTATTATTGGCCGAGAACCCGTACGTGCGACGAGGTTCGATGAACCTTTACAGTATACATGTACGTATACGGATGTGTACCCTTCCGATCGAAGTTCTCCAGTGTATATTCACCGCTGAAAATCCGTTGGGTCTCACCGGTTTTCTCCTGAGAACCGGTGCAGCCAACTCCTTTGGAAGTTCTTCTTAGCCAATAACAAATGTATGTTGTATAATCAGGCTCGAGTTAGATATTGCATTAACAGAGTTGTGCATCCATCCTTGCCGTTAGTGAGAATTGCAAAATCTTCAAAACGATGAAAGCGAAGTGAAACGTCCAGTGAAAAGGTTTTAGAAATTCTTAGGTAAGGTGGAAAATATCAGAGATTTATATTTATGTTTTTCAATATTGTAATCAACATCATCATTAATGGTATCTTGTTCCAGCAGAACCTGATTATATGTCCGTAGTATCTTGGTACGTAGTATCTTGTGTATCTGTTGATATTCGTCGACTTATCATGACCAATTCGTTTCTTATCATACATATCTTCGCCAGTGTCTATTGAAGTGTTGTGGAAGTACTGACAACGTATGTGAAAGGCTAAGAAATACTAAATTCGAGTAAATTTTAGCATCGAAAAGGATATATCAATTACAGTGATACCCTGGCTATCTAAAATGCTACGACAATTATTGGACGCAATAGGAGGGAACTCGGTACGCTTTGATCGTTCTAAAACTTAGAATATATAGACGGCTGGGACCCCTGTCCTTCCCACGGTATTTCTAGACGACTCGTTTATTTGCATTTCGCGGAGGTGTGTTGTACCTCTTTTCCGTTTGGTCTCGCGTTTCGAGTGGCGTCCTTCGTTTCTATAATTATTTATCGCATGTTTCGTTTCTAGAGTAAGATTCAACGTGGCTGCCACCGTTTTAATACGTATCCGCAGGCGTGAACAGATCGAATTCGTACTCGTAAGAGAAGATATCCCGTCAAGGATGTCACACTTGCGGTTTCGATGTTGCACCTGCACTGTTAATCCAGAAACGTTCGCGTACGTTAGCGTCTGTACCGAACAGATAGAAATCTGGAGAGTGCTTTACGATCGCGAGGACGCGTGGGAGAACGATGTACTGTTCGATTGTATTTTACCGGATTTTATTACATTTTGGAAATTTAATTTTTTCCTTTCTTTTTGTTTCAGGCTCGAAGCGGAATGTCCGTGGGTTCGGGAGGGCGGGCGCCGTTTAAACGGGCATCAGCCACCTCTATTCCGATCACGAGCAAGTCCACAAAAATCCGGTAAGTGTAGCGAAATAAGTTTTCCTATAGACAAATTCAAATTTTTATTTTTCTACTTATCCATTGCTTTCCCGCCAAGTTTTTCAATTCTTGTATGTACCGACCTAGTAGAAATCCCTGTCGATAAAGATAACGCTGTAAGGTTTCCGGTAACTTGGCATTGATGGCGCTGTGTGTGCTTTTTCGCGGCAGTGCTTGTCTACCGGTTCACGCAATAAAACGTTTGAATTATTGAAATAGAAGGCAGACTCGTTACTGCAATCGTAATGGGCTTGCTTTAACGAGCCTTACCTCGTCTGTCACGCGTCGAGAAACCGGTCGTACCATTATTTTTACGAAAATTCCGTTATCTACCTGTCGCAGTCATTGGCGTCGTTTTCTCTGGGTCGAATGGGCGTTACGTATTGCATTAGCAATTAAACTTACTTCCAGCGAAATGTGACAAGTATATACTTCTATAATACGACTTTTTTCGGAAGATTTTTATTAATTTTCAGATATTAAATAAATTCAATGGAATGTGACTTTACGGGATGAGCGAAAATGACGTCGGGGATATAGCTCAGTGGTAGAGCATTCGACTGCAGATCGAGAGGTCCCCGGTTCAAACCCGGGTGTCCCCTGTGTTTTTTTTTTTTTTTTTTTTTGTAATGTCAATTTTGAGGTTGAGCTATTTTATCGTATAGAAATCAGTAATTATTTTTTTTTCTAGATACAAAACCATTGGCTTAGAGTTTACGTAAGAGATTAAAGGAGTATTATTCGAGTAATAAAATAGGATACAAATGATCGCGAGTGCATATCATCATCAATCTTCAGTAGTTCGAGAAACAAAATCACGTGACGCGTAATAAGGTTACTGTCCGCAAGGTGTTCGGTAGAAAATCAGCCCTTACTTCGAAGGTGGGAGTGTTAACGCATCTTCTGGTTATGTAATTCTTTACGAGTCATTTGCATATTCATTGAAGGAACACTGTTGCATTACCGGCTTCGGCATTCTATACATTTTTATCAGATCTTTCTCTCATGAAAATTCAAGGCATTCCGTCACCTTGTGACACACATAAATGCAGCGTTATCACAACCATCTATAACCTACAATATTATAATAGAAGACGCTATGAATACAATGACTAAAGCCAGTTTCAAAAATAATGGTAATGACTTTAGTGTCCCTATTACAAATTGTATATGGTAGAGATAAAATTGGGCGCCATTTTCTTTTTGAATTCCAAGGTTTAACGCGAATCTATTATTGCGAATTTCAGATCAAAGCCCGAAACAAGGGCGACGTCCGGCGCGGGGAAAAAACGGGACGTGGTCGCGTCGCTTTTCAGCCCAAAAAGGCCAGCTAACAGAAAAGTCGACCGTCTCAACCGACACGAGGCGAAGCTAGAGGAACAGCATAAGTGAGTAAATCCTGACGATCGAATTACCGGAATGACGTGAGCAGCGACACGTTGTACCAGTAGCTCCGTTGAGCGTGCGTAGGGTTCCCTTTAGAAAAAAAACTGAGCGGGGAAAAAAGGAAAAGGAAAACGCAGGATGCGTGCGGGTTCAATAACCTTCTCTTGCATGCTTCTTGCTTTGGTGACTCATTGATTTGCTTATTGCGCTCGATAGATAGAGCCACAGTCGAGTTCCATCAAATTATGGGAATTACGGAGACGCTGTTGCAGAAATGTTCAGATGTCCATGATCTCCAGATATTCATTTTCCATGAGCAGATTGTAGTTTGCATACAGACCATTTTTAAGAATAATTGAGATTAGTTAATCTACATCGAGGAATCATCCTTACCGACGATTATCAGTGCCGTACAAAGAGAGGCGTTGGAGCCTGTAGGTAAACTCCAGCAATATTTCAAAGCTTTCAAAACTTCTCAGCCCTCGTACGAATCATTTGTTGAATTTTCCAGCGTCGCAGATTAATTACACGGCCTAGAAAAGTGGAGGTTTAATCCGGTAAGCAGGTTCCAAAGTGCACGGGTGCACTTTCTCTCGCTGTCAAGACACTGCTACTCGATTGTTGCTTTATTCTGGTAAAAAAAGAGGCAAATTCTGGTCCGCAGAAAGCGTTGCTGCGCTTTAAACCAGTTTCTTTTTTGCACGAGCTGCAGTTTCCTTCTCTCTCTCGTTCTGTCTCCTCCGCTCGGGACCAGGTCGCCACCTCTGGCAGACTCGAGTGGACGAAAGGGCTCTTCAAAAATCACCTCGTGAAACCTCGAGAGAACGCGTGCAACGCAGCAGATTAAACTCTGCTGGCAATTGGTGTGGCTAAGAGAGAGGGAGGAAAGTTGATGACTTATATACCCAACGATTCGTCTGTTGCTTGACCTATTCTAACGCTGTATCTTGCTGATAAGCAGCGTTATCTCATCAAACTGTCTTACAACTCATTCATTGCTGATTAGCTTAGCCAAATCGTGTGTAAGACATTTCCTTTCAAATCTTTTTCCTCTGCATTGTACAAGAGCAACTTATCCTAACTAATTACATTCCTTTTCAGAAACTCAGTCCCAATGTTTTCCGATGAATCATAACTCAATACCTGCAAATCTATTTCAACTTTTGCTGTCCACCGTATCCAGTTTATTATTCCAATCCTGGTCCCAAGACTCGGTAAGTCAAACAACCAATTGCATCATACCAGTTGAGCATGATTGTTTATTTAAGCTGCTCGTTGAAGAGCGAGAACGTATCGCGATGTCGAAGGCTGCGAGTCGAGTCTCGTTCGCCGACGTCTGCGCTTAATTAGAGTTTAAAGACGCGGCCAGTTTGCCCGAGCGGAGAAAAGAAAAACGAGACGCGGAGAGAGGTCGAGCACGTGAATTTTTTACCAGCCCTCTAAGTGCCGACCGCTCGACGGAACGACGACCCACTCTGACAATGAGACCGGCACTTGGTCGACGTTGAACGACCTACATATCCAGTGAATCAAAAGTCAATCAGCACCCCCCTCTGCTGACTTCTTTTATGCCTATTTATAGCTTCAAGATTCTTCTCAATTTTTTTAATTCTTCATTATTAGTCTTAGTTGTCTTCTTTCGATTAGACTCTGTTCAAAAGAGATTAAGTCTTTGGGAAATTTCAGGAGCACCCTTTTTATTGGAATAATCTTTAGACCGACTTGAAAGAAAGCCTTTGAATAAGGGCAAAGTCAATTGAGAGTTGGTTCTCCAGAGGAAATTGGGATTGAAGAATGACGAGCAACTTACGTCAGTCTGCTGACCGAGGAACCATGCATCGGAGTCATTGTTAACTTTCTATCGATTCATCGTAATCGTTTATCTGATGCTTCCAAAAAAAAAAAAATTCCGAAAACCAAGCAGAAACCATGCAGCAAGTAAAACACGGTATTATCTGGCGAGTATTTGTACAGGAACAATATCGTTGTTTGCGCAAAAGTATAAATTTTTGTGTCGCCGGCGTATCTTGGCGTCGCGACAAAAAAAGAAGCGTGCTCTTCTTTCATCTGTTTTTCTTCGACTACGAATCCACGCAATTCGATGCCTCCGTTCAACATAATCTTTCAGGTGCGTCGAAAGGGAGAAGAGTGATCGACGTCTTCCTGTTCGTGAAATTCCTCATCGAGCGATTCTTTCGGGGAAATTGTTATCTGAAAGGAGAATAACGTGGCCGGATCGCGTCACGAACCGTATAGACGACCGTCCATACACTCTACACCTGGCGATAACAATATCTTTCTTATGACTCTGTTGCAAACAGATAAGGCTGTGTTGTCAACGACTTTTATAACCATGATTCTTTGAACGAATTGCTCACATTAACCGATTCACCATTGCCGATTTATAACACCCGTTTTAGATCAGGAAAGTGTATATTCTGGACTCGGCATTAGCCTTGATCTCGTTTGAACCGTTGCGTTCATTCGTATGTAATATTTCTTTCTATTTTTAATAGATGCTCTAAAAATGAAACTGGACGATTCTACGTTTTCTGGTAACTGGCCATTAAATTTCAAGGAGCTCTTAAACGTATCACCGTGGAAGTAGAATATTAAGTACGAGTCGTTTGAGATAAGGAATGTTTAATCAATCTTTACGAACACCGTGTCGAAGAACGCAATTACCTGTGACGTTAGAGGTGCGCGCAGACTGTTGCATCGAACGGTGTATAGAATATTAATCGAGCTATGAATAACGAGGTAAATACTTGAACGCATCAACAAGTTTACACCGTGACAAAGGATGTTCTCCATTGATATTTTCCAGACGTCTATCACTGCACGTCGTGGAACTGCTAATTCTCAGCAGACAATTAAAGGGGCCATATGCTCGAAGGATTTAATTGTTCATTGAAATATTCAGTAGTAGTGAAATTATTTTCATTATCATTATTATTATCGTTACAGTCCATTGAAACCCTACTTTTCTGTTTACAGAATGAATCATATGTAAAGATGCAATCTCTTAATGAGTTTGAACGGTGGATGTTATTAAGATTGACTGGAAGCGTGGATACAAGTTTGAGTTAAGTCTGATTAAGCTTATTAGCTTTGGGTAGAGTCTAAAAGAGGCCCAGAGTCGGTGAACTGAAAGTTAGATCCAGAATTCCGAATCCAGAGGAATCACAGTGTATCGAGGGAGGCGAAAGGAGGTCAATCTAATTCGTTCTTTAATAAAAGCGACTTTACACTTTCTCGTGGAAAGAAAAAAAGAGATCGGAGGAGCTAGGTATTGGTTACAAGATGGCGACTTTCACAACACCTCGTACAATGAGCTCATTATTGTACAAGATCGAAGCAGTGTGTTTCTTGAAAGACTATTTTTTCATAAGCAAGGAATTCATCGGTCGAATAAAAACAAGATAATTCCACGAGAGTTCGTCGCGACTCTCCAGCCAACCGAGAGCGACGTCTGTCCATATATTTAGACCAGCTTGATGATTTTTTTACACACTGCCCTTCGAGCTCTTCCATAAGCTCCTCCAAAGATTATTTCCAATGACGAGGAGTCGGTTGACTCGTATTTCCGGCAAAGTCGACGGAAAATCGCAACACCGCATACCGGTTCTTTACTCGGCTAACGAGACACGTGCACAAGCCAGATAGTGTCGCAAAGATATGCCTATTACGGTCGAACGAGCCGAACATTACGAGTATGTTAGCATTATGACACGCGCGTCGTGTCGCGCTGCTTGCCGATCAGGTGTATCTGCGAACGTGTTCACTTTGTTCGCGATATTTCCTTCCCCAGAGATCGGATTACCATTGGCAGAGTCGAGTCATCGATTCCATCACTTCCATGGAAACAGACTCGACTCGTTAACATTTCAATATTTTGCCATATTTCACTTCTGACCTTCGTGAATTTGAGCCTAGACCTTGCCAAAAGTATGTAAGAGTTTGCATAAAGTCTGATTATCATTGCCATGTTAATTATGTAAATTACAAGTTTACACATCAACAGGTTACTATATCCTATATATATGTTTTGATTTTAGTGGAGCTACAGGTCACTGCTTGCCCTTCCTCTTCAGGATCCACAAAAGTGTGGACCACCGGGTACATACCATATGTCGACCGTATGAGAAAACTGGTCGACGGTGAGACGCCTGCAGATTCTGTGGCCTCCTTAAGCAGCTTCTGCTTCCCTTGCCCCGACTCTCGCCTAACCATCCTCGACAGAGTATGTGTACTCGTTCCCAGAGAGTTGGCGCGGGCTGTCTTAAACCCCACCATCTCTCTCAGCAATTATCTCTCTTTCTCTTCTCGTTCCTTCTTATTCTTGCCTCTTCTGGCATTGCTGAGAAATCGAACAGAAGAAGTTGAACGATCGGAAACACCGCCGCATCATTGTCCAATCGGTATACACGAGGTCCTTCTTTTCATTCTAAAATATGAATTTTTCAACCTTACTACATTGTCCTTAATTGTTCCAGGAACCGATTCCTCTTCTCCAGCATCCTCGTTTTCACGAAGAAAGCTGATCCGAGAAAATCTTACGCAAGAGAAATTTCACTTCCTTACTGGATGAAAACCAGTATTATACCTACGGTCTATAGCAGAGGGTCTCAAGTGCATCTGAAAGATAAACATCACGATATTTTCTTCGAACCAATGTACCGATAACGATTCACGGTTAACAGAAGAATGCGGGACGCTCGGTTGTCCCCTTCCTTCGTGCAGGCATATTTTAGATCGTTATCCAGTGAAAAGTTTCAGCAGTATCGCCGTCGTCGTCGTTACCGTAAATTTCAAGTATGTTCGACGCCTAGACGCGTTCTCAACTTCTTGTAGCCCTTCGTCCAGGCAAGCGGTCGCTTGGTGCATGTGGAGGGGAATAATTATGGAGGGGGCACGACTCTCGAGTTTCGTATTCAGTTTCCAATGCACCGTCGAACGGAGTACGTCGGTTAGATTGTCATTTCTCGTGGAATTCTTACCTGAAGAAAGAAAAAAAGTCAGAATTTTTCATCGTTCGTTTTCATTTGTAGGCTTGAAAAATGAAAGAGTACTACAGTGCGATGCGTTGAATTCTTCAGAGAAGTACCGATGAGTTTCAATGACTACGTTTTCTCCGTTCATCATCAGATTCGGTGTTTAAGGATGCGAGCATATCTCTTCGAGAAGCATCAATTGGAAACACGTTCCCAGAGACGTTGGTCACGGCTGGTCGATGCAACAAGTGGTCGTTGGAGGCTGAGATCAAAGCTCGCTCACCGATCCCTGCTAAGTTTTCCGATCAGATTCGTAAACACCGTTGAACAGGGTATCGTATAGACCTTCCAGGAGGATAAAAAGTGGCTCGAGGTCACGAATCATCGAATTCTTCGGTGGACTCGTGTCACACGATGTAGAAAACCATCATCCCCTTCGTGTAACTTCAGCTTCTCGTTGTCATCGTTAAGGGATCACGATCTACTACCCTGTAGAGAGGGTAGAAACTCGAAGAAACGTGTATCGAAATTCTACTTCCACTGTGTTTAACTTGAAATATCAATGTTTTAATTGGACGTTGTGAAAGTAGTACACGATACGCGCTCTCGTTACAGAGTACTCTGTAGAATTTCAAAGCGGTGTCCTTTTAATTCAAAAACTATAGTGACGCTATAGTGATCGTTTCAGAAGGTTGAAATTGAAATTATTTTGATCACCCTTCTGGGCTCCACTAAACAGTTTGGTGCAATGATGAAATTGAAAATGTACAAATTAAACGATGTTACTCAACGTGTCTCAGACTTTAAGCAACGTTGACTGCCGGACAATCTTTCGTTTAAAAAGATAATGAATTTGTTATTTCAATCGAGTGCCTAGTTAAGTGTGAAGAGCGACCATGATGAAGTTCAAATCGCTGTTTCGCAGAGGACAACAAACCCAGCAGCAACAACCGCCGACGCAGTCGCAACAGCAACAGCAGCAGCAACAGAACCCGCTGCGTCAGGCACCCAGCGCCTCCTCGCTGGAGGCTAAAAACGATAATCCGTCGGTGGGAAATTGGAGCTCCCTTGGTAAGGAAGCGAGCAAAGGGAACGCTAAGGGAAATTATAACCCCAAGGGACCCGGGAAGGGGTCCAGGATGCAGGAGCTTGAGCGTGAAATCGAGGTGTTACGCAAGGAACGAGCCAGACTCGAGTCGAATCTGCAGGAGGCGTCTTGCGACGCTCAGAATCTTCATGATTTACGTGCCGAGCTTGCCTCTCTCAAGGTAACCTTCCTTACTAATTTATCTCGCTAATCTGAAACATATGACAAAAGTTTTAGACCTATGATTTCTGAAGCGTCGCTTTTTGTTATTTGCTTTCATTTCATTCTTTCCTCTCCTCTCCCGTCGGTTCTTCTCGCCCGTAGATCTACTCCTCCCACCTGGATTCCCACTCTCCGTCATCGGCTAACATCGTCGACCTTACAAGGAAAACAAACACGAGGGAGACTGTGTTTGAGGGCGGTTTCAATGAGGCATAGGTTGTAGGAACGATTTAATATTTACTCATTGATTCCGCCAATCTCCATGATACCAATGATTCAAGGTGAACGTGGGTGATCTTTTCTCTCTCCCCTCTTACATTGCTCACCGGTATTACGAAAAGCGGAGATTATGTAATTGGCAACTACTGTGCTGACTTCAAGAAGGATCGTACTATTATAATAATTAGATGCATCGGTTGATTACTAATTTGCATTTGCTCGTCAGCAATTCACCGGATGATAAATAATTCATAAACAACGTTCAATTACTGGTACACATTCATTTTTTTTTTTTTTTAATTGTATTTAATCGATGCTTCTTTTTTTTTTTTTCTTCTTCATCCACGATGCCTGAACATTGTCCCGCGTATTTAAAGAATATCCAGAGGGCGTAAAGCGTGGGGATGTTTACGAAGGAAGGAAGCTTGTGAAGCGAAACGACCGCGAACGCTATGAAAAAACGTTGCTTCTCTTGGTCTACGGTAAACGACAAGAGGCACCTTGCCTCGTAAATTGTTTACACTTGTCTAATGAATCATAAGTAGATTTATCTTTCGAAAGTAGCGGTGCGATTACCGTAGCGTTCGTAGACCTAACCTCGAATAATGACACTTATTCGCTCTGTGGCTAACGTGGAGATCGAATAAAAATTCTTTACCTTGACTCGCGAACTTAGGTTTCACAGTATTGTCATAGTATATCGCGCGTTCAAGCATATTACATTTCTTTCTAGTTCATCCGAGTAATTAGAGGCCGACCGGCCACCATGTTTCCCTTTACATAATCGCCTAGTTCCTTTTTTAAATGTAAATAAAACCACAGACAGCAGAGGAGAAATTTTAATGACAGAATGATTATACTTTGTTCCATCATAGTTCTTTGCGTATTATTTTCTGTTGTGAAATTTATCATTTGTAGAAACTCATTTCTGCTTGTAAATAAACAGGAGCAGCACAGTTTGGAGTTAGAACGCCTCGCTGAAGAGAACGAAGCTCTTCGTGCAAGATTGAGGGACGTAGCCCATTCTCCGTTGTCAGATTCAGAGAAGCAGCAGTTACTCCTGGATGTATCTAGACTGCACAATTCTGCTCCAGCATCCATAGCAATTCCTCAAGATGAAGGTTCAACACCTGTTGGCCCGGTACCCCAGGACAGTGCTCAGTGTACCACCCCTGATTGGGACAAACATTCCTCCAGCTCTGTATCAGAAGTTTCTGTTGCATGTCTGCAGGATAGAATATTGCAAATGGAAGAAACGCATTATTCGACGAACGAAGAATTACAGGCAACTATACAAGAATTGAGCGATCTACAGGTAGATGCATCTTTATTGTACCGTGTTAATCGTTGAATCACAGTTTCGTTCTACCACCTTTCTCTTTATAGGCACAGCTTACAGAACTACAAGCTGATAACGAAAGGTTAACAGAAGAGAAGGACGTTCTTCTGGAGTCGTTATGCAGACAGACAGAAAAACTTGAAGATTCACGCTCGAAGGTTGATACGCTTCAAGGTTTACTTTTAAGGGAGGAACAGCCTCAAGAGCCTGCTAAAGGATACAACACAGAGAGGGAACAAAAATTAGTTGATCTTCTGAAAGTAAATATCTGTATAAAATTAGAAATTAAATCACGGGGTTTAAACATTGACACTGAATTAACTAATTACACAGAGCGCGCAAGAGGAACGGGAATCTTTGTTGCAAAAGCAGGAGGAATTAACGTTAGAAGTGAAAAGCTTGAGGGCGGCTGCTGAAGTGAGTGCCGCTGAGACGGAACGATTAACGAAATGCGTGCATCTGCTGGAATCCTCGGTGGAAGCGGCGAATATTGAACGAAAGCAGTTGGATTTGGAGTTGGCGGAGGCCAGGCAGGAGGGTGCGAATCGGAGCATAGAGATCAGTAGGCTAGCCACGTTGCTGGAGAACGCCAGAGCTAAAATCGAAGAACTGGAACAATCGCGGCAGGTGGAGAACAAAAGCGAAGCTGACGAACTGTTGGACGCTGCCAGGAGAGAAAAAGATACTCTGGAGACGCAAGCGGCGGCCTTGCAAGAGCAGTTGGCACGCTCGCATTGCGATCATGATCGTCTTAGAGATCAATACTCGCAACTCCAAGAGGAATACAAAGTATGTTCAACTGAAATCAATAAATTTTAACGTAGAAGAAATGCGAGACATCGATTTAACGTTTTTATTTCAGGTAGCAAGAAATAATGCAAAATCAGCGATCGACGACTTAGAGTACAGATTAAATCAATTAAAGGACGAGCGATTATCGGTGAGCACGGAACTTCAACTCGTACGGGACTCGTTGGCGGAATTACAGGCTCAGTGTCAGAGACATTTAGAGGATAAAAGAGAGCTGAAAGCTGCGCTGAACGAAGCTCAACGAAAAGAACGGGAAGCTCAAACGCATCAGTACGAATTAGAGCGTGCCTTAGACGACGAACGTAAACTGAGGCAAGAGGAGATCGCCGAATGGGAACAATTTCAAACGGACTTGCTGATGACCGTACGAGTTGCGAATGATTTTAAAACGGAAGCTCAGAGCGAGTTGGAACGCGTTGTCATGGAGAATAAAGCCCAACGGGATAAACTGAGATCGCTAGAAGCGCAGCTCGATAAGTTGAATAAAGGTAAGTAAAATACCTTTGAAAATCTTATTCTACATTTTATTATTACCGACACAGAGGAACGACGTTCACCAAACTTTTTTATAAACATACACGATCAATTAGGGATGCATATTTAATCAGTATTCTTAGGAAAGTGATTCCAGTTTGTAGTAGATATTTTTTATCAGACAAACATTCACGAATCGTCAAAAATAAAAAAAGGAGCAGAACGTATTATTAATACAATACTTGTTATCTGTTTTTTTTTCTTTTTTTTTTCTTTTTTCAATTTTATTTGGATATCAGGCAACACCGCAGCTCCTCAGTTTAAGACTTTTGGTAACGCCGCTGGAAATTCTCGCAAACCTGCGAGTAATATTCTGAAACGCGGTCGTACTATAATAAAAAGACGGCAAGAGTCCAAGAAAGGTGCGGTAAGAACGAACGTTCTAAAAGCGATCAATGAACCAGGTTCCCGTAAAACGGACGACTCAAAGATACCGAATTGCACGATTCCTCGAGAGAACGTAGACTCGGATAAGGAATTGTTCTGTTCCAAGGAACCTGAATTAACAGACAAATTAATTTCTGGCGAAGAGGTTGAATTCTATACCTCTGAGAATACTTTAGAGGATAATGAAAAAACTGATGTTTCCGCTTTGGAATCGATCAAAGATACACCTGAAAGATGTTCACCAATGGAATTGGATAATACCGATGGAAAAGTATCGGGTAGAGAAATTCGTGAACTGAAAAGAACAAATTCAAGCGAATTCATGAATAGTACTGAAGATTATCCAAAATTATACATCCCAAATACATCGGTACCTGATGAAAGCATAGCAGCAAAATCCTTTCTGTTGAAAAACATCAAAGGGATTCAGAATATGGGACAAAATTCCTATGGTATTAATATCTCCAACAGTCGTTTTTTCGTCCCTAAAGATTATGTGTATTCCGGGGTGGAGAATGCGCTGGACGATTTAAAATTCGAAGTGGATCCAGAGATGAAGAAGGTGTTGCAAGAAAGTACTCAGGAAAATGATAGCGCTGAAAATTCTCGATTAATTACCACGCAAGAATCTCAAAAATCGGATAAATCTAATTTGAAAGATAAGGAGAACTCTTCAAGATTATGCAAAGAATCAGAGAACTCTTCGAAATTCGAAGATTATTCGCTTAATAAAAGGCGTAGATTGTTCTTGAAAAAGAACGAATCGAGATCTGGAAGTGAAATCGTTGATTCTCTTTTAGATACTAATTACAAACAAAACATTTTTAATTCCACTTTACATAACAGAAGTTTCTCTACTTCCTTGGATGATCTCAATTTTCATAGGATTACTAATTCTTCTGATAATTCTGACAATAACACGAAAAAAGGAAGAAACAAAGAGCAATTAACGATTGATAATATTAGTAAAAGTGCAATATCCTATAAAGATTCGAATAACATCCCATATTCGAGACCAAAAAGTGTTCAAACTTTGTACAGAAGATCCGAAGATTTAGATCTGTTGAATGAAGAGCAAGTTAACACAGAAAACACGTGTATGCTTCCCAGAAGAGAGAAAAATAGGAAAGGCAACGGTTCATATACAGAGAAACACAGTTCAATTCTGTCTTCCTTGGAGAATTTACCTAGCTCTGTTACCGATACTTCGGCAACAGCTATTACTTCACGATTAACATCGAAAGAACCTTTAAAAACTAACGTTCGAACTTTAGATTCCCTAGCTTCAACTACCTCTTTGTCAAAAACTTCTGAAGAAGAAGCTTTGAAATTCGAGAGCGATCTACAAGAGACAAGAAAAAATTTAACACTTTGCGAGGCGAACAGATTGAAACGTATGAAGTTCTTAAACATGGATTTATCGCAGTCTGAGTCGGATACCGAATACAAGATAAAGGATTCTGTTGCCAGTGAAGAAACGAGGCTGCCGAAAAGCGATACTTTAAGTAAAAATTCAGACTGTAAAATAAATCAGGGCATTGTTAACGATTCAACATCTGCGAGCAAGGATAGATCTCTGATAGGGCGGACATCATCCTTGAGAGAGAAATTTGAAACGATCATAGAGGATGTGGAACTGAGACCAGGACGTCAAATAGGTACAATATGCGACCGTAAGTCGCCAGTAGTGTGGAAACGTGATTGCTTGTATTTGCAGAGTTCAACCCCGTTGTTTGTCCTGGTTTCTTATAGCGATCAACATAAACACTCATACCCCTTCTCGTTGCTAGTCTGATATTCTTCTAGGTCCCACTCTCACCTCTCATGTCGTCTCAATTAATTATTAGCAGCTTATTATGTTCTATAGTTTTGTCTTCACTCTGGAATTTTTTTGCTTTTTGTTTTGTCCCTTGTCAAGTTGTATCTTTACACAAAGTAAATGTAAATAAACGTGTGGATCTTCGGTAACGAAGTGGAAACCTGTAACGGAAGTTTTTTTTTTAGAAATTTCTTTTGTTATACTTGTGCTTTTTTTTTACATGTAAACATAGTGCTTATTGCTTTTTTTTTTTTTTTTTGTTTCGTCATTTGTGAATATAAAAGATGGACGGTGTAATTTTGATTCATTTTTACAGCGAATCAGAAAGTGACGCAGCAACCCCCTCAGAGGCCAGCGAGCACTCCGACCGATACTCAACAGTGCGTATTAACAAGCGTTCAACAAGAAATCGCAGCACGTCGCAAAGCTAATATTTCGCGTCAAGACTCGAGATTGTCTGTAAAATGTTTGATAGAAAGCATAGAGAATGCTACGAAACAAGCGAAAGCAGGTAAGCTGATACTCAACTCGTTGAACCGTTTAACGTAATCCTTTTGGTAGAAGTTATTCTTTGTGATCAGGACCTGGAAGTCGAAGCAGTTCCACGTCATCTCTCAATTCTATCGGAACGAACGATATAATGACGTTGAAAGCTCCGCTCAGGGATCAGCAGCAAATCAATAACCTAATATGCACAGCGAACACAACGAATAACAATAAAACTCAGGCTACCATAGCGAGGAAACCTCTATCGGGTAATTGTTCTTTTATAATTTACAAAACAATTATCTACCGTTTTGAAATTGTTTCAATAAGGAGTTATTCATTAATTCCTCTGATACAAATTGTTCCAATGATTAATGCAGAAACAAAGTCAACGGTGCCTGTGGTGTTAAGCCCTGGCGAATTGCTGGACTCGGCCGCTTTAAATGCCAAGGCGATCGACTTTGTCCGCCGCAACAGTGTGACAGATTTATCAGAACGCAAGGATCCTTTATGTGGTTTGATTAAGAACGGAGGCTCGAAACGGAACGCTTTGCTCAAATGGTGTCAGAACAAAACTTTAGGCTACCGGAACATCGATATCACGAACTTTAGTAGCTCCTGGAACGACGGTTTAGCGTTGTGCGCTATCCTTCATTCCTATCTGCCGCATAAGGTACCGTACGATACGTTAACGCCAGTGGAAAAACGGAGAAACTTCTCGATTGCTTTCTCAGCTGCCGAAAGCGTCGGGATACCTACTACCTTGGTAAGTTGATTGGTCCAAGTTAGTTTTATATTCTTTAGAACGATAAGCGTATAAACGAGAATTTCATTCACAGAACATTGGTGAAATGTGTCAATTGGAGCGACCTGATTGGCAACAAGTCATGACATATGTAACCAGTATTTACAAACATTTTGAAACGTAATTTTTGGTTCGTTGTCTCGTACCGCCGAGGCAGGTCCCTCAACAATGAGAATGTTCTTCGCGAAGATAAATAAGAACAAGATCCATCTAGTCAACCAAATTCTATAGGGAGAAAATTGAATACGGACTTTTTTCAATTTCCAACGATCGCTGGATTATCAACCACTCTATGCCTATGCTGTATAATGATCACGAGTGAATTTGATGGAACACTAAACACCAAATGGAATTGCTTTTATTATGAGACTGAATGTTTAATTGTATATTCATATATAATATATATATTATATATATACGTTAAGAAACGAGACAAAGAAATTAGAGGCAGGGATTTAAATACCAGAGACGCGCATCTTCTTTGTACGCGAAGAGAGGAAAAGAAAAAAGTAAAAGAGGAGCAGACGCAAGCTTTATCGAGTCTTCTGTGCGTGAAAATATTGTATGTTTCAGTGCCTCCATTGGCAATGCCAACGATTCTAGCATGCAAGAGAATTTTTGTGATCATCTTCTTGCATTTTTCTAACTAAAAAGTTTCGAATAATATTTTCGTTCCTCGTATCGTATTTTTGTACTTGTATTATTTTTCGAGAAACTTTTGTAAAGTTTTTACGAACGATGTACAGAACAAAGCGCCTTAATTTAAAAGACCTAATTTATTGTATTTAGTCACGTTTAGTATACTACGAAGCCGAGCAGCAAAATACTAGGAAGAGGGAGAGTAAAAAGAGAGTAAGAGAACGTTGTTTAAGTTCTAATTCTGAAGCTAGTAAGGAACGGATGAATATGAAGGATTAAGTTCTCTGTGATATAGCGAGATAGCCCCAAAACAGAGATAAAAACGTTATCGTTATTGCTCTTATTATTATAATTATTATTATTACTTATCACTACTATTACTATTATTAATATCATCCTCACTGTCATTGTTGTACCATTGTAGACGATATGCTGTCTGACATAAAACAATAAACTTGCCTAATGATTATTTAAAAATTTCTACCTCTAAATGATACCCTGTTTATCATGGGAGATAGGAATTTTCTTTAAGTATAATTGTTGAAGAAGTAAAAATATTTTTAATGTATTCAATGATATTTACAATTCGTGTTTAATATTTACAATTATTGATTCCAGTTTCTTATGCTTTTATACCATTCTTATTTTAAAAATGCCTAATTTATCCGTTCCTTCATCACGATTCACTTACATCCATCTTGTCTTGGTCTTTCTCTCCTGAATAATACTCATTAGCTGGTTCAACTATTTTATCAGTGTCTTGTACATTTTGCCTAGAGTCTGGATCCGGTTCTGGTTGTCTCTCTTCCTCGGGTGGCAGAGCATCGCATGGAACATCCTGCATCTGGACGCTTGGAGAGTGTTGTATCATTTTTAAATTATCATACACGTGTCTTGTAATAGCTTCTAAATATTGTTTACTGTTTGCATTGTCTTGTCTTGTTACAACGTCAGGATGCAACGTGAAATCTGGTGCAAAGTACTCTAAGTATTCCGTGTACGGCAATTCGTTGCTAATTTGTTCGTCGACCAGAAGAGAGGTTTCATAAGTCCAGCAACGCGCAACGTTTCGCAGTGTGTATCCTCCTCCTCCTACGGTCAGCAGAGGTACATTTAAATCTCTTACGAATTTTACGCATTCTCCATGCCCTTTTGTACTTAGGCTGAAGCAACCAAGACGATCGTTTGCAAGAGAATCTGCCCCGCATTGTAAGACGATAGCTGTCGGTTGAAAAAACTCCATCACATGGGATATGACTGGTTTGAATACTTGAACGTATGATGCATCATCTATGCCCTCTTTCAAAGGTACATTGACTGAGTAATATCTTCCGCTTTCTGCTCCTATCTCATACATATCACCAGTTCCAGGAAAAAAATAATTTCCATATTTGTGAAAAGATACAGTCATTACTCTATCAGTGAGGTAGAACGCTTCTTGAACTCCATCCCCATGGTGAACATCAATGTCTATGTAAAGGACTCTGGCATGATATTTTAGCAGCTCCAAAATTGCAATCACGATGTCGTTGATGTAACAGAAACCAGAGGCTTCAAATTTCTTTGCATGATGCAGTCCTCCGCTCCAGTTAATAGCAATGTCGCAACAATTGTTGTTCAACTTGGTAGCACCCTCTAAAGAGGCACCGGTATACATAGAGCAAAAGTCAAATAATCCTTCAAAGACAGGACAATCATCTCCTACATTAAAATGACTTAGATATTTGGTATATCCTTGTAAATTCTGTGGTGTTACTCTTTGCAGGAATTCCACGTATTCGTCCGAATGGAAACGACACATATCGTGTGTGCTGGCACGGTATGGACGATATATCTGCATTTTTTTGTGCAAACCATAGTTGAGTACTAAGCTATGAATTACAGAAAGTCTGTGAGGTTTCATTGGATGTCCTGGACCATAATGAAAATTTCCAACGTCAGGATTATAGAAATACGATACTTTTTTATTGTAACTCATTTTCAGGTTAGAATCTTTCTTTTAAAATATTCACGTATATATTATATGCAGAATTATGGAATGCCTTCCTCGTCAATATATCCACGAAATCATCGTATAAAATAATAGAGTTAAAATTTTTTAATGATTTTCTTTGATTTTCTTAGCGCTTCAAATTGATTAACCTGAACGTCCAATATCACATATGTATTTCTTCGATCGGAATAATCGCCATTGAGTAGAAAATACGATGAATTAATTTTACATTCAATTTCCATCGAGTAATAAGTAATAAATAAACAATAAAATAAATAATTACAAACGCTCCGATTTTGATACAAACAAAGCGTTCAACGCACTTTGACAGTTTCCTAGTGCCATCTACAGAGTTGTTTTTGACATAATTAGTATTTAAATAATTACAAATTTTCCCCGTTAATATTATTCGCATTTCTTTAGCATTATTGTATGAAAATAGTTATTTCATTAGTGTACAATATATAATTGAAACTAGTTAATATATTTTCAGAAAAATTTTGTATGAAATCGAAGAATCGATACTCATATTGGTTAATTGCAACGTTTAATACTTGTCAAACAGCATTTCATTAGTCAAACGTTAAATTTTCAGGTAAGATATATTATTAATCTCAGAAACAATCAATAATCATAATTTATATCAATTTTCATTCTGTGTGTTTAAATAAAGGCATCAAATTGACCAGGTACGCCGCGGCCATTCTTATTTTATGGACGCTGGCGGTTGGCAACGATGCTTTCTAACGTATTCTGAGGGATGAAGAGAATTATTTGCTTCTTGTATTATTTATCTACAGTATTCTATAGTAATACATTTTTATTAAAATTGTAACTAGTTCAAGTGGCCAAGAGGAAAAGAAAGTTTGAAAGTATGCGACCGGATTCGCGCAGCGTTTCGTTTACATTTCACCGGGAAGTTCTAAGTGTCAAAAGTTCGTCCGAGCTTACGAAGAATCCGAAGAATCTGAGACGACGCCTTCAGGATCGTTTTGATAAGGAAAAACCAGGCGATTCGTGCAAGGAGAAAATGTCGAAAGACAATCGTAGCTGGAATAATTTAACGCTCGGAAATATGTCAGCAGACTCCAGACGTGCTCTACGAAGTGGAGCCGAGAAACTATCCAAAACTATATCTTCCGTTCGTACAACTTTCGGAACTATATCACAGGTCTGACGAAAATTTGTTTTTTTAGTCGTACAGCAGTTGTTAATTGTGCATTAACATTTTTTTTTTTTTTCTATTATCCAGAAATTCAAAAGTTCAACGCGCAGGCGACAAAGACTGGAAGAACAGCAGTCTCCAAACAACATGTCCAAGATGCAAACTCCTCAAACTCGTTCTCGTCAAATTCTTGGACGAACACCAACTAAACTTTACAGCCCTTTTGGCATCGAATCACCTAGGCATGCATGGGATAAAGAAAACAATGAGACACCCATGCATACTCCTGTATCATCTAACGCACATTACATCCAATGTAGGCCATTCCGTTTCACAAGAGCAAAAGGATTTTCTGTCTTAAGATAAAGAGCTTTCCATGTTCATTGAGTTTCACAGAATGATCTCCTTACTTCCTAGCAATGCATTCAAAATTGCGTGCCTTGTGCAACTTATAATTGGAGTATGTATTCAATTTTTCTATTGAAGTAGTAATTCCCTCTAATATATTATTATCTTAACATATTATCTAAAATATCAGGCTGCTTTACATGTACATGCAATGTATAATGTATTTATACCTTTTTATACGTATTTATATCAATAATTATTATTATTGCAATAATCTAATAAAAAAGTAGAAGAAGAAATTAATGAAACGAAATCATTTATATATGTTTAATTGAAAAGAAATATTTTAATATTAGTTTTCAGTGAAAGATATCGACGCTTCAGAATGTTTGAAAAATGATCGATGTGGCGCTCAAAAGAAGATGCACCACTGACACCTAACCTTTACGTCCGATTGTCGTTTGTTCTAAACTGCGATAAAAATATTCAAATTCAGGTATTCAGTTTGTCATTTATTTAAATAAAATACAGCGTATAAATTGATAAAAAGTTAACGCGATTGAATAATTTTGTTATTCGTAGTTTGTCGTTCGTTTGTTAACGTTGCGAAATCAGGTGGCAGTAACTTCACTAGTCAGGAAATAGAGGTACGATCAATTTTCGCAGTACATTATATTTGTATCACAATTGCGAATATTAAAGGAACGATTAATTTATAAATTTATTTATTTTAAAAGTAGACAATTTATTTTAATATTGTGAGGCTAATGCGCACGTGTGCATCAACAGCGCAGTCGTGAAGAGGAAAATCAGAATAAAATGCATCGTTGCATGTAAAAATGCATCTAAAATGCGACACAATTGGCATGCGAAAATGAAAATACGTTTCCTGCCACAGAAGATATTTTAACGTTCGGTGTTATGTTTTATGGACACTTGAAATGGATTTTCTCGAAAAAAAAGAAGATACGCATAACAACATGAATCCCCAAACGGAGTAAGTTTTCTATTTACGTGTAATTCTTATTATAAAATGTAATATGGAAAAAAAAGAGATACAATTTCGTGATAATCTATTTAATAGATTTTTATCACGTTTGATTAGTTACAGAATCTAGGTCGAGGTTAGAAATTATAGATATCCTGATTGATTATTACTGCATAATAATTTGTTTACATATTTTTGATTATTTTTATGCTTTTGAAACATCTTACTACATTTATCATCCTGTTATTTTTATTATGCTGCGCAAATTATCAAGTTTTATTTGGAAAGCGAGAGAACATGTATGTATATGTTTACCGCAAATTTAATCGCGTGGCAATGCGTAATAGCGCAATGCAGTATTTTACGATTTGTAGAATTCAAAAAGATCGACTTTTTTTTGGAAGAGACATATTTAAAGATCACCGTACGTATTTTTTATTTTTATAATTGTTTTACAAATTCCAATGATTAATAGAATAACTTCGTTTCATTAAACAAAATAGAGCAGAAATGTAAGAAATGACAGACGCGACTGCTCGAGAAACAAAAGTCTCCTGTTCAAGTTTGCAAAGTTCCATCACGATAAATTTCGGATAGTTTTAAAAAGAAACTACGTAAAAATATCGTGAGAAGTTTGCGATGTTTGCTGCTTCTTACTGGGAGGCATTGTCGAGGTATGTTCAATTATAAACATTTAAAAAGAGATGTACATCTTCTTCGCATACATACATTTTCTCTATATGCATATAGAATTGTACTGGTAATAAGAATATTGATTGCGGTAATCATTTAATTTTATCATAACGGCTAAGATGGCGATGAAAAGGATAGTCGTATGTTCAGTCTGTTAAAAAATGACTGTTCGAAGAATAGAGTAACGAAGGAAAAATTTGGCATAGAATTCGTGTAAACATGCGCCAGAAATTTAGGCGGGATGTCCCGCCCCATGTGTAGCCTGGCCGTTATACGTATACATATTTCCTGAGTGAGAGTGGCATATAGTGGGGTAGCGTGCCGCGAGAGGGTGCCGTGCGAGGCAGGTCAGGGCTGGGGCTCAGTACGTTTGCGTACGCCGTTTCGTTTGTGTCGGGTATTAAGTGTTCCTCCGCGATTCTTCGCTCGCTGCTTCTCTCCACTCTCTGTGTTGGATTCTCGGGCAAGCGTGAATCAACGTAGTATCGAATCAAAGGCATAAGTGATAACAAGTATGTGCTCCGCGATGGTGCAGCGAGCTTACATAATTGTTGGCGTACATTGAGAGAGTTGCATATACGCGCGTGTCACGAGTGAGTGCGTGCTACTCTTTTCCGTTGATCCCACTATTCACAGCGTTTTCTTTCACTGATTCTCTCCTGCTTCGGTACGTATGTTTTATTCACTTCCTTTCTGTTACCTCTACCCTATTTCTACCGAAGGTTTTATCTTCTACCCGTTATCCGTCTCTGTCCTTCCCGCTCCCGTGCCCTCTTTTCTTCTCACTCCCTCCATATTCTGACAGCTTGGTCGATTCACGAATCCGCCGGGCCATACGCTTTTCCCCGGGCCTCTTTAAAATAAGGTCAAAGGGTTACCTGTGTCCTGGAATTCCGTCGTGTGAAGTTTTCTTTTTTTCTTTCCTTTCTACGGAAATTATTGATCGGAAATTACTGTACGGGAGGAAATTATCGTTGGCTATCGATGAATGACCGTAAAGAATTGGAGCGTTTGGCTGGCCGTGATTCGGTCCCTAGTAAAAATCGAGTACAATCGGTAAACAATAAACAAACCAGACACGTTCGCTCGAGTACGCGGAAGTTCTCGTCAACGAAGCGTGCTCTCTCTATTTTTTTTTTTTTTTTTTTTCACAATTCGTTGAACCCGCAGCTAGATAAACACAGAAAAAAAGTTAGTATATTTGGAGATAGTTTTTCTTTTAAGTATTATTTTTGTTTTTAAGTTTCTTTTCTGCCTCTAGTTAAGTTATATTTCCTTGGTTTATCATTAAGTATTTCACTTTTTCTGTTATGGTTGCATATAAAAAGGTTATGATACAGGTATTTTGTACATGAATATTCTGTTCTTTTTTTGTATCGTTAGCACATATGGAACTGAACCAGTACTAATAAATTTTCTGTATATTCTCATGCATGATTCTTTCCTAGCTATTTATTAATCAATTATTCTGCTCCAATTCTATCTACAAAATTCTACTTCTCTTAGCAATCAACGCGCTATCTATTGGTTGAATTTTGTTTGTTTTACTCATGGCTACTAGCTGGTTCCGTTTTGTCCTTACTTGCCTTTGTTTGTTTGTTTCTGATATACAGGTCTGGCATCATATACATATATGTATATATGCAGATTTATTTTCTATTTATTTTAAATTGCTTAAGAAAGCGAGAGCATTCAAAAAGCGCAGACTGAGCAACGATCATGGCATTGCACGGGGAAGAAGTAGTAATGACTTTGTTTATATTTTTTGTATTTGCTGATTCCATCAATGGTTTCGCTGGGAAATATCAGTTGGAGTACGCAAAAGTTGCCGAACTCTCAGCCAACGGACGCGGATCAACAAGAACAGCAGAACCAAACTGCAAGCGGAAAAGTGGAACAAGATCCTATAGAGCTTACCAAAATGACGGATCAAAGAGAGCAACAACTACAACAACAGCAGCACCAGCAACAGCCCCAACAACTACCGCAGCAACAACAGCAGTCCCATCAACAAATGAAAGGCAATGAAGAACCAAGAACTAACTTAATCATCAACTATCTACCACAAAGTATGACAGAGAAGGATCTTTACAGTCTGTTTGTAACTATTGGACCTGTGGAATCCTGTCGCGTTATGAAAGATTATAAAGTAAATTGATTTTACAAATCCATATTGGTTAGTTCAGCTATGTATATGTAACCTACACGTGTCTTTTAATTTTATAGACTGGATACAGTTATGGTTTTGGGTTCGTTAATTACGCAAAAGCCGAAGATGCGGCCACAGCCATAAACACCTTAAACGGGCTTCAGGTTCAAAACAAAAGACTAAAAGTATCTTTCGCACGACCGTCTGGTGAAGAAATCAAAGAAACCAATCTCTATGTTACAAATTTACCAAGGTAAAATACGTTAATAAATACTCATCGAATGTGTGCGCGAAATCGTACAACAATAATACTGAATTTTTCTTTTTTATTTAGAAATATAACAGAAAGCCAGATCGATGATATATTTAGCAAATATGGTAATATCGTACAAAAAAATATTCTCAAAGACAAAATCACTGGTTTACCAAGAGGTGTGGCATTTGTAAGGTACGTTACTTTCCTGATATTCGTGATCTTGAATTACCAACAGCTCCAACGAAGTTTTGTATTACAAAAGTATATCACTTAGCATAGTAGAGCAAATAGCTGTGCTAACGAAGAGTATAGTTTATGTTTATTGGCATTGTGCCGTGTTTGTCATAATTAGGGAAGCGGCAACAAGATGTGATAGAAGTATCGTGAGAAAATTATTACCTGATCCGTATTTTTTTTTATTTAAACAGTTACTATTTTTCTTATAACGTGTAACTTATAAAACAGCTGTTCTCTGTTGAATAAATTATCCCTCGTCATTATGCAATGGTTAGTCATGCATATCGCCCGTTTATTTATTTTCCAAGATCTTTGCTCGCCAAATTATTTTTGCACAGCTCTCAGCCGCATTTGACTTGCATAATTTCGATTTACCCCACTTACTAACTACCGACCTACTTACCTACGAAAAACATGAATTGTGATGCAGTAGTGATTTGTGGCAGGAAAATAGTACTTAAACTGTGTCAACTAACTTGAAATAGAATCTGATCTAGTTTGACAATTTCTCTTAATTTTGGCAGATTCTAATGACCCTCTAGACCGCTACTGATGAATCTTTTATAAGACTTGCAGCTGGCAGAGAATCTCGCGATTCTGTGCCAACGGATAGTTGAGAAATTAAAGAATTCATTTTAAGATATCTCATTTTTTTAGATTCGATAAACGGGAAGAGGCGCAAGAGGCGATCGCGCGGCTACACGGCACAATACCAGAAGGCGGATCAGAGCCACTTAGCGTAAAAATCGCGGAGGAACATGGAAAACAAAAAGCGGCGTACTATGCAGGATGGCAAGCTGGCTACAACCAGAGTCGAGGTAAGTAACTTCGGTTGTTTACTTATACAACTGATCTTGCCCGAATTTCTTTTCTCTTCAACCTGACAGTAGAAATTGTCACTTTGATAATACAATGAAACGTCGATAAATCATTCTTTTTTTGAAATTAAATCACTTTATTTTCTAGATCAACTAATCGACGTTTTATCATCATCAGATATTTGATTGCACATACAACTAAACTGAAAGTACAGATAGATTTTTACTGACAGGTGTGAGATTTGCATTTTGGCTTTCTATGAATTTTTCTAAAGTCGCAATAAACCGTTAAGTTTTTTATTACCGTTGTTGGAATTGTAGAAGCACCAAAATTTGAAAGAAATATTTTTCTTTTCTTTTTTTTTTTTTTGTTCAAATAGAACGCATCTTCTCTTTATCTCTCTCTATCTTCTCTCTCTCTCTCTCTCTCTCTCTCTCTCCAGCTCATTTTCAAATCATCGTGTTTTGTTCGTTTTTTTCTTTTCTTGCGATGACACGCGAGCAAGTGAAACAGGTAGCGATTTCATTTTAATGTATTTCATAACGTAGTTGCAAGGTGTATCAAATTTTGTTGTATCTTTTTTCGAATATGCTGTTAAGGATGTAGATGATCTTTCAGCCAGAATCTTTTCATTTTCGTTGTATGGTTGAGAGTTGGATCGATTCGAACCGAAAGACCCTTTGCATCATTGATAGCATGTGAGAAGTGTGAAAACATGTCTAACATTTGAATTGTTTGCCAGATATGGCTGCATCTAAGTCAAAGTACAGCGAAGATTGAAAAAGCTGTTTGCGTTCTAATGCGTGCAACGAATAATGCAGCAGATTTTCTGCGAATATTGTGGAGACACGTTTCTTGTCGCGCCTATTTTGTTCCTCTGTGTTCTCTCTGTTTTTGTTACAAGTTTTACGAAAAGTTGTGCGCATGAAATTATTTCACGTGTTAAGAGAGAAGACTCTGGCAGTGGTTGAAAGAGATTCCCTTTGCAGATGGACACAAGAATGCAAATGTAGTGCTGCTGTGATAGAAAAAAAAAAAAAAAAAGTTTTGTTGTGTGATGATCTTTTAGTGAACGAACAAGAAACAGAAACTGAACAATTGTTGTATTCCGCTAATCAGTGGCAGCTTGTGGTTATAAAGAAAGAAAGAAAGAAAAAAAAGAAAGAACACTTGCTGAGTTGTATTCTGCACACAAAGGCTGGTTTAGACATTTGTTTTTGGACGTTGCCTGGGTCAACGAATATTGTAACTCTGTTTTTCTAGTTGCCGCTGCTGCTGTTACTATGTTGATTTTGCCTCGTCGTTTCTAAAATTTGTTCAAGCCACGCTGTGGAACATCATCCTAGTTCTATCTTTGTGTCAGCAATGATTGTATATTTACGTACGACTTTAAGCTATTTGTAATCTTTTTTCTTTATTTCTTTTTGATAAAGCGTTGCATTTCCTATACATATAAATGTTTTGTTATCTGTCACTTAAAGAGACTTTGGAAATACATTTTCTGTTGAACAAGAAATTTGTTATATCCCCTCTTATGATCCTTCAATGAATGTGAGCGTGAATTACGTTCTATTTTTTTTTTTTTAATTATTTTATTATCATTTTTTCAATTAAGTGCATATAAACACTTAGGATTAAAGATCATTTTTTTATATATTAGAAACACAGCGCGACTGATGAATTTTGCAGTGTTTATGTTAAACAAAAAACGTATTTTCTCTCTATTCAAAGTAGGATTTTTTGTAACACAATGTTCCATGGCTCGTCTTTGTATGTTGCTCAAAATGGAGAGTAGGTGGTGGCAGTTACACAAAAGCACATTGTATATTAGAAATGCTAATTGTCTAATTGCGTATCGAGCAGCATATAAAGTATGCGGCTCCCCTGACACACACATTGTTATATGCCTGCGAATAATTATTATTTAGCGAGCGTCGTTGCTAATCCGTTAGTTCTGAAACAGATTGCATTTGCAGAAACGTGTGGCTTTAACAGAAAACTTGTTCAATGCATGGCTATGTCCTATGTCGAGCGATTATCATACGAAGTAATAAACAAATGTATTTCGAAAGTAGAATAACAGACTAAGAAGTAATAATGAATTTGTATAGGAAAAAATAATGATTTTTTTTTTTATTTTTGGAGGAAGGTACATTTGTTTAATACTGTACGCAAATACCCTCTAAGTGTCTACGAATAACTCTTTAACATGCCATTTTCATTTCTATGCTCGCCAATCCACGAAGGGGAACGTCTGTACCCGACCAGGAATAAATACCAACGTTACGCGCATTATCTTTATTAAAGAGAAGAACGCATTCTTGTTCGTACTCGTTGATCGTTACCCTTGCAGTTATGCTCACGAATTCTCTCCCATTTGGTGTGACAAGATCGGTATGATTAAGCGCGATTATATCAGCACGTTGTTACTATTGTAATGCGAAAATGATCCCCAGCGACTCGGGGGATTTCGCGACGGTCTTTAGGGGACTTCCGTTTTTTCTATGAGCGCAGTTCCGTTCCAACGATTTCGCTTTTGTATTCGCGCGACACGTCAGAACTTGTCTGTAACACCGAGCGTTAATTCCACGATTTGCTCAACGATTGTAAACATGTATTTTATCTTTGTAATCTTTTGGAGAACCATGTAGGAGAATCATCCTCCTCCAAAAGCGAGGCGGTCAAATACAGTCTCGACACTTTGATGGCTGAGTGTTTCATGGGACCCTTGTAATTTTATGCACCTTTCTTGTTATCTGAAAGGTTTATATTTAAGAGCTTCTGTAACGTACCCTGCAAAATTACCAATTCAGAAATTGTAAGCAGTACATGACATCAGACATCAAAGTGTTAAAGCATCAGAATACTCTTTGTAGCGTGTGCAGTTTAATGCATTGACACAATGGATGCAAACTCTTCTTCTTGGGTTACATTAATCAAAAATCATTTATAAATCCAATTTCCATTGAGATCAACGCGTTAAACAGACACAAGACTAGATTGGGAATGTTTATGCATTTACAATATATTGAAATAACAGTATAAAGATTCACAGTCTATCCGAATGATTGTATCATAACAGAAGAGTTTCTGAGTTTTACTTACATAGAGGAACCAAGTTGTTCTCTGTTCTACAATTTTGAGTAACTAGACGAGTGTTTCCGCGAGTAATTGCACAATTTTTACAACTATCTGTTCGTCGATAGTCTCCACTGAACGATACCCAGCGGATTGTAGATAGTGAAAGTATTTACAGACTATTGATTTCGTGAAAGGATCACGATACCGTTGCAGAATCATCCCTGCAATTAACACGTTCCTTTGTAACATTTTTCTATTATCTATATTAATTTTTATTTTTCTAACATAACACTACGAAAGAGAATGTAGCGTTCGGGAAGAACTTTTCTTTTAACAAATTAACAAGAATATTTGTATACTTTAAGTTAAAGGAATAATAAAACTTGGGAACGTGTTAATTAGGACTGATTCACTGTGTTAAATGTAAACGAAATTAAGTAGAAGGAAGAATCGTTATCAGAGGATACCGATTTTTTCTCCTCGTTAAATGATTTTCGCTGTTAACAACTTTCGTCCTTTTAATCCTAATATACATATACATATATATTATATATACATATACGGATCGAAGCGTTTTCAGAGGAGGTTGGATCTCGAGTTAGCTAGAAAGAAATGTATCTCCTACGATCCTGACAATCGTTCCTTTTTTAAAGTTTTCTCGCGATTCAAGCGATCCATCAGGACGTTTTCTCGATGTGTCCGTCTTGACGTTATCAAATTAAATAGATCCAAGTAGGAGGTACGATCCACCTCGCTCGTTATAATAATGCGTTCAGGTGCTTAATATTAAGAATCGGGGGTGTACAACCTTTTCTTAAAATCGTTCGATATCTCATTTCTTGCTTTATAAGGGAAAAAATTGAAAAATAGATTACTAGGTGGTGAAATAATTAGAGTATCCAAACTACTAAGAGTGTGTTCTTTTAAATTAACAAAAGTATCTTGTTGCTAACTAATTAGAAAAATGTTCTTCCATGTACAAGCTTATGAATGAACACTTGAACTATCAAAAGTAAATAGTAATTAAGAAAGCTAAGTTGTAGATAGATATAATATTAGTATAGATCCTAGTTAATTAAATCTCTTGATGCAGAAATTGGTTGTGCATTCCCTTGAAGAAAGAAATAAAGATTGAAGATCAGAATAAAAAGATGAAAGCTCTCTCTGTTTTAGGAGAATTTAATATTGCGAATACGCCGGTATTTGAGCCGTTCCCGCATGCGTCTGTTTGTCAAATTATTCCTATCGTTGCGAGTTACCATTCGAAAATGAAAAGAAGAAAAATCAAATCGCAGCGGCAGGATAAAAGGCGGAGGTTGGATAAATGAATTAATTAGTCGATAAGATTTCACGTAATTCCTTCAGAATTATTATTCATGTTACGAAAACCAACTCGTGTCATTCTTTCCATTGAAATAAAGAAATTTTGGAAAAAATTAATTCATGGAACTTGCAATTGTTTCGCACACATCCTTTTGATTTTTTCATTTTGTTTAAACGAAAGAATGACGCGAATGGTTTATTTGTAAATATGCGGACGGATATCCTAGTGGAAATTCGAATTTTTAACGCGTTAAGTAGTAAATCGTAAGGTTTAACGGTTCGAAGATTGTACGAAATGGTGAATCCCGAAGTCCAGTAGCGCTAATGATGGCTGTGATATGGAATAAGGAAAACAAAAACTAAGAGAGAATGAAAGAAAAAAAAAAAAAAAACGAAAAACACACGATGAAAAAAAAAAATATGAATCCGATAAAACTCGCTACTCTTTTCCTCGCTCTCTGTCACTCGTTCCTCTTTGTCACTGTTTTCCTGGAAAAATCCGATTTTTCCCAACGCACAATATTTCTTCGTTTTTGATCTTGCAAAAGAACATCTCGTGTCTCATTGAATTACACTACGAAAAAAAGGATAACCGATATTTATTTTTGTAAAATAATTATAAACATAATTCTTTCAAAGAAAATATATGATTCCCTTTTGTAAGATCAAAGATGAAGGATGAATATAATCAAAGAATCATTGAAGAAGAATGTCGTGTTTTATTGTTATTAAAGAACGAAATGTTTACAATAGATTGGAGAGCGATGAAAAATCGAGGGACAGAGAATTCTCTTTCGAGATGAATGACACTCGGTTAAAAATGCCTGCGACATTCCCAATAATACATTCGTCGTATTTTTCTCTTCTTCTTCTTCTTCTGAGAGAAAAGAGTTTACTGTAAATTGATCTCGGATTAGAATTAATAGCGTTTCAACGATACGCAAAGTGAACCGGAACTCGTGGCACTTACAGTCGGAAACAGAATAATTAAATTATATCAAAACTAGGAAAGAAATATTTTTTGTTAATTTTCAATTTCACTATTTTCTGTTGGTATACTCAGGTTGTTGCATATGAAATGCATTTTGTATGAAGAATATTAATGAAATATTTATGTAGATCATTTCTTTAGATCTTCACGTGTATTATCTTGAATACTATACTACAGCTTTTTAATATTTCTTCTTTTGTTTACCTTAACAATGTAAATTTATAAGAAATAACGAGAATAGTGTAATTTCATTGCACTTGAATCAGAAAGCAAATACATTATATCAGAATTCGTTGCAAGGTCAAATTAATTTTGTTCTTCTTTTATTTTAGGCCACGCCAAACTACTCAGCTAAGATTCCTTCTTTTCCTTTCCAAGAGAGAAAGAATATCTCACGATCCTCCTGTCCGCTTTGCGCTTGCAAAAAGGAACACAAAAAGGACACGTTACATATACATAATATATACACGATTGTATGGTAGATTAAACCGATCAAATTAACACTTGTTGTACGGAATATTTCTATTCGAACGCGTTGAACATCGAGTGCGTGGCATTATGGCGACAAAAAAAAAAAGTCTCCTAAACGCCGGCTGCAGATTTTGTGCTGATGATTTGCTTCAGGCGCTTCATTTATTAGATCATTTCACTGCTTCCTATCATAAAGGATTAACTTCAGAATTCATGGGACAGTCACAATAACAAACTGTAAAGAGGCAGTTCAAGTGTTCAACCCTTGAATGGGCAACCAGGTATACGTTGAAGCTTTAACATATAAATCTTTTGCACAAATTTTTACTTTAAAAAGATACATCAACTTTAGAATGCCCTTGGAGAATAGGGATCCAGAGTGATTTTCCAGTATTTTTACAATAATATAAAAAATTGTTAAAAGAAGTATAGAAGTGGATAAGTGGTTGCCCATACAAGGGTTGAATTCTATTTTGAGATTGTTCTAATTGTACCATTACTTACCATCATCAGAATGACCCGAGCAAGTCGTCAGGACAAAATTGAACACATGAAAGAGAGAGAGAGAGAGAGAGAGAAATGTAGATTTAAACCAGCGTGTCTCGTTCCTTCCGGTTGACACGAGTATCTTATACATACCTTTCTTATTCTCGTTGCTACCGGTCACACGTGATTCCACGTGATACTGTAGTTGCTCGTTAAATTTGATTAAAACATTAGAAAGGAAAGTCTAACAGATGTCCACTTTATTCGCCACCACCACCACCACCACCACCACCACTACCTTCTCCAGTAATACTCAAGCTTCAATTCCTGTAAAAAGAAAAGTATGTTAATTAAAAAAATACATTTGATTGACTGAAAACAACTGTTTACAGGTACTGGTGGTAGCCTGAGCGGTGGAGGAAGAGGCAGAGGCGTCAGTGGACCACCAGGAATGGGCATGGGTATCAGTGGCAGTGGTCCAGGGATGCTGGGCAGAGCAGGTGGATTCGGACCACGCGGAGGGCCACACGGTGGATTCATTGGAGGAAGCGGTGGGCCAGGAGCCATGAGAATGGAGAAGATTCACCCTCATCGTTTCAATCCCATAGGGATGGGCGGTGGTTACGTACAGTCGCATTTCTGGTGACCTAGCGTCGACAACCTGGCGAGCAAAACAGCACCAACCACGTACCTTTCTGCGTTCAACCGGAGAGCAAGCTGCGACGATCGTCGTTGCCGTTCGTAATCGCTGAAAGAACAGGAAGAGGACATCGAGGATCAACAAAGTTGCTACTCGATACACAGGGTACACGATGCTACGCGCTCGAAGCAGCCTGACATCGTGTTTCTCGTCGATGCGGACCTTGTAGCTCGGGAAGCTTAGGGACAGACTGATAACCACGAATCTGTAAATTATTCTGCGCGATGCATAGTATTTAATGATGTTTCTACGTGCCTGTACCAAAGCTCGGAACACCTAGTATTTGTACATCCAGTTATGGACACTCGAGACCCATTCATGGTTGGTGGGTCGTCTCGATTAATCGTAGTTCAGCTCGAGTTCTTTAAAAGGACTTAGATCAATGGTTTTTAACCCTTTCACTACAGAAGATCATTATAGCGGTCCATTGGAAACTTACCTCTATTTATAGATAGTAGTTTTTCAGGAGTCTGGGTACAAACAGTGTCCTTTAGGAAAGTGGAAGCATTAGAATACTTTTTTAAAGGACACATTTTACACCTAAGCCATAAACATTACTATCTGTGATAATCTGTTACCCCTATGTAGGCCACTATAATGGAGCATCAATCAACCTCTTTGAAAGGGTCTAAATAATTGTTAAAATTAAAAGCTTGATTAAATTGTACATATGATCAATGAATTCTTCGCTTATTTAAATTAATTGAGTTTAAAGCACCTTGGCTAGCTTCGTTGTAGCAAAAGGGTTAAAAGCCTTGAAACAGATTAGGTCCATTGCAAGCCCTCCAAATATACATATGTAAGCTAACGTCTGTGTCACCGAATTCGATCGACTGCTTGAATAAATTTTAACTTCTTCTCGTAACGAGATTTCCATTGAAAGAGTACAGCTTCGTCGGGAGACACATCAGCAAAGTATCTTCCGACGAGGCTCGGTCTTTCAGAAGGACGTTGTTCGTTGAAGATTTGAAAAATGTTCGACAGAGCTTAATTGTAAACGATTTCGAAGCGAACAGATCGCGCTCATCGCCACTTCATCGACATCCCTTTTTATCGTTACGACCTCTGATCCCTCGTCTAGCTTTTATATTACCTTCGTTCTATTGTGCGTTTAAATTAGTGGCGTGTTCGGTCCCGTCGATGAAACGATCCTCGTCGAACGTAACGCGTTGTTGAGGTACAAATCGCTTGGCCACCGATTCGTCACTTTAGAGCTAACTTAGTCATGCTCGGTGGCAAAGTTACACCGTGTTAAATTATCTCTGTTATCGCGGCTCTGAGATCGTTCACAGGAATTCTATTGTTCTTCTGGCAGTCGACACGCGATTCCTTATGTTTAAATAAAACACGTTTACTGGCCAAAAGCAGGAAATCTTCGTTAAAGTGTAAAAGAATTTTGTTGAGGGTAGGATTAAGAGGTACTCTCTGAAAAATTAGAATTATATTTCAATCATTGGTGTATCGCGACAATTCAGTATATCTGAACAAAGTACCTGTCAATGACTCAACTGGAGATTCTACGTGTATGCTTCTGTCCAATAAACTTGTGTAATATTATAGTTAAATTGGAACGAGTACAGGGTTCTCTTAGCTTTGATCAGCTTCAAGTATGCTCGGCTAATCTAGAAGCTAAGAGAGAAATGAAAGATGTAGGTGTCGAATGCTGGTTTTCCTTTACGGTTAAGCGTTTTATCTTGCGTGTTAGGAGGGGGGCACGTTGGAAGTAAAAAGCTAAGAGTTCTACGTGTTGTTGTACATTTCCTTTTTAATGGTTCTAACTCTTGAAACTTTATCGAACGTTTCACGTTAAGAAGTTTTATTCGAGTCAGCGTGCAGAAAGGGGATAGGTGTTTTCCCCCGTACAGCGTTGGACAACGATGGCTGCTGGTATCTGAAAGCTTTTTACGCTTAGAAATCAAAATTATTTTGGTACCGCTGAAAAATATACTCGCTTTTAGAAAAGAAACGAATGTATTAAACGAATTAAACGAACACTGATGCACCGTCGTTGTCTTCCGGACTGATAAGAGTTAGTTGCATGGTCGTGTGCAGTTTAGGTTTCTCTCAGTTAAAAGAATAATTAACCGATAATTAAGAGAAGCCCAGGTTGCGCCAGAGTGTACATAAAAATTGTAACGGAAACACGCCATTAATCCGCGGCACGTTATAGAAAGGGAAAAAAGAAATGAGACTGACTTTTTATAGGGGACAAATTTCACGCGAACATTTTAAAAAATCGAAATTGCCTTATTACGTATCATCGTGAAGCCAGCTAGATTTTCTTTTCCGTTTCTTCTTTCTCCGTTTCTTTTTTGTGTGTTTTATTTTTTTATTAGAATTTCGTGTCGCAGCTGCGCGTTCGCTGCGGGACTGTTCAAAAGGGAAAAGGATTTCAGGAAAGAAAAAAGAGAAGAAAACGCTCTTCGTAGTCACCTTTATCTCATTAACTCGAATTTTCTATGGCACCGATAGTGCGTTCGTTTTTGTTAACATGTTCCCTGCTGTACACCATTTCTGCGTTGATGGTCGAAGGCTTCGAGTCAAACTTAAAAATCGTATTTTACATGTTTAATTATCGGGAATGTTACGATTTTGCCCAGTTTAACGGTGAATCAAAGAATATTGTCTCTGCGAACAATATTATCTCTTAGTTAATTAAAGTTGTGCCTCTGATAAATGTCGTGGGTCACCGGTGGTCTCACCCATAGGACATGGAACGTGTTAACAAATGAAACGAATCCTGCACTGTATCAACGATTCTTTTGTTAACAACATTCATACAATCATACACTCTTTCTGACTTTCTCTCTCTTTCTCTCTCTCTCTCTCTCTCTCTCTCGATAATTCATAGTTCTAAGATCTAATTATTTAAGACGAAATAAAATATCTGTAAACGGAAAAATTCCACTGGTTGTATGTAATCTGTTGTGCAAAGAGGGCGAGAAAATGTAGTCAGGAATTCTTGTGAAACAGTTATTTATTGTAGTCGCGTCGAACCACGACTCGTCAGTTTTCTACTTGTACAAAAAAGAAAAAAGAAAGAAAAAAAAAAAAGAAGTTGAACAATTGTTAAAAAAAAAACAGTAATGGAAAAAGTTTGATGCGATCAACCGAGTACGTTGTTGCCCTTCAAAAGGCAGCTTGCATTTGTTAACGAAGCAAAGTGCCCGATGACGAGCCGCAACGTACCCAGCTTAGAAACGTTTTGTGGTTTCTTCAATCTGTACTCCAATTCCAGAACACTCCTGTAAACAGTATTGTAAAAGTGTTGGAAGCTTTCTGTCCGTGTACACTGTTCAATTTACAAGATTTTAACTGAACCGCTTACAAAGAACCGTGTATTTTTCACATCACACACTAACACTGAAAACTTTTCTCTCCGGGCCAAGAGTATCCAGCAGCTTGAAGATTCGATCCAGAGAGGATGTACATTGCGCGGAGAATACTTTCGGTTTGAGCATTTTTGAACATTGTACAGAAACTTTATAACAAGCTGATTTCTCCACCCACAGGATGCTGCGGTCTAGAGATTAGCCAGTAATATTGGAAGAGGAAACAGGAAGAGGCGGTGAGATATCACCTTGGTAAAACTTGCTCTAAGAATGACAAACGAAGATATGGAAAACTCTAGGCACAATTTTCCTATAACAATTCCATGCTGAAATGAATAAAAGGTGTACTGCAAGTCCTTTCTTCAAATTCCTCCTTTGATCCTCAACATCTGATCAAAGGTAGATCCTTAAAATTTCTTTTTCATTTCTACAATATCATTTCTTTTATAATTTTACTCATTTATAATTTATAATTGCAGAAATCAGCTAGGGGCATGAAACCTACACCTAAATCCACAGAATGCCTTCTCTGATCCCATAATCAGCACTTGAGAGGACAGCTTTTATCATCTCCTTTATTTGCATGCAAGATAAAGCGAATGAATGTTTGTGAAAGTGATTAAAGATTGCAATATGTTGAGGGTGGCCTTGCTTGCAAAACACGCTTTGTTTGAAGCACCTTTGGGGTTGACACGGTGAGTCGATGATCTCTCTTGACACGGTTACAGGGAACTTTTCTGGTTCGTTAACTACAATCGTCCTCGTCCCTTGACCTGACCGGAGTGTGTTTTTCCTCCCCCTTTTCCCGGTAGGAACGGACAGGAAAGCCGTCGCCGAAATTCTCTTTTAACGTTTCTTTAACGTCAAGCGAAACGTGAACATCTGCTTCACGCATGGCGAGCTCAAAATTCAAGACTCCATTAAGCTTTATTGTTCTTTTCAGAAAGAATAAGCTACAAGGTTCGGAAAGAATATTGTAATTTATAAGTTCAGTAAGCCGAAGGGTGACACAAGAAACGATAAAATCATTGTTCCGGGAAACAACACAGCAAGGAGAACGTTCAATTATCGTATTAAATGATTTCGACTACGAAAGCTGCAGCAGTATTTTAATCATACAATGAACTTTCCAGACAGGTCAAGGCTCGATTTAACTAGCCATCGGTCAAACATTCTTTTTTTATTTCATATCAATTATAGTTATCAAGAAATTTTCTCAATTTGTACGGGGAGCATTAATTAAAGTATATAATGTAGTGCATCGACGCTGCCTTGTTAATCTTTAAGAGAAAAATCAACAACAGTCTGGCGTGTATGAGTCATCATGGATCACAACAATAATACTAACAAAGAAAGATACTCCCACACTGTCCCATGAGATGATAGGTATTCATTCAGATGTTCAAGATACTAATTTAGTCCACACTTTGCCACAAGTATTAATTTTTGCATTATTATTATCTATGAGATCCTCTTACAGATGGCAAAGAAGCTGGCCCCTTGAAGAGGCAACCCTGAAATAAGTAACTCTTTCTCTAAATGGCACAAGATTAGGATCAACGTATATAATAAACTAAATAAAGCATAAAAATCTAAAGGAAGAATATGATATTTTTAGGGCATAAGATGAAATATAGCCTGCTAAGGCATATATGTCTTCATGAACGTGTTAATACATGTGATATGATCGAGCTTGAAAGCACGCTGCAGTTTTTCCTCCATTGTAATTCATTTATTCGTGACCCCAAGGCAGCTGGAGACTGTTATCTGCCCAACAGAAAAACATACCAGGTGGTCCTCGAAGCAAGGGCTTGAATTGAACGTTTTTCGAAGTTTCTGTGAACATAGAAGTCGACGATGCTGATAGTCACACGGTCCACCCTTGAACAGTATCAAAAAGGAAGAGGAACTACATTTTTCTTTTATTATTAAGACTATAATCTGTGATTAAAATTGCAATTTCTTCATTGCTGAAAAAGGAAAATTCATTGAGAAAATCTTTTTAGTTAGGCTGAAGAAATCTTTCAAGATCATCGTTGGGTAGCTTAGAATTAGAATAAATTGGAGTACTTAACTTGCAGCTATACAATGCAACGAGGAAGTAACGCTATGAAGCTATACAAGGTTCAAGAAGGTAGGAAGTTCTAGCTTGGAGATTAAATAGGAAAATGTGTTGTCCAGAAGATATTGTAACATCAGCAGATATCCGTTGTTCGTAGAACACCCGATAAATCAGCTTACCAAACACGCGTGGCCCACAAAAAGATATTCGTTTCCGCCCAGCGCGATATTCACAGGAAAACAGAAGCCTCCTGCCCCTCTAGACACAACTAGAACTAGTAACGCGTTTATTTATTTATCTTTTCATTCAACAAATCGTACATAAACTTTCAGAATAACAAGATTTTTAATTCTTCTTTCAGAACAATGAAACTACCAGCGAAAAGAATGACTTCTTCAAGATTGATTAACAATTGCGTTCCGGCACACTACACTTTCTTTCATTTAATTTCAATGAACCTTGAAAACACGCGAAAATGAAAGAGAAACGATATCACGACCATCCTGCACGAAGTCCCGAGGGCAACTGATACACTGAACTTGATTTGCGGAAGAGTCGGAGAAGGGAGGATTCTCAGAGAAAGAGAGAAACACGTGGTGCGTTCCTCCGTAAAAAGGGGACCCATGACACATTGATATGGGATGTGGCTAATCTGTGTGTGTATGCGGTAAATGGATCACAAATTGAAGCGTGACCATTTGAATTTTCCACAATCGTAGTCTACCTTCATCCACAAAAACGCACACAAATTTATTTTAACTTAACTGAAAGAAGTATGTAGTTTTGAAAGCTTAATATAATTGAAAAGATATACAAAGAGAAGTATTTGAAAATTATGCGAATGAAAGAAATCACAGATTATCATAAACGAATACAATTTGAATCTAATTTCAGTGTTGGTCAACAAACAACAGCAATTCCGTCGGAATTTCAATTTCACTGGAGGCTAATAGAGCACTTTATCGCCCACTTAAGAGATCTATGCTCTGATCTTACCCATGGAAGATCTTGTATCTGCTCCAAAAAAATAAAAAGAAGTATATGGTAACACAGGAGGAAGAAAGCAAGATAAATAAAACGATAGAAGGGAGGAGGAAGCAACGGGGACTGGGAAAGGGTCAGAGGGCACTGTCCTGTGCCAAGGGGCCACGGAAAAATTTGCATTTCCTGTCCACGATGAATAATGCCAAGCGGAGGAACCGTAGTCGAGTCATCGTCGAATTAACTCAAAATCCCTCGATCCCTGAAACTTCAACGAAACCTTTCGTTCCCCCCATTCAACGCGTTGAAAAGTCGTTCGTGACTGGAACAAAAAAGAAGAAATCTTTTCTTCCATCTTCAGAAGTTTTATTTGTTCAATTTTCATCGTCGTTCGATTTCTTATTTTACTACTATAAATTCATGAGCGAAGTCTATTCTTTGAAACGAAACGAGGCTACCAAGGGAGTGGAACTATTGCCAAGGGTGTTTCTTGAGTGGGACTGCTGTAACGGAAGAAAGAAAAGGGAGATGTTTATGGGAACAGCTGTTCTCACCCTTGGAGTTGTTGACCATACCCACATCTACTGTACATGTGTAGAGAAGCTTTTATGGAGGATGTTACGGGCCCCCAGGTAAGTACTTACACGCAACACGTGGCTCGATCAGCTCTGAGGGAAGCTTCTTTCCGTTTGTCTTTTGGTTAACGTTTCGCGTGCTGTGTTTGCTCTGGCCCGACCCTATGTTGAATGCACAACGTTTAAGATAATTAGAGGGTCGGTTACTTGAATGATTTAGTTGTCTGTAATGTGCTTCATACTTTGGTAGCCTTGTGCATTATATTATATGTAAGTGTTTTGCAACTAATAGTAACGATTGGAATAATTTTATACCATATTACAAAAATTTGGGTAAATTATTTATTCTAAAATTTGTATTTTGTTAGTAGAGACCTCCTGAAGAGTATGAGGTAGGAAAATGGATGAGCAGATAGAAAGAGAAGTGTTGGAGGGAAAGTTGAATAGCGTAACGGACGTCTATCCACAGAACCGGAGCACACTTGTCTCTTCGAATAAAAAAAGCACGTTGAAGCATCTGGAGTTTCGAAAGAGGCCTACGGGGGCTGGCTCTCCGTATAAAAACTGTTTATGTATGTACCTCGTATGCGTGGGAGCAAGATTTTACTCCGGTCTACGCTGTCCTAAAGGATAACCATTGTCTGCATTTTCGAAATATTCTTCAAGTTAGAATATACAGAGGGCAATTAAAAAGTAATCAAAAAATTTATTCGTATAAATAGAATGATTTACAAACACACGTGTAATACATGAGCAATGAATATAGATGAGGCGAGTACAAGATTTTTATGTTAGCCGAATTGTATCTTCTAGTATTCTATAGTGACGGTTTTCGTCTTCAGGTACTCGTTCAGAGCCTCCTGACCCAGATCCTTGCCGAAGCCGGACATCTTGAAGCCGCCAAACGGTGCAGCAACGTCCGTCTTGTTGTAAGTATTGATGAACACTGTGCCAGCTTCTATTTTCTCTGCAAATCTCAACGCTCTGCTGATGTCCTTGGTCAGCACACCGGAAGCTAGACCATACTCTGTGTTATTAGCCCTGGCTATCACTTCGTCCATGTTCTTCGAATTGAACTTTGAGATGACCATCACAGGACCAAAGGATTCCTCTTTTGCTATGTACATGTCGTCTTTGACGTCTGTGAATATCGTAGGTTCAAAGTACCATCCAGGACGATCCAGCCTCTTCCCGCCGTAGACTAATTTCGCTCCTTCTTTTACGCCACGATGTACAAAGTCCAGAAGCTTGTTCAGATGAGCCTTGTGATTCTGTGGACCATGTGCTGTTCTTCTGTCCAGTGGGTTCCCTATGGAGATCTTCTTTGTCTCTTCCACTATCCTCCTCACGAATTCATCGTGTATAGACTCCTCCACAAATAGTCGACCTGTTTCAGAAAACAATTTTATTGTAGATAAAGAAACTTGTAGCGTTGAATTTACTTATCGTTTGTTCACTTACCAGCAGCAATGCAGTTTTCACCCTTGTTGAAGAACACGCTGCTCATTCCAACCTTAACAGCATGCTGGACATCAGCATCCTCGAATATAACCAAAGGACTTTTACCACCGAGCTCCAGGGTGACCTTTTTCAAATTACTGTTTGCACAGGATCTCATTATGGATTGACCAATTTGCGTGGAGCCTGTGAATCCTAGTTTCCTGATCAACGGATGCTCGCAGATGGCGTTTCCGGTCACAGTACCGTTTCCTGGTACGATGTTTATCACTCCAGGAGGGAAACCAGCCAGTGCAGCCAGCTCTGCGAATTTCAAGGCTGTTAAAGGTGAGGCTTGAGCAGGTTTCATTACCACGGTGTTGCCTGCTGCTAAACAAGCTGCCATTTTCCAGGAGAGCATCATCAGAGGGTAGTTCCAGGGTGTGACCAGGCCACAAACACCAATAGGTTCCTTTCTTGTGAAAGATAGATTACGATTTGGCCTGGCATGGGATATAGGTATGGTGGAGCCTTGGATCTTGTCGCACCAACCAGCAAAGTACCTCCAGGTCTCTATAGACATCCCTATGTGGGTCTTCAAGGCTAAAGTGTACACAGCACCGGAGTCCAAGCTCTCTATCGTGGCTAGTTCTTCCTTGTGCTGCTCCATCAAGTCTGCTAGCCTATAAATACATTTAAAATCAATTTATGAAGACTATTGATTTTTGGTAGACTATTTACAAGGTAATATATTTACTTGAAGAGAAGAGAACCACGCTCCCTGGCGCTGATCTTGCTCCATTCACCCTCTTCGAAGGCCTTCTTGGCAGCCTTCACTGCCCTGTCCACATCCTCCATGGAACCACACTCTACCGGACAGATGACGCTTTCATCGTGAGGGTTGATGGTGTCTATTGGCTTTCCATGACCATTCACAAACTCTCCATCGATGAACAACTGTTTGGGGAACTTCAAAGTCATGTTGTTTGCCTGTAACTCTACAGCATCGTATTTGATCTCCTTGGAGGCAGAGATACCTCTCGCTGCTAGGACCACTGTGGTGACGAATTGCTGGAACACCGGATTCATGAAAACATCTATGTTTTGTAACGTAACTCCCAGGTTGTCTTTCACTTCCTCGACCAGTCTGACGACGTCCATGCTTCCAGCCCCTGTAACGAAAAGTTCATGTTTCAGAATTCCAAACGAATGGTTACATTTTCCACGAACAGACGGGCTTCTCTACGTACCACACGCGAAGAAGTCTGTGTCATTTTCGACATCCATGTTCAAGATGCCAGCCCAGATGTTCCTAACGGTATCCACGGTGGCCAGCTCTTCCTCCGTGAACTGGATCACAGTATCCTCGTTCTTCTGACCATATTTGCTAGCAGGAATGGTTCTTGTTCCAATTTTTATCCTCTCCACGTTGACAAATCGGTCATCGATGGCATTGATCAGTAATCCGCCTTCGTGAATGATGCCTACCCTGTTCTCCACGTTCACCTGAATCTCATGGGCAGGAACCTGGTCGCTGTTCCATAAGCTAGACCCAAATAGACGGACTTCCTCGTCGTTGATGGTAGTCCAGGCTCCTGGAGTGCTGTCCATGCCACGGATGAAGTTATGGATCTGCTTGGCAGGCTTGGACCAATCAATTTTTTGAAGCTCCTTCTTATTTAACATGGGGTCGTAGCTAGCTCCTTCCTCCGGTTGAGGAATCATCGGCGCAGTACCTTTGGCCACTAGGTCTACAGCCTCCCCCAAGGCTTTGATCCCTTCAGGATAGAGGAAATTATTGTACAACGTATCTACAGTGTCTTTGGGCTCGACTTTGCAAGATCTCTGCAACAAGATTGGCCCAGTGTCGAGGCCATCGTCAGCCCAGAAGATTGAGAACCCTGCAGTGTTGTCTCCTTCGATGAGAGTCCTGAGGAATTGGAATATTTATTTTTAAAAATTTCATTCAATTGATCGATGACAGCGCCTGACAAGAGGATTGGTCAGTTCAGAAAAGAAACTGTCTCGTGAAATGTCATTTCATAAACGTCTTATCACGGTGCTTATCAGTCGGCTTATCGTTACATTTATTGAACGTGAAAGCAGCGAACAAACACGCATTATGTATAGAGATAATGTCAGCCACGAAAACTGATCCGAACCGGTTTCCATAATACGCGTGGTGCCTTTGATTTGACCTAACTGAATGTCTACTTGCACCCCCTCCACCGGGAGATAAGCGTAGAGAATATTTCACAGTGAACGGTCTCCTTTATTACGTTATACGATTGCAGCCACGTAACGCGTTATTATGTTGATTGCAGGCCTACTAACCAGTTTATGGCACTCGCGCCACGATGCCTGGGTAGCAGAGACGGATGGTAGCATATGCTGCGATGACGAGGGTGATTGATCACCTCCATGGGAATAAATTGACTGCAGAACGGAAGGACGTTCAAGTCGACTTCTATCCGTTTATACAGTTCCAACACCTCTGGTAACGTTACACCCTTGCTCCTCCAGGATTTGATTTTGAACACAGGGGTATTGTCAGCTTTTGCTGTGACGGCTGCATTCAGGATACAATAGTATTTATTTAAATATCAAGAAATGAAGAAAAATCGTTATTGGACTTCCTGATTACCTAATGGATCCTCCCGGTTCCCTTTATCAGGGATAGTGAAGACTCCTGTGATCTGATGACCACTTTGCTTCAATAGTTTGTAAACTTCAGCCGCGAACGGGCTCTGACCGATTATAGCTACTTTCAGTTGCGCCATCGCCGTCTAGGGATTTCAAATCGTTTGAATCCTTTCAATATTTATTAATAATATTATCTGTACTGTTAATGGAGTACAGTGAAATATCTGAGACCCCGTTACATTAATTTAAAGAAGCGTGCTCAGTGTTAGTCGGTAATGTGCACCTGATACGTACCTATTTGTGTAACGTGTTAACACGATTCTGTCTCAGCTAACTTTCACTGTGCTTTTTTTTTAAGCGAACTGTAAAGAAAAGAAAAATACGAGATAAGGAAGCTTGTGCATGAGAAAGTGGCTGCAAAAATGTGGCTACTATTGAGTAATACAAGCGTTAGTTTTCTACCGCTTTTGCTATTCCCAACTGTCGTTCACTTGCCAGCGCAATATTTGTTTGTACAGCTGGAATGTCAGGACAGGGTGTAAACAGTAATTGTATTTACAAATAAGAAGTATCAGTGGTAGGATGTCTTACGGTATTCACGACGTAGGTTCGCAATGAGAGAAAGTTCCTTAGAAATAGCATCTAGTCTATGCGACGTTTACTCTTACGGCTCTCCTCTGGTGCATTCACTTTACTACAACTTCACTTGACGTTTGCTAGGCTACTGACCCGCGAATCACTTGCAGCTATTGACTACCACCAGCTGAAGCACACGTTTATATAAGCTAGAGCGTATCAGCCACGAGGGTCAAGAACTTTGAGGAGATCCCGTGGCGATTATCTATGACGTCCCACGATCTTCTTCCTTATCTTGGATTTTTTTTTAAATTGTGCACGCAAGATTTCGCGGTATTCCCCCGCACGGTGACAATCATTTGCTTGGTTTGCAAAAAATATTTACAGGAAGTAAAATTGTTGCAGAGTAGACTTTTATAATATCAAGATTGCTTGATAAATGATTATTTAGATAACTTTGTTGTTAGTATCTAGTTAAAGGAGGTGATATAATTAATCTCTTTTTTTTCAATGCTAAAGAATATTTAATTATAATTATTTACTTGAGTAATTATGATACGAACTTATATGCAAAGTCATCAGTTTTTTTTTTGGATCGTTTATCATTGGTTTAAGTTCTGACTAGTATTAGCAGGTTTTAATCAAAAATTCCTCCTATCGATTGGTCAGAGGTCATTGATAAGCTAGTCTCGTACCGGTTTTAGTCAGTTTTAGGTCACGAGTGTACAGATCTTTGACCGAGGCAAATAAGTAATTTATATAAGACTTTGAATACGTTGAAAGTTGCTTTTAACAACGCAATTTCAGAAGGATCAATATTAAGAAACTCGCTATTTTAAAAATAACATACCATCTTTTATTGCATCCATTATTTTTATACGTGCAGCGATGAACAAACAAATCAATTATATTATATACTACAACATATACAATTTACATATTATTTAATTAACATAAAATCTATAGTAAATAGATATTACACAAGCGACTGGATTCTTTAATATCTAGGTACTTTGAATTCTGATCCTCCATCTAACACTGTTGTGGGTTTCCTCTTATTCATGATATTCTGAATCTTCTGCCATTCTCTGTCCAACTCTGCTTTTTCATTCTTTTCCTTATTATACTTTCTCGTTCTTCTTCCATCAGCCATTTTCACTCCATACTGGAATGCTGCTTTCGGCAGTGCTTCTTTATTGTTCATATATTCGCTATACTCTTCGGGAGTATCGAAATCCCATCTTCCAATGGGACCTTTCTTGTTACCAAGATCCATCTTGGTATAATCCACTTCGTCGTCTGAATCATCTATAGCATCCTGCATTTCATCCAGACCTGGGTAACATTCTGCATAGCCTTCTGGCTCTGCTGCTAATTTATTAAGAAGCGCTCCTTTTTTAGGAGCGTTATTTTCTGTATTAGACGGTGTTATACTTGGTAATTGGGGAGTGTTTGCTTTGTCATCTGTGTCTAGAGCATTCTCTGATTTGTCAAAGTAAGAACCCTTCTTCTTCTCTCTAGACTGATTCGTATCCTTTTTGCCAATTGTAGGAACGTAATCGCCAATATCACCGTAAATGCTTTCATCTTGAGGTCTAGGAGCGATATCCATATCATTCATATCGTCGGGTCTGGATCGTCCATCCTTATTCTTCTTCCCTTTCTTCCCATGACGATTGCCTTGTCGTAAATATGATAAGATTTGTGCTAATTTGTTTATTACAATATCGTTGGTTGTTAAGGTAGGAGTATTATCCGTTGTTGGTACGTCAGCTTTACTTCTGATTAAAGTGGTCGGTATGTCTACGTCTGTGTTCTCGTCATCCAACTCTATCACATAAGCCATACGACCTGGTGTGAATAATTCGTTTCTTTCAATTTGTTTCGACTTCATGGTCATGATAGTTCTGTAAACGTTACGTCCGATTTTGGTTTTGAACAGCATTTCATCATCCTTCTTTTCTCCCTCCTTCTTTTCTTTTACTTTATCCTTTGGTTTCACCAATTTCTCCATCTCTTGTTCCTGTTCATGTTCCTTTGCCTCTATTTCGCTTCTTACCTATAAAGCAGAATCTTAGTCAGACAGTGTTAAGGTCATTTGACATGGTAAATTTTTACCTTCTGAAGAAGAGCATAATCCAACCCTTTCACCAAATGAGTATGTTCCATATCACCACCCAAGAATTTTGACTGTTGAATCATTTGTCTTCTGCGTTCAGCAGCATCCATTCCAGATTTCAAATCAGGTGCCACAGCACGGTATGCACTGGCACTATTCATTGGATCTTCTGCCTGATAATCTTGATTTGTACCATCCCTGCGTTCTCTTGCTCTGTCCCTGTATTTCTCTGCTAATTCTGCCATCTTATCCTCTTCCTGTTTCTTCAATTTAGCATAAAAACTTTTCTTTTTCCTTCTGAGCTCTGCTCTACTGCCACCACTGATGTTTGGTGTCTGTGCTGTTTTTGCACTAGCATCTCTAACAGTACCAGGTACAGAAGCTGGGGTAGCAGATGGAACCGATGCTCTTGGTGTCATTAACAGTTTTCGGAAATCATCGTTCGTTAAACGAACGGACATTCCCAAGTCCTCCTCCGTCGTTTCTGGCATTTTTGCTTGTGTTTAAATCTCTAGAGAGTAAGGTTAATTAGTTAACGTGAACAAAATTTTGACAGAAATACAGAATAGAAAGGATTATTAAATCTGAAAGTCAAGTGTAGATAGAACTTACATTTAATATTGTTAAACAGTTATACTTAACAATAGGAAATTAATATTTGTTGATTAATTATTTGATAAAATTATGATTGCTCCTAAACGTCACCTCCATCGACACAAGCAATGATCACCCTGCCATCTAGGAACAAGGGATAAACCATTTAAACGCAAATGATAATGAAGTCGTTTTTGGTAAAGTAGATTTGCCAAAATTTATTTTATTAACATAATTATACATATCACATTAAAAACATAAATGACAGAATTACAAAAGATTGATTAATTGTTTCTAGCATTAACAACTTGATACTGATTCTCAGCATCTATACAATTTGCATAAAGCATTGTTGCCTTATTTAATTCAGGATTAGCGACATAGTATTCAAAACGAGTAAGACTGTTACATGCAGCTCCATAGTTTCCGTTTTTATTTATAGCTATTACTGCACCTGTAAATGTTGGATAATGTTCAGCAATTCTTTTAACTGCTGTTGTTGCAGCTTCCTTGGGACTAGCACCACGACGCATCTCTTCCACAGCCAAAAAGCTGAAATGACATCCTTCGTAACAAAAATCAAGAAAATTGTATAACGTAGAATGTATATTAATAAACTAAATTTCCTTTTACCTAGGTAAGAAGCGCATCATGATGTCACCATCACCGGTACCAGCAGCTGCGCCAACTTGTTGATCAGCGTATGCACCTGCACCTGCAATCGGAGAATCTCCGATACGACCAGCAATTTTGTTTCTGGCACCATTCGTCGATGTACCAGCCGCTATATGACCCTTGGAATCTATCGCTACAACTCCAATGGTGTCATGATTTTCTTCATCTACATAGGACTGGTGTTCTTCCATTTTGAAGTCCATGGAACTTACAGCACGATATGGGCCACAATTCTTGCTTGGGTCTGGAACTACATTCTGCAAATATAAAAAGTTATATCGACATGATCATAATTAGTAATTAGATTTAGAGATGTTCTTTACCTTCCAGAAGTTGGGTTGGCAGTTATTAGCTTTCCAGTCTAGCCACATTTTCTTCGATTCTTCGGTTTGTAAGGGCTCTTGTTTGAAGCCCATTTCTACAGCAAACTTTGTAGCCAACTCTCCACCAAGCAAGGAATGCTTGGTGTGCTCCAGAACTTTACGTGCAACAGAAGCTGCACTTTTAATATTTCTTAGGAGGCCCACTCCACCGACGTCCATTGTGACCCTATTATGAAATAAATGGATTCATGAAGATGGTCCTTAGCTATGAAATAAGTGTATCTACAAGTAAATAATAGCTGTACCCATCCATGATTAAAGCATCCAATGTAGTTTCTCCACTTTCATCTGGACTACCTCCAAATCCTACAGTTTTTCTACATCTATTGTCTTCACAGTAAGTGCAACTTTCTTCTATAGCATCCAAAGCACTCCTCTTTTGATTGTATAGAACATCCCATGCTGAAAACAAATAATTGTATGAATATAACATTACTTTTGTAAGAAGTAAACAGTTATAAAGATTTACCTTTTTCAGTAGCAACTTTATAATCCCATGTAATAACAACTAAAGGAATGCTGCTGTTGGAAGCAGGAACTTCCCGAGATGTTATTAAACAAACTTGAGCAATGAAACAAACTGCTAGTAAAAACTTCATGTTTAGGATTTCAATTGAAGACTATCGGTCAGTATTGAAGACTTATAAGCCAGACCATCCCTATTTATAAGCAAAGTGGGGATATATCTGTGATGTCATATTGTGTACAATTATAATATTGTTTTAATATAATGTATCTTGGTAATGGGCTTCTGATAATTTGCAGATGTCAGTGAATTGCTGGAAAAGTAGAATAGTTTTCATTATTAATTTATTCATATTTTCATCAAGTAATAAATTGATAGCATATCATTGAATACAGATTTTGATAAAACTGAATATTATAATAAATCACAGTTCTCTATAATGCTAAAGATACCTTATCTACCTCATGGAAAAATTTAATAAGATAAAAGGTTCAGTGAACATATTCTAATCAAAGTAACAGTAACATAGCAAGAATTGATTGAACATTTTGATAAAACTAATTATTATGATAAAATAACATTTGCATATAATATTTATGTATAACTTATCTAATATATAGAAAACTTTAATTAAACAAAGGTCCAGTGAATATATTCTATTTAATCAAATGAAAATAGTTTTATCAACAATGCATTTACCGACTGTTGCTTCATTTTATTTGCTATATGAACCTTTATCAGACATTGTTAAAAAGCTGCAAATAATCATATTCACTTAATTTTATATTTGCAAACAATTCGTTCATTGTAATACAGTATCAAACAAGAGGAGAAATATTTGATTAGGATTATGTCACTTTTTTGATCTGCTATAATTTGTCAACCAATGAGAGACCTGTATTATTTCTGTCGTTAATTAAACATTTTATTTCTTAAATATTCTGCCCTGTTACACCGATTTCGTTATTGCTTTGTGAAATATTTAATATAAAATTAATTATATACAAATCTTGATCAGGGGTGAAGATTGAATAAATATGAAAGGGTTCGTTGAAACGATCAATTTATGATCAATGTAAAAGAGTGTCATTTATTTTTGTTATAAGACAACAAACTGTCTGTAAATTAAATAAGATACACTGTTCTATTAACTAAATACCTGCTAAGGTAAAATCATTCCATCAAAAGTCATTTATCTATTTATATATACTGGAATAATTGTGCATAACCTAAGAATGCCTTTTAAAAAAGACTTGAGGCTTCTATTGAAGCCTTATTATTTGATAAATATTTTACTCAGTGTTTCATATATTGTCTCAAAACGTTTACCGATCGTTTGTCATTATGTATTTGCACAAGCAGAGTGTGAACTTGATGGGGTAAGTAATTGAAAGATAATAAGAGATGTGTTGTACAACTTTAACAAATTATTTTCTTTTTATTTCAGAGGGAAACAGAGATTTTATTTTTTCTCATGATAGTCATTATGATAAGGACACGAAAAACTGGAAGTGTCACTATGATAAACTATTTATCATCTAGCTTTGTGTACACCAAAATAGCTAATTTGATTCTTTGGTTTTATGCAGATATTCGTATGGGAATTATATTTGCTATTATATTTATTTGTAGGTATCTAATTGGTAACACAGTAGATCTCCACACCACCAGTTAATTTCTACATGATTTTATAATTGTAGTATGTGGCTTGTTGTTCCCTGAACCAACATACCAAGGTCCAGAGAATGTAACATATTTACGTGGTGCACAAGGATTACAAGAAGAATTATACCGTGATACAAGAATTGTTTGGCTGGTTGCATTTTATACAGCATGGAATCCAGCTTGTGTTAACTTTGCACCAATATTCTCTGAGCTTTCTGCAGAGTATGTTGCATTTTATTTCTTATTTAAAGTAATTAATCATTGATTAAATATAATGTTGTATAAAAATGTTTGCAGGTATGCATTGGAGAATTTAAAATTTGGAAAAGTAGATATAGGAAGGTATCCAGATGCGGGAGTGAAGTATCATATTAGCGACGCTAGTACCAGTAAACAGTTGCCTACCTTGATTCTTTTTAAAGAAGGTAAAGAAGTAGAAAGACGTCCATACGCGGATCACAAAGGGAAATTAGTTAAATTTCTTTTTTCATTAGTAAGTAATACAGTTCTTGATATCTTTAAGTTATATAACATGTATTACAGGAAAATTGTTTTTTAGGATAACATAAAAGCAACGTTTGACCTTAATAATGTTTACAAAGATTGTAAAAAGAATCCAATTAAGAAGAAAGAGAAGAAAATGATAAAAGCTGAATAATGTAATGATCGTTTCTAGGCATTTATTACAATTTTACCGATGTCATAGCACTGCCAGCAATTCAATTGAAAATAACTTCTACTATGTAGAACGAAAATTTAGTGTAGCTGTGTCTCGCGCAAATTTTAATTTATCGTCAAACTATGAAAATATGTAAATATTTCATTATACTTTTAATCGTTACATGCATTTTCTGCACCATTGTGTTCTGTTAACGATTAATGGATATTACTCTAGAGTAAGATAATTTATTCAATAATAGATATGGTTACCAATGTCACTGATATCAAATGACACACCAGTGTCACGTGTTTATTTATAAATTTACACGATAAAAAATTCGCATAACAATTCACTTATTAAAATCAAAGCCAAGCTTTTAGTTGAGATATATATGTATATAATTCATATGCAATAGTTTTCATCAAATAAATAATTATTGAAACGCATCACTCTATTAAATTTTTGTATATTATAAAATTTAATTATATAAATATATATATACAATTGTGTGTACATATGTACATAGTTTATTATACAGGTGGCCAAATAATTGTAATATGTCCATGAATAGATTCCGGTAGCCATTTCTGATAAGACGATAGAAGAACTGAAAGGAATCATTTTTTTCATTTTTTTCACTATTCTTAGTTTATACCCATATCTAAAAACATTTATACTTACAACTTCTGTCGTCCTTCCATGTTTCGAATAATTTATCTCTCGACATAATTCCACGAGATAACAAATGCTGTGTCATTTCCTGCGTTCGCGGTATCAACCTGATGATTAACATAATTTAAGCCTTCAAATTTTCAACAGATTTATTTATATATACATATAATATTATAAAGCTCACTTAGCCCATGCTTTATTGATGCTCTGCGGTGATGATAACAGCGAAGGAACAAACTGTTTCAATTTAGGACATACTTTTCCCTCCAAAAGGAAGCAAGCAAACCATTTGACACCTTCTACAGTTAATGGATGCTCCATATCCATTACTGGCAATTTCCAACCAGCTTTTCCAAACGTTCCTGTTATACTACACATGACTTTTCCCGTTTCTGTATCATATCTATTTAAACACATATGCATATATAACATAAACAATAAACTTGGAAAGTTAGAAGTACATTACAAACCTTGGAGGTGGGTCAGTTAAAGGATCTCCAAGCCGACATAAAGATGGGGCAAATTTAGGTAACCATTCAGGTTCTATGGCTGTAACTCCACGCATATACAGCTTATTCGTTTCGTATACTTCTTGATAAACTACCCATTCAGGGCATGTTCTTCTAAGAACGCACGATGAGTGCATGAATACTGGATCTTCCATGTCCATAGTTCTAAACAAAAAACATATAATTTTGATGTTTAAAATAAATAGAATGGTTAAAAAGCAATCTGAATCCTACTTGTAAGCATATTTATATTTGTTCTTGTCTTGGTCTTCACTGACTTCGTCAGGCATTACTTTTCTTGCAACTTGATCAGCCATTCCAGCCAGAACTATTTGTCTAAGCAGTTTGGCTTCTGTATCAAGCGGTGGTTTCATTCTAAATTAACATTTACAATAATACAATTCATTATTTTCCACCTAGAAGATAATGTAAATATTGTACAAAATACCTACTCTGGGTCAATAGTAAGATTTAAGTTTGGAATATTTAAATTAATTTCATTCGTCAGTTGTTGTCTAAGCTTTCTGATTTCCACAACTGCTTTATGTCGTAAGCCATACTCTTCACAGAAAGATAGCAGCTTTCCTTTAATTCCAGCATATTCTGCACCTCCCACAGCTCTGATCAAAACCATGGGATCACCTTTACGCAAAATTGATTATCAGATGTTATACAATTAATACATTTTTTAAATATGTGTTTAAGGTACCAAGAAGTAAATTGTTTCCTACTCCAGCCCAAAAACGTCTCATTTGCAACCATTTTTTAGAAGCCCCATCTGTATTAAACGCTTCCATTAGAACTTCCTGAACAGAAAGTGCAGCAACCATGCACACCGTGTACGCTAGAAGATTGTGTTGATGCGAAAGAGCTAACATCTTCCCATATCGGGGAGCAACTGGGAATGCAGCAATGCTCTGACCGAGTGGTGTAATCTTGGCACTGTAAGACCCTGAATAATATTGAAAATCATTTAAAAAATAACGATAAAAAATAATTGTTGATGTTTGTACCTTCTTTATTGGAGGGCCGTTGCAAAGCACCGAGAATTTGAAGTCGTTTCTCGGCGGTCTTCAATTGTACAATATCTGGAGGTGTGGGAAATGGAAAATTCACAACTTTATCAATATTCATCACTTTCATTTGTAACAACAAATCATCCACGGGTTTCCTTTGGATTTCTGATTGACTGAATGGCTCAAATTGATCATTAAATACTGCTGAAGAATACAGCCTGAAAATAATGTTTATTGCGATAGTTTATGTATTGTTTAATATTGTGTACACAAATAAATACCTGTAGCAATGACCAGGTCCAACTCTACCAGCTCTTCCTGCACGTTGATTAGCTGATGCTTTGCTTGTATAGCAAACCTGGTATGTACTTACACCAGTTACTCTATCATACAATCTTGTTTTACAGCGTCCACAGTCTATTACATATTTTACATCAGGTATTGTCAAGGAAGTTTCTGCTACATTTGTAGCAACTACACATAATCTATAGTTTTCTGGCGGCGGTTCAAATACCTAATACAGTTTTTTAGTTATTCATACATATTTACTAATACAGTAATCTTTTCGTTACCTTTGCTTGTTCATGAGATGGCAAAATGGAATACAAAGGTAGAACCCATAAGGGCTGTGCATTCTTCAAAGTGTTTAAATCAAGAACGTCATCATCTTCGTCCTCGTCTTCGTCCAATTGTCCCTCTTCTTCATCGTCTACTTCGAGTAAATCTTCATGAGTATCATCCGTAGGAACCACAGAGTAACTGAAAAACAATGGTACATTAAATTATATTCAATATTGTTTCAAAATATTTGAAATAGGTTTACATACTCGTCGAGACTAATATTTGGCAGCTGAATTTGTTTCTTTTGTCGTAATTTGTTGTAACGAATAGCTTCTTTGCTACGGAAATCATCGTCAAAATTATCATTGTCACTATTGTCTTCTGAATCATCTACTTTTTCCTCTTTTTCAGTAGAACTTTTATCTTTTTCTTTCTCCAAAGAATCTGAATTTTTGTCCAGTTTATGACGTCTCTTTTTAGTTTCTTTTTTATCTTTTATAGGAAAAGCTCTACGTAATTTTCTAACAACATAATTTACTTCTCGCTGTCCTGTTAGAAAAATTAAAATTCCACCATCGGGAAGACGAGTATGTATCTTCACCGCTTTCTTGAAGGCATCAGAGACATAATTGGTGTTGGTTCTTCTATTGAAATGTATAGTGACAGGAAACTGCCTTGATTCTACAGACAGTACCGGTGGTTTCTGTTTAAACAATTTGTCATTATCTATAAGTTCTTCAACTCGTAACGTGGCTGACATTATTACAAGTTTTAGAGGATTTTTTCTTTTATTACGCAGCGGTACAATTCGTGACAATAATCCTATTAAAATATCAGTATACACGCTTCGTTCATGTGCCTCATCCAAGATAATTACAGAATACTTTGTAAGCAAAAAGTCCTGAAACGTTGTAAAACCTGATATTATCAACATTACACAGAACTGATACTTTAATTAAATAATTACTTACACTTTGGATTTCCTTCAGTAAAACACCATCAGTCATGAACTTGATTTTTGTCTCTGGTGTAACGTTTCCTTCAAAACGAATTAAATATGAAACCTCCTTCTCGGTAAGATTCATTTCTTCTGCTACGCGTTTGCTCATTGATATTGCGGCCACTCTTCTAGGTTCGGTTACTCCTATCAGTTTCTCTTGAGCATAACCAGCTTCATAGAGAAACTGTGGTACTTGAGTCGTTTTACCACTACCTGTTTCGCCGGTAATTATTACAACAGGATTGTCATTAATTGCCTCTACAATAACTTGCTCCTCTGCTACCACTGGCAGCTTCAGCCTAGCTGCTTGAATTTCGGGCTTTCTTTGTACTGTTACAAAAACAGCAGGTTTCTTTTCTACAGTGACAGAGACTTTTACTTTTCCATCCTTCTTTGTACTTTTACTATCAGGAGATTGATTTTCTTTATTGATAGAAGCCTTGTCTTTATCATTTTTTATATTTTCAGTCTGATCTTGTGAATTTTCTACAGAAGTTGTATCTTTGGGTACATTCTTTTCTTGTTCATCTTGCTGAACATCTGTATCATTTGATTCTGGTTTATTATTATCACACTCCAGCTCATTATCATCACCCTCTGATTCACTGTTATTAGGTGTTGAATCACTATCAGTAAATTCCTAAAATAAACAGTTGGTTAATGATCCACTTTAGTATCATTCCTTATGCTAACTTACATCAAAACCAACAACATTTGGATCAGAGATAGTTTCCTCCTTTCTTTGTTCTTCTAAAATTGCCAGTCTCTTTTTCTTACCACCTTTAATAGAATTTACAGGTACTTCTACAGCATCATTTTCATCTTCATCATTTGCATTAACTTTATATTCTTTAGTAGGTAGATCTATTTCTCTAAAGTGACGTTTTAAGCCTTTAGTCTGAATGCTGGTTAAAGATACATAATGCTTCAGTTCTTCCTGGGGTGCTTGAACTTTTGCTAGTTCTTCTAAAAGTGTAGCTCTCTGTTTAAAAGCAAGACAAAGGATAAAATATTTGTTTCTAATCATAGTTTGTATATTGAATAACTTACATTCAATTTTTTTTTCTTTTTCTCTACAACTTTCTCCAACTGTTTCCTGCGTTTCTTAGACAACAATCTAGTTGTAGATACTTTCTCAACTTTACTTTTTGTCTTTCTTTTTTCACTGGGAAGGGCTAATGTGTTACATGCATCATAATTCTCCTCACGGTAGTTAATATCCAGGATAATCTACATAAAAAATAACATAACATAATGAAACTACATACTTTTACAAAACAGTATACCTTTCTTGTTGGAGAGTCATCAATTTCAACTTGAGCGATATTTCTTGATTTCCAGTTAAGTTTTTTATTTCCCATTTTGATCAATAGCACAGAGTAATAGTCTTAAATGAAGATGCCACGTGCTGCTTTTTAAATAATTCAGTATATGCAATAGAAATTACAATTTTAATATTTTGTTGCATATTTTTGGGATTAAATTTCGATCGCTGCACCATCAATACGAAAACGGCGGAAACTAATTAGCAAGTAGTGGGGTGTTAGGGACCCCGAAGCGCGGTGGCTGTATATCGACATATCGTCTTGGGGTGTTAGAGACCCCAAAGCACCGATAACTGCACGCCGACAATATGGTATCCGGGGTATCAAGGACCCCAAAGCTAAAATCGGAACGGTGGCGCCACCTATACGGAAACGGCGGAAACTACTCGCCGATTAGTTTCCGCCGTTCTCGTATAGATGGCGCTGACTATTTATCGACTTATCGACAATTACCGACGCAAGTGGTAATGTGTTTTATTTCCAATTTTAATTAATAGAACAGTGTAATAATCTTCAATCAAGCTGCCACGTGCTGCTTTTTAAATAATTCAGTATATGCAATACAAATTACAATTTTAATATTTTGTTGTATATTTTCGGTATTAAATTTCGATAGTAGCGCCATCTATACGGAAACGGCGGAAACTAATCGGCAAATAGTTTCCGCCGTTTCCGTATAGATGGCGCAACGATCGAAATTTAATACCGAAAATATACAATAAAATATTAAAATTGTAATTTGTATTGCATATACTGAATTATTTAAAAAGCAGTACGTGGCAGCTTGATTGAAGATTATTACACTGTTCTATTAATTAAAATTGGAAATAAAACACATTACCACTTGCGTCGGTAATTGTCGATAAGTCGATAAATAGTCAGCGCCATCTATACGGAAACGGCGGAAACTAATCGGCGAGTAGTTTCCGCCGTTTTCGTATAGGTGGCGCCACCGTTCCGATTTTAGCTTTGGGGTCCTTGATACCCCGGATACTATAATTTCGGTATGCGGTTATCGGTGCTTCGGGGTCCCTAACACCCCAAGATAATATGCCGAAATGCAACAAAAGACTAATTTCTTTCCGAAATTTATTTAATTTACTTTATTTATTTTCTTTGCTTATTAAATAAACTCATCGAAGGGGAATAACATTTATGATTGCATCCCTCTTTATAGGCCACTAAATCACTGTATCCCTTGTTTAATTCATACAACTTACAAATATATTTGCAGGACATAATTATTAATATTCTTCAATAAACTAATTACGTTAGGCATGGATTTCAGAAAACTTTTTATTGGACATTTAATGGAAAATAATAAGAACTTGATACAAAGTATGTGCTGAATAAGTAAATAAAAAACAGCTGGTTTACATATTCGTTCGTTGCTCCAATATTTTGTAATTACATACCAATCCGTCGTAAACTGCAATGCAGCAAATTTTTTTGGCAGACAAACACCAAAAGTCTACTCTTATATAAACCGTATGATTAATTGCAAAATATGAAAATAAGTTCGCAGCAGCTTATCTCTTCTAATGATTAAACAATACAATTGAATCTATATACAATTTCAATTAAAAAAGAAAAAAATTCCTGTCAACTTTTATTGGAATACTTGTATTAATATAAGAATATACGAAACTTGCATAGCAATTGTGAAATCTGTATTGTCAGCAATGTGTATTTCATTGCGTGAGGCACCAGGTTGCAAAATTGGGTTCGCACAAAGAATTTCTGTGTCACGGAATGCCTATAAAAACGAAATCCAATCGATCAGTCGTCAGTCAAATTTCAGAAGTCTTCAAGTCGATGCAATTATCAACCATGCATCTCAACGCGTGTTTCTTGTGTCTATTCCTGTGTGTCGCGCTGATCGAAGCTGGTCCAGCTCCTAAGACCATTGAGAAGAAGTCACTGGCTGAAGATGTGAAGGCAGAATCCAAAAAGGCGGACCTGAAAATCGAGGAAGCTGGTGAGGATAAAGATAGATCGAAGAAATCAACATTCTGCGTACAAATAGGATCAGAAGCATCTCAACCAGCCCAAGTTTCTTGGAAAGAAAATCAAATGGGTGTTCAGAATATCCCAATGGCTTTGCATACTCAGTCTCAACCGATCCAAACTCTAAACCTTCAACCTGTTGCTCAAACTTTACCTCAGGCAAGTGTAATGATGCCTCAACAAATGGTTCAACCTCCTATACATACCCTTCAGATAGTACAGTCTCCTCCACAACCTTGTGCTCCAGCACCAGCACCAGCAGTGAACATCATTCAATCAGTTCCTCAGACAAAAGTAATTAAAACTATTCAAAAGCCAAAGCCTAAACCTAAGCCAACCGGCGAAGAACAGAAACCTATGCGTATCGAGCAAATTCCAGAGCCTCTACCTGAGCCTCAGGAAACATTGACGGTCTTACCAGTTGCTCCTACTTGCCACGAGCATTTGATGTTGGTATCTGAACCTGAACAGCCACAAATGGCTACCTATGTTCAAGTTCCATCAATGGTACCCTGCACCAATCCTATGCACGGTTTCCTCAATCCATGTTCTTGTCAGCAAAATTTAGCTATGTTCAGTGAGTCTGGAATTGAACCAATGGCAATGAAGATGCTTCCTATCGCGTACTCTTCAACATATGCAAGGCCTCCATTGATCATGCCCTATGATACAAATGCGTTTTCTCACGTTGTAGTAAATGTAAGTATCATGTGATAAATATTAAATATATACATACTTAGCAAGATGATTGATTAACGATGTTAATTGTTCACAGGATAACGTGGACGTAAAGGTGGGCCCTCAAGCAAGAACCCACAATCACATTAAAGTGAAGTACCCTCATCATATTCATGTTCGTCCAGAGCTCAGCCAACAAACAATCTATCAAAACATGTACGTCCAAGGATCGGAAGGTGGTATCCCTAGTTCCTATGCCAGTAGGGATCTGGTCGACAATGCGTACGCAACAAAAGGAGTCACCATCAATGCTTTTCCTCAAACTTTCCGGGATGCTAATTCCATGCACCAGGCTGGTTACCAATTCGTAGAAGATTCTTTGGGAAACCAGGATAACGCATCGAACAATCCAACCTTCTCCGAGGCAGATGATCTTATGCAGAGCAATAAGGCACCTCGTCAAATTGAATCCAACCAACTGTTACCAGAGAACACAGTGGAAACCAAACAGGATGACGGTCGCGCTATGTTGATAGATGGACGTCGAAATGCCAGAAGCAATAAAGAGAAGACAAAGGAAATTGAGAAGAAGTCAAAGACAAACTAGAGAATTAATATAAAATACAATAAGTTCGTTCTGTTTTATATTTTTCTATATTACAAACCTTCAGTTTGTACTGGTATAAAAATAAGTAACTAGAAATGGTTTATAATAAAAAAATACTTTAAAAAGAATCCATAGATACAATTTGCTGCCCTTACCTCTCCGGAAACTTACATACTCTTATTTGGACAATACTGTAGAGAAGACATTTCATCAGCACTATTTGAATATACAAGATAGTTTTTAGGTACAATGAGTACATTCTTTGATGAAGTTTGTTGCAAATATTTTTGCAGAGTAGGCATATTCAACTGCACCCAAGAGGTGTTACACAAAACAGTGTCTTCGGAAGAAGTTTTCACATCTTCTCTGTTACAAGCGATAGTTTCCAAGTCCTCTTCCAATATGTCTTCGTTAATATTAACCCACCGCACAATCTTATCTTGAACTTCACAATTCACTCGTTTCAAAATATACGAGATACTCTTCATAACATCAATAACAGGTACGAGTCTGTCTATGATTGATTTATCTATCGAAATCTCACTATCTGCTTTGCATTTGCAGCAAGTGCAATCTTCTGGATGGTTAGCATCTCTGCACAACTCATCAAAATGTGGAGCTAAAACATTTAATGCAGCAATAGCAAGATAAAAAAACACAAGGGAAGAAATTTACATTACCTTCACATTTTATACAATAACAACATTTACAATCTTGAACATGTTGTCTGCTTAATATTCTTGAAATGATAGTTATAATCGACTGAAACGAAAGTGAAAATTTATTTTTAATAAATTGAAGTGAAAAAAGATTTTGATATGTGAACATACATGTTGCACTTTAAGTTCAGTCGTTTTTGTGTATGTATATTTATAATATTTCATATTTGGACGATTTATTTTAGTCGGAGGTCGTGGCGCGTTGAAATGGAGACCATATGGAATATCATGATATTCCTTTTTGCATCTACTTCCTTCGTATCTTGCAAAATACCACTTGTGATCGACTCTGTATGGTCTAACATCAATGTTCTCTTGTTCTAGGACTTGGAACATCAACATGCGTTTGATGATCTACAAAAAATTGTTAAATGTAGACTGTATTTAACACGGTTCTTATAAAAGTAATCAATACTTTTGCAGCTGGATGGCCTATACAATTGCCAAATATTCGTAACTGTCGCAACAAAGGACTCTTCTTCAAGGTATTTAAGATATCTACTATGCCATTATCGGTCATTTTATTGTAAGAGATATCAAGGACCAGAATTTTTGAAAATGGAAGGGTGAAGCTTAAACTTCTAAAAGTAATATATCTTGTATGTAAGAAAAAGTATATTGTTTTTTATGCAATACCTTGCACCATGGTCCGTTATAATATTCCTACATAAGATGAGTGTCTTCAAAGCCGGTCGTTTTATCAACCAGCTGGTAATATGTTCAACTCCGTGATCGCCTATATTATTATTGCCCAAATCTAGCAAGTACAATGTATTATTGTACTTTGCATTGGACATCATGTTTTCAATATCATGACAACTGAAGTTGTATTTCTGCAGATGCAATGCCCTCAGACAGGTATTGTTCTAGAAAGAACCTTTCGTTAATTTAAGGATGAAAAAGAAGTAAGAATGAATGTTACTTTGAGCATATGACCAATAACATCGGCAAAATGAACGGAATCAAAGTAATACATGAATCCTGGATTAGGTCTACTGATATCCAAGTCTCTTAAAGTATTATTAGAAATTTCTTGTTCTGAACTCAAACCCATTACAAAATATATTAAACTGCTGGCAGACTGGTCTACCTCGGCAACATTCAAAGCAACTATATGTTTATTTTTTAATAAATACGTTGCCACATTTTTCGATGCCTACAAATAATTTAATGAAATCTTAAAGAAACAAATTATTACAATAGAATAATGAAATTACTTACTTGAACGCCAAATTTATTTGCTTTCAAATTAAGATACTTTATTTCTAGATATTCTGCTCTTGCCAATAAATAATTAGTTCCCTTCTCAGTAATATTATTATTCTGAAGATCTAGGTTCTCTACGCTTTTATATAGCTGATACAAGAAAAATTTATAAACATACATTTGTTGCCAAATAACATTGTCTATGTTATTATCTTACAAGTACATGATCAAGCAAATTCATAAAGCCAGTGTCTGAGATATCGTTATTTGCTAAGTTAATATGAATAATATCTGGATGTTTTTTTAAAAAGATTAATAAAGCTGGAATGTCCGTGTCTTGAAAATGTCTCCTGTAAATATATAAAGAAAATGAATTTCATTTATCAAAATAAATATAATTTGGATAATAATAAATGTTGTATGTCCTGACCTGATCTTTTCACTTATAACACTCCCCTTCATATCAAGTCTTTTCGTTGCAGAACAAATGGATGTACAGAAACATTTAAAAAAGTTTTGATTTGGGAGTTGATAATAACAGGATAGTTTCATATCTGGATGTTCCTTTAATGAACTATTGGTTCTATTGGGATCAATGCATGAAGAATACTGATACTTATTGAATTTCATGATAAAACGAATTTCCACAATTTAATTCAATTTTCCAAAATTTTGGTTAAACGTAGCTTCTAAAAAAAAAAAAAAAGAAGACATGTCAAATATTGTATGTATATCTAAAACATTCGTTCTTCAAGTGAAACCTCCATTTAATTTATTGGAAAGTATTTAATTATGGAAGAATTTGGCTTGAAAAAAAAGGATGAACCTGAGGCTTCATTTGAAGAGATATTCCAAAGTAATTAAAAAGGATACCTTTACATTTAAAAAACTATTAAATTTCGTACGTTTATTACTTTGGTAGCATACTGCGAGATGGATCCAGTTTCTTCTAGTCAAAATGTAGACCTTATACCATTGTCACAGAGCGACAGATGGTTGATATCTGCACGTATACTTGACATGATCACATTAACCACTACTGATACAGGACTTGCATTTTTTAAATTTCGTAAAAGAGCCTTATCATACGATGAATATTTAACGTATTTAAATGATTTGGCCAATAATTACAATCTAGATTTAGAAACGATGAAGCAGAAGATGCAAACGTGTGGCAGACCTAAACAGACTGCTTCTACAATTATGTGAACACTATGTACATACAAGCTTTATTTTTTTTAAACATTTTACAGTGTTCAATCCTACACCCGTGTTATTGATTGTATTTACACTTGTTTCATAACAAATTGACGTGTTAAAAATCTTCAGTCAGAAAAGAAATACTTTTGATTGAAAATTTGAAACTTAAAAACGTAATAAGTAGATGAATTTATTTGAAAATTGTTATCATCATATATCAATACACCTCGTATCGGACAGTGAATTAGTTTAAACATTTTTTTGATAACATAGAGCAAGCTGTCTTTACTAAACACGAAAGACGGCTCTCTATAAACATAAAACAATAAATTATCATGTCGATTTCACAGATAAATAAAATAAAATAAAATTGCCAAAATAAATACGTTTTACAATACTTTTCAGTACCGTTGTATTATAAGGCACATGAATCACAAAAGAAGTCATGCGTACAACTCTACTTTCATCTATAATATTTAATTTTTTTTCATTATTCAATTACAATCAAACTTTCAACAAGTATTATACAGTTGAAAGTATGACTCTTCTGTGCTTCTCGAAGTATCAAAAATAAATAATTAAGAAAAAAAAAAGGCAAATGAGAAACGTTAGCGATAACATACGATAAAATCAGGTATACAAAAATATTTCAAAAATCTACGCTTTGTGTCGAAAAATAACACAGAACAGCCCGCTCCTCGATTTGCAGATGATAAATACTTTCTTCGTGTTACTCAAATCTTCCTTATAATCAGAAGACGCTTTATACGTGCTACGAAACATTTTATGCGTTCTGTTGAATCCATTTTAAGGCATTTCTAATGTTACCAAGCGTCACTCTTCCAAGGAAACTCGCTATCAATTGATACTCCGGCATAGTGCGCCTTCCACACGATCTTGTCGATAAAGATCGTTGATAAGAATGATAATCGATTCCTTGAATGTTTTTGTTGCATAATACTTCTTCAGGTTGCATCGTATTACGTCCTTCGCAAAGTACTTTTGTAGTTAAACATAACAGCCATTGCATCACCTGTTTGAAAAAAACGTAACATCACGTATGTTTTATAAATTTTATGAAAACGTACATGAAAATACTCGTACCTCGTTACTCGACGGTAACTTTCCTTCAATTCTTAACCAAGTATTCGGTGCCCACAAGTATAATTGCATCACCGTTGCTGCTGTCTCTGTATCGAGTCTCTGAAATTACAACCATCACGTGTAGAGTACAGGAATCATACGAAAAATATGCATTTAACCATGCGTTATACCTTATACAAGCTCCTAGACAACAGATTTTTTATCAAAGCAGAAACAACAGCTGGCACGTGGCTCGGTAAAGGTGGAAGATCTTTCTCCTTGTAATTATGATTCTTCAGAGATATTCGCTGCGCATTGTCGCCATGAAACGGATTTTTCATACCAAATATTTCATATGCCAGAGTCCCTACTGTCCAAAGATCAGCTTTGGTGTAATTAATGCTGGTAAACGGACCAGGTTCCGCTGTTATTACTTCTGGTGCCATTAACGCGGCATTACCCCCTTTATCAATATCGTGGGTGTTATAGGGTAAGTATAGTCCGTGATTTTTATCAGCCAGACAACATCCAAAATCGGTGATTACCAAGGATGGACAATTATCAGTTTCTTCTGATAAGTCTAGCAGAATATTGTCCGTCTTCAAATCTCTGATTTATTCAGAAGAATGATATAGTATACATGAAATATAATACCATCTGATATTTAATACATGTTATCATATTCTATTTGGATAAAAAGTGTTCACTTACCGATGCGCAATACCATGTGCATTTAAATGAGCCACACCTTCGAGCAACTGAGCTAGTAGTAGTATCGATTCCCTTACACTCACAGTATGATCGGCTAAATATTGGCTCAATGTAATGTCATATCTATAACAAAACAAATAAGAAACCATTATACTCTCTGAAGAAATGATTTCTTTATGTAATAATTACCTTTTCATTAATAGAAACAAACTCATGTTTCTTCCAGATCCTTGGGGATTAATACGGGCAGGCAGAGCATCGGGATACATTCCCCATGAACCAGGTAAAGCAGGTACTCTATCGGTAAAAACATAATACATCGCCACGATGTTTGGATGTGGTGGCAGTTTGCTTTTTCTTTCTGCCATTCTCAATTCCCATTCAGCCAGTTCTTCGTTTTTTAATTGTTTCCTAGCGGGTACAGTCTCCCGATACATGGATCTTAGAATAGACAACGCGTTAGATTCAGTGTCGTAATTAAACATCATTTTTAATGCCAATGGAAATGCAGTTACGTCCTTGGTCTTATCGTCGATATGTATTTCATCTTTTTCTTCGTCGAGCGCAGATTCATCCTTGAATCTTGTCGCATAGACAACAGCAGAGCATCCTTTTGCAATTGCAGGACCAATCACAAAATCTTTCAGAGCAATAACTTTTTCTTCATCCTTGATAGTTTCATAATTCTTGTCATTTTGTGGAGTGTTCCATTGCAATTTTGATATAGCATCCTGTAAATACATTTGTTACATTATCTTTCTGTTACAAACATTAATTTAAACAAATTATACCCATTTCATTCACCCGAATTTCCCAACAGACTCCTTCCAATTCGTCATCCTTTGTCAATATTCCGGTACCAGATGCCAATGACACACCAACCAAAGCAAAGAAAGGAGCCGAATCGCCAAAGGCCAATCTGCTGGCTGCGCGTCTGCGTAAGTCAGCTGCCAAACTATTGGTAACTCTTTTTAGGATATTATCAACGAAAATCCGACGAGCATGAGCTCCCAAATAACCGAGGTGTCTTCCAGTGCTGGACACATTGTTGCTACCCTGGGGCAAGTAGCCCTGGGACTTGCCTGTAATAAAATTAAAATCAATCAGATGTTATATTTCATTGTATTACAGTTGATTTCATGTTTTATGTCATCCTGTAGCGTTCGTGTATCAAAGTTGACAGAAGACAGTTAGGCAATCTTATCCATCTACATGTACAAAAATGCTAAATTCCAGGAATATCTAAATACTTTAACTATTTTTACATTCAAGACAGTGTCGAGGTTGGTTATAAAAAGATTAGTTAAATTATTAACTTCATTCGAGGAAGGTTAATTTCACCGTATTGTCGAAGATTTTCGATTGTTTCGGTAACTCGTTTAGTCAAGGTCCTTTGACATTACGAGGATCTGGAAGTTTAAGGAATAAATTCAACGTCGTGACTCACCTACTTGCACAACGTGTATCTTGTCGTGATAGATCCTTGGATGGTAGAAACACTGGGTATTTCTGATGGAATGCAGTAGAGCCCGACCATTTTGCACAAAACGGTAGACTGCCGTCCGAATCGACATCTCTTTATGTTTCTGGGCTGAGAGAGCCCAGTGGGCTAGCCCCCAAGACAAATAAGCCTTCTTTGTTGAAGGCAGGCTCGATATATTAATATCTTAGATCGTATTATAAAAATTTACAATTGCGTAGTCGACATTAAAAAAAAATTCGCAACGTATCGTTCGCTTCTTCGTGTTCGTTTTTTACTACACCAGTGACTACAGATACAAGAAGACTGGACATGCCTTTGTTACCGAAGGGTAGTCATTTTTAGGGTACGCGGTACCCCAATGTTAGGTTGGGTTTCCACAGTCGGTAAAACAGTTACGCCTGTTTTACCGCACCTCAAACTGACATCTGAAAAGACCCAATTTTCACTCTCTTTGATTCTATTGTTTTTTTTACAAATCAGTCAAAAGCAGCACAAGACTGAACAATTATTATTACAATACATTCAATAACTGTTTGATCTTTAATAAATTAAAAACATAATATACATGGAAAATCAATCCCTGCATCTCTTACATCCCTGCAATCTATGAGTCTCAAAGTTAAATGTATTTTGCATTTATAATTATGTATATTACACTTAAAAGTACACTCCGCAAAACCCCTAGGCGCATAAATAATTGAAGCACATTACTGGTCACTTATGTTTACGATTACTTTGAACACAGGAATGATTTCAGAACGACTAACAATATCTACATGCTCGGCCATAGTTGTAAACAGATCTACTTTCAACAGGATTACAATTATAAAGCGCATCTCCCCGTGTTCCATCTGGACAGGTGCATACAGCAATGTGACGCCGAGGTGTACACACCGCGGTAGGGCCGCATTCTTTACCGGTGCATGGATTCCGACAAGTGAAATCGATGCAAGCTTTATTATCAGGGCACTCGCTATCCGTAAGACATTCTCCTCGTTGACAGCTTGTCAGTGCATTTCCGATGTAACCGGTAGGGCAGGTGCAGACAGGTCTCTCCTTTCCGGTATTGTCGTGGCCCGGAGTGCATATCGCGTTCACGCCGCATGGATTCGGTTCGCATAAGTCTCCTGGTATTATTAATAAATCTCTGAACGTGTGCCAATATTTAAAACTAATATATCTGTAACTAAAATTACTCACGTGCTTCAAATAATCTGCAACTCACGAAAGGATTACCGGTCATGTGTCTAGGACAACTACAAACAGGAGTAATGTCACGCAGATTGCAGTCTGCGTTTACTCCGCATACTCCTTCGCAAGGATTTAAGCATTTTTGGTAGAGGCAGGCTGGTTTGCTTCTGGGACAATCAGAATGTGTGGTGCATTCAGGACGACAGGATACGTATGGATTTCCCAGCCAGTTCTAAAGATAAAGTTCAACTATTAATTATCAGATTAACGAGTAAAGTTCATGTCTCACGTTTCTGCTTGGTACTTACATGTGGACAAGTACATTTCGCTTGATGATTAATCACTTGACACTCTGCATTCGTACCGCATTTACATGGGCTTTCACATTTAAAGGAAGCCAAGCAAGCAAGGTGACCAGGGCATTCGCTATCGCTTTCGCATTCATGACGGCATCCGGTCAAAGGAGATCCTCTGTAACCTGGCGAACAACTACAGACTGGTATTTCGTTCACTACCTCGCATTTTGTGTTTATACCGCACGGACTTGGTTTACAAGCAGCCTCTGTAAAAATTCAATTGAAATTTCAATCATGATTCATGTTACATATGGAAAAGAAAATGACATTAATAGAATTCAGAATACATGCAAACTACACGTACGAGGGTCAGCTATATGACACGAGGTGAAAGGATCTCCCGTATGTCCAGGAGGGCAATAACACGTTGGAAGGTGATTCTTCACCTCGCATAACGCGTTTACGCCGCACAAACCGTCACAAGGATTTATGCATCTATTATTTGTGCAAACCTTGCTTCCAATGCAATCTTCATTGACTAAAAAACAAATGTTCAATGTATCATTTATAACGCGTAAAAATATTTGTTAAATACTTACTCAAACACTCGACTCGCACGCATCTAGAAAGAGGATCTCCCATGTGCAAATTCATGCATGAACAAACTGCTCTTCCTTCGCTGTGAGTGCATCTTGCATTAACTCCACAGGTATAAGCTTCACAACCTACTGAAAAACAGAGTTTAAATATTCATAACACTAATATGAAATAAATTAATCAGTGAACAATTAATGATTTACCTGTATTCGCAGGCGTTAGTATCCTTGACTGATAGTACCCAGCACTGACTATTGCTACAAGTGGAAGAAGAAACAGAACTGCAGTCTGCAAATGCATCATTGTCTGTAAAATAAAGATACATCAATTAGTGTATAATTTGACATTAACTTAAAAAATTTAGTTTACCTCAGCTGTAGGAAGACCGTAACTCCACGACTAGATCAAACGGATTAACGGATTTTCAACGAACGCGAAGATAGATCACAGCTTCGGTACAAGGAAGACCCCACCTTTTGTAACCTTCAGTCCCACTCTGAATTTTGCCTACGCATGCCCCTGACAATCCTTTGACGGGCCTCGCCTACATCTACTTCGTTTACTATTATATCCTCTGTTCATGTTAATAATGATATCAGAAACTTATTTATTCTGAAGCAGGAAAAAAAATTCTACAAGAACAGTATTTCAAGTTCACTTGACAAAGATAATTTACTGTATCAATAACTGTGAGTTGAATTAAAACACTTTGCAGTTGTTTAATCACAATAAAAATGATGTATCTTACTTTTATTGGTGCTCGAAACTTTTCTTATCTGTTTATTTAAAAAAATCTAATTGTATATAGACTAAATACTATTGAAACAAAAATTGTGATCACCAAAACTAAATCCTTGATAATTTCCCTGAATTAACTTTCACTTTATAAGATGATTATGAGATAGTCTGGTACAAAAAAAACATAGGAAGCATGAGCAATCATACTGCAGCTTCGTATTCGCCTGGATAGACAATCGCTCGGTGAAACCTTTCGCACCAAAAATGGATCTGAGTAAGTTCCAAGCAAGCCTGCACATCATCATCGCCAAAATGATCGCAGCATATGTAATTGTGTGCATCAATGAGGTAAGCCATGATACATTTGAAACTATGTATATTAAATTAGAACTATCATGTATAAAATGATCCATAATACATTTACCTGAAAAAGATTAACTCGAAATATTCCAACTCTTAAGATCTTAACGACAAATGTTGTGAGTTGTTTAAAAAAAAAAAAAAAAAGAAAACAGCAATATTTATCTTATGATTTTCATGATTTATTATAATTTAAATAACTTAGGAATAAATTTTGTAGACAAATAAATTGCGTTACGTTTTAGGAACAAACTTTGCAACACTTCTTTCTAAATTAGAAAAGTTTATGATAAAAAGTTGGTACATAAGTAAAAAAGAAAAAAAAAAAAAGAAAAAAAAAGGAAAAATGATGTTATTGTTGTTCCCGTATGAATTTATAAATTAAAATTCTCTCACTCGAGACAAATTTACAAAATATCAAATTGTGTACACATTCTGTAGTAATCGCTTCTTCAAACGTTCGATTTTAGTTTGCACTTCGTGTTACATTATCGAAATGCAGAAATAAAAATACTCATAATTCCCAACTATGAGATGAAGTGAAATTACACGATTACGATTAACTTATAGTAAACAACTATTGTCACATTTTCAATTATTTTTGTGTTTGATTTTTAATCTGTTTTGGAATATGCTTTAAGAATTCCTCGTACGCCGCATCTACGTCGTCCTCGTCCTCCGACAACCATTTTTCAACCTCGTAACCGTGTTCTGATATACTGTAAGAATATTAATTTTATATTTTTCTACTCTGACTTACGGATTAAATAAGTGTATAATAAACGTACACTTGATCCTCAATAATCGTGCTATGAGAAACATCTTCGAGAAATTTATTTTCTTCTGCTGTTAACACTTTACCATCAGGGCCGTATAACACAGGCTCGTCCAATACTTGATTCGGATCTATTGTTTCTGTCGGTTCAACTATCGAAGAATTGAGCGTAGGAGTTTGTCCCCAGTTACCATTTCGCAACTCGTGAACGCTATGAACCATTCGTCCAATATGAGAATCCACTCTACCGGATGTTACGAGTTCTGTTAACGCTCGCATCATGTTCTCCATTTCTTTGCGAGTTTCCCCTTTATCCTTCTCTAACGTTTGACCTGCTAACTACATAATATATAACGTGTACACTTTATATATCAGACTGTTAACCAGTGTAGAAATATTTATCCAAGAGTGTAAGTTACATACTTTAAGGGCTTGGCAGATATTCTTAACAGAATTTGGCGCTGGTCTCTTTAAAACAGTAATAATAAGGTTAATTAACAAATCTCCTAAACCAAAAGCAGACGTGTGTTCCATCTGAACTACTAGTTCAGCTAAGAATAATATTAATCCGTGACATCTCTTTTGCTCGTCTTCCGTGTGTTCCTCTTTCTGTTGCCAATTAGAGGACTGACTGTCCGTTTCGCTTTTACACCTGTTGCCCACTTAATGTTTATTAAGCTGAAACCTTAAATATTTGAAGTAGCTAATTCAAGTGTACTTGGTAACTTACAAAATATATAAAGTCTCTTTGAACATTGTCTGTTGGCCAGGTGTCAGATTAGTATCTAGAAAAGCACAACAAAGTCGAGCACCATTGTATCGGAAATTACCCTCGTTTATAGACTAGAAATAATTTAATAGATAAATGTAGAAGCTTTCTTTACAATTAAAAAGACGATTCATAGAAAATATACACGTACCTGCTGAATTATTATTTTTATAATTTCTTCGAGCTGACTAGGAGATTCTAAATAAGGCCTAAGTATATTTATAAGCGGCGGTACTATTACATCAAAACGTCCTGGATTTAATATCAACGAGTGTATAACGCTCATTAAACTTTGCGTTGCGTTAGCGAATTCCATTAAATAATTATCTTCGTCTCCGCTAGAATCCTGCAAACATATAATAATTAGTATCAATAATAATTAGTAGCATCTTTATTTATCTTGTAACATCTTTGAAATATATATACGTGATGTTTTTCTTTGTAATCTCCCGAGCCTCCATCAAAACGCCCGTAATCTTGAACATTTGTAAAATATTCCGATCGATCGGATAAGTTATCATATTGGTGAACTTGTTCTACCTGCTGATAATTTTGTGCTTGAAGAGGTATTTCTCGTGCCAGTTGCAATCTATCCTGAACCGAATGCTTAAACCTCATCGAAGATGGCTGTTGCTGCTGTGGCTATACATAACGCATACATTTCCAGTACTTTATTATCAAGATATCGAAAGAACCTACAATATTCAACAACAACTCACCGATTGCTTAGGGGAAAAAGATTTCGGAATGAATTCAGCCGCGTGCACAGATAATGTTGAATTCTGAATAATATCCTCAAAAGACTTATCTAACTTGCTTTGTTCCGTGTTTTTTGATTCTGTAGAACCTGCAATCAGAAAATTGATATTCATCAATAGTTAACCTTTCTATTATGATAGCAACTCTGACACAACTGCTGGTTAATATCAACTTAACTGTGTGTTTAAGTATTCAAATACTGTACCTGAGTAATAGATATACTTGTTTTCTGAAATAAATCTAACAACCTGTTGTTTGGATTCCAGATGTAGCATGATGAGGTCTTCTTAACATAGGAATTTCCTGTGCGGCTGATGTCCAAGGTCCCCGACCTCGACCGCGTCCTCCTCCGCGTCGTTCAGCGTCACCATCGCCACTTCCATCTCCTCCGAGAGGATTCATCCTCTCTATGTCAGAAATTCCCTCAATTTATACGATATCAACTAGAAATCGAGCGAAAGAAGACCGGTACGAAAGTGTCACCCCCGAACGAATACGAGATGCACGCTTCGTAGTAGTACGTGTCTTATCAACATAAATTCAGCGATTCAGCTAAATCCGTTAGGTCCGTTATCAAGAATAAAACGCGTGCTGGTTCTTAAATGGAATATCAAAAAGCAAAATGCGATTACGTTCGCACCGTGTTCCAACTTAATCGGCTCCGATCGATGTTAAACACGAGAAGTTAGTTGATAACCCGTCATTCGCGCTTTGTTCAGAATTATACAATTAATGTAAATAACCTCGAATCTTACTTTATGAATAAAAGGCCTATTTTTTTTTTTTCAATAAATAAGTACGAATAATACTGCCTTTAATTTAATACGATAACTCGATCATGCTCGTCGCTGCCCGATATTATTTTAATGAATGTTTCTCTATCTAAGGATACACAGAATCTGAATTACATTCTAGAGTAGCGCGTTGCTAGTGAACAATAATCGGCAATGAAATAATTTTTTTTACTTCCTAATCTGTAGCTGATAGCCTGAAAATAACAAGTACGCTAAATTTTTAATAAAAAATGATAAGAACATATGTGTACCAGATAATATAGTATGTTTGAGATCAATCGGATGAAAATATAAGAATTGTACATAAAAATATAGTAAATAATCTAAAAAACATTAAGCCATTCATGCATTTGAAAGAGATTGTTAAAAAAAATAATTATACTTTTCCAATTTGTCGGATCAGTAGGATATTTTTCTCATAGACTATTGATGGTTCAGACCAAACGAGATCCGAATGATCAGAAGATAGAATTGGTGGAAAGTATGGCATGGCGGCATTAAAGAAAATGTTAAGGTGAGGTGATCGAAAAAAAGTATTTTTTTCTTTATAGTACTACATACCGATGCGTTGTGATTGTAGACCTATTTCCACAATTTCTAGCGAACAACTTGGCAAACAATGATCCTTTACAGAATATGAATTCTATGTGAGAATTTGATAAAAAATGTTGGAGGATCCGCTTTAATTACGGAAACAAGTCCGAATTCAGTTTGGAAAAAAGCTCGTGCATCTAGTTTTCCATTAGCTCTGCTATCGCTCGAAAGAGGCGCCTTCGACAAACTCGTTATGAGGTTACGATCGTTGACACAGACGCAGAATCCTATCAGGATGAACCTTCGTAATCCTTGGTAATGATGTTGTCGCGGAAAATCCGCGAATATTATCGTTTATATTCGTCTTGTCCAGTTGTTTCATGAACCGTGCGGCTAAATATCTTTTCAACTAGATGGAAAGCCGCACGAGTGCATATGATTCATAAGGTATGTCGTGTTAGACTTGTCCGTTTCAGGTACGTACGTATGCTTCGACTCGAATGCATCTTATCACTCAATTTTTCCTGTATTTTTTAAAACAGTATCAAATCTTTCATATAGCTTATATATTTTACTTATTTTCATTCTACCAAACTGAAATTTCATTGATTGAAATGAGTACGTTTAAAGCTGTATAATTTCTAAAATAAAATTTTGAAAAAAATCACAATTAACATGTTCTTGGTGCATTTATTTTTTAAGGCATAAACGGAAATGTTGGAGGTTGGCTTGAGGGTAGTTCGTGGGCAAGATTGGAAGTGGGACGATCAGGATGGTGGAGAGGGACACGCGGGAACTGTTGTAGAGATTGGCAAGCCTCAGTCATTTGGAAACTCAGCTTCTAATCCCAATCCATCTGATAGGACACCGGATAAAACAGTCATTGTTCAATGGGATCATGGATCTAGGAGTAATTACAGAATTGGATATCAAGGAGCTTACGATTTGTTGGTATTTGATAATGCAGCCACAGGTGTTAAACATCCAAACATCATATGCGATGGGTGTAAAAGGCATTGGATAATTGGCATTAGATGGAAATGTACCCAATGTTGCGATTATGATTTGTGTACTCAATGTTACATGGGAGATGTGCATGACTTGAGCCACACCTTTGAAAGATTTCTAACAGCTACTTCTGTAGGGTAGGCTTTTCAATTATATTGCATTTACTTTGTAATGTACCATGTAATTTACTATACATATACGTTTCAATATAGGATTCAACTAACTCCAAGAGAGGGCTGTACTAAAATACCCTTGAAAGGTATATTTATTGGAGCAAAGGTTGTTCGTGGCCCAGATTGGGAATGGGGAAATCAAGATGGAGGAAGAGGTATTCTTTCACTTGCAATACCTATTGCACTCTGTAACATGAATTATATAAAATCTATCTACAATTGCAGGAAAAACTGGAAGAGTTATGGATATACGTGGATGGGATAACGAAAGTAGCCGGTCAGTGGCTACTGTAACATGGTCTAAAGGTAGCACAAACGTGTATCGTCTCGGGTACAAAGGTTGCGTAGATTTGTGCTATGTAGAAGAAGCTACTGCCGGTACATATTACAAGGAGCACCTCCCACTCCTTGGACAACCAATAATGACTGTCTCTGATAATGGAAGCAACGCAGCTTCAACCAGAAGCGGCATTCCTTCCAGTATATCTAGTCCACGCCACTCAACTTTCAATGTTGGGGATAAGTTAAAAGTATTAGTTGATGTAAACACATTAAAAGAAATGCAAGAGGGCCACGGTGGGTGGAATCCACGCATGGCCGAATATATAGGAAAGGTACATATCGCATAATATCCTATGTTGTATTCTACAATTTACACGTATTCATATTTATTGTTACGTCTAGATCGGTAGAGTTCATCGCATCACAGACAAGGGGGACGTGCGTGTACAATTCGAAGGATGCAATAACAGGTGGACATTCCATCCAGGTGCACTTACAAAAGTAACAAGTAAAGAGGCATTTTCTCTAGGCGATATAGTTAGAGTGAAGACTGATTTATCGGCGGTTAAACTTTATCAACGAGGTCACGGAGAATGGATAGACGTAATGAAAAATGCTTTAGGGAAAACTGGAAAAGTGATTAAAATATATTCCGATGGAGACTTGAGAGTAGCTTTGGACGGTCACACGTGGACTTTTAATCCTTTAAGCGTAACCCTTGTTCCTCCTGGAACAGAAGCTGTTTCATCCCAGGAAGAAGCGAATCGAAACAAAGACTGGCCAGGTACGTTTCTGATTCGTTAATTGTATTCTATCTTACTATTAATAAGTCACATTTATTGTACAGCTGAAGGTGTGGATATCGAAGTAGAGAAATTATTAAGAGACGCAGCCAGGGGGGAAGCTGGCGTGTCGGCGGTTCAAGAATTTCTTAAAAAGTATCCAGGTAGAGTAGACGCGAGAGCTGGTGGTCCGGGTGGTGGTAAAAAGACATGTTTGCAAGTGGCAGCGCATCAGGGACAGCGTGATCTTTGTACTCTTCTTTTGGACGCTGGAGCGTCTCTTCGTGCGGTGGACGAAGACGGAGACACGCCTCTTCATTATGCTGCATTCGGGTTCGTTGTAAAAATCTACCCTGTTTTCTAAGTACTTTTAAATCCTGACCATGAACATCTTTCTCCGTTCGTATAGGAATCAACCTGAGATAATGGAACTGCTTTTATCGCGAGGTGCAGCAATCAACGCTGTGAACAATGGGAAATGCAGCGCGTTGCACGTTGCCGTGAACAAGCAACATAGTCAGTGCGTCAAAGTTTTACTACGTCACCAGTGTGACGTGAATTTACAAGACGCGTATGGTGATACAGCTTTACACGATGCTATCGGTAAAGACGCCCTGGATATAACCGACGCGCTTTGTTCATGCGAAAGAGTGGATTTCACTTTGCGAAACAAACGAGGTTTCAACGTGCTTCATCATGCTGCCTTAAAGGGCAACGCTCATGCAACAGAGAGATTAGTTGCACGAGCAAGACACTTGGTAGACGTGAAGAAAGAGGACGGCTTCGCGGCGTTACACTTGGCGGCTTTAAATGGTCACAAAGACGTGGCTGCTATACTTCTTTCTCCTAATGGTGGCCACGCGAAAGTAGACCTACGAAACAATCGTCGACAGACACCGTTGCACTTGGCTACTTCTCAGGGTCATTGGGCTCTGGTAGAATTACTGGTCCACCATAATGCAGACATCGCCAGCACCGATGCAGACGGTGACACCGTGTTGCATATTGCTATAGTGAAGAGCCCGAATCAAACGAATCTTGTTCCTACCCCTGAAAGCTGTCGAGATTCGCCACTCATTTATGCGGTAATGTTTTCTTTAGAATCTTCATTGTTTCGTGTACTGTTAATTGTACGTTGTGTGATCATTGCAGATATGGCAGAGTCTAGCAAGGCAAAACGTGAAGACAGAACTATCGTTGGCTTGTTTCTTGGTAAGCGTAGACCGAAGTTGTACTCTGCTTGAACATGTGAAAAATTCGAAGAATAAGACGCCTCTGGATCTTCTTGAAGCCGATCCACAAATTGCACCGTACGCGGATATCTTTCGGTGTTATCAATACCAAAGTCACAGTACTCAGTTAGAGTAAGTGTTGCGTCGATACTGTGACAATTAGAAGTAATTTACAAATGTTCTTATAAACGTTCCTATAATCGTAGAATAGAAAATGCTCCCGCTTCGCAACCTCCCTTGTATCAGATAGATACAACGTCACAGTCAGAAGTGGTGCGTGGATCAAGGAAAGGTATACCTGGTTCCGGTGACGCTTCTGAATGTCAAAATTGTTTAAGTCTCCTACCAAATTCGATGAAAGATGGGAACAGATACAACCCTAGCAGTAGCGTTACGATATTTAACTGCGCACAGTGTGGACATGGAATTACAAAACCAGACGCGATTCAAGGTAATCATTGCAACGTGCTTTACGAAGCCGGATCGTTTTCTATATCCGTATAATCAATTTTTCTTACTTAGATGGCCAATTAGCTACAGGCGAGATTTCTTTGACAAAATCAGACGAGAAAATGAAAGATAATGCGTTAGACGATAAAAAGAAAGAGAGTGATCCGGATAAAGACAGAGAGAAGGACAAGGACTTGGAACGACTACGTTACTTAGAAACTAGGGTAGCTGATTTAGAAGAAGCCAACATGTGTAGCATTTGTATGGAACGTCGTCGTAATGTCGCTTTTCTCTGTGGACACGGAGCTTGTGAACATTGTGCAGCTCCTTTGAAAACTTGTCACATGTGTCGTAAAGTTATTACGAAAAAGATTAACTTGTACTAGACAATCAACGAAGGAGGTGCTTGTATGCACTATGTATATAAGCGTGTTTTTTTTTTCTTCCTTTTTTTTTTTTTTTTTTTTTCTTAATACACGTACACTTGAAAGATTTGAAGTATTAAAGGCATTGCTGATGACACGCTATTGATATTCATATGTAAAATTAAATAACTAAATTTCAACTGCCAAAATATACAAATCTTTTTTAATATAAAACATCAATGAAGTCTTCACGTTGCACTAACAGTGTGCCATACCGAAAATGAAATCACAAGTGCGAATGTCGTGTTTATGGTTTTGTTTTTGGTTTTGCAAAATGTGTAGTATTTCATGTATTTAAATAGCTCTCAAAATCTGTATCGACCATATGCTTTTCCTTCATCGTTAATGACACTTCGCCTGTTGTATCCCGTCCATTTTTTATCATTGTTTGAAAATGCAAATCTCTTGTAAGAATCTATTTTCCTTTGTATCACGTACGTTGACACGTAACTTTATTGAACGCTTTAAAATGTTAATACGAATGTTAAATTAACATTTTGACGTTCCGTTTTGTTTTTCTCTGGACTGACTGATAAAGTTACGTAGCAAACATTGAAGACACACATGTAAATGAGAAAGTTTCAAGGATTTCATACATATCGTAAATATCTTTTCGCGATATGTTGTATTATATATATATTGTTGTTAAATGTAGAAAATACGCGACCATTTATATTGTTTTGTATGTAATATCGATGTGACATTAGTAACGATATAAGAATTTAATACGTATTTAGTAATGATATCGACGAATATCGCCTCTAGCCAAAAGTAATATAAAAGAATTACATTTACCAAGTATCTTGTAAAAGTCTTTTTATCATTAAACAGTAAAGAAATGATTATCCAAATAAGAATAATTTTCCACTAGAGAATATGTGCCACGATAGAACTGAAAAGAAATTTGTAGATTCCAATATAGATTTATATTAATAATACTTGTATTTGAAGAAAAAAAGGAAAATATGCAGTATAGCATTAGTAAAGTTGGCACATTATTATTTCCGATTAAAAAATATAGCAAAGCGCAGAATTTTATCTATAAATACTAATAAAAGAAAATTGCACAATCTTCATTTTGAATCGTTGCATTTGGAAAATCAAATTGCAAATAATACGCCTACTTAAGAGCATAATATTTGTGATAATTTGATCCACTAGAATAACAATAATCGTTTTTCTTTATAATAATGGTTGTATTGTCGCGAAGTCTGTGTTGCGTGTAACTACAACAATTTGTTAGTAATATAAACTATGATAGCATAATTTTTAAGCTTCGATAAGTTTCTACAATTTCACGTGATTCAAGACATAATTTAAAATAAACAATTTCAAAATTAATAACTTTTTAATCCAATTTCATACTTGTGTTTTTTCTTTTTTTCTTTTTTTAAGTTTCTTAAATCATATGTATATTCTTATAATCTAAAAATGAAACATATTTTCGAATTCGTCGTTTTAACTAAAATAATAATCAATAATGGTAGAACGAAACAATATCGGCGAATTTTACAGGTAATAAACAGTAATAACAATAATAACAAATACTCAACAGACGATGTCACATTTAAACAAGACTAAAGTTGGACTTTTGTTTTTTTTTCCTTAGCTTAGCAAGCAATCTTATTTATTTTGGTACTCGAGAGAATTCGATAATCATATGTTACAATATTGAGCCAGTTTGCAAAACTGTAGCAGTAGTAATGATAATAATAATAATAATAATAATAATAATAATAATAATAATATTTTTTTCTCCTAAGTAACCTAGCGCAATATACTATTAGATAATATTATATTATTTAGTACCTAGTAAAACTTAAATGAATTTTGGCATAGAAGCCATGCGATAGGATTATCTAGTTCTAACTATAGGACCATTTATCCACGTGCTTTGAGTTCTGTTTTTCTTCTTCTCAACAAAGACAACCGATGGTGATCCCGAAGAGCAACCAAGCTTACCATTCGATTCTAAGTTATAAATTCCAATCCGTTCCAATTTTTACATATACCAGAACTGATATGAAATTATTGACACCAAACTGATCAATCGATATCACACTACTGAATTATGTACATTAGTAGGCAAAGTGCAATTAATGCTAGTGTGTTAAGACATAATTCTTTTTTCACTGATAAAACTAAAGCGTTACAGTGAAAGCTTTCTTGATACACAAGTTTCCTAATCAGTGATATTGAGAAAATGCACTCTTCTTATATGCATTCAGTAACGTGATACAGATTAACCAGTCAAACAAATATAGTTACCACTCAGAAAACAAATCTTTCATTTTCTCGCAGCAGGCCTGCAATTTCTCGTAATGGTTACCATGAATAAACACTGTAACATTGCTTTTATATAACAGTCTTCCCTGCAATTCGCGACGTGTGAGTGTTTAAAATTCTACTCGTGTCTACTATTAATTGAGTATACGCCAATACCGACAAGATTGATAATCATCGATCAAAGTGACGGTCTTGTTTGTTCTAGTTTTTAAAAGGAGTCTTCGCTATTGACAACTCCTTTAGCGTACCATGCTTTCTTTTTCATGGGATTTCTCTGTCTGTTCATCGAATCTCCCTTGTACGTGATCAATAATATATTATAGGCGTACATACTGGTCACACTGATTCATTCGTCGAATTATTGTCAGCTATGATCAAGTCCTGAGTGATAGCCAAACATTGTTAATGCGATTCAATTACTTTTACAATTACAATTTTTGTCCCTATTAAATTCCCCATGCAACTTTCCAGTGAGACGTGCACATTTCCCATGAAACTTTCTATTATCGTACCTATTGATCGCACGTATTTATAATATTGCTAGAATTTTTCTTATCTCTTACTTTCGATCGAAAGGGTGTCGAAACGTTGAAAACAGTATCGGAGGTACACGTATCATAGGGCAATACTGTAAATTATGCGTATAGAATGTTGTGGCGCACAACTATAACATCGTACTTGGTTTTTTTAAACAGTCTCTGTATCAATGAAATTCATGTCGCGATAAATACTCCTTGATTTCCAATCTGACACGTTTCGCTCGGATGTAACAAAATGTGAAAACGAGATCCATTTTCTTATAGTACTTGGTACGTATCAAAGAAAATCTCGTAGTGAAAAGGTATATACGCGTAAAAAGCGATCGAGTTTATCCGTATCTTTGAATAAATCAGTGCGCTAGTTGAAAAATTCATTGCATGTATCATACAAGGCGATACTACTTAGGGTTACCATTCAACAGATAACACGCGTTTAAGCTACAACCGGTTCCGGACTACACGGTTGTAGTTCTGGTTCGTTTTGTGGTTCCGTTGCATTGGCGGTAGCAGTGCTGGATGTATTTGGATCGTGATTAGGATCAGGATCCGGCGTGACCGCAGCCCATTGCGTGGTGTACGGAGCTGCCCTCGCTTGTTTTCTGGCTTTTCTCTTGGCGCGTCGTTGTTCCATCACCAAACGTAGCCGTCTCATCTTTCCCTTTGTTGCTTCATTTTCCTTCGACAGTTCCTCTATTTCATAGAATACAATGGAGTACTTTGAATGAAATGTCACGTTAATAATTGGATAGAGGATAAGTTTTTAGAAGAAAATCCTTGAAATCTAAGTGAATAACATTGCGAGTTCATTTTAATACTGTAAGATTCAATACCACTAGAGTATCCAGGTGTTGGGGAATCGTGACAACCGATGGACGTTGATGTACCATTAACAGTTGTCGTTCCACTGGAGGATGGGGACGCTGAAGATTGCTGACGGCCACTAGAATGCCTATGATGATGCCTGTAATGACCTGCGGTGGCTGATGGCGTGGCACACAGCAGGTCGTTCAGAATGTGAATAATGGTACTTATGTCTCGCTTAGGACGTCCGTGTCTATCTTGAAGAGCTGGGTTCAGGGTTCCACTGAACGTACCAGAGTACACACCCTTTCCATGGTGGTGCATACTCTCTATTATTGCACCTTGTCTACGTCTTGCGTTTTCCTAAATTCAAAGAATAAATATAATTAATTATTTGTCCAGCGATTTAAATACAAACGACGTACAACTTTACTATAAACATGCACTCGATTATAGAAATAACATACATTTACTAAATGAAATGAACAAAAGAAGACATTACTTAAGGGCCTAAGAGCATCCATAGTTATCTTACAATATACATTATCTGTAAGAAGAATGACAAGAAGTTAAGAACATTTGAATTTCAAATTCTCTTGGGACCTTAAAACGTAGACGCCGGTTTAAAATATATAATAAATAGTGGTACACAGGGGGAACTGGCATCGGTAATAATGTATACCTCTGCGAGGTCGACCCGCGAGGTGAGTACCTCAGAGGAGAGCTGCTTTAGTTTCTGCGTCAAATTACGGGAAGCTTCCACCAACGCTCTGGTGTCGAGGGTCGCTGTTTTCGAGTTTTGCTCGGCCAACGAGGAGGCAGGACTCTGTACACTGGAATCGCCGTCCACGGCGGTACTCCTCGTAGAGTCTGCGCCACTCATGGACTGTTGACTATGGTGGTGAGCGGTGCAGAGCTTTTTCCTTGGCGGAGTAACGTCGTAGGGCATCGATGATTCCATGCAGCCATGACCAGTTGAGGTAGATTGTTGCAAATGGTCGACAGAGGTGGATGACTGGGTGGTATTGGGCGAGGTCGTGGACTTGTTTCTTGAATGATGATGATGGTGGTGATGGTGATGATGATGATGGTGACTATGATGATAAAGAAGGTGATGATGATAAAGAAGGCAAGATTGACACGCGCTGGAATTGGTGGTGTTGGGCGGCGACGAAGAGCCATGGTTACTGGTGGTGCGCGTTGATTGCGACTGATTAGCGCAGAAGGACGAATGCGGCGGACTGGTCGACGAGTAAGAAGACGTGGAGGACACAGATGGGGCGGTAGTTGCGCGACTGGAACAAACAGGGCTGGTCGTGGTGGTGGCTGTCGAAAGATTGGTACTGCAGTTAGTACGGGCTGCGTGCAACGCTTCTGCCAAACGTATCAAAGGGGAGAATCGCGAAGCTGCTGTGCCGTTCTGTAATTTAGTCGAGGAGCTGCTGCTGGTCGAGCGTGCGGCCAAAACGGTGGATCGTCTGCTCTGCAGAGAGGTCGAAACGTGGCTGGTGGATAAATTAGATCCGTTCGGGCTATTTCCACCGATGGTCAATCCGGTTGTACTGCTGGTCGCCTGATTGGTGGTTGGCGAAGGTGGCGTCACAGTGGACAGTTGCAATTGTATCAGCATCATGTGATCTCCGAGGCGCATGGTGAGATTCAATGGAGCCTTGCCAGACAAAAAGTCGTTCACCTGAGAATCATTTAGGCTCTCCAGCGCTTGCATCACACTCTGCTCAGGTCGTTGTGCCTGAAAATATTAATGCCAATTAGAGCTAATGACATATCAAATGTAACTTTACGACAGATGATACAATGTAACCACGTGTTTTTTCGCTAAACGCCGTTTAAATACTTTTACAGGATAAGAGACAATGATTTGGAGACCCAAGATGAAGCCGTACAGGGAGGAATGCTCGATTAACCATCAACAACTCGGTCAATTTTATCATTCTTGTTAAGAACAAAATAAAACCGCCTATTCTTTACAACAATAAAAAATTGTAGTACAAAGAACCTAGGGGAGACTATGGATTCTAAATCCTCGAAGAATATTAAAAAAGTAATACATCGTTACGCGTTGTTACACCATTCGATCTACTGAAAAATCTCAGGAAAATTCAGAAGGTTCTTTTTTTCTTTCCTTATGATCCATAGAGATTCAGAATATTAATAAAGATGCTCCTTTCTTCCGGATAGCTTATTCATCCAACGAGTCAAGATGAGGTTGAATCGATGAGTCTACATACGAGGAAAGATGGAAACGCGAGAAGACCTGCAGAAGAGAGGAAACCTCGCGGAACCGCGGCTCAGACCCTTGACGGCACAGCTAGGTATCCCTCGGTACACCTAACAGACTTCCTTTCACTGACGGTCATCATATATTCGGTAATTCGATTTGTGTGCGTTCGTTTTGCGGGGAATCTGGGCTTCGATGAATGGACCTACGTCGCCGTCTTAACCGTATAATGCTTCCTTACGCTCTTTTAAAATTATTATTTCCTTTTCATCGACCAAAGGACCTACGTTCGGGTAACTATATACAATCCCCTCTAACAGGATTCTAATTATCTCAGCTTAGATTATTATTTCTACCCTCAGGCATCGTTGGTTTAACTGAGAAGATAAGAAAAATGCAGCTAGGATAGAATTGTATCTTCAAGTTTCTCGTTGCAAGGAGCAAGGTGTCAGCAGAAATTCGAGAACCCCTGGCGACGTGTACAAAGCGGTGCGAGTTCTGTGACGACCGTCGAAGAAGCGGATGGCGCCACGCTCCAAGTGCAACCTGCTATCAGCCAGAAACGTACACCATGAATCGTAAATACCACACGTCTGTCTTCCCCCTCTGAACAGACCGTTTCCCACTCTTTGTCGTGTGTCGCTAGGACACGCCTGGCCCGGTGGTGGCTCGTACAGCGGAATAAGGAAAAGTACACTCGAAGAAAAGAACCTCCGCTCCGCTACAGACTCGCATGTACGGATCTACGAACCACGTGTCGACTGGGAATACTGGTAAAGATGCTAACCAGCGCATAAACGACGAATTACATTCGTGCAAACCAGTAAGGGTTCCCGTCATTCAATCGTCCTAATCGCAACTAATCACTCTGGGACTGTCTGAAATAAAAAAAGGCTCACCGATAGAAGAGTGTAGAAAAGAGATTCATAGAAAAATGTTCCCAAGGATTGAAATACCTTCTTCTCTGAGTCTCCAGTGAAAATTCTTTGATCGTTTCAAAACGCCTATGCGTCACCTTTCAATGTGCGCTTTGAACGATTACTCTCACTTTGCACAACTTTCCAAAAGCTATGTTCAGAATTTCTCTGCCACGTTATTACCAGTACAACTGGGTTTAACCATTTGTCTAATCAAAAAGCTGTGTTACAAACGAAGGAAAATGCGTGGCTCGTCCCTTCTATATCTTCAATGGAAGTAACCGTTGTCTCAGCACCGACGTCGTCACATTCTTACACGGTTTTCATTATTAAAAAAGCTGGCGGGGGTTTCGGTGCCTTGTTCGATGTAACGATTAGTCGCCTCGCTTAGCAACGTCTGCAACAATTAATTGAGCCAGCTGCAGAAACAATATATCAAAGCACCGCATTTCGTGCCATCCAATTATCGTTTAATGCCATTTTTGGACGCGTACCGTTTCCGGTGATAATGCGAAAGCGCTAAGTAAGTACCAGTGCAGAATTTCCATAAGCGATCGATAGAAGTTCAGGAGGTGCTTTCGAGTCAATCCCAGTTCTCTATCAAACTTTCAACCTATTAACTGACTTAATGTACATCCCAGGAGCAACTTGGCTATACCAAGCTACCCATATAATAGATTTTCAGAAGAAAAATGTTCTAATAACAGCAGCACGTGTATAGGAATAAGAGTCAAGAACCTTACTACGTTTTTATGAATGAAACAAAGAAAAACAAACATAGTATATTTTTAATTTTTCTTTCTTTCATTTAAAGTCCACGAATAAGGTAAAACGCGCGACGATCGGAAGGCGCATTTCTTGGCGAAAGAAAATCGAATCAGGCTGGCCAACTATGTCATGCAAAACCGGCGTAGGTCTCGCCCCGTTTCTTCGTAACCACCCACGAAAGAATGGGGCGTATATAGCCGGTATAGCGGTGATTGTGACCGGAGCGAAGCTACGTATACCTACTACACACGAGCGCGCACTTTAAAATTGACTGCGGGTGACCGAGAGACTCGAGCGGGCGGTCCCCTTGACAGCCATGCGAACGAGTCTCGGTCGCGATAAGGACCCGTGCTGCGCTGTTGCCAGCACCTCTCGGATACCGGGCTACACTCTATTTCAACCGGGAGAACCCGTCTATATCCTTTGTACGCGTGTACACCGGGTCCTAGGATCAGAAGCTTCTCCTTTTTCTTTATCGATTCGAATCATCCTTATAATTTCTTATACTTTTCCTCCATTCAGAACGCAGTTAAGATACAGTTAGAACACATCATGATTAGGAACTGAAACAAAATGAAGAAAAGGAAGTTAGAGATTTAGGAGCATAGTTGAAAGGTTGTAGGACACTTGTTAGATGGCATGGGAACGGTGGAAAAATGTGGCACAATAGCAGAGGAAAATAAAGCACCGACGATACGGTGACCGAGAAACTAAGTGACCCGATGATACACGAATAGCAGAGCTAACGGCGTTTGTCTGGATCTTTGTGCACGTTTTCTGCCTCTCTTATAAGAACTCCGGTTTCACAGATCCTTTGCTGGTCGACGAGTAGAGAACAGTTTAGAATCCGGCTTCAACTCATCGCTAATTCCTTGATAAACACTATTATAGATATTGTCAGGGAAAAATATGACTTACCAGAAGGCCGGTTTCGACGCTCGGTAGTAACGTAAGTCGACTGCCATCTTGTAAACGATTTTCCTCGAGCGTTCCTTCGCGTAATTGCCTGGAACAGAAATTTTTAAGGTGTTAAAACTATGGTACAAGTAATTTGGAGCTGACACGATGCGTGGCTTCGTTACAAGAAATTTCTATTTCTTTGTTTACAAGGTTATCGATAATCCTTCGAATTGCTGTCTATTTTTAACTATTCTCTGTCTATGAACGTGCGATCAATTGCGACAATATTCTTAGAATTTCTAACGTCGTTACGTAAATTACAGCGTAAGAAGGCTTGACACTTAGAAAATCTCGACGACGTTAGTCATCGCGATCACGCTGAAAGTAGAAGAAGAAAAAGATAAGAGAAAAGCGCAATGCGCGTGATAAGACAATAGCGATATTGACTTAGATTATCACGGAAGTTATCGTACAACTTCCTCTTCGAAACAATGAATTTCGAAATGTTTCTACAAGCGATTTGATTCAATTCATTAATTACTGCTCAAATCTATCAGCTAGATTCACAGTACCTTTTTTTTTTTTTCAAATATTGCACAACAACCTGTTAAAAGTACGCGTGCGTTAACCAGTCACCGAGCCAATTGCAAAATACAAACATTCCTTCCTCGGCATTCGTACATTCAATTTCGGTTGTTCGACGAAAGTGTACCGTCTTGTAAATATATTTTCAAGCTCTAGGAACGAACGGGTTAAACAGTAGCTCATTGATCATCATTAGGAACGGAAGTGCGAGGGTGGCGGATCTTGCAGGCTTTTACTTGCGACCCTGGCGCCACTTGCGTGGACTCAAACGAACTTAACGGTTTTTGTGAAGATCCTGGTACGCTGACCTTTAAGCCTGTCCATGATAAACACGCACAAGTTAGAAAAAAAAAAAAAAAAAAAAAAAAAGAATCCTTTAAATGAATTTAAAAAATAATTGAAACTACGTATACCATTTGTTGAACGAGAAACCGTGCAATTGATAGGTCAAAGACGCAGATTCGTGGCTCGTCTTCCAGGAATCTTATCGTTTTTGGATAAGTCGAAGGAAACGCAAACTGTTTGTTTGAGACTGGATAAAGAGGCGACTCCGTTTCGCAAAGGCGATAAATTACAAAAGAGCCAGTCACAAAAGGTAGACCGTGCGATAGAGATAGAGAATGGATCCAACAATGCGTCGAGTCTACAATGAAGTAAATATATAAAGTCGGGATATATAACACAGAATACATTGTTGTTAGCAATACCATAAATATTATTTTCCCCTTGCTATCGTTTCTTGGAGATTAAGCAGCTACGCTATTCATACAAAAGGAATCCGTATTGTTTCCTTCCCAGAGAGTTCATCTGTTATTGAGCGTTTCTAATGACAAACATATGTATGTATAATAAAGCCATTTAAATTTAGATGAGTCAATTACAATGAATATGGTACAATGTAACCTTTATCTTTTCCGATAAATTGATCACGTGAAAAGGTTCGATACGTCTTCGATGGACGACCCTCAACGTTCCAACGAAAAAGTTCAGTCCTTGTGCCTGTACAAGGATGACTAACTGGTATAAGGCTCACGATGACACACACGCTTAATAGTGGTAAAAAACGATTAAGGTAAAGCTGTGTTACAGTTCAAGACTTGTTTTTTCACCAGTTATGGAGGATTTAACCTCTTTAGACGAATCGTTCGAGATTACTTTCTGAAAAAATAATATTACAAATTAAAGTGGTCGTCGGTCCACGATTATGCATTTAAGGCTGATACGCATGCGCGTAAGGAGCCGTGAAATGAAACAGAGAAAGAGACAAACAGGGCGCGCATCAACGGTTCCCCGTATGCACGTGTTGCTTACATTGACGCGCTAACGCGAGCACACACGTATTAAATGCGTGGAGAGGAACTGGCGTGTGTTACCTCCGTTGAAACTGGCCCAGCAAGCATCAGCGAACACGTAGCGATAGGTATTCGTTTCCAACCGCTTCTCAAATTCAACACGTTTAGCATTTAAGTATATTCTGCGGCACGTGATATCGCGGAATTTCACTATTATAATTAGCGGCACAGAAAAAGAGTTTTCAATCTCTTGATAAATACTATTCTCGAGATTCAAGAGCGTCGCGTCCCCTCGAACTGACGTTGCTTCGATATCGCTATCGATGATTCGATAGTATCGTTAGACATCGATAAGTTATCGATAATTAGCGGCACATGAGATTCAAGAGCGTCGCGTCCCCTCGAACTGACGTTCCTTCGATATCGCTATCGATAAGTTATCGATAATCAATAGGAGCGCCTCTTTCGAACTCAGCTGTTCACTGTAAATCGTAAATTCAGTACAATTTACAAATTAACGTCGTTATTGTTGAATAAAGGCAACCGAACGCTACTCGAGACAAAAGAAAAGACGGCGAAGCAACAAAGAGAAGATAAAGAGAAAGAAAAAAAATTTGTCGATGCGTTGCGTACGGGAATAGCCAGCCCCGTCGTCGTCTTTTCTGTCCAACTGTTTCTCTTTCTTCTTCTACCTCTCACTGCAGAGGGCTGTCACCGTTCCACTTTACGAGAACGCGATTCCGGAGATATTCTACCTACTACACCACCTCCACCACCTCCTACTCCCAAGTCTATGGTATGCCAACCTTCCTCTCCACCATGTTTCTCTCGCGTGCTCGCAGGAAAGAGGAGGATCGGTCCGTGCGGCGGCCCCCACGACGCCTACAAATATTATGCCCACTCTCTCTTTTTCTTTCATCGCGTCGATGCTGTTTTCGTTCTTCGTTCTTTCTCTTGCACCTCTCGAACTACATACACCGTACTACACAGGAACGCAACGATCATCCTCCACACGTTCACCTACCAGTCTTTCTTTTCCTTTCTTTTTATTCTTTTTTTTTTTTTTTTTTTTTTTTTTCGTACGAGGGAAGCGCAGGGCGAGGTCTACGCCTAATTCCTCCCTGCGACTGGTTCGTGAGAAAAAGCTAACGAAAAGATCGACCCTACGACGTGCTATCGATTTATCGAATGCCGAGGAGCATAAATATAACACGAACGTTTCTTCGCCCACGAAGAGGTGATATTTTTTTTTTTTTTTACCGTATGTATGCATATTATATACTAACCTTTCACGTTGTAATAAACAAATCCGTTCCTTGGCGACCTTCAACCTCTTCGAGATGATTTTCTTGAGATTCTCAACGGTGTCGGTGCGATCGACGGTAAGGTCAAATTGTCCACCGGTGGTCGGCGTGATGCTAATGGTAATTTCGTCAGGTTCGAGGACGGTAGCAGGAACGCAGCCACACCCCGGTTGCGGTTGCGGTGGCGGCGGCGGTGACAACGAAGAGGACAACGATGACGACGAAGACGGCGAGGTCGTAGGGAGCGGAGAAGCTGAACCGGCTCTTATCGAATCCTGACCGCGATATTCCCTCGTTGTTGACTGGTCAGGCTGCGTAATGGAATACGTGGAATTGATCGAATTCGATGATACAGAGGTGACGGTGTCGTCGGTGCCTCGTTCCGTCTTTGATCCTTCCTCATTTTCACTTCCCATTGCCGTCACATCCGACGGCGGACTTGTGCTACCGTCCATTCTGCCACAGCAACTACCGACACCACCGGAACCGTGTCGCCAACTTCGCACACGTAGTTTCTTCCAGCTCACGTCTCCGCGTCGCGTACAACTATATACATGCACCCGCACCTGCACCTGTGCTCCCGGCGTCCTAGCTGTCCGAGACGCACTCGTCCGCGTTGCACGACCGCAGTGTCGTCGAAGGTCCGACCACGGTGCCTTCGGGAACGCGCACGCCACGAGGAACGACTTAGGGAAGTACAAACGGGAGGAGAAAGAGCAGAATAAAGAAACGACCCGATCGGTAGATAGCTCGAGATAGGTAGCTATAAAACAGAGAGAGAGAGAGGTGAAGATAAATTGGAGAGAAAGGATAATTACTTGGATACGATGTTGTGCGATTTACCAGATCCTTATGCACACGTATGAACACTGCCGTTTCGTTTCACGAAAATATCCAGTTACGGATTACGTAGTTCTTTTGCACTGCCACTACGTTTCTTTTTTTTTTCCCACTCTGACACACAATGATTTCTTTCTTTTTCCTCTCTCGATATAACTTTGCTTTATTCTTATCTTTTTCACGCACACACACTCACCACCAGCCGTCCCTCAGCCACTCGTACCTGCTCCGTACCCCTACCGCCAGCGACTAGCAACTGAATAGCCAAAAGCCCGGACTTCTGCCAGGTTCCCAGACCCGGCCGAGCTTCTCCGACCTGATCAACGGTTAACCAATATGGCGGCTCGAACTTGAACCAGCGCCACATACTCGAACTATGCGCGCGTTTTTTAACGAAGAATAGCCTTTTAGCAAATAATAATTCTATTATCTTCTATGCATATGGTACAAATAACTTGTTTAATCATCATAGACTTTATTACACATTCTTTATTGTCCAGCAATCCAATATATATATATATATATATACTCCGCAATTCTTATACAATGTGATCTACACATAACAAATAATAATTATATTATTCAAATAAAAAATCATTTTAAAAACTGTAACCCCTTTTTTGTTAAATTTTGTAATGTGTAATATGTTTACCATTCGTGGATGGTAGAAATGGTATTGGAATCTTGGAAAATCGTTAAGTATCAAAAATATGTTACTTGTACGATAGATAAATCTTAAATCAAAGAGAAAGAAAATTGTCATTACAGCTTTTCTCCTTTTGACAGTACTGGAAAAATATATATTAATATATTAACATTTTTAATATATCCGTAAAATAGGCCAAGTAGATTAAGGCCTGCTGCAGTGTACACTAGCGTTTTTTTTACGTTATTTTTCATATTTTATAAAAAAAACATCAATATAAAAATATACAATCATGTACACAATTCTTGTAAATCTATGCATTGTTTAACACTCAATACATATGATACATATACAGGATGAGTCAGCTGACTGGAACCACCTTGAATTACTTGCAATTTAAATACACTTTACAAATAATTTAGGGTAGTCAAATTAAGTAACTCACCATGTATAATGCTGTACACTGCGGATGTACATTTAAATTACTTGAATTATCGAAACGTAACGTCGGCGTCCCTTGCATTTTGGCAAGTATTATTCGATGCAAGGGACACGAACATTCACGATCCAAATTCTTCGGTATCTGACTCGATAGGTTTGAATTCGTAATTTCCTCTTCCATCCATTTGTAAGTAATACTAGAAATAAATACGTGTATCAGGGATTTCATAACTATCACCTCGGATACAAAATACAAATTGATTAATACCTCGTGATGTTTCCAAAGCGATCGTCGATGCGAGACTGTGAACAATGTAATATTTGCTTGTCTGCAATACGAATACATAGAATCTTCAACGTCCATGCTAACAGCACTTGTGCATTCATCGAGAATCGCAAACTGTGGCTTGTGATAGAAAAGTCGAGCCATCTAAAGAAAACAACGTCTACGTTCGATTAAATTTATAGAAAATATATGAAACATAGATTTTTATAACGAATTACCGCTATGCGTTGCTTTTCGCCACCCGATAGAACATCCATCCAGTCAGCCACCACGTCCCAACCTTGTCCTTCGCTGGATGTGAAATTTTCTCTTTCCAACAAATGACTCAACTGTACGAGATTTAACAATTTCTTCAGGTCCTCGTCCGTCATTTGTCCACGTCTCATCATTTCTTGCTTCGTATGGGGATAAATTACTTGATCCCTCAGAGTACCTAACGTCATGTAAGGACGTTGCGGTATGTAAAAGAGCTTTCCACGAGGAGGTTTCGTAACTGTTCCACTCCAAACTGGCCATAACTGTTTCGATAATTTGACAAGGTCAGAAATTTAAATTTAGATATAGATTATACAAATTAATACAGTAAAGATGTTAATTTACTTCTCCAAGAATTCTGAAGAGAGAACTTTTTCCACAACCGTTTGGCCCACACACCAGTACATTTATTCCAGATTTCACTTCAAACGATAGTTCTCTGACAAGAATATCTCCGTTAGGAGTAATCAAAGGTACACAATCGAATCGTATAACGTTATCTTTGGTAACTATTTTCCCTGCCCCGGGACTTCCAATAGGTTCGTCTTTGAAATCGGATATCATAGTCCTTTCGTATTTTCCTGCGTTTAGATCGTCAAGAACTTCTTTTATTTCAGTGACTCTGGCCGTGTATCCTGCTAGTTTGGTCAATTCTCTTCCAGCTAGAACTAATCTGCCTATCGCTTCCGCTAGTTTTACCAACATTCTACCATATGTATAATAATTCTTAAATCGATGATCCGCCGTTCCTGAGAGGACAGGATGATTTTTTTGGAAAAATGGTATGCTAACTGCATAGAAACCAACTATCGTTGCCACGTCTAAAAAAAAAGAAACATGATGAAACTAATAGTTATCATCGCTATAAATAAGTATTTATATACATATTAATAAACTTTTATCTTACATTTGCCAACGAAATTATCTATTATTCCTATTAGTGTTTTGAATTCTAAACACTTGCGGAGATGTGTCACCTACGATAAATATTTTATTACAGTACAAGTTCAAATTTTCCTAGATCAATTGATTAATTACTTAATTAAAATATTTGAAAAAAACTTACGAGTTTATGAAAACTAGTCAATAAGGTTAATTTTTCTCTATTGTTTCCTTGATAAAATGCAATCTCCTCGGAATTTGTAATTAAACGTGAATTGATGTGACGATATTCACCTTCGAGCCGTTGTTCTTTTACCGTCATTTGCCCGATAGGTCTACGCAAATGAGTTAATATCGTTCCGGCAAATACAAGATAAGAAAGCATAATTAGCGGCGTCTGTAAAATACACAATACACATTACTGCTAATTTAAATTATTAGGAATATTCAAATTAACGCACCTGACCGCCAAGGTTAGTTGTTAGCCTATACACATAAATAACGATATCTAACAAAGGTTTTGCAACATTGCTATAGAGGTCTGTGCAACTTTCACAAAATTTATCAACATCCGTAGTTAAAAGTTGATCTGGATTTGCTATACGACTGTCTAAGTTGCTCATTTTGTAATATGTAAATCCTCTGAAAAAAAAAAAAAAATGACAAACAAAATTAACTCATCTTAATCAGTTTTGATAATCGATAAATAATGTACTTTGCTTACTTGAGATATTGATCCATCAAGTTTCGTGTGATATTTGTACGTAACCTCAACTTCATTTCGAATATACCATATTTCAGTACGTTGTTCACAATAGATATCTAAATAAATATAATCATGGAAGATCATATCAATAATTTCTTCCAATTCGTAAGAAAATAAAGCTGCTTGGCAGCCTGAATGAAAAGATTTTATTAGCAGCCTATGAAAGCAACTTCTGTCTAATTTCATATCAAATGTATACACTCACCAAAGGCAGTAGAGTTAAGAACTTAAACAATCTTCTTTTGAATATAGATACATCCATGTTGACGATTGACCTGCAATGAATTAAACATTTGATGCAATCGGTACAATCCTATTACATATGATAAAAAGTGATACGTACGATTCAATCAGGGTACCTATATTTATCATCCAAAGATCACAAATGGATCTTGCGACAAGCGAAGCAGCGATAACGAGAACAAATCCAAATTCAGTAGACGCAACTGAAGGTATACCAATTTTAAGCAATTTACGTAATTGTCGGAAAAATCTTGCATTTACATAAGCCTTTGGATTTTTTGGTTTTTCCTGTAAAATAATCTCATTGTAACATCAAGTATATTAATTCATCTGGTTATCAAAATCTTATTTTATTACCTCTTTAATAACATACTGAATGTCATTGGCAGGCCACACATTTCTATGGAATAAATAAATAGATGTTTTAAAGCAGCTTTAATCACAAGAATGACTATGAATGTGTACGCATGTGTTCGTGTAGTTTACCTGCATTTTTGTACTTGCTTCTTGCCTCTTTTTTTAAGAATCCATATTAAAGCAGCTAATGCACAGGCACCAGCCACCGTACGTCTGGATGCAAATTTACTAAGGGATGGTGCCATTCTTTCTGTTGCACGAGAACGATAAAAAATTTAACTACTTTTTACGAGGCGTTCTCTTCTGCGTTCACTTTAGATATAAAGCACATAAAGGTGGAACAGGTAGTGGGGCAAGTCCACCATTCGATGAATCAGCTACATCGATAATACAGCCAGTCCCACCACTCTTGGTAGCACCTATATACTTTAACCTCGTCGGTGTGTTTATTGTTGTATCATTATCTTTACGTGGACAGACGTCTGCGTAGCCGATTGCCGATCAAAGTACAAAAACCTGACTTTGTTTACATGACCTTGTATCGATAAACTATTGATTATTTTTGAAAATAATAAAGCGTGTATAATATACATCTACTCCTTGTAAACTACTATCATCGATTCAGAAATTTACTGATTATAATTTAACTTACATGACTTTAACTTTCATTCCTGAACCTTGATATCTTCATTTTAATTTTACATTATTACTTAACATAACAAGTTTCTGTTTATACGACGCATACCAATAAGTTCATAATTACACATTTTCTGCTCATTAATATTGTATATTGATATTTCTTATTAAATTCATATATCTTTAAATAATTTTGTGTGAAATAGATTTGTGCATGGCACTTGTTAAAATCATCTGTAATTGAATATCAATTATTCATTTAAGTGGTATTAATATGTACAGCATAATAATATGATAATAGTGCAGATAATATGAAAAAAAATTCATACATTCACTTCATACATTATATAAAGAAAAAACCATTAATATTTATTTTAGAATAATGTTCATGACATCAGCACTCTCCAGGAAAGGTTTCCAATAATAATGATATAACAAAACTCCAGGAAAATCCAGGAAGAATATTATTCCAATCATCATTATTACACTTGTATAAAGTTATTTTATTCTAGAAATCTTATCTATTATTAATTGCATTGTCTATCTTTTTTGTACATTTCATAATTCAGCCTCATTTTCCTACACACAAATAATATGTATTAATTTATGTATCTTACTTAAATTAAGATTTAATATAAATATTAAGGAACAAAAAGCAAGGCACCTTCTAACTCCGCATACTGTAGCATAATGAATATTTACTTCCATCATTTTGTAATGTATACATTATTTTACTTCAAAACCATATCTTCTTCTCAGATGATTAATGATCAGCCAGCTAGAATCATAAACAATAAGAAAGTTTTCTAACAAAAAATCATTACTCATTATAAATCCATGCACTTACAGAAAACAATTAAATTTTTAAAACTTGTTCTCATTTTTTACAACCTTTTTACATGTACGAATATACCATTCTCACATTTTTCATGTCCTTTCTCTTTGTATAATTTTTCATCACCTTAGTTTCCTTATACTTTCTCCTCTCCTGTCTTTATTTGTAACAAGTAGCACAATATCAATTCTGTATTGAAACTGCAGTTCCTTCATCTAAACTGTTAAAAAAAATTATATGTAATTAGTAGTTGTTTACAGCATATTTTAAAAAGTAATTGTATGTAGCATAGAGAAAATTAAACTTAATTCATTTGGCACTGACATAGTCTTGTTTTTTGAAAATTGCTTTGTAATGATCCTTATCGTGTAGCTAATTGTAAGGTTTTAACTTGTTAAATCAATTAAGTTGATTAATATAATAAACGTTTTTATCCCAAGAATTATTCAACTCTCATTAAATAACGAAGATTTTAATTAATCTCCTATTACATTTGTAGTATCATTAATATCTGTATCTTATTAGGAGGAAACGATTGAAAAACTCTTGGAAAAAAGAAACAAATTAATGCAAAGTAAAGAAAATATTATTAATTATATTTAAATACCAGCAATAAATGATTTTAAGTTACACAAATATTAGCTTCATTGAAAGTATATCTTCTACGAGTTTTAACAACTTCATTTCATCAAGTTTCTCAAATATTAGCAGCAAAATGACTATTATTCAAACAAATTGAACAATAATTGAATGTACTGGAAAAATAGCAGGATCATTTGTAACGAAGCAAGCATCGTACAATCACAACGTTTTACATAAATTACCATTTAAACTGAATTTAATAACAGAAAACCTGCTACTATGTATAAAGTAAGATCAATGCGTAATCACCTGTTTCGAAGTTCAGCGGACGCTTCCATGCCTCTCGTGTACTTCCAGTCATCATCATAATCATCATAAACATCATCCTCCTCGTTTTCATCCTCATCATCAACATCATCATCCTGCTCATCCTCATCATCATCACCATTCTCATACTCAACCTCATCACCATAAACATTCTCATCATTACCATCATATAATCATTATTATCATCATCATCACTACCACCACCTTCATTCATTAAATGAACGGCAATCTGTTATGTAACTCACAAATGTTTCTATTTGGTGTGATCATGTGCATGGAAACACACACTCATTCTCTTCTCTTCTTCTTGAAGTTTCAAGTAAAATGACAGATTAATCAACACGGTCAGAGGTTGTTTCCAAGACCATATAATACAATTTTTCAAGATTTCAGTTGAAATATTCATCCAAAGCGTAGGCTAGCACTATGTTTGGTTTCATTAAGATTTGAAACCCTTTAATACAATGGAAGAATGTTTCAACTGAACAAGATTTATTGTTGTATTTAACATAATCGTTGAAAACTTAAAAAAATTGTCTCCAAATATTAAAAATATTGGACCTGAAATAAATCTGAAAGTGTGTGATAGGTATGCGAGTAATTGTTTAGCTCAAAAAATTAAATGCTTTGATTGTGAATGACATTGATAAAAAAAATAAGGCAGCTGAAAGAAACAGGAATATAAATCAAGCGTTTTTGATCTCTAATCATATCATATGCTATTTTATGGTTTATATTTGTTAGGTGAAACATGAAAAATAAACATAATTAAATTAATTTGTACATTTAACTGTTCCATATGATATTGATCTACTTGAGAGATAGGTTGTTAACAAGTGGTCCAACAAAGGAGTTTGAAAAGTGTAAATAAATTACTGCCAGTGTATCAGTTTTTAATCATCCTGTAATGAATTTATGTAATAAGAATCAATCTCTGCCACCTATCAAAATAACATTCTCACGTGACAAAAGTTGATGTTATTCGGTTGCCTTCACTCCATATCTCAATTGAAAACACAATCTCAATTATAATTTACAATAGAACTGTCTACAACAAAATTCGTTATGTTGACGAACGACATTAATGCTCCTTATTTATTATTTACACAATTCATTAGATCATTTCCAAATCGTTTCGCAAGGCATCTTTTGAGCAACAGTTATTACCAACCGATTCAAACTTGACAAAAGCTTTCTTGCAAACATTTTGGCAACGTTTTAACTAAGAACATATTCAATTGCACCAATAACGTAACATTTGATTTCCAAACGAAAAGAAAAAAAAATAATAATAATTGATATAGATCCAGGGAATGGCGAACGATTTGAAATAGATCGGCCGGTTATAATAATGAGCTAGAAACGGTTCTAATGTCTGTTAAAAGTTGTCTTAAACTACAGTCTCTGTATATCGGTTATCATTTACAGCAGGACGTCAATAAATAAACTCGACGCACTTTCCATCAATGTTCTCTTTACATTATGTATAAACATTCTTGAATCAATAAAGATATATATATTTATATATGTATATTACATATATACCTATATATATTTTTATCTATTATAGTATATATTCAGGCATTCAATAAACGACTGTGTCCCATTCATAAAATATTATTATTTTTTTTTTTTCATAATTAATTATCGCTCACCTCACAATTAATTATATTACTCACTCATCATATCAACACGTGGTTTTCTTTTTCTCTTTTGCATTAAATACGTATTATAGAGGTTCTCATCATTAAACAGCAGATCATTTCTCGATTAAACTTTCATGCCTGTAGTTCTGAGACGACCATTAACAAATACATTCGACCGCCATACACACACAGAGAGACACGTCAAAACAATCCAATCTAATATAATCTCCTTATTTCTTAAATGAGAACAAAAAGAAATAGTAACGATCTTTTGAATTATAAAGAGCTTTTATACTTTTAAAAGCATGGGAAACTATATACTCTTTAAATATTTGGCCAAATTGTATTACAGTGTACTGCTAATTGCAAGTGTGACAAAGTGTTACGCAAGTGTGGCTCTGTGTCTGTTTCTGTATCGAGTTAGAGCCTTTTGAAATTGCATGGAAAGTCACATTGATCAAAAAGAAAAGATATCCATACGTATAATGTTAACAAATCAAGTGTTTATGCAATTTCTTGAATCTTTCAAAAGCTCCAACTCACAGAATATACACTTATAAATCTATGCTTACTTAAACTTTATCCATTCTTACAATTAAGAGTACACGTTCATTGTGTTTGACTACATTTTTGACATGATTTCACTTGCAATCATAATGTAAATTTATCAATGAATGATTGATAAGATTGTATACACATTAAGTAGGAAATATTCTATAATAATGCAACTCACAGAAGGTACAACAACACAGATGTATCTTTGATAATTTTTCTAATTCTTTAATAAGTGTGTACTCATAATTGTTAGCCTGAAATATTCTATCTAGATTAATTTCAATGCAGCGTTCAATTAATGCTGTACTTAGACTGTATTTAATTACTCTGTTTTCTTTTTCTTTAAATCTCATCTATGCAAGAATTATTGACTACAGTCGTGCAACGTGAATGAAATTATTTTTTTATGATCTTTGGAAAATAAATACTCGACTCTTAACGTGTAAGGATATCATTTTTGCACAGATGTACTAAAAGCTTACAACGCTTGAAGCTTTTGTAATAAATGAAAATTGAAAATCAAACGGATCAGAGATGCTACTTTTCACGTGCAATCAATTAACAAAGTTTTTTATACGCATCTATCGTTCTCAATGGAAAACACATTTCTCACATATAAATCTCGTTCGCGTGCACGCGCAGCAGACATGTTTCTCTTTTTTTTTTCTTCTTTTTTTTTAAATCTTTTTCTTTAAGGCGAGATTTTTCACAAAAATTAATGGGTATCTTAAATCTCGGGTAGCTGCGATCAATCTGTATGCAACTGCGATTTTACACTTATGCTCTTTCATACATTCTTATTCCTCACGCAATATTCAATACCATACTTATCATAAACATATGTTGCATTGTTCTTTAAACAGAGAAACGGTTTTTGTGAATATCGTTTGGTCAAGTGAGAAATAAATTGATACTAGTTGATATTTACAATTTTGTTGGTAATGATGATTAAAAGAAATGATAAGAAACAAAGAAAGCTAAATAATAGGACACAACCAACCATGCAGATTCGACACAAGGTAAAACATACATTAAAAAAAGAAAATTGGAACAAAATTTCCAAAATATTATGTTCCTTCTGCCTCTTTGCTATTCTTTGTCCCGGAACAAACGTTCCAATTTTTCATTTGTAACAATTTGTCTATGACAACATTTCATCTATATGTATGTGTGTGTATATATGTATATATATATATAAAAAAAAGAAATAGAGAATGCAATCCTAGATTAATTTTACTAATAAAAATATGTATTATGCAAATTGATTAAATGATTTGATTAAAGATTGAAAATGAATGTTCAAGCCTAGTCTCTTAAATGAATATTTAGCTTAAATTCTTCTTCTCTAGTCTCATGGCTACAAATATTTCATCGTTTGATTTCTAGTAAACGATTCAATAAAAAAAAGCATAGATTGGTATACAAGAAATTCAAGATTTAAGCTAATGATTCCACACTCAATGATTGAAAAGTGTTGAAATTCTCACGTTGTAAGGACTCTGCGATTCACGTACGTACTAAATCCTCGATTAATTCTCAATTATACATTAAACACACGGCACGAAACTTTAAATAAACATAAGCACATATACGTACTCCGCTATAATAAATCTTGTTCTTCTACGACACATTCACAATCATCATATATCATATTTATGCATATATCCTGTACGTGTGTATATATATATATATATATATATGCATATACCCATTACGATTCTCATCCTCATCCTCAAGCTCATCCTCATTCTTATCCTTATCATTTCAATACAGTAATTTATCTCCGAGTTGGTTAGACCGCACGCTTGAAATGAGATCATACAGTTAATACGCACGTTCAGATGATCGAAGCTATCCGTCTTTTACAACACGCATATATCCGTACGTCTATCGTCGACGAGAAAGAACTTGTGCTAGTCTCTGAAGAAGGCGGTAAGAAAGTGAGAGACAGGGTCAGAAATACAATTTGCGTGACGTGCAAAAGACGAAAGGAAAGTATTTGTCGTTACACTCTTATTGTTCAATGGAGCACACTATCTATACTTATATCTATACATATAAGATTATATATAATTATAATTTTATAATTATATATAACGTGTATATATATATATATATATATATTTATGTATATGCATTTATGTGATCGCATGAAAAGAAATGAAAGAAAATCCATCCGTTTGTCGATAATAGGCAAACAAAGAAATAGATTCGAACCCGTTCCTCTATTAACAGAGGCTTTGGTTCCCGTTTTACAAAAATGATAATTACTTTGTACCTAGTACACACTTGCCTAGACTCTGTTGCCAGTGGTTAACGCGTATCAGGATGAAAGGAACGGATTCGCCTGCATTCCACGATTACACTCGGACCCTCCCTCCTCCGCGCAGCTTACTCGTACTTGAGAAAGGTGTTGGACTTTTGATCGCGTTGTCCTGGATGGTTCTGCCAAGCACCTTGGGACGCGTTGGGATTATTCGGGCCTGGACCACCTGTTCCAGGATTGCCTGTATTACCATCACCTCCTCCCTGATTCATCCAACTGAGAAAGCCAGAGTTTCCACTGTTACCAATACTATTGTTGCCTGAAGGTGGTTGACCAGGTGGGCCAGGCTGGTTCGAATAGCCCTGATCGTTTCCCTGATTCTGCAAGTTACCGATCAGACCCCAAGATGCTTGGTTCAAAGCAGCGGCAACCAAAGCAGGGTTGACTGGTAACGCGGACAGGTTCAGACCTCCCATCGCCAAGGGATTCGACATACCGCCACCGCCACCGCCACCGTTATTTTGTCCGGTAATGCCCAACGCTTGGAGATTAGGCATGTCCAAGTTGGCCCGGTTCCCTGGATTGTTCCAACCGTTTGGACCCATATTGTTACCTGAATGGCCCATATATCTGTTACCCTGATAGTTTCCCTGCACGTTATTCTCGACGGGACCTGGGGCGCCTCTACGCATGTTCGAATTCACTTGATTATTGAAATTCTTATTGTTGCCCTCGGACTTTGGTGCAGCGTTCGACACGTGTACCGACACTCCTTTTATTATGTGATCCTCGCCGCACAGGGACTGCGCTACCTCGGGATCTAAGAAAGTAACAAATGAAAATGCACGGAAAGGTTTTGGGATGAACACGTCCGTCACTTCGCCATATTTGGAGAAATAGTCGCGCAGATCATCAGCGGTTAGGTCTTCTGTACAGCGTCCCACGAATACCTTGCAGGGTACTTGCTGAATCATTCCCTCCTACGCACAAACGCACAATCAATCAATCATGTACAACAGATTTTCACTGATTTTTTGGTTTTTGTTTGCTTATGTTTTTTTTTTCTTTCTTTTTTTTTTTTAACCAGTAAAACTTGCATATAGTGCACATTAACGTATCAAATTATTATGCTTTCTAGATCAAAAAGAAGAAACAGAGAATAATCTTAACCGAGTCAATCAATCTGCACTAACGACAAGTTTTATAAAAAAAGAATTCTTTCAATACACATGTGTCTAGTTATCGTTTAAAAAAAAAAAAAAAAAAAAAAGGTATTAGCTGGTCAATTTACACTTTGATTTCCATGAATATATATATATATGTATATGTATATATAACACTTAAGCACTATGGCCTCTTTAAAATCCATGCACAAATTTGTACAATGTCCTCTTTCTTTTATATAGTCGATGTAAAGTTTCATGCTACGTATTACACATTATCTTCAACTGAATAAACACAATAGTTGATAAAAATGTAGACAATTACTCGAGACTATTGCTAATATTAAACAATCTTTTTTGCTATTGGCAATATAGATCACGAATCAAGGAGAATACATTTCTCTTTAGGACAAATTACTACTCCCGCACGATGTACACAAGACAAATCCGTGTACCAACAAGGAAGGAACAGAAAGCAACACATTGCCGTTCGTAAAATGTGTATCTCTCACGAAATGCATAGAAAGCCTAAAGAAATATTTATTCCCATTGTACCGTGACTTATGTATTTACGATAGTGTCAAGACTCATCAGTATCTTGAGGTGTCCGAGACGTGGTGATCCCTCGACGGACGGTGTTTGTAGTAACGGTCATAGTAATTTTCCTTACTCGGATATCTTGGCGTATCCGCAAACCTGGCATCCACTTCCTTGGTGTCCGTTGGATATCTGACATCGACTTCCCTATTCTCGACCGCGTATCTACCCTCTGGATCCCTACCATCGATCGCGTATCTTCTATCCATTTCACGATTCTCCACCGGATATCTACAATCAGCCTCTCTACCATCAGCTGGAATTCGATTGTCCCCATGCCTGGTGTCTGGGTACCGTACGTCCAACGAATATCTACAGTCCGTAGACGACGCGTATCGAGCGTCCGCCTCGTAATAATTCCGGTCGTAACCGTAATTGTATCTGCTTTTCTCTCCATAATCTGGATTCTCCATTACCGGATACACAGCCGCGCGTCCTTCGTAGTTGGTGTATCTTGTGTACTCCGTGTCGGACGGATAGGCGGGATTCGGAGGTGCTGCCGCAGTTGTATGTTGGACCATATAGTTTCGTGTGTCGTACCCAGGATCCTCGTACGATGGGTAATTTGCTTTCTCGTACGCATTGTAATTCTGTCCCTCGTACTTGTATTTAGTGTTATCGTCGTACGGATAATTGGGAGGGTACGACGGATAATGCGTTGTTTTATAATCGTACTCCGAATCGTACCTAGGTGTATTAGCAGCCTCGGGTGTATTTAAGTTGATATACGGTTTCGCCACAGGTACCCGTCGACTACTCGGCGTATGAACCGGTATAGGGCGGTAGCATTCATTGTGTTTGCTCGTATCATACTGACGAGCCATCATTAAGCCATCAATATTCTGCAACCAGATACACCAAGCCCTCGACAATCACATACAATTTTATCTATATAATTGTTTTAATTACACACACATATATACGCACTCGCTCGACATTCTTGTACGGTTCTTTTCTTTTAAAAACCGTGTCATTCCACATACCAGTTAAATTCCTTCTTTTTCTTTACGGACTCCACGTGACGCGCGTCTATAGGTCGTACACGTACACCCCGCGATGCTCTAATGAATTTTTAATCTATAACGAAAGAAACTGCGCGGATGTTGTTATCAAAAATGGCGTGTTTTTTTTTTTGTTTTTTTTATCTTCATTCATCTACGGACTGTACACTCTACATTATCATGCACGGCACCATCCTTACAACTGATTTCTTTCTCTTTTTTCTTTTTTTTTTTTTTTTTTTCTCTCGACTAACGACGAATACGTACCAGCGAACAGATAGATTCTATTGCTATCGTTTAAATTTAATCGCGATTTCGTTTCAAATGTACTTCCGTTCGCAAAATTCGAAGTTCACTTCAAGAAGCATGATTACTTGTAACATAACAAAGAGTTATTTCGATTGCACACAATTGTCACGCAGGTCATACTCATTACAATGTTTGTTACTCTTCGAAAAAAAATACACAATTTTACATACTTTCCGATTGTGAAAGAAAAACTTGAACTTCCTAATCTTCTCTCAGACGCGTTTATCATCGAACTAACGATTATTCCGTTACATAGAATCTCTGAAAAAATGAATTTACAAACCGACACTTCTGCCTCCGATAAATTGTTCTTCTAACGAATTAGGTAGGTATATTCTCAAATCTAATCCTGACAACGGTACTCTCATAACATACTCGAAAATTCCACACTATTTAAAGACACAAACATTCCAGGTTATTTACAAGATCACGCAAACATACTTTCTTAAGGTATCTCCCATTTCATCATACAACATCCATGTAAACATTCATACACACTTGTCACATGTTCTTTATAAATTTACCACTTAAATTGACTACACATTCACCTATTTATACCAGAATATACCTTCTTAAGATATATATATGAAGATGTCATGTAAATAGATCATTCAATGAAATCAATTATCTCATAGTCTTGTGCAACAAGTCGGAATAGAAAAGAATTTATAAAGCAAACTATTATGTCCACGTTCGTGCCATAGTTAGATTTCATAATTCTTATTACAGTATATTGTTCAACTAACATCTTGTTTTGTGTGCATCTTAGATCTATACATAACTGTCTTTTATTATGTTAAATACATGTATATGAAACATTGTAAGTTGGCATTTCCCAATTAACACCATCATCGACGTCGTATCTGTTTACATAACTTTCCGTTATTATATAGCATTTTGAAAAAATTTATTAAATCATCGAAAAAGGATTGAAATATTTCCGTATCTAAAAATATATATTAAATGTATTTAGAAGACTGTTTGTATTGTATAAACATATATGTATAGATCTATGATCTGCACGCAAATATTATATATATATATATTTTTCAAACCTTAAGTAACTATTAAATATTTCAAAACTATCCAAAAATATTTGAAGAAACAACAAGAATTTGTTAATAAACGTAACGATACTCTTACCTTACTGTTGGGAACCTTAACGTCGCACCATCTTCCGTCTATCATATGCCGCTGAGCGAGACATCTCAACTGAGATTCGTAGCTTCCGAATCTAATAAATCCAAATCCTTTGCTCTGTCCTGATTTTGCATCTTTTTTTACCTGCAGAAACACGTATTTATATTAATTATATGTTACATTCAATAATTCAAGACCGACTATCACAATTTATACAATCAATTGTGAAACAGTGAGTCGAATATAATGCAATTTCTGTAACAAATAAAAAATCAATTTAAAAAAAAAAAAAAAAAACTAATCTTGTTTAGAAGCATTAAACTGATTACTTTAATATTATCTCTCTACATGTAATGATTTCTGTTTATAGTAATCTTGAAAAACTCACCTGTGCCATGAGTACTTCGCCAAACGTTTCAAAGTATTCACGCAAGTTCTGCTCTGTTGTTTTCCATGGCAAACCAAGTACGATCAAGTCTGTGCAACGCAACTTTGTTTCCATTCTTTTAGTCTTAGCTGTGGAATTTTCCAAATTGTCATCAGATTTACGTTTGTTCTCTGAAAAGATATAAGTGTTCATGTCTACTAACTTTTTTTTTTTCATTTTACTACAATCTTTTCCAAAATTTAAGTCTTCTTACAGAATTTTACATATATATATTTTGCTATATAGAGACTTAATTACAATAAAAATAATAATGAAAAAAAAGAAAGAAAGACTGAAATCCAGTACAAATAATTTTTATCCAAAAACTATTGTGTGATAGTGTATATGTGTGTATGCGAACACGCGCGCGCGCGCGCGCGCGCGCGTGCGTGTGGTGTGTAATGTATACATTATGTTAAATTTTAATTATTTAAGTTTACATCTATGCGTGTATGTATAATACTTGCATAGATATAAACGTATTTTAATGATTATAAACAAGTATTTATAAATGCTGGTAGAACTGAGTAGTAAAAGCATTACACATCAACATGTGCTTATGTTATTATCATTTACATGTGCCCTGGTTTTCTTACAGGGTTCTATAAATCTTACAACTGCTTTAACTTTTTTTTTAAAGTTAAACATTACATGCAACTGAAAGTGTAAAGCATCATACTTTGACATAAATAAAAATAATAAAATATTAGCGTTCCTTTTAGTAACAGAATATATAAAAATGTTTAATTTAATCAACACAAACACATGTACTGGACTTCAAATTATACAGAAAAGAAAAAATCGCATTAGAATCGGCAGGAATTATTCAAGATCAAGTACGCAACAAACAATAAAATTCCTAGACAATAATCGATGAAACGTCTTGCGTAGTGCGTTAGGTGAAGACAAAAATAGAATATCGAATTCATGTTGCATAAAAACGTAAGAAAAGTTATTTGAAAGCGCATTAAACACATGTAACGCTGATATAGACGCTTCGTGATCGGAAGCGACTTACTCCAAATTTACGTCAATCGATATGCAAAAATCATGGTACTTGATCTTATCGTAGCGTTAGGGGGATGAACGAGTACGATTTACAATAAAATAAGCACCTTTTGGAAAAACACAAAAGTAAATCGCCTTGCCCCATCCATTTTCAGGCGGATGAAGACGTCCGTCAACGAGACGAATGCCGCGCATCGTCCGAGATTCTGGATTGCGATATTTGAGGCCACACGTTCCGGGAAACTGGGCGGTTACGGTAGTCAATAAAAGTGTACTATCATCTTCCGTTGGTAATTCTATCGGCTCATCGCCTTCGTCTTCGGCAACTTGGATATATGACGACATATTTCTTCCAAGCGTACGGTCTTCCAAACGAACTTTTCTTCCCAAAAGGAGAATAAAAATCGTACAACACAACAAACACACACGCTCGGTCTCGCAATCAGTCACGCAACACCGCACCTCTTTCTCCTCTCTCGCAGCATCAGTGCTGCCAACCGTTTTGTCCCGGAACTCTTCGAGCTTTCTAATATGTCTGGAAAATTCCACTCAATTTCCGTTCAAAAGATATCCTTTTACAAAAACAAACAAAGTATCTAATACATCCGAATAAATTAACATGGATTTAAAATTTTTTAAACAACAATAGTAGACATTTAATCATTAATTGAAATTACCTTAACACATTTCAGTCAATTTCATGCCTATTATTCGTTCAACGAGAGACCATACCTGTTAAACGACCAGTTTTCGTTCGTTTTGCGCATGTTAACTCTGGATGGTTGGAGCATGCTTTGTACGCGCAAGCACATCATGGCGTCGAACGTGCATATCTAGTGGCCTTTTATTTAGTATATACCTTCAAATCTCACTTGTTTTCTCTATTAATGCGTTTCTGTCCACCGTGTATATGACTGTCGGAGTGGAAAACGTATGGTAGTGGGAAACTGCTTAGTGGGGACTAGGTTACTGAAGTTAGCCGAAATGTGCAATACAAGTATGGTTACTCGTTGAAAGAATAATAATACTAAACTCAAATGAGTTACTTTCTTTTCTTTTGGAAATAATGATAATATTTATTTACGCAAAATATTTATAACAAAGAGATGAAAAAAAGTTAAGTGAATATTGGAATAAAATATTATACATTGAATAGAGTTTGATTAAAACGTCCAAGTACCACAAATATGGAACTATTTTTGGCACGAGATTCAATTTGAAAGATAACGCTCCTAAAAGGAATATCTTGTTTCAAAAAATATATTTTCTTCAAAAATACAAATCATATATTTTAAATTATATACATCAATACATAAGAAATGTATTGAATTACATTTATTTAAAGTAAATAATTTCAATGGTGCAAGTTATATTAAATGAGCCTCAATGGTTTCTCCACTTCGATAAACTAAAAAGAAACAAAGTTGAAATGCAGATAGAACACATCCTAAGAAGTTTGGTATTTGTAGGAAACTGTCATTAATAAGGCAACCATATGCAAACCACTGAGCAGAAACTATTAGAGAAGCCATTATAATGGGAAATGGTAAACTTTCGGTATTCTTTACTCTGATCACATGTGCCTAGAAAACATTGTATTCAATTATACATAGTAAAGTTATTGATTGTTCATGTTACAGATGTTAAAGTTGGATGCTACAAACTTACCACCATCATTAAAGGAGATGCAAAAAATAATACTGTTACTGTGCAGCTAAGAAAACCAACATATCTTGCAGCTAATACTTTATCTTCTTCATAAAAGCTGTAAAAGTATACAACTCCAAGAAAACAAGTTGCTGCAATCATTTGTTTAACAATTTTAAATTTTTTAACGCTATATAAAATGAACACGCAAACATATGATGCTTGGAGTATTGTGCCAAAAACATTTACCAACAATACAAAACGATCTGAGATAAGCATACCATATCTCATCCATAAAACACATCTATAATATGGGTAAGAACAATTAAAATAGAAACAATATATTTATGCAAGATAAGAACGTATTTCCATAACTTATAATTGTAACACTTACGATGTATAACATGTTACAAATGCCAATGCTGAACTATTTCCTGTTGTACCATTTTTAATGATTTTTCTGCACACTAGCCTAAAACAAATTTCTACAGTTTTCCAATCATATAACAATATGGTAAAAGTAGTAAATAATGTCAAACAATTTTGTTTTATTTACTTTACATATTAACAAAGATACATTTGATTACAGATTTATACTTTTACTTACACGCCAGCTAAAAATTGTAAAACTGTACAAATTGAAGCTGTGGAAGCTAATGCATCTTTCATCTCCGTCGAAGTCATGATTTAAAATGTTCATATCACTATCATATATCAGCATCCGTGATACGAGTTTATAACCTCTTCGATGAAAAGTTCTAGTTTTATTATCAGAAATAAAAGCATGTTCGATAAAAGCTTTGCTGGTGAAAATTAATAAACGATGTTATCGAGGGAACATATATATAGCTCGTATAATGTATTTATATATATATACATATATATCTGAGTAAACTCATTGACCTATATATTTAAGAGATGTCTATAAAGAAATAATAAGCAATAGAATAGTTGTAAGAATTTGCTAGCATGTCAGTGCTGATCGATCTTGAGCCTATAAAATTTCTAACTTCCTATTCCTAACCTTGTTGGAAAAAAACATGTTGAGAGCTACACTTTCTTTGTTTACCTTCTCTATCAACAAAAATTTTAATTCTATCACTTTAAGGTATTATATGCAAACAAAACAAGTATGTAACAAAGCAAACAGAAATGTAGAAAATTGGAAAGAAGAGCTATGTAATACCATGCAAATATTTCCAAACTTTATTACTGTAGAGGAAGAGAACTCTTTAATGGAAGAAATTGAACCCTATATAAAGAAGCTACGATATGAACATTCTCATTGGGATGATGTTAGTATGCCATTAATGAATATTTTTATTAAGTTTTCATGGTATTTGTTTTATTTAATCATTATAGGCAATACATGCTTATAGAGAAACAGAGCGAAACAAATGGAATGAAAATAACTTAAAGATAATAAACAAAATTCGTGAGAAAGCATTTCCCAAAGGAATGTCTCAAATTCCATTAATACATGTTTTGGACCTAGCACCAGAAGGATGGATAAAACCTCATGTTGACAGTATTAGGGTACATATTATCTTAATCAATTTTAAATTCAAACAGAAATTAACAATATTTGTTCCTCTATGTTGTAGTTCTGTGGAGAAATAATTGCTGGTTTAAGTTTACTAAGCAACAGTGTAATGAGACTTACAATGGTTGAAAATGAAGCATTATATAAGCATGACTTTTTGCTACCACAAAGATCTTTATACATAATGAGGTATGCAAATGTTTTTCTAAATATATATATTTTTATTGAAGATTATTATTTTACAGTGGTACAGCTAGATATAACTACAAACATGAAATCTTAAAGAATGAAGAATCATATTTTGAAGGGCAACCTGTATCAAAAACTAGACGCATTTCAGTAATATGTAGAAGTCAACCAAACCCTGATACTTAACACTTTAAAAGTGTTTGTACATTATAAACAGTAAGATCAATATTTTGTCAATTGTAATATATTTAGTTAACAAAATGTAGATAAGGTATAAATAGTAATACTAATATACAATATCAGATAGTGATTAATGATAAATATATAACGGTTAATGTAAAGATGCGTAGTTATACATACAGAACATACATTTAATTAAAAAAAAACCGTTTCCCTCCGTCAGTGGTATATATTTAAATAGAGTTTGGCCGTCATATTCAAATGTATTATACTGCCCTCTGTTGATAACGGCATATAAATAAAGAGTGATTCTATAAAAGTTAGGGTTGATAGTTATTATATTAAATTAAATAAACATGCTATTTTTATTATAAACAACTTATGAATAAAATACTGTATGCAACATAAGATTTCGGAATTAAAATAATATGAATGTTACATGTAAAACCCAGCTTCAGTCAGAAAACATGTCTGTACTTCCCATCTTATTACTGTATCTTATGCTTAAACAATTTTTCGCGGGAAACTGTTCTTTTTAGCGTCGCTGAAAACTGAGAGAAGCAAATGTAAACGAAATCTGAATTAATTTCAATTAAGATGAATAAAAAACACGTGGTTATACAGGTACAATTACAATTGTTAATAAATAAGATATTACAAATTGTATCTATAACTTTTACTCTGTATTATAATTTGTAACTTTCAATTTTTTGTGTTTTTAAGTTATAAAACTTTGTTGCTGATTTTTTATTATAGACACCTCCAACACCTCGACGTCGACGTCGACGACGTCAACAGAGAATATCGGCATATTTTAAAACTAATGCTAATGTTGAGGAAGAAGTTCCTTGTACTAGTGAAAATAATGTAGCGCGTAAGTGTACATACAAAAAAAGAAAAGCAATATCAGAGAGTATGGAATCATCTGCGATACAGTATAAAACTGCAAAAATCCCTGTGATATCAATAGACAGCGATAGTGATACATCTAACAGCAATTATAAAATTGCATCCACATCAGTTAAGAAAAACATAACAGAATGTGCTTTGAAAGAAAATATAAGCGTAGATAAATCTAAAAATGTATTAAATAATTTAAATGAAACAATAACCAAAGTACAAAACTCTAAATCACCAAGTAGGAATGTATTGCATGAAAAGTTTACTATAGAAGAATGTAAGCCAAATTTTAAAGGAAAACTAAACATATTAAATGATAGTCCTGTGATTGAGTTAGAGGGAGAGATCAAAGATTCTGATACTGAATCAGATTGCAGTATTATTCTTAAAGATGAATGGTTTCATGATGACCAATTAAATTTGAATACTTTGCAGAGATGCAAAGTAGTTGATATATGTCATGAACGCGATGCCCTGATACTAAGTGTGACGAACTCGGAATTTCAAACGCCTACCGTTATAAAATGCTTAGAGTATTGGTAAAAAACGATATATTACCCTTATTGCAATACGTATCATTTAAATAGTATATTTAATATAATGTTTGCAATTCAACTTTAGGAAATATACAAAGGTAGAAAAAGATAGCATTATAGCTGTAGAAGCAAGAAAGGAAAAAGACTGGTGGATAGTCGATAACGAATTCGGTTTTATCGTTGCATATCCAGATATACTAATATCTAGTACTACGATTGTAGGTGGCATGTTTTGTAAACGAAAAAGTATATTAAATGAAAAGTTTCGGAAAATAGAGTCTCTTCCTTGCTTTAAAACTGACCAAACTGCTATGGTGATTGGCAGTTTCGTACACGAATTGTTACAAAAAGTAATTAATTATATAATTATTATAGTTGATATTTTTGACAATATTAAATATCCTATTAATCCTACAGGCCATTCAAAAAGATATTAACAAATTCTCGGATATAAAAAAATTATTAGACAGCATGCTCCAGTCTAGAGACACGATAAGCATTCTTTATGCTACAGGAATTACGTTAGACGAATGCAGAAAACAAATGCTTGTTTTTATTCCAAGAATTTATCAATTTATTCAGCATTATTTAAAAGGTAAGTAAAATGAATACCTAGTTCTGAGTTAGTAAATGATTATTATTAACTAACAGACAATAATATTTTTAGATAAACGACAAGAAGAAATAAATCGTATTGAAAATAATTTTAAAGGACAAATTGTCGATATTTTAGATATTGAAGAAAATATTTGGTTACCATGTTTAGGGATAAAAGGTAAGATTGATGTCACGGTGGAGGTAGAAGAGAATTGCAAACGAAAAATGATGCCGCTTGAAATTAAGACGGGCAAGCCGTCATTCTCTTTAGAACATAAAGGTCAAATTATTCTATACATTATGATGATGGCTCTTACTGGTCAAGACACAGATACAGGACTCTTATTGTATCTGAGGTAATTCACTCGTTTATTAGACTGCATAAAGCATTAAACAATTTGTTATATGGATACTTCTGATTGCAGAGAGAATAAGATACAAGAAATTAAAAGTGATCATCGTGAAAGGAGAGATTTAATGCAATTAAGAAACGTTTTAGCATATTATTTGACTCCGAAATCAACCGAGATGTTTTCAGAGTCAACTGCGGATTTGAATTGGGCCGGGTTTGACTTACCGGAGCCGATTAATCATCCAAGTGCATGTAATAATTGCATGTACAACTCATTATGTTGTGCCTATTTAAGCAAAGACAGTAATAATAAATTGCCTTTGAAGCACCCACTAAATCAATTGAAAGAAAAAATTTCCCAGGTATTGTCGCCTTCACACACGAATTATGTTTTACATTGGATTTTATTATTAGAAATGGAGGAAAATGCACAGGCTACTGATAAGTCGCACTTAAATTTATGGACACTAAGCGCGGAACAAAGGTGAAATTTATTAGCCATTTTTACAAATTTATTATATGTACTTGCGTATCAATTGATTGCTTTTTTTTCTTAGAGAAAACAAAAAAATATGCATTTCAAATTTGAAAATGTTAAAGACAATAAAAGAAAGTTTTTGCAAGTATAAATACACATTCGTTCGTAATAGTTCAAACGCACAAGATCGAGAAAGTATTCCTTATACGGAATTTTCTGAAAATGAATATGTATTAATAAGTACAAACAAACGAATAAATGTATCAGCAGGCTTTATAGTACATCTAAGCAATGCCTCTGTAGCTGTTAGGGTTGACAGGTATGCAAGAATATTAACATAAATTTAACTTAAACGATGCTTACGAGTATTTACTTTCAGGGATATTAGTCAGTATATTACGAACGAATTAGTTCATATCGATAAATATCAGTCTTCTACTCTCCACTGTTCTAATCTTGCTAGCGTGGGTGGCTTATTGGCAAATAATAATATATGTGCCAAATTGAGAGAAATTGTCATCGACAGGTGTGTTCAACTTTTCATACAATTATATTATTATAACATTTTCTTCACATTTTCAATTGATTTTATATTTAAAATAGAAAACCAGCTACTTTCGATCAAGGAGTTCCACAATCTATTGTCTCGAAAAGTAGCAAAATATTGCAAACTTTGAACGAGAATCAACAAAGGGTAGTTTTGAAAGCTCTTACCGCTACAGATTATATTCTAATCAAAGGAATGCCTGGCACAGGCAAAACACAAACTTTAATAGCTTTTATTGAATTGTTGCACGAGACAGGACGCTCCGTTTTAATTACCTCTCACACCAATAACGCGGTTGATAATATACTACTAAAATTACTGGCTAAAGGCATTGATTTTTTGAGATTAGGCTCATCTGTTCATGAGTCACTAAAAGCTTATGTTGAAAAGAACGCAATAGCCAGATGTACTACGCCAGAGGAGATGGAAATAGCATATTCCAAAGTATAAAAAAACGTTTTTAAAAAATATTTAAAAATTTCGTTTAATTTTATTTTCTAATCATTTTAATTATTTTAGAGTATAGTTGGTGTTACTTGTTATGGGGCTTATCACCCAATGTTATGTACAAGAATTTTCGATGTCTGCGTGGTAGACGAAAGTGCACAAATATTACAGCCAACTGTACTGCGACCCCTGTACAATGCTCGCAAATTTGTTTTAGTTGGAGATCCAGATCAATTACCCCCAATCATCCAAAGTAGTCAAGCAAGGTACAAATAAAAATTTGTTACAAAATAAAATTGTATCTTTTATCACATCAAATTTTCTTTCACAGACAACGTGGCGCAGATGAATCCTTATTTAGTAGGCTAGACAGCGAAAATAATACTGTAATTTTGACGGAGCAGTATAGGATGAATAGATATATCATGACTTTAGCGAATAAATTAACGTATAATGATAAATTGAAAGCTGGTAATATGCTCATAGAGAGTGCCACGTTTACCGCTAATCATAACAAAGTGAGTGCAGATGTTAAAATACTGTTTAGTACAAATTTTATTTCTTCATAAAATTTATTATTTCAGATACTCATGAAAGCAGAACCTTGGGTACAGAGAGCACTCTCTCAAAATCTAAGTGACTCTGTAATGTTATTAAATACCGGCCCTATCAACAAATTAAAAGTGAATTATAAGTTTTGCGATAAATATCCGGAAAGTGATCAAGTGTATTCAAATATTTTCGAAGCAGCTGTATTGCGAAAACTAGTCCAAACTCTTCTGCAGGTATTATTTAATATTGTTTAACACATCATTAAACAGCAGAATGGATGTTTTAAAGTATTTTACTATTCAGATGCATGTAGAACCGGAAAATATTGGAATTATTGCGCCCTATAGGGCACATGTAAGTTTATTAAAAAATGTAATTCAAAACGGTATTGAGATAAATACTGTAGATCAGTATCAGGGTCGCGATAAAGAAATTATATTGTATTCCTGCGCTAAAAGTTTAATTAGCAGTAATAACGTAAAACAGGTATTTTGTTTTATTTTTATCAATCAGATTGATTATAATTGAATTAGCTGATTAGAGTTTTAATTTTAATTTTTTTAGGTACAGGATCTTGAGGTACTAGGAGATCACCGTCGTCTGACGGTAGCAATAACGAGGGCAAAGTGTAAATTGATTATCGTGGGGGATAAATCCACCCTATTAAGCTATACAGTCTTTCAAAAATTGTTCAGTTTAATAGAAGATAAAAATACAATACATTTACATGATAACAGTGATGGTTTCTCATGGAAAGAGATCACATCTGCGTTATAGTTTCGCTTAAAATTTTATTCATTTTGATTTAAAGAATTTAATATATAATAAAACAGAAGTTTTTCTATTGATGATGAAGCATGAATGCAAGTACTTTCAACTTCAATGAAAGTGAGTAAAGATTTCTTTGTAACACAAAATTATATGTTTACTTCAGTTTATTTGTTTTTTTTTTATTTCAAAGAATTGTTTTTGAGTTTATATTTTTATTTATTTTTTTATAAGTTATGTAAATTGTGTAATAAAAATTACTACCCTAACGAGGTTTCTTTTTTTTAATTTTTTAAAGTAATATATATAATTATAAAATTTTAATATTTCAATCATAGCTCGACAGACTAATGAATTTTTATTTTATGCGATGTTAAGAGAAGAGCAGTTGTAATCACAACTCTATGAAGGAAATATCCAAGTTTCACGTGATACTTTTTCAGCTCTCGTTTTCGCATGTAATTTGAGGTAATCAAAATAAGTAAATAGATAAAGCTCTGGTTTATGTCGATAATTGATAAAATGAATCGCGACATGTTTTGTATTTATTATCATTTCATTAATTGCCATTATTTTTGTCGGTCTCTTGTTTCAGAAACGTATATATTTATATACTTATCAAGAGTCGCGTCGTGTCGCGCATGATCGATGCCAGATATCATTCACTTTTTTAAAATATATATTCGCAGTACATTTGTAAAATTTTTATTAATCTTTTATTACTTGGTGAAAGTAAATCATGAAAGTTGTAAAACTTTTATCTTCCCGATCTGTATCAACGAAGAGTACCTTTCGAAACCGGTATTTAACCTATATGTTTGATATATGTGTATTTTTATGTTAGAAAGTAAATATATACTATTTTTTGGAAAAAAAAAAAAAACTGTTATGTTATCCATGATTTTAGGGTTAAAGAACAACTGGATCAATTACCTAAACCACCGATTATTAAAAAATCGACCGTTGATCTTGCAACGATAGACCATCATTCAAAATTAAGTAATAATTGGTGGGATAGAAATGGTGAAATGCGTGCTTTGCACGCGCTAAATCCTCTTAGGGTACAATTTGTGAGAGATGGTTTAGCTAATACAGGTATTAAAGCTGAAACTCCATATCTACCATTGGAGGGAATCAAAATCTTAGACGTTGGTTGTGGTGGAGGATTATTGTCAGAACCACTAGCTAGAATAGGAGCAGAAGTAACTGGGATCGATGCATCTTCAGAACTAATATCAGTTGCAAAAGAACATGCTGCATTAGATCCTAATTTAAGTAGAAAGTTAAATTACATTCAAACAAGTATCGAAGATTTTGCTCCAGCTAATAATAAAACGTATAATGCCATAATAGCTTCAGAAGTTGTAGAGCATGTGAATGAGAAGGAATTATTTTTAAAGGTATCATGCTCTTATGTAAATAATAAAGAAGCAGTTGATATACTATTACCAAAAAATTATTTATTTTTTATAGCATTGTATAGATACATTAAAGCCTGGTGGTTCCATATTTCTTACAACATTAAACAAAACTCTGCCTGCTTGGCTTGGAGGGATCATTGCAGCTGAACATGTTTTAAAATTGGTACCAAAGGGTACTCATGATTGGAATAAATTTGTTACTCCAGCTGAAATGCAGTGTTTATTAGAAAAATGTAAAGTATTCTTTGTTAATAATAATGCTGTTAAATTTATTTTATATAGACTTTTTTATTGAGAAGTTTAATTTTCTTTGTAGGTGGTTGTAAAACAAAATTAATTCATGGAATGTTTTATAATCCATTAAAGAACGAGTGGTTTTGGATAGCATCAAGAGCAATAAACTATGCAATTCATGCAGTAAAAAGGAAGGAGTAGTAATAATGAACGTGTTTTTTCATACATTGTACTGTGATAATTTATAGTATTTATAACGTAAAAATTTTAATTTTATGAAAAGTAGTGCAAATTATTTGGTTATTTAAAAAAATATAAGAAACGTATAACTTAAACTTTATTGCTTTCATTTTTACATGTATACATTTCATTATAGGAAATTACTTTATATATGTTGCAGCTTAATCGTTATTTTATTTTTAAGAGTGTCACATAGAATACACTTACATAATTGGTAAGAAATTTCTATGCAACAATTACCGAAGACTTATTAAGTTAACTAACCGCTTTATTAAGATATAAAAAAAAAAGTATATGTATTTAAAAGCTTATTTTATTTGATGATCTATTTAGCTTCGGCAAATCCAACGCGGTTGTTTCCCATATCGAATTCGGTGTAGTAGCGGCCAATGAATACATCTCCCAAGATCCATAGTGGGCCATTTGGTGGAGGAATGTCTATTCCCATAAATCCACTCAAGCAAACAGTTTTTCCAAACTGTTTAACCTGTTTTAAAACAAAAGGAGCAACGTAAAATATTCCATCTTATAATAAACTTTATTTATGTAAAGTATGATATACTTTACCTTAAAAACATAGTCTTCGCCTCTGAGAGGGAAAGAATGGCCACCGATTACGAATGTAATTGTAGGCAAGTTAGGAATGGAATTACAGTCCACCTATATAAATAAAATAAAAATGTCGTTTCATGAATATCTCTATAATAAAGGTAAATAGTTTATCGTAATACCAATGCTTCTCCAGCAACAAGAGGAGTAGCTCCAATTTTCTTGTTAATCAGTTCAATTTCTTTAACGGGTCCACCGATCAAAGAGGTGCCTGTGTCAGCGATAGCTTCGCATCCATTCTCGCAGACCTTATAATTTGAGCCTATTTCAATTCTAAAATATTTGTTACAATTAAACCATAATATTCAACGTTTTCACTACAAAAGAAGTATCATTAGAAACACAAGAATATACCTGTCCATGCTAAATTGCCAGTAACCCTTCTTGTCTACAGGAACATAGGTGAATGGACCAACATAATGATTAGGATCTGAACCACCAAGTATCATTTCTCCACCAGATTTCGCATCAGGATCTCTAAATTGTTAAGCGAGTTTTAGCTTCTTTTCTACCAAGTCAGTTTTTAAATTGATTAATTGGTAATAACCTATTCAAATAGAAACTGAAAACAGGTTGGGGTACTAATCCTTGTTTAACCATGTTGTAGAAGACAGGCATTACACCATCAACAGCTATTCTAGAGTATGCCATTCCCATAATACCATCAAATTTGGCAGCAACGAATGCCAAGCCGGGTTCGCTTAACGCTTCGGCAAACGTTTGATCACTAATTTTCGTTCCAGCAACCTGATCATACATTTATCATTATAAAACATATGTATATAATTATACATATAAAAGAGGTTTAAAAATAGAAGGTCAACAACACAAAATGATATAAGAAAGTTTATTATGGATGGAAAATCGTATCAGGAAATGTGCGAAAAATCATTGGTTGTAAAAAAAAATACACATTCATGTTTGTGCCAATACTTACGTCTACCATGTCGGTAGAGAGATAGCCCGAGAGACTTCCAGAACCATACACAATAGAAAATTCAGTACCGTTTTCCTTATAAGTGTACGATTTGGTACTATCATACTTATGATGTAGTTCTGTAAAAATTATCAAGTATAGTTTTTCTATCTTGTTTTTCAATTTTCTTTGCTTAAAATTTGTTGTTTTCGTTATGGACGCGATAAGGCAGCGGAAACAAAACATGCATACCCATAAGCATTCCACAATACATTTATGACCATGGAGAATATAGTCTTGAAAATCATATGGAAAATTCAATATTAATTGTTTAAAAGCATTTTACAACATGAGATTTTAACAGAAAATTGTACCAATGATATAAAAGGGGAGTAAATACGTATTCAGTTATAAGCTTCAAAAATTAAAATTACTACTTTATAGATTAATTATCATGAGGCAAAGGTCATTTAAATCTTACAAGTGAATAATTGATATTGTGGATGCAATCAATGGAAGACAACTGAAAATTTAGCAGATACACATAATACAAGAAAATGTTGATGATTTTTCAAAATATACTCACTGCAGGCAATATTAGTCAAATGGCATTTTTTAGAGGGAACCCACAGATTGGAGGAGCCTGTATCAAAGATTACTCTGAATTCTTGAGGCGGAGTTCCAATGTTGATGATACCATAATATTGAGCATCAAGGTAATTAGAAAGAGGCTCTAGTGGTGGAACATTTCCTTGGAATACATGTACCTGGGTTAGGTCTGTACCATATTCCTTTAATTGTTTCCTTACACTATCCATTTTATACAAATTAATCCTTAAAATAAAGAAACGTATTTAGTTTTAATCTTAAGAAATATCTTATATAGTCTGCAATTGTCCATCATGGGAAATATTGTAAAATGTATAATGGTTATATTAATTACAAAAATGAACAATCATCTTTGTCCAAACTGTTATATTTACCTCTGAAGTTCCGCATTTGCTGCGACTAATAAAACGCAGAAAAATGCGATGGTGCGATACATTTTTAACCAAGTTTTCAATCTACTCTCAAATATAAAACTTTATAACATTCTTTCAAAAACAATATTTTAAACAAAGACTTTTTTTTCAGAATTATTTTGCGCAACACCGCTGTCAGGTACAACACTAGAACAATTCGAAGCAAGAGGCTTTCTAATAAAGCTTTGCTCGGAATCATCGGGAGTCATTGCGCCTGCGTAACTTGAGTCATGCATACACGTATTAATATGCTGCGATAATAATGACAAAACTTGAAATGGATCAGATAACAATTAAATAATTTATCTTATTGATAATTTTATAAATAATAATATACATTGTTTGCTATTAATCTGCATATTCATGTTTATAAACATAACATCAGTAAATAGTTACAAGAATATAAAACCTAAAGAGAGCTAACTACGGCATCGTTATCCAAGTCAGCTGATTCAACATTTGTGTTGTATATTCTACTACGTATATAAATATACAACAACGTGTGAGTGTATGAGTATAAATTTATACTCATGGGTAAGTATGGGTAAAATATATTTATTTCTTTAGTTAAATCCATACAAAACAGAGAATAATATTTTTGTATACTGTATACGTCTTTAATAATATTTCTAAATATACATATTTCAAATGTACTGAATGATACATGGTATGTATAATCAACTGAAACTTGACACCCTAATTATAAACTAGGTTTAGGTTATATAATCAGTTTCCAATGACAGTTTTGTTAATAAATTGAAAATCTGTAAAGAAAACATGAAAAAACAAATGTATAACTCCAGCTTTCAGTCAAAATTTTGTATTGATTACTCGAATTTATGTTTACGCGGGTTGCTAGCAGCAAGGCATTCTGGGTTGATAGAAGACCGTGATAGAAGACCCTAATCGCGAGCCAATCAGTGTGCAGGATTATAGTACGGGCACTTCAGTCTTGAACTCGATCGAGGAATAGTCGCTGTCGGCTTGACCGAGTAAAAATTTTGGTGTAAATCAGTTCACATAGAAAAAGATAAATACACATAATTACCGGGCCAGAAATTAACGATTCTTTTGCTGTATATCTGTTGGTGAGACTGTTATTTCGGAAGGTATGTCAAATGTTATTTGATCAAATGTATTTTTTTCAATTCAACCGGGAATCCAGCTTATGTCAAATTCAATTTGGATTTCGGATATTTCCGTTTTTATAACTTTATGGAAATTTTCGAATGAGCGCCGTTAATTCAACCTAGTTTCGGTGATTGCGTGCGGATGAATTATTATTCTTATCATCGCATATCGATAAAACATTATCCTCCCGCGTTTCGTCTTCGCTCGATCCTTGCGATTATTTCTATCATACTTATTAAATACATCTGATCTTTTTTATGATTAACTACTCGTAACTCAATGTATTGCCATGCCGGCACATCAGATATATGCTACTGTCAAAATTACGCGCATTCGTTATTCAAGGTTTAATGTCTAATTTCTATATTGTTTCTCTGATATTAGAAACAAAAGAAGTTCTTTGTAAACAGTTTCTCCTTCATGTTGCAGATTATTTGACCACAATGTTCTTATAGGCCATATAAAATCTGTTATTTATCTTTCTCATATGTTTCAGAGTCACAAAAATGTCAGACAGAAAAGCTGTGATCAAGAATGCTGATATGTCTGAGGATATGCAGCAGGATGCTGTTGATTGTGCAACGCAAGCTCTTGAAAAATATAACATAGAGAAGGTATGCTATAAGATAAGTTTAAAATTATCCCAGATATCGTGTGTATGATGATAAAAAATGGTACATGTATCTGGACTTGTGTTTAATGGTTTATTATCCAATTAATTACAATAATGATTAAGATAATTTGAAAGTTGAGAAAAATATTTGAGATTAACTGATGTGCTTTTTTTTCTTATTTCAGGATATTGCTGCCTTTATTAAAAAAGAATTTGATAAAAAGTATAATCCAACCTGGCATTGCATCGTAGGACGTAACTTTGGAAGTTATGTAACACACGAAACAAGACATTTTATCTACTTTTACCTGGGTCAGGTAGCGATTCTCCTCTTCAAAAGTGGATAAATTGGATTCTATTTTGCATTTACCATCCTTTCTTCTTCCCTTCACACATGCTACATGGAATACTTTAAATCGCATCAACATCTGTAAGAGAAATTACAATTCTGTATACAATGAAAGTTTGTTTATTCAAACAATATGCACTCCCAGTTGAAAACATGAAATTATATATTATTATTGGTACTATTGTCTTTGCTGTTTTTCTTATTTTGGGAGATAAGACAATGTAGAAAATATAAAAGGGTAGGGAGATGACTAAACGAGGGAAAGAAAAAGTGGAAAAAAAAGAAAGAAAAAAAAAACTAATTGACATACAATTTTACGTGTTAAAATTGTGTATGCCAGAAAGTTTGTTGTGTTCTTGTTTTATATTAGGTATATATAATGCGCGGTTAAGTTCAGTACTGGCGATTTTAAATTAATAAATCTTTTAGTGTGTAATACACTAAGTGCACCTAAGTAATGTAACTTCATACAAAATCGTGTATGATTTTTATTATCTCACTATGCTTAAAGAAACTGTATCTAATAGTCGTCAATAATGAATGAAAACCAAACCTTGATTGATCATTCAATCGTTATTTTGTTGTATTTGTAAATTGTCCCTTCATTCTGTGATGCTGTGTAACAGTTTATCGAATTTGATTCGTTTAAATTCGAGTATCTCTTTGAATTCATGGATTGGAGGCTCATTAAAGGCTTAATATTATCGATGCATCGTATTAATCATGCATTTGAATGTAATAATTCTACTCAAATTAACACAGTGCTGAGTACAATATCGCATAATATCTGAGTCAAACGGTTATCGTAACTTTACAATTTTTTATATTGTGCACACCAAATTTTGTAGACATATTATCTTAAGGCAATACACATTTAGGGAATTTTTTCCCTTTATTTTTTGTTTTTCAAAGCTTCATGTATTCAGCTCATTGAATTCTGTCCTTTATGTAACATCCACTATTCCAATATTATGGTACTTATATATGTATATATATATACACACAGACAGGCACACACGCGTATATATACATATATAAAATGATAAATGTAGATTATACATGTATATTATACTATTTATATATAGTGCAATCTTCAAACGATTTTTCATGCAGTATTTGATTATCACAACGTTGCTACATTGTTCAAATTTTAGACTGATTATTAAATCATCATCACAAGTATATGACTTGCATGGTTCTTTTATAAGATTTCACGAGCTAATTTTATAACACGAATATTGTAAGATTTAACGAAAAGTTGTCTGTAACGTTAAAGTAATATAGAGCAGAAAAGAGAGAAAAGAAAAGATAAACCCAATAATATCTTCAGTTACGCTCGAGCCAACTTTACAATAGTTATTTTTCAATCGACGTAACTTTGTACGTACTCTCTTTCACCTGTTAACGCACATACATAAACGAATTGAAAAGATTGCATCTGTTCTTGCATCTGTAAGAGAAAGGAAATTAGAAGAAAACTGACATTATTTAAGGTCGAGGTTTGTTAAATAGTAAAATTAAGATTCAGTATAATATTATGAAATAAAGATGCTCAGAAATCAACAGATTGCTAATGAGTAATAAATAAATACCCGCGAAATTCAGAATATCAACAGCACATGCTACCAAGAGCGTGTAGCAATTTTGCACGAATCAGCCCTAAATTTTATCATATCAGAATTGCGTATTACAAAAAGAAAATTGAAATTTTCTTATCCCCAAGCATGTAAAGAAAGACTTGCAATTTTATAACGACAAAAAATCGTACGTTAAGTTTGAGAATATATTTAAAAAGACTTAGCGAGACAATGTGATTTGATCATCTGCTAATTATGATCTTGTGTCGCAATTTCTTCTTAATAAAGCTAATAATGATTCTTAAACTACACTCAGTTCCATGTATCTTTCTTTATTACTACCATGAAACTTCAAGTACAGAGCTGATCCCGCAATTCATAATTGTAAGTTACCAATGCGTTAAGTATCAACTATTGAAATGCATCCTTTCGCATAAAATCATCTTGTAACAGCTTGTACCATTCTATTGTAGTATGAAAATTTAATGTACGATTTGAATTGCATTAAAAACTCAAGGTGCATTAAAATGACCTTATAGAATTTCCTAACAGTTGGTCGCGTGCCTAATACCATTAAGAAATCAATTTCGATTGAGAGAAGGTCGCTCGCAAAAATTCCGAGTATTCAATTATGTTTTTCAAAAGATACATGTCGTACGTGGAGGTCTGCGTACCTTTAAAAGAAGGGATAATTGTGGCATGTATACACACCACGGTTGTCAAGACAACAGATTTTGACAACAGAAGAGGCAGTGGACAGTGAGTGTTGTAACAAACAGAAAGGATCTACACAGATTTACAGAAAAATCATGAAAGAAAATACTAAGCTCCTTGTGACTGAACTAAACAAATTGTTGAATCGTAATTACAATGTAATCTATTTCAATTCCCTAAGTTCAGAGGAACTATTACAAGTAAGAGTTGTTCCATTTTTTTCTCTTTCTAACAATCAGATCCCTCAATTTCTTAATTTATGTTTTCTAATGTTTCAAACTGAACAGCTCTATATGATAATCACATTGCAGGTCTTGAAAGAGGTGTTGATTAAGATACAGGATCAGAATGATGCAAATGTTGATACTAGAAATGGAAGCACCGAAGAGACTTCCATTTACATTTTGTCTGTCCTTCGTGTGCTTAATTATCAGCCCCAAGTAGATCCTGCAACCTTTAGGCAAGAACCTTTTCATTTATTTAAAAAAGAAGAATTCATTTTAATATGAATTTTATTTGTGATTTTCTACAGACAAGGTCTTATTCGAGGTGATCCTGACATGATTCATCCTATCTTGACCTGGCTTTTGTCTAATTTGGACATTGTTAGGAAGAGAGCTTATTTGTCTCGTTTCTTAGTGAAGGTATACCCCTATACATTTCTATCATCCCTCTTGGACTCATTAACAGTAACTGATTTCGTTTACATTAATTAGATAGAGGTTCCTGCTGAGTATTTAAGCGATGCGGAAGTCTCCTCATTGTATGAACAGTACACAGCTTCGATCAATAGATTCAAAACCGTTCATAAAGAGAGAGAAATAGGAAAGAAGGTAAAAGAACAATGTTAATATAATTCATTCAGTACAGATAATAACTCTTTATCTGATTAGAATTTCGAGAATGCGAGCGAGCTCACTGCAGATTTGAAAACAATGGAGAAAGAAAAAGAAGTAAGAGAGAGATCGATTTGGTAAATCTCATGCTTCAATATATTTGTATTAATTTGGTTTATAGGCTGTGACGATACGTATTGAAAAGATGAAAGCAAAAGCAGAACCAGGCATTCATTTTTTAGATGCAGCTCGAGCATTGCGAATAGAAAAAGATAAAGAACGTGATCTGGCGTTACAGGAGGAACAAGAGAAAGAAATTTTGTCCACCTTGCAGGTAGAGATACTTGGCGGTTGTTAAAACTCAATCTGGGCTCTTACAAAATCTTTCATAATATTTTAGACTTCACTGCAAAGACTAGAACGCGAGCTGCAGATTTTAAAAAAGGACGAGAACGAAGTTACAGTTAAATCACTGCTGCAACAATTGTCTGAAGCAATAACGGTTCAAACGATAGTAACTAACGAAAAGATACCAGCTGAAATAAAGACGAAAAAAGATCGCATAAAAGCTTTAGTCGCGGTTAAACAGTATTCGTACTTGGGTCCGGATCAAATAACTGCATTGAGAAACAAGTTGGATACTATATCCGAAGAAATTCAAAAAATGATAGAACATAAGGTAAACTGTTCAAAATAGGATATCGTTGGTTCTTAGGTGTTGTATATTAATCATTCGAAAAATTGTAGATCTCAAAAAGCAATATCGATAAAATTGAGCCGTTCCGGCAACAAGCAGCCGCTGTTACAAATATTAAAAGAAATGCGTTGGAACGATTAGAGAAGACAGAGAGATCCTTGCAAGAATTGCAAGCGAAATTAGAAGAGAAACAGGAACTATCCAAATTTATGGTAGAAGATATAGTACCTAAAGGGGAGGAATTAAAAAAGTACGTAAATCGCTTGAAGACTAGGGGTACACTTTACAAGCACTGTAAAGCTGAATTGGCGTGGCTTGCTGCTGAGAGTAGTGTGTTGTATCGAACAACCGCCATTTTGGAATATCAGGTATTTTGATAGTAGAAGTTCAGTGATCCACAATTTAAAATCAATCGATTTGTTACAGGTTAATCAATGTAACCAAGCGAAAGAAATATTAGAAAATGTACAGAAAACTATTCCGGATAATTTTACGGAAGAAAATGCATTATCCATGAATGTTAAATTATTTAGAGACATATCTGCTTTTCGCGGAAAATTGGTTCCGTTCATAAATGGTACGAGTACATAGAATAAACTATTATGATCAATAAACGTGTTCCATATTTTTATTATAAACATTACAGACGTACAGACATTGAGGAAAAAGTCGCACCAATATCAGCAGCAACAAGAGCAAGTAAAAAAAACGCATAACAATGTAGAATCGAGTATGAATGTTTCTATTAATGATTTGCAGTCTGAAATAGAAAATATCAAATTAAAAATGACAAAGGTAAACGATTTTATAATTTAATACTGTCAGAATTGTTTTCTAATTTTGAAATATGTTCAAAAGGATGTTGAAGAGAAAGAAAAACTGCAAAAACTTATTAAAAGAATGAAAAATACAGAGGAAAGAATAAGTCGTGATGCTGAAGTTAGTAAGATTTTTACTGTAACCATTAGTATCACATTATTTGTCGCTAATCTTTTTGTGCACATAGGATTCTAAAATCTCTGATCCTGGTAAAAAACTTAAGGAAGAATTAAATTCTGCTATCGTATCCGAAGAAGCGAAAATAAAAAGTTTATTAACAGAAAAAGATCGTTTGAAGGAGATTGTTGCAGTAAAGGAAAAACAAACACAAATGTGGAGTGATATTTTGTCGTACGTAGTAGACATTATAAGTATTGAAAAGGATATATGTATAACAAACAAGTACTGTTTTAGGATTTTCCAATGTAAAATAAAATCTGCCGAAGAAACGAAGCAATCAAATGGTATCGTTGTCCGACGAGGAGGTGCAGAAACTTTAGTTTTACAGTAATTATTCCTTCTTTTTTTCTCCTTTTTTTAGTATGATATTTTATGAATTTTTTGAAATCAGAAATAAACTATACATATAACATTTCCAAAGTTGTTTATTGCAATAAGGTTAATAAAAATTGTTGATTTCATTGTGTTCAAGAATGTTTTATTTCTAAAATACATATTAAAATACAAGAAATCCATACATTTTTTTACAATACGTTCATCACAGAGATTTCACTATAATAGAATTTTCAGCTTTTCCGAATCATTTTAATGTGTTCAATTATTCACTATTTCTGTTTTCATCAAATTCCATTTTATTCAATTCTGATTCATACATACATGGTTACCACATCGAATCTTTTTTACAGTTTCAACATTATTATTTCGTTTAATATTAAATATGATATGTCATCGAGATCTACTGTAGTCGCCTACAAGTCAGTTATCATAATCGCTAGATTCTAAAATACAAAATATATTTTGCGAAAGAAAACCATACGTTTTCTTGAAGTTGTTAGAAAAAATAGTCCTGTCAGAAAAATAACATTTAGATTTCCGAATCAGTGCTTCAGATTTCACCTATCGTAAAAATATACAATACAATAAATACATCACTATCGTTTAATACCTATATATATTGATAAATGCAATACTCGTGGTCTATTCGCAACAACTGAACTATTATCCTCTTTGTAAATCTATTTAAACCATTAAATTATTTTTCTTTTAATACCGTTTTAGACGAGAAGACAGTATTAAACATCTAATTTTATTTAACAGTTTAAATTATTCTATCTCTATACAATTAACTACCATTAAACTATCAATTTACAGAATATTTAACATTTGTATAGTCTATTGTACAAAGAAATGCGATTTGGTTCGTTTTGTGTATTGTGAAACAATCCACAAAATATGATTATTTTATCATTATTCTTTTCAGGTCGAAAAATATTTAAGAATACGGTACTTTATGTTCTTTAGATAATAACAGTGTGAAGTAGTGTTGAATTAGAGTAAAACTAGAATTCCTACGACTGCAGAATCTCATAATCATTGTTCAACGTTATTATGCAATACTTCTAATAATTCACAGCATTTAAAATACATTTTTGTTATTTGTTCGACAGAGGTGTTTGAGAAAAGAAGCTAGAATCGGTAATTGCTTCTTAAATGCTTATCAAATGTTGCCTTTCGTACAGAGATACGATGCGATAAATATCAGTTAGGAAAAGTCGAATAGTCTGGTAAAAATTCTTGCCTTAATAAAGTGGCAGTGGTACGACTTTAGATTCTACTGTGAATCGCTAAACCTGATGCATTGTACCTATTCAAAACCAACAATTATGTAATACATATGCTATTCAAAATAACCATATAACTTAGTTAATTTGAGTAGCATATCATAATATTCAGTTAATATTTACAGTCAGTAAACAGAAGACAAAATTTTCTTAATCTCTCATTAGATTTGCTTCATTTTTATCTTCCCTAGCATTATTATTATTATTGTTATTATTGTTGTTGTTACTAATGATGCTATTATTTTTTGAACCTACAGCACTCAGCGCTATTCCTAACTGAGCCGCGTAGTACGTCAACATTATAGAAACCTTGAAATTAATTAATTTTTTTTTTTTAAATTAATAAATTATTTTCACAGATTTTGTATAACTGCTATAATTACCATACCTGAGAATACGGCAATGGAGTATGGAAGTAATGAAATCCCAGTAAGGTGTCTGATACAAGGAAACATATACTACCAATGCAGCTGCACAGTTTAGTCCATGTCCATAATTCCTGGTAAAAAGAACAATTTATTTAAAGATTATTGATTAGAGAATATTGATTATATAGTGCTTCCTTAAATTGCAAAGTTATTTTTAACTGTTTTTAGCACATGGAAAATGCATACCTTATAAAACTGTACTCTTGAAATCGCCCTCCATGCCATAGTAGTCAATAATATTATATAAATTGGAACTCCAACAACCAGGACACCGTTTAGACCAGGCATTAGAGCATATATGACTAAAGTATAATTTTTGTTATTTTATTATTTTAAAACTATGAATTAATTGAAAGGCAGCCAATAAATTCTTGTAACAATTGATCATGAAATAATTTTGTACATCAGTTGAAGGACTTACAAGGTATCTTTTCTAAATTGGCATCATCAGAGTATCATTTAAATGAAATTAAGTGCGCGCGCACTATCTTTCGGTCCTCCCTCTTTGTTTATTGTTCGCGCACGCGTATATACACGTGCACAGGTCCATAAATCTTTAAAAGTCGGTTAAGATTAAAGTCTGAGAATTTATTGGCCATTTTTAACAGGTGAAAGTTACGCTTATGAGCCTTACCTAGCGAACACATCGCGTATAGGATTGTACCTAGCATTATGTTGAGCGGTATAAAACCGAATGCGCTAATGTACATGATTTGGGCCATGGCAAACATACACATCCCCGGGGTGAAACAACTGGGCCAAACCAATAACGCGTCTCCTATGCAACTGAATATTAACCCTGTCAATATGCGCCTGGAGAAAGTATACCTGAAAAAAGAAGATGGTCACTTGGGAATATCTAACTTTTTATTTATTCTCATGCAGAAACGATACTCGTAACAATTAATAATTAAAAACATTGCTCGTATAATATACTAATGAAAATTTTACATCGTTTGCAGAAACTAATCCTTCTCGTGTTCAGCACAAATTTTGTATAATTATTTTCATACATGTACGAAACATTTTTAAATAACAAAACCGAGTAATTTCCATCATAAAATAAAATACAAACGTTGGAATATCTAACGTCCAATTCTGATAGTATGAATTTTATGATAACAGGAGTGTATACAAAAGCGATGATAAAGTACTGTAGCTTACACTTACATTTTCAGGTGACTTTTTCAGGCGCAACATTTTTTAATTCGATAATTTATAACTTTCAAAGTAACGATTTTCATTTTCTTTTTTCGATACAATAATACGAAACATAATGAAATGTTTCAGATTCGAGCGACAATTATATAAAAGGAACGAACGGTAACGAATCGATCCTCTTGCTGTTTTACTACCGATCAAATTTCGCACGATCTGTGGAATGTGGAAATCGTTAAAAGGAATTGGAAAAAATTCGACATGTGTGCGTTACCGATTAGGGGAACAAAGCGACCTGAAAATAAGCGTGTAAGCGAGGTTTTTATGTAGCGAGGATACAGCCACGTAACAGGTTCGATTAGCCCATTAACTTACACAAAGTTGCATAAGGTCAACGGTTTTCTGCCTATGGAAATTAATGGGTTAACTCGTTTTCGTTAAACATTTGCCCGTCGGAGGTGTATCGTTTACAGTAATAACCTGAATACGCTAAATAATAAACCATGATAAAGCTGATGATTTAGCATGTTACAATGATTATTATCATTTTTCAGCGTTGAATCGATAGTTATTGTTTATATTAAAGGAAGAAATTGCGCTAACTTGTGGAGACCCAATAGCGTTATAATGTCAGTTGCGAGACAGTGGTGTAGAAACAAAGGAATCGGCGCATGCAAAATTCTTCTGCACTTACTCCTGCGATAAACTAATTCCATGGAGAAGAACAAAGACGATTAGACTTATAATTGGCAAACACTTGAAACATGCCGTCAGGAGGGACGGCTGCTCGGCCAGTAATATAAAATACACGGATACACTTTTAAAGAAGGGAACTAGCTTTGGGCCAATACTTTTTAACTGGAACAGAGAAAACATGAAATTGGAATCGAATCGCGATTATTAGATAACGCGTATTTATTCGATTTTATGATTTTCTTTCTTAGGTCTCAGTCTAAATTTCAGTTTAAATCTATACGTGGAAAAACAGAATTTACTCTTGTGTAAATCAACTTTTACATGAGTCATAAAGCAGCTTTGAGAAAAAGTAAATTAAACGAATCAGCCAAGAAAAAACAAGCTGATAAGGCAATGTATCATCCTAATGTGAAAACAGAATGGTTTGTTAATCATTATATCTTATCCTTTTGTAATCATAATATTTGATCTACAAGTCTTAAAATTTACAGAGATAAACCACGAATACATAAAACGTGTCTGCCATTCAAATTAATATTAAATTAATTTATTTTATCACATAACACATGATAAATTATATATACACTGCTGGTAAACGGTCAGTTAAACAATTTATTAGAAAACAAGAAGACAAGATACTCAGGACTATTCAGTAGCATATAGTTACCACATCAACAAAAGCAGAGTTAATTCACAGTAACAATTGGCAATCTGTTAATAATATATTACGTAAAGCAATAACAATTGAAATATCAATTTCGTAAGAATAAACTGGGACGATGACGAGCTATTGTATCGTCGTTAAATTAACGAAATAAACGAATATCTGACGTATTCGTTCACAAATAAGCGCAAGAAAAAATCAGAACTGCAATACTACCAACATTAGTTATTAATAACTTGTAAACAAAAAGGAAAGTCGCCAGTGAATACGCTACACAACAACGTAGCATTCATTCAAAACAAAGAAAGCAGCTGTTCGAGAGTACGTTCGTTTTTGACGTTCAGGTTTTTTTTCTTTTTCTTTTTATATTTTTGTTGAACAAAGAAAGAAAGAAAGAAAATCATTCTACGGCTTTGTTTTTACAGATCAGTAGATGGCAAAGATCTATATAAAGATGCGTCAAGGCTCGAAATAATAAGAAAAACATATAAATTCAAGGAAGATGATCGGAAACGCGTAGGCGAATGAAAAAATCAATAATGAAAAATATTACTTACCACTTGTGTAGGCGATGACATTTTAGATTATAGAATAATTTTGATCTGAATAGCAGTACGCACCCACATACACGATATTTTCCACTCTACTGTCAATTGCTACACAATTATCACAGTAGGCTGCTCCTCGACGACTACATTATTTCACCCCGCTTGAACAACGCTACCTCCCATTGGTGAATCTTTCAGTGACCGCTCGTATTGACCAATAACTACTCCTTCAGTTGCAAATTTATGTTTAAGCATTTTAAGCATTTATATTTCAAGTCTATTTAATAATTGAAAAAGTGATCACCTATCTTTATTATTGTCTTATTAGATTTAATTTTGTACAACGTGTGATCATTTTATTGAACTGTAGTTTGTTAATCTAGACTGGTTACTGTATTTCATGATTAAGCCTCTGAAGAAGTGGAATCATTGAATAACTTTTTACATAATTTTTATCATTTCTTTAACATTATACTGTTATTGTTTTATTAATGTCATATTAGTTTCAGGAAATGAGTTTTAAATAAATTATGTAAAGCGTAGAGAAGGTGAAGCTGCTGTTTCATAATTTGAATTATGTCGCATGGTATCGTATTGATCGATGGATCGTATCGACCATTTTAAAAATTTGGCGCTCGTTTACATGAATACATAAGCGTGATAAAAAAGAAGGCACAATTTAAGGTATGTAATTATTTTTAAATAAAAAAAAGCATCAGCGCAATTATTATAATGGTTAGTTGAAATTTATTGTGTAAAGTTACATTTCAATATAATGTTAGTACAAAGTTTCAAATATGTTTAAAATCTTTGTAGTAATACTTAAATTGCTTTCTTTTTCGCATCTTCCAATGATTTTTCTATAAAAGCTTGCCATTTCTCTGGTTGATTCTTAGTGAACCAGTCAGTAACTTTATCCAGGAACATCTTTTGCTTTTCGGTACATTTACTGCACTTTGTTACCATCGCATCGAATATGTTCCCTGTAATGTACAGACATTTTATTCTAATCTTAAAACTGGCAAATTTTCTAACATGTTATTTATGTTTTCAGAATTTTACCTTTGAAAAATGTTGCATCGGCCGTCATACATGGTGCTGTATCCATAAAACATTTGTAATATTGTTCCCTTAGTCGGTCGTTTGTCAGAATTTCCTCAACGTCGATGTAATCGAATTTATCTGAGTAAGTATCTTCAGCTTGCGTCGCCCACACAAGAAGAGAAAGAGCTAGTAATACGAAGTAGCCACGCATGGTATCAAATTTCACACAACGTTTCTTTTTCGACACAACTTTTGTTAATTCAATCCGTTTCAGAAGACTGGACACGAATGCGACCGTTTTCTCCGTTTATATATTCTCACCGTACAACAAAAAAGAGGTATATCTGATTGATAATGATGGATAATTAAAGAAATATCCTAGACAGCAATTATACCATTGAGATGACAGCCATCGATACCTGTTGTTTATACGTCACATTTTTTTTCTAATTCAATGAAACGTTTTTTTTATCTCGATCATGCGTATGATCGTTTTCTCGGTAATACAGGTATTCATTTCTGATATAATGAATTTATACATGGAATATCAGTGGAAAGTTGATTTATTATAAGAAAATTCATGGAAGATTTGTTACTTGATAGCCATCAATTATTTTATATATAATTATACATTTAGAACTTCTTTTGAGTTTTGTTAGACACTGAGCATAAAAACAAGTTAAGATTATGTCAGAATATTAATAGTATAGTCGATATAATCATCTATTACGCGTTTAAGAAGTGTTCATTAACATACAAGCATATGTTGTTTTTTTTCTTTGAAAATGAATAAGCATAAAAAGATTTAAATTGTAAATAATGCAATGTTCGTCATACTCTTAAAAATTATACCTTAATTACTATCATATGAATGAAAAGGAAAAGTAAACTGAAAATATCTTGTTTTGTTTCATAGTTATTTGAATCGCGCATTGCCGCGAAAAATTCGTAATGGTTTTGTCGGTTTTTACTCGCAGTTTAATCGCGCGGTACTAACGTGGTACATCTGGTAACGAAACATTGCTTATTTGTTAGTGTAATGCTATTACGAACATACAGCTGGGAAATGAATTGCCGATTTAAGTCGCTTGCTCGCAATTTTGGAATTTTAAAGGTAGCAGTGATGTCTTAAATATCGTGTGGTAATGTGTAACCTCTTTTTATGCTACTTCTGTTCAATTCTAATATAATGAAAATTATTTTCGAAGCATCAACCAGTTTTTGGATTTGAACATCCTGCTCTGAAATTGCCTATAACACAACTTGTCAGATATAAATCTGAAACACCAATGAATACAATTATATTATTTGTTCCACAGCAAGAGGTTAGTTGTAAACAGTACTGAATGATTCTTATTACGTTAACACCGTAGCTCGGTACATATTGTTAATAACATTGTATACGATAATTATAAAGTCATACTTTTACAGGCATGGATCGTTGAAAGGATGGGAAAATTTCATAAAGTTCTAGAACCAGGATTTAATGTCCTTATGCCATTAATCGATGAAATCAGATACGTTCAAAGTCTGAAAGAATTGGCAATAGAGATACCTCAACAAAGTGCAGTTACTTCGGATAACGTGACGTTAAATATCGATGGCGTTTTATATTTAAGAGTAAACGATCCATATTTAGCTTCCTACGGTGTCGAAGATCCTGAATTTGCTGTAGTTCAATTAGCTCAAACAACAATGAGGTCAGAGTTGGGAAAAATAGCTCTGGACAAAGTATTTAGAGAGAGAGAAGGTCTTAATGTTTCTATTGTTGAAAGTATAAATAAAGCAAGCGAAGCTTGGGGTATAACGTGTCTTAGATATGAAATACGTAAGTTTAACCGTAAAGAAAATTCTTGTTTTACGAAGAAAGATTGAAATATATCTGTCTTTAATAGGTGATATAAGATTACCACCAAGAGTGCAAGAAGCAATGCAAATGCAGGTAGAAGCGGAACGTAAAAAACGAGCTGCAGTGTTGGAATCAGAGGGTACCAGGGAAGCAGAAATAAATATTGCCGAGGGAAAACGATTGGCACAAATTTTAGCATCAGGTGATCATTAAAATTATCTTTTCTAAATTAAAAACTAACAAATAATTTATGTTATATTCTTATAGAGGCTGCAAAACAAGAGGAAATAAATAAAGCAAATGGTAAAGCATCCGCTATAATAGCCATTGCGGAAGCACGTGCAAAAAGTTTGAAACTTGTAGGAAATGCTCTTAGCTTAACAGATGCAAAAAATGCAGCTGCATATAGTATAGCAGAACAGTATGTTAAGGCATTTAACGAGCTAGCAAAAGTTAACAATACTTTGATCTTGCCCAGTAATGTATCTGATGTGTCTTCCCAAGTAGCCCAAGTATGTCATAAAAAAGAATCAACTTTCTTGTCTAATGTTACATGTATTATTATATAAAATCATTTAACTGTTGCAGGCAATGACTATTTATAAACAAGTCCTGTCCCGGCCCAGTTTAGACAATGGTAGAAAAGGAACTAGAGACGCTTCGTACGATGTTCACGATGCAGACGAGTCTTTTGAATACTTTAGCGATAAGGAGGAAGCGGAAAAACATAGAGAAAGCAAAAGGAAACGAAATCCTGAAATGCTGTAAAATAGTTATCCACAATATAAATATATATTTTGACTTTTCGTTATCTTCTTCTGTTATTTATGACATATGTTTAAGAGATAGAAGTAAGATTTTTTTAAGGAGTTGTAATCGTAAGTGAATAATGATAAAATTATAGTTATAAAACTTGATATAAATTGTCTCTTGCAATTACAATAATATCGAGATTACATTAAGATTAATTTATTTTCTTTTTTTTGTGTGCATTTGTACCGTAGGTACAGGTACAGCATAGGTTTCTTGAGAGATCCGGTTGATGTAATACAGTGCAATCATAGAGAACAGAAAACAGGTGGTAGTTGCCACTCTGTGCACTAGTCCTGATGCAATTAAACTGACGATCAATGAGAACATAACTGAAAGAAATAAGAACATAAATTACAGTTTGACATTATTTGAGATCAATTTGATGATCGTTTATATACCTTCAGGAAATAATTTTTGTTGAAAAGATTTTCCAAATATTGTTGATTCCAGATTTCCTATAGCAGTTAACACGCACATAAATAATATAGATCCGATATATCCTCCCAGTATGGTGTAAAGTTGCGAAGATGCCAACCAATTCCTGTATATTTGCATCCCAGAGAACACAAGAACTGTGAGAATGGATGATAGTATGAATGATGCTCCGCTACTGACAGCTGATAAAAAATGACAGAAAAAACAAATGGTGATTTTTCTTTATTTTCATAGAATTATTAATTCAAGAATAACTAATTGCAAACTCAGAAATTAACAGCGATACAACAATATGGTTAGGAAGCGTAACAACCGGCAAGTTCAACGTTCATTGGTTTCATAACCGATTAAACAAACAAATTTCTTGAGATATAATTAAAGAGTTTCAGTTTAATAAATCTTTAGTTTTACATACGCATTTTGTAAGTAAATTTCTATTAATCTTTAACGTTAAATAGAATTGCTATCTTTCAATTTCAACTACAGTATTTAGTCGTGTTGTCAAAAAACGCATTCTTACCAACATTATACGTTACATATGATGGAAATTACATGAAATATTCTTAGTTAAATGGAGAGGATAAATAAATGATTAAATTCCATGTAAATGGGATTTATTATAACTTTAAATTTCATTAAGATTGTTTTAGCAATTAATTGCATAGAAAATTCAATTGTTTCAATTTGTTAACCATCGACATGATACATTTTAGATGGACTACCTTGCCAGAAATACATGTGGACTGAGATTCATTTGCTGTTATTGATTTCAAATTTATCATGGAAATATTTTAATTGTAAGTACGGATCTTTTTATTATTATATATAAAAAATTATGCAGTATTCGTCTAAAATGATAATAATCAATCTTAGGCTGCTGATACTCAAGTTTAATCACTCCTACTCTACAAAGCTAGAAGATGAAACAAAAATGTAAGAAACTCTTATTGAAAGCATCAACTGAAGATATTAATTTGTTAAAAACATTATTTTATTATCGAATGGATGCTTGTTTTGACCCACGCGGTATGACGTCAGAAGTGGTAGGCCGTGTTTGCGGAGAAAGTCGAGGATTGGCTGTCAGGAGTGATCGGTCCGGCGAAGGAGTAGGAGGTCCGGGTCGCCATTTTGGCAGGTTGTGAGAGCCTTCTGTCGTCGCCGTGAGCTGAGCTGTCGTCCAGCCCGTCCAGCCAGCTTAGCCGTAAACGCGTGCGAGAGAGCTTCTGGGCTCGATCGAATCGCGATTTCGTTGGCAGGCCGGTACCGGGAATTACGAAATCGAAATATTCACGCGAACCGGCTGTACATAACGATTTTTCATTCGATGTTACTCGTTCGATCGTTCGAGTGAGACATTTCCTCGGTTACCCCACGAGTGGTGTGCCTGTGACACATTTACTCCCCATCGACGAGTTGGCGAACGATCTTGGAAAGTGATTATAGAATAGGATCAAAAGGTAGCAGGTGAGCTGATAAAGACTTCCAGTGTGACAGAAGGAACGACAGTATGGCGGGACAGACCATCAACGACAGACTATTAGCAGCGAGACACAGCATCGCCGGGCAGGGCCTTGCTAAAGCTGTATGTAAAGCAACCACCGAGGAGATGATAGGCCCTAAGAAGAAACATCTCGAATGTAAGCAGATTCATTTTATTCATCTGCTTTCAATCGTGCATTACCCTTTAGTATTCTGGTATTCAATTCATTTCATCGTCTTTGTTTTCACTGGGAAAAGTGAGAGGATCATTTGTCGGTATCGTTGCTAGAAACGATGCTTCTTTTCCACGAACCTGTATAAATACATTTCACTTGAGATTCAATGATTTTCCACGGTACCAACTTCCTTGATGTCCAGAAGGAATAGTCATGTTTGATGCACGAACCGACTTTAACGGGTTACTTTCCATTTCGTGGTATTATATGGAAGGTGTTTCGACTTACATTTCGTACTTCCTCGCAGAGGTGGATCCATAAGGATACCACGGGTCTAATTGTAAGAAGAATTGATCGGTGACGCGGGAAGAAAGCCAAAAATTTTACCATTCCATAGCTATTTCGTGCCACTTACAATTACTTGTGCCTTTTGAGGCAACCGAAAGATCGGTATACGTCATCAAAGTTTCAAATTATTCACCGTGTACAAAGTATTAGCTTACATTTTTTCTTACCTTTACGTTAACGATATTGATAAAGATTACGTTTCCTTGTAAGGAAGAATAATCTTTATTTTTTCTTTTTGAAACGTAAGCAACTGCACACGACTGTTCGTATCGATTCCACAGCTCACTGGCAAAGCACCTGCCGTCACGTTACATGTCGGTCATTACAGTTACGTTAAAACGCACAATTCTTATTGATAATTATAAAAACATTTCCATTGACGTAGACGAGTTTAGTTCCGTAGAATATAAAAAGATCATTGACAAATGTAGTAATGCTAATTTTACATAATCTTGAATTTAAATTGAGTAACGGTGAAAGTTTTTGTATCACAGAATCGCTGTTGATAAGTGATATTTTACGCGAAAGTAGTTTCTTAACTAAGTTTCCTGCGACTATGCGAGCTGTTACGTTATTATGAACGTTGTCACGTACGTGTTAAAGTCGAAACTTATTTCTGACGGTGCGTGTCGATAGAAAAAATGGAATATTGCTGAATAATTTTAGAATTCGCACAGTTGTACGCACAGTTTGTGTACACCTTGTAATCCTTATCGGTCTGGTATCCGTTACTATGCTCACGGTTACTATCGATAAGCTAAGAAGAAAAAGATTTCAAAATTAATCTCTAATTCCTGGTTAACTATATTGATTTCACACTAGTCGAGTCAGTTACGAATAATTTGAAATTTATATCCACCGTCATTGTTGCGTGTATTGTTTCGTTAATTAATTTTCAAAGTTATCGATGCTGCAAAAAGAAGTTAATGTTTGAACGATAAGAAACCACACGAGTTCCTCACGATTATCGATTTCACTGTCGCATGGTTGTGCATCAAGGTTTATAGGTACACGCGTAGGTGCTGTGACCTGTATCTATTTCAATTTAAAAGTCCACCCTCATCGAAGAGTGTAACGTCCGGTCTTTGCACCTTTCAGTTATATTGAATTATTTCTAATTGTCTCATTTGATCTTATAACGGCGTTCGCGCTTCTCCTTTTCCACCCTACTGTAGGATTAAAAAAAGATTATCATAAAGATCTTTGTGCAACCTGTCGATTGATTAATATATTTACCTAACGTTCCTTTAGATTCTTGCAAATAAAAATGTTGGAGAGGCTGTTGTTTCCGTTTTAGTGGAATGGAATGGAATGGAACGGAACTTACGGTCTTTCTTCCGGTCTGCTAATTTAGATAGCGAAACGAATTCCTATCAATGATGTCATTATCGAGCGTCCTTTTCTCTGGAACAGTTTTACAGTGTTTTTTTTATTAATAAAGATAGTACTTGGTCCCAGTTTTGTACTTTAGAATGACGCAATATGTTCCACGCCTTTCTTACCAAGTTTTATATCACATATTTATGTTGAAGTACCTTCTATAAGTATTGAAAAATGGGGCTCCGACTAATCTTGCGTTTATCTACGCTCGTCATTTTCCTTAAACAGCTTGCAACGATCATACTCTTAATCTTCGCATCGTGGCAGCATTTTCGAAAACAAAAGTTTTGCAGGAAAGCATGTACGTGGATACAGAGACCAGTCGCTTCTTCAGCAATTGATTTTCCCCGAGGAAAACTTCGTTTCCCGTAATTGGAAAATTATACCGGTAATTTCGTTGTGGTAGAATATAAAACCGTTTGCTCGTTCGGGAACGCTGAAGTTTGTTATTTCGTTAAACTCGGTTTCAAGCTGCAAAAGGGAAAATTCCGTTATTCAGGAGCGAATGTTGTATAAAACTGAACAGCTGCTTTGAGGTGTAACGAAGCAGAACCATTGTTGCTGTCGATACAAAAGCAACTTCAATTATAAACTTGAAGAATTTCTTACAAGTAAGAAATGCAGTTCTGTACAATTTATGTAGAAAATTAAAAACGTCAGCTTCTATTACCATGGTAAGATTGACCGTTTGAAATGATCCAAAGATCAGAGAGAATTGAATCGATCAGGTAATCGAGAACTGTCCATCGATGGAGTATGAATTTCGCACATGCCCACTAGGAATGGCTCCCTGGGTAGCTTTCGTTCGAGATTCTGTGTGTATCGATCGGTCGTACACTTGATTCCCAGCCGATGACCTCGCGATCGTTCTTGATGCCTGCTTATTCGTAGGTCACCTCGATGGATGATCACACGTTAATCTAAAAATAAAGCCGTTGATGATGATAGTTTGGCGAGATGAAATGTCGTCGCGAAACAACCATACCTTGGTCCTTTTTTATTATTGTTTTTTGATAGTAGGGCCGATAAAATGCTTTCTGCTTTGACACGAGGTTATGTTGGTATTTTTGGATTTCTTCCGAACCGCGCTTGCTTTCACTAAAAAGAACTAAAAAATACATGCATACGTTAATTCTTCCACTATTTCAGATAGTTTTTCCCAACGTTCAATGACTCTCTGATTCATGCGTCGTCAATGAGTAATTCCCGTACTTAATACGTGTAAATACACGGTATGGAAAACACCTGCAATACGAGAACGTCTATTCCGAGTCTCATCGAATTGTGCAATTTGTTCAGCTACGTAATTGAGCACGGCCATTGTACGGATGAATCACGTCCAAGATTTTCATGGTATTCGCCCCTATTGACGTTCCTCGTTTCCTGTGCCTTCTTCGCACGCTTCTTTTTCTTCTTGATCGTTGATAATCGTTGTCCTTCGACTCGTTCCATTTTTACAGCTCTGCCGTTATTTCACTCGATTCGACGTTGTGGTTACATCGGGTTGCAGGTATTGCTGCATTTTTACGTAACGAAAGTATCGCTGTTATTTCATGTCGGCCAGTGGTCGTGAAATGTTTTTTGCTGAATCACATTTTAAATGTAAATTAAACTTTTGGTCAAGTAAAAAACGAGGTTACTTACCTTGGAACATCGTAACGAATAAATTCAAATAAGTACGATACTTTTGTTCGATACTTTTGCGATACTTCGATATTTCAAATTCGATCATTTTCTAATGCGATACTTGTATCGAATGGCGCTACTATCGCATTTTTAAGGCGGGAATTAAAACCACGTTAGAAAAGGTTATTGCATTCATTTTGACGGATTTATTTCCACTTGGAGAAAAAAATGAGAAAATAAGGTAACCAAAAATTGATGTTTTGCAATTGACGAAAGTTCATTCTTTTTTTGATAATCCGCGCTTGTTGCAGCTATCGTCTTACCAAAACACGTTATCGGTAACGCCCCCCGTTACGAGTCTGGACTCGGGAGGAGCACACCCCTTCAACTTTCAGATAATTCCGATAATGATTGCGTTCGTCTATATTTCACATTCTATTCCTTATTCTATTCCTAACAATTGTTTGATTCATCAGTTTTCTTCCGCTTAAATGGACCGATGGTTATAAACATGTTTAAACTGCGTCGTTGTTTATTTATAAAAATGCGAGGGTCGCGATGCGAGTCTCGACTTCATTGATTTTATTAGAAGCCATATTTGTGCGAAGCTGTAACACTTTCTAAACAAATCTAAATACCGAAGAGTATACAGTAATTGAAATCATACTTAATGATTAGGTAAGGATATTTTCTACATTTAAATATTGTAAAAAAGAAATCTAAGAAGTCCATATTTATTTAAGATTATAGCAACTGGTTGTGTCGACCTCCTGGAGTGTTGGCTGCCGACAAAGGGCTTTGTTCGCTGTTCGTAGAAGGCAGTTACACGTGGAGGTCTCTTGAAAGCGAAAATCACAAGAAGAATTCATAATGCAGGGATGAGCGATGCTAACTGATAGGACACAGAGAAGACAGGCAGTTGTAAGATTCAGTTGGATCAATAATGTGGCAGAAACATAGGGAAATAGGGATTTGGATCTCGCTCAAGGTCGTTCAAGTATAATAGCAAGAATTTTTCAAATACATTTTTGTTTCACCGTAAGGTTCACCTGGAAAGCATCGATCACGAGGTGGCCTTGGTAAAGGGCACCTCCTCGACTATTGATTTTCTTCAAGAAGCACGGCTTCGGTTCGCCTTGTTACACGGTTGGCGAAAACGCATTGAACTGCGTGTCTAATCTTGTGGTTTTCTTACCTTTTATAAATAGAAGGACACTACTGAATGGGACACTGGTTCTCTGGGTTCGCTTCCTCGCGTTTGCTAGTACATTATTAGAAGAGGAAGCGCGTGACAAGGTCGAGCACGTCGCGAACCTCCCCAACGTTTTGGCAACGGGTATATCAGACTTTCTTCTCTGAAAATAAACAAACTGTTGTACGAAGATGAAACGATGACAAGCTGTGTTTTTTCAGATTGCATAAATCCAGTGAGAGATAGTAACTGCAATGTCACTAGCAATAGGAAATAATTCTGTTAACAAATGAAGCAGAGGACTCTCTTCTTATTCTACTTTCTATTATTTGAAAGGAAAAGGCAACGGAGTAGTATATTTCTCTTTCTACGAATGCAGGTAGCTAATTTTAGCCCTTCCTTCCTATATCTCTGTTTCTATACCAACTGGCACAAGGCGTATCTCTTAAAAATATTTTCATTTTGATAAACAGATCATTGTATACATATATTCGATAAAACAATGTGCTGCAATAGTTTTATTCTTTTTTACTTTTTACTTGGACTGTTCCCATGATTATGGTCATAATATGAGTCACGACACCAGAGAAGTGACCAGGAAGACTGGTTCAGACTCGTTCCACGTTTCTTCTGGAATATTCATTGCCGGTCAGAGATTTAGTATTTTGTCGTTGTAGATGCGGTAGCAAAGTAGAATCGAAAGGTTGTCACTTTGCTCTTTCAATTAGGGGTCATTACGGTTTTCTTCGCCGACTGCTGTGGACGTATCAATGATAGATGCGGTAAAAACAGCACGAGAGGAGATTATACGGTTCCGTTCAGTCGTATCTCTTTACTGACCACTCAATAGCGTTGTTTCAACTAGAGAAAGAAACGATAAAGCGTCTCAGCGAAATGTGCGTAGCACGCTTTTATTGGAAACAGCCCGTGGAACTGATAATGATTGATCAGCCTCGTTTACTGGGATTTCCATAATTCCAGGGAACAATGAGAAGATTTATGTGAAGTCTGTTTACAGGGAATAATTGAAGTTAATTTGCAAAAAGCCTTGCTTTAATTGTTACCGTATTATCACAGGATTCATTGCAACACATGTAATCGTTTTTATTCTCTTTAATTGTTTGGCAAGGATGTTTACTTGAATTTTTCAATTGAGCAAGAGAAATTTGTTACAGTATGCATATATATATATATATTCACAGCTGCTTGTTACCATGCCAGAACATCCTTGAACAACAATGAAAATAATTGTCAGTATATTGATAATGATTTTTTCCTTCTTTTCAGATTTAGTACGATGCACAAACGAGCCGAACGTGTCGATACCACAGCTGGCGAATCTACTAATAGAACGATCACAGAACACCAACTGGACGGTGGTTTTCAAAGCTCTGATCACGGTCCACCATATGCTTTGTTATGGCAACGAGGTAAAGACTGTTCGTTTCTATCTGCAATGCAGAACAGGATCCAAGAGTACCGAGTATTCAGCCGATAAGTGGCTTCTCGAATGCAATCAGACAAACTTCTTTTCCTTTAATTCTCGACGAACGACAAGTTGTTGAAGATGATAGAGTAGCGAAGATTTGCGATTCTTCAATTAAAAAGAATAGTACTTGGGCATTCTGGTTAATTGCTTCTTTATAGCAATTGCCTCAATGCTGTTGTGAATGTACAACAAAATCTTTGTTTTCTCCATCTATTTTATTTATTCTACATATATTATTTTAAGATCTATGAAGTACGATTAGTATATTAATGGGACAATGATCTTAACACTAGCGTTAACAAGAAAATTTAAATTTCTTTCCTGAGAATTTCTAAAGTTGCAAAATAATGTAAATATGATCGTATAAACTCGTACCAGTCGCATTACGATACGTTATTTCGACAACAGTACTACCGATTAAACACTTAAGATCAATCAGATAGCTGCGCTTGTTTAATCAGTCGTACTCCATCAATCACAGGGCTTGTTACTTCACCCCTAGGTAAAGATGTAGGCCAGATGCATCTGATAAAGCGGAGGCCAGTCAGTCTGCTCTTGGGCTTTGATGAAGCAGGGGGTTTTCTTCTTTTTTTTTTTTTGCAATTTGTTTTACAAATTTTTCCTGTAGAATCGCATTGCCAATGAAGAACGTAGCGATTAATAATTAATTTTACAGAATGCAGCAAATGAAGTTAATATCATTAATTTCTTAACGTATTATAATAGTTAGATATACTGGGCAAATAAATAGAAGACTTTACAAATGTTGAAAAGAGTAAACCTAGTGTTAAGTAATCAGTTGATTGCAGAAGTTATTATAGAATCAAAAAGATATCTGAAATCTAGCTTATTATACAATAGTTACAGCAAATCAAATAAGCTTTCATTGAAAGGTATTTAGGAAACCAGTCTGTTATGTAAATCTTTCTCTGCATAATAAAAAGGTCAGAAACATGGGAAAGTCTTGGAAGAGTTGAAATAATTGAATTTTACTTTTTCTTCTTCAACATCAGTCATTTCCTATTAAAATTCATTCATTGAAATGTTCACTCATCGTTTCACGGTAAATCTGAGCGATTCGTGTAAGTTACATAGTATTATTTACATTCGTTCAGGGGTCATCTAACTCATTTCGGTTCAGTGATGATGAGTCGAAGAGGGGAAGTGTCGTCGCCCTTGCCAGTCGCTTGTGCGTGAATGTGCACGGGATCGAATAGCACGAGTCCGTGACTAGAGTCTAACATTTGCGGTTTGCACATGCGATTCGATAGACAACAGCAATAGATTCACAGTCACTATGATAATGATAGGGATTTTTATTTTCAAAGACTTCACTCTTCCATGACAAATAAAATTAACTTTCATTCTTCTTTTTCTGGGCTAAGATTAGAATTAATTAAAATAGGACGTATTGATTGTTCTATGGGAATGTTATCAATAAATGGATGTCTTTTTTTGTTGCAGAGGTTTACACAGTATCTGGCGTCCAGTAACAGCACGTTTCAGCTCAGTAATTTTCTCGATAAAAGCGGCGTGCAAGGTGACCACAATGTTTAAAAGAATTTGCTTGCGTTAAACTTCCGTCGAGTTATTCAATTAGCTAGCCAGTTCGAACGATCTTGAAAGCTTCAAACTGAGGATACCGAAGAAGATACTACTAATAATTAAATAATAAATAATTGTAATCCTAATTAAATCGTCCAATTGGTTATCTAATTGAACTATTACTCGAGTAGGCATGATATTTTCAAGTTTATCTTGTTGTTGCTTTGATTTTTTAATTCATTAATGTTTCTTACTAGAAGTAACATGAAATTACTAAAAATAAAGTACATGCACGCAAGCACAAGTACACGATGTCTATTTATAACGAATTAATAAGATTAAACTGGATTCAGGTTTGTTGCTTGTCGATTAACTCTATGTAACAAGTAACAGTTTTTCAGAAAGTTTTCAAATACTTGTTGGAAGGATCTGGTTATATAGGGCTAAATAACAAGTAGTGACGAGTGTCTGTAACGATACACTGTAAACCTTTGTTCTTTCATAGTTAAAAATTAAATAACTTCATCCTGACTAACTTCCTAACATTGTGCAGCTATCTGTATCTGGCCTCTGTCTATGATTTACTAACTTGGAACTAATTTTTTTGTCTATTTGGGCACAGCAGGAGCACGTATCGGTGAGTTAACATTCCATCATTTCCTAATTATTAATAATTTTTTTTTCTTTTTTGGTGTGTAATAATAATTCCCTCGTATCTCAGATTGCTATCTAAAATTTATGGTAATTAAATGTCGTGTGATCCGTCAGAAATTTTATTGGGAGACTAGCATTCCTCTCCTGGGATTTTTAGCTCTAATTAAATTGATACCATCGCGTGCTTTCTCTACATACACAGCTTACGGCGAAGACTGAGACGAATCTCTATCTAGTATTTGTATAACGCACGCACTTCTCACGTTCAAACTGAAAGCGTGTCTAACAACGCCTGTTCTCTTGCACTTACACACTATACCATGCACACAAATATTTGCACCTGCATTTGTTCAATATTTTGCCTCAGATCCGTCTACTTTTTTCATTCAAGAAATATTTTCTTACCTCCTTAAGATGTCACTTGATTCAAATAAATAAAAAAAATGTTTCCCCTTCATCGTGGAGTTTGTCTTTCAATGAGTAATTGTATTTCTTTTGTTCATCAGGCTATGACATGTCACCATTCATCAGAAGATACGCCAAGTATCTGAACGAGAAGGCTCTTTCCTACAGAACTGTAGCGTTTGATTTTTGCAAAGTTAAGAGAGGGTTAGTAATCGATAAACGAAAGGTAATATTGAAAGTAATTCAGAAATAATTCGTTTGTTTTAAATTTTATTTCAGAAAGGAGGATCGCACCCTGCGAACCATGAACGCTGAAAAATTATTGAAAACCTTGCCAGTTCTCCAGGCACAATTGGACGCCTTGCTAGAATTCGACTGTACCGCTAATGATCTTACAAACGGTGTTATAAACATGGCTTTTATGCTTCTCTTTCGAGATCTGATCCGATTATTTGCTTGTTACAACGATGGCATTATTAATTTACTAGGTACAGTATATCCAGTATCCGCGTTGTACCTTCTAAAAGGATTACTTAAATTTTGTCTTACTGAATTTTAGAAAAATATTTTGATATGAATAAGAAGCAATGTCGCGAGGCTTTGGACTTGTATAAAAAGTTTCTGATACGAATGGATCGGGTTGGTGAATTCTTGAAAGTTGCCGAGGTTGGTTCAAGTTATTCCTCTTCTACTTATTCCTAGTACAAGTAGTAATGTGTGAAACTAATTTTATCATTTTACAGAATGTCGGTATTGATAAAGGGGATATACCTGATCTAACAAAGGTAACACGTTTATAGAATAGCAATTTTTTATTTTGACAAAGTACCGGCTCATTGGATAATTATTATTATTTCATATTGGATCGAATCGTTTTTTAGGCTCCAAGCAGCTTGTTGGATGCATTAGAACAACACTTGGCTTCCTTGGAAGGAAAGAAGGGCTCTGCAGCAAATACACCAACGCAATCTGCAAGGTATTTCATTTACAATTCATTCATATATCTCGAGTTAGTGTTCAGAGTAGGATCAAATCAATTAATTCTGAGAAATATTTTGCGATATGTCTATTAGCAAAAGTTAAAGGTAACACGTGAAATGAACATATCATTCAGTATAGAGTTGTGGTTCAAAAATAGGTATTTTTACTTAAAAAGAAGTTTTTTTTATAGAATTTTATGTCAAGAGATATTAATTAATATAAATTAGGCATCCCATCAGACTTTTTCCTTTGCTACTATTCTACTACAAATTCTACATATACAAAAATACAAATCCCACTTTTCATCCAACCGACACTCATACTATTTCCTCGCAAAATGTTTTGTAAATTGTAGGGTGAAAGGTAATATTGATATTTATTTTTTCTTGCTTGAGAACATGTGCTTTTTTTCATTCGGAATTTTCGTTCCCCTGTTTCTGTTCCAATTTTTTATGTTTTGCATTTTATAGTTGCAGTTTATGAATGTGTTAAGTACTAGAATTCATTGTTTTTATGATTTTTAGATACACGTCAAAGTATTTCAAGCTTTTACTTAAGCCAAAATCTATGTGTTTGCTGAAATACCACTTAGCTTATCATTCAAAGCATTATGTTTTGTTACAAAGTTTTTAATTTCTGTTTTTATGGCACACGCGTCCCACTTAATGTGTTCTTGATAAGTTTAGTACAATATTTGTAAAATTTATTTTGCGCCAGAAGAATCAGTCTTGTAACATTATCACAATTGTAATAGTCATTTATAACGTGAAAATTTTGTTGCAATTAATATTCAGCGATTTTGCAGAAAATTTTATTTCTAGTTTTTCTGATCTTACGATTAGAAGCTAGGTGATTCTTGCACATGAATGAAATCTGTATATAAATGTGTGTGTGCGTGCGTGCGTGTGTGTGTGCGTGCAAATGTGTTTGTAGCAGTAGCAAACGAGAAAGTACATGCTTTTATTTCATTTCCATTGTAAAACATATTAGGTAGCTTACGTTAAAGTAATTGCTTATGCGAGTGAAGAATCTGTAAAAAAGATACAAGGCAATCTGTGTAAAAGAAAGCTAGCCGTTACGCATGTGTGTATGTCTGATGCGAGCGTATGAATGACCACTAAGTAGTTGAACTTTTTTACACATCGTTTATATCTTTATACGTACTACACTGGTTTCTTTGTTTTTTTGTTTGTCTTCTCCTTTTTTTTCAATAATCGTTCCTTTTCTCTCCTATGGCCACACTTGTCTACGCTGATACGGCTTCTCCTCCTTTCCTCTATTAATCCACTGCTCCATCAAACACACATCCATCGCCCAATCATTACCCGAGCAGCAATAGAACGAATGTAAAGTCGGGAGTGTCCGCCCTGTCTTCCACCAGTACTGCGTTTGGAACAGCAGCGAGTAACAATCGACTCGACCATGCTGGAAATGGACATATCGATGAAGCGTTACGGCAGCAAGCTCTCGCGGAAGAGGAAGCCGCTATGAATCAGTACAAGGTATCTCACTTGTACAACATTCTTATAAATTATCGATACGTATACGTAGAACGGAATGTTTCATTATCTGCTTAATATTCAGGCAAAAGTACAATCTCCGTCGAGCGGCCCAAGCACGAATCCATTCCTCAGTTCTCCAACGAATAACGCCAACCAGCCAATCGTAGATTTGTTTGGTGCATCATCAGCGACGGCAGAAAATCAGGTACTTTTACTTGGACGAATTACCTCTATTTAACAGCGTTGCCTCATGTATCGTTTTCACTGGTTTTAGCCACAGAAAGCATCAGACGATTTGCTTCAGCTAGCAGGCAATCCTTTTGCGGACATGTTTGGCGCACCACAGCCTGCAGCTGCGCCGACCACACAAGCGCAAAACAATATGTGGATGACTAACGGTAACGGTAAATACAATTATTCTTTTTTTTTTCTTTTTTTTTAATTTTTGATTTACCACCATCTCGCACATTTTGTTAAATCATCAGAAATTTTCAGTTCTCTCATCCGTTTGTTTTTATTTTTGGTTTGTAGGTTTTGCCGCAGTGCCCCCAGCAAATAATAACTTTGTTACAGATAACAGTTTCTCTTCCGTATTTGGCAATCAAGATTCTCAATCCGGTGAGTAATTGATCCGTCATTTTCTCGCGACAGGATGATTTTATTCTTGCACTTATTAGGACAAATATATTGCACCGTTTCCTATTCATCACCATCACATTGTACATGTACATGTATTCGTATATCTTTATTGTGAAGGAAGTTTCGCTTCAAATTTTGTATCATATTTCTGCATCCTAAATTTCTAGACTCATAGATGATGCCTGTGCAAGTTAATCATACTGTCCTACTAAATGTAACGAGTTTAGGAAGAATAATTCGGTTAACTTCTCAAGTATCAAAGTTCATCATTAACAGTCGTACGAATCATCGTTGCTTCGCTTAACACTTTAACAAAAAGCTCTGATTAATAAATAATACACAATGCTGGCAACGACGTTTCTTACCACTGAGAGATATCGTTCGAATAGTATCATTGAGCGAGTGTACACGCGGTACAAGAGCACGACAATAACTGCAAGGCATTCTTACTTAAAACGCAATTAACCGAGCGTGAAAGCTAATTGATGCACCTTAATTTCTGCGCAAGCTGGTGCTCCAGGAGCAGCGGGATCCGTACCGAACCCTTTCATGTCCGATTTCCCTTCCCTCGGTCCTCAACCACCGCAGTCAAACGCAGCCGCTTTTGGTCTCTTCGAGCAGGGTGCCGCGAACCAAGGTGGCGAGAGCCAGCAACAATCGCAGACCGGAGACCTGTTCAGTGCTGGCGGTCAGGCAGATCTCTTTGGGAGCGACTCTGCAGTGCCCAAGACCGCGGAGGGAGGAGCCGCCGGGGATGCTGCCGGTGAGACGGTATCCTCAGCGACTGCAGCCTCCGGTAAGTCCACTGCCACGCCGCCTCCCAGACCGCCGCCTCCCGCGACAGCCATGAACGGTGCTACGCCAAGATCAGCATCACCAACTACAGCAGGAGCGGCGGCTGGAAAAGCCCCATCAGCCGCATCGATCAACACCGCCGCCGCCGCTCCAGGCAAAAGCGCTTTCGAAGATTTGAACGATAGTATTCGTATGGCACTGGGCGGGTCTCCGTCTCGACCGGCACCCATCGCTCAACAACAAGTCCCAACCGCGCAGCAAGCGCAGCAAGCACAGCAACAACCTATGCAACAGGGTTTCGGCATGTTCGATATGGTCGGCAATATGCCCGCCACCGGGCAGCCTGTTATGCCTGGTGGTCCAATGGCCGGCTACGGTATTCCTACCCAAGTCCCGGCGGGGTACGGTTCCCCGGCAAAGCAACCGATTTCAGGTGACGGGAATGTATAGATGATTCTGCTGTTTGCATGCCAAGGGAATCAGTGATGCTTCCGGTGATATACTAACGGGCTATATACATACTATTTCCGTGTATTTTAATTTAAATTTAGTTTGATTTTCAGTTCGTTATTAAGGAAGCTTGAACGAGATAAAATAGTGGCGCATAAGTATGTTGGAATTAAAACAGGGTTCACCAATTATTTTCATACCGAATCAAGCGAGGGTAATTGATGTATGCTTCACATTTAGAAATAGAAATAGGATTGAAATTAACACGGCAGTATGTGCTCAGAATTGTATATCATCAGTGATTCACACTTATTTTTTATTCGTAAAGTAGATTACTATTGAATTGGGTATGGTTCATAAATTTGCCGTGCTTGCATGTATCGCTACTGCAATCAATTTAGCTCCATCGCTCATTACCTTTACGTATTCGTTTATGACAAATTCTCATGGTACTTGTTCATTTATTATTGTAGTATTTAGTATACACGTGTTTACACTTTCGAACACTTTGTATATTTAAAAGCATGACTTTTCATTATGAAAATTTTCAATCTTATAGACGATTATAGGACATAGTTGATTTTGAATCTTTCATTTTGCTCAGTGAAAAACAGTGTATTACGATTAATTTTGATTTTTCCTTCAAAGTCATCAAATTCGTTCTCTATCTGTGTAAGGAAAAACGTGTATCGCTTTGGGTTTCGTTATTTTGGGGCTTTGGCTGATGTAGACGTTGCTTAGGTTTTGACGGTTCGGGCTCGATCCTGATGCCTATCAGCGTAGCTGGACATAATAATATTTCAGCAGCAGGGCAACCCCAAAATGCAGCATCCACGGGGAAAGTTTTGACCGGGGATTTGGATAGCAGCCTTGCTAGCCTTGCCCAGAATTTGTCTATCAACAAAAGTGCGCAACAACAAGTCAAGTGAGAATCTCAATTATTTTACATAATTAAAAAATAGCATAATACGTTGAAATAACAATTCATACATTTCTTTTAGGGGTATGCAATGGAATTCTCCTAAAAATGCTGCCAAAACAGGAGGTCCAGCTGGTGGATGGACACCACAACCCATGGCAGCAACTACTGGTGCTGGTTATCGTCCAATGGTGAGTTTGGATCACTGTGCTGCTCGTATCTTCAGCATTGAACTATCAGCACGTTGGTTTTGATCGTGATCGCACTATCTTCCTTTACAATAATAAGATATTACCCTCGAGTATATAGTATTTATTATTCTTATTATTCTCCTCTGATACGTGTCGATACTTTATCTACTCTCACCATTAAACACAACGACAATATCAGCATGTTGTTTCTAATTAGTATTCAATTACTATTTCCTATAAACAGTTATCATGTAAATTATCTGTAGGAGGCAAACGAGCAAGTTCACGAATCAAGAACAGTTAATTGATAGTTTCGTAACTAGAGATATTAGTCTTAGCATCAGCACGCTTGCTTCATTGTCCATTCAGCTTACACGTTACAATGATCATTCACAATCTCACTCTTATCGATACTTAGATGCACTCAGCTCGGTTATTATCTTGCACTGTTGTCAGTATTTTTCTTCTTTTTTTTTTCTTTTATTGCAATGCCATCACAACAAATACAACAGCGATTGATAGTTAGTAAAAAATATTTGTAGGCAATGGTAGGGAATTAGATGAAAGCATAGATTTTTTTCTTGAAATCGGTGTAGCATAAAGTTTCGACCATTTGAAAACACAGTTTATCAGGGAAAGATAATATTAGAGTATACACAAATAAAACATGAACCCGTACACTTAGTTGTACAATGCATGCATGGCATCTGGCATGCTACCGGCTGTTGCAGGGTCAAGGAATGACGCAACTTCCTACAACCACCTTGGGCTTTCCTCCCCACACTGCACCATTGGTAAGTTATATATTTTGTACAAAGAATAGTTACGAGCGAAACAAACGTTGCTTAATCAAAGGTTTGATTTCGTGTCAGTGTACGTAACAAGTATTGTTGCTAACTAGTTCTTGGCAAAAGAGAAACAAATATTATAATAAAATCAAGTTAATTGAAAGACTTGCTGCATCGGACATCAATTTCGTAAGCTTCTATTTAGATAGCCGAGTGCCAATTCAGTTAGTGACAAATAATATAATAAATAGTTTTAACTTTCTATTGTCATGCCACATCCTTGTTTCCTGCTTTTGCATATAATCTGTATATGTGATGCACACGTGTACTTAACTCGAAGTAGGCCTTCTACATAGTTGTCTTTTAGCTGTTCATGCGTTTTGTGATATAATAAATATCTATGTTCTATACAATAAATAGGTTGCAGTAATTCTTTTTCTACGATAGAACTACTTGTAAATATATTCATTACAATCACTTTCTTTTACACGTACTCAAAACGAATCTGTAATTACACAAAATTCTAATTTACATGATAAGAATCGAAATATCATAGAACAATGAGTTATTGGAAGGAAATAATATGAAAGAAGAAAAACATGGAAACAGTTGGACTGGAAATGGTAAACGTTCCAGAAGTACAGGCTGGATCTGATTGGACGGCTTTCTGGTGTCCCTAGGGAATGCAAGGTGTCCCAATGGGAATGCAAGGCATGCAGGGCATGCAGGGTATGCAGGGCATGAGGCCGATGATGGGTACAATGCCTGGTGGTCCTGGTGGCATGATGGTTGCAGGAGGAGCTGCACCAATGATGATGCCCAATGCGAATCCCATGATGGGTGCTAATCTTCAGCAACAACAGCAACCACAGCAGCAACAGCAACCCCAGGCTGCTACACAGCCACAAAATAATCAAGTCCAACTTGATCCGTTTGGTGCTCTGTGAAGAGATTAGGTATCTATTTGCTTATCCTTCACATGGATGTAAAATGATCAGTGACGAAACGTTGGATCTCCTATAAATTTCAAAAGAATGAAAAGTATATTAGTTTCAATGATAAATTAGTTTCGCCACTGCTCTATGATCTTTTGAGTTTATGTTATGTTCTTTATATATATAAAACAGTTTGCGAGTGAAAAAATACTAATGGACAGAGTTGATTAAACTATATTTTATTTCAGTTATGAAGTAAAAGAAAGAGGAGGATGTACAGACTCGATGGTCTAACATTGAAACTTAATTTAAAAGTAATAAAACAATGCAGCGCATATTTTAACATATTGTAATTAACGATATTCATGTATTCGTAATTAATATGGAACACTGCATGATCGTATGGATTGGTTCATCGATGGTTTCAAATTCCTCTTAACAATTTGTAAAACAGAAACAGTTTTCAATAAAAAAAAAAAAAAATTACTGTTTGTGAACCAGTTTTCTTGTATGCAACATATCTTCTAACAAAGCACTGTTCCATTCAAAATTGATTCATAGTCTCTAATAGATTTTCTTACTAATAGCACCAATTTCTAATTAACTTCATGTAACTGCACATCGAATTATTTTATACTGCAAGGATAAAAGAAATTGCATTGAAGGCTTGCATCGAAAGGTAGAAGCTTATCGAGTATTAAAAAGGAACACTGTAAAATAAAGATAGAGAATTGAATATTATACATTTATTTTGTTAATAATTATCCATATCGGTAAATCAAAGTTTCTGTTTTTAGGAATTTGGATTGGAAACGAGCGGACGAAGCACCAATTCTGTAAATATCGTGTAATATGCCTAGAAAATGTGCCCCGCTTATTCTCGTTATTCTACGTCATCCGCCACGAACCGACCCGTCCCCGGTGATTTATGGAAGAAGAAGAAATCTCCTCGGAACGACGGTGTCGATGGATTCCCGTACACATATTTCTACTGCTGATCGAGTATAATCGCATATACGGGTTTACTCAGTTTACGGCGGGTTGCCTTACCGAAATATGCGTGTAGTCTCAGTGTATACAGTTCTACGAAGCGACTATAAATAGAGAGTTTATAGACAAGTTAAACAGATATGAACCGTATTGCGTTTAGAATTCCATGAATGCGCGGATGCAACTATTCCGTAAGAGTTGACTGTGATAGTACTGCATTGACATTGTTGCGTTTTTTTTCCAGTAATTCTCGGCTAAAGAATATACTGGCAAAAATCCGGGAGAGATTGGGGGTCGTATGTGTTCGCACGTGTGCATGTATGTATGAAGAATCTTTCATGTAGCAAAAAAGTAGAGAGTTTCATATAGTTCCACAAGCTTTATGTATTCTGAAAGATGTGTCGAGTAAGGAAGTATCGTCTCTCTTTAATAAGGAGAAGTATATCTCGGTCGGTATCGTCATGATTCTAAACGTAAATACGTCGAGAAAATTATACATAGTTGGCTGATGCATGATGTATCCATAATAATATGTAAAATTACGTGTTGCGTATACACGTATACGTACGCGTTATTTGTATACGTGTATACGTATATCGTAGCCAGATTCGCGCGAAGAATACAACGTTGAAAATTATAAATATATCTATATATATATAAATGTATATGTACATGGCGTAATCCTAAAATATGGCGCACCCGTGTCGCTCTTCGTTTCATTTTTTTTTTTCGTACTATCTTGATTTCGACTCAGGGCGCTGAAGCAGTTACGATGTATCCGTTGTTAAAGTATTAAATATTAAATAATAATGTATTATATATATATACATACATATATATATATATATATATTATATATAGAGAGAAAGGGAGAGAGCGAATGAGCGAATGAATGCGTTGAGTGGGAATGTTAGATGGTCCAGCTAATGTTCTTTATCCGTATACCGTTCCGAACTGTCTTAATTAGGTAATTAAACGAACTATGTACACAAATTAAGATTATGATACTCATACGATTAATTATGAATGTAACACGTGAGTCTACGATTCAGTATGGTACTATTAATATAGTCAATAATGACTGTTCTAAGGTCTAATTCGGGATTCGTTTTGTCTCTCGCCGTGTGCAGCTACCTCCACGAATCTGCGCTGTGTAATTAACGAGGAACATGTATCTTTATTTCCGTCTGGAGTTATTCGAATAATGTTTGTAAGAAGGAGAAATGGATATCGTGTACGTAAAGAGAGGAATGAGATATAGGAATGATTTCACGTTTAAGATCTCTGGTACGGTCATCTGAATCTTGCTGAATCGCAGTTACTAGTAGCTGGCAGTTTTTCCTTTAACGTTTTTGTATTTTCGTGTAGAAGAGATGGTGAAGTGTAAATTACACGATATAGGTTCCTGTTTGCAAGTATCCTTTTGAAATGTTGCTTTAAGTATTGTAGAGTTTTGATAAACCTTCATGAAGTTTAAGTGAAACATTCCATTTGAATGAAAACATAAGAGAATTTTGTAAAAAGGAAAATGTTATTATTTAACTATTTGAATCTATTTAAAATTGGATTGGTAAGTGGCACAAATATTAAAAACCAATGAACGTAACAAACATGAACATTAAGTTTTTCTTCTTTTTTTTTTTTTTTTTATACTGCCAGATAATTGTCAGTACGAGGATGAATGGAATGCGTTTTGGTTGTGTATGCAGAAAGGAAATTTGGCAAAAAAGAGAAGAAGGATTAATGAAAATATGAGATACTGTGTTGGTGTGTTGGACTCTCTAAAAAGTCAGGGGTGTGCAGACTTGTTTCCCCATCGGACCATGCAAAACATATTGGAGAAGGTACAAATTGTGCAAATAATATTCTGTAAAAACTAGTTAAAAATGGTAATTTGCAATTCTTTATGCCTAATCTCTTAATTAGATACTAACTTACAAATCTAAAATATCATCAATTTTTCAGAGAACATTCTTTAAGATAATCGTGCACCCCTGATGCGAGTTTGTGACTTATTTACCATTAGGTGTCCTTGTATAATGCGATCATAGAAGTTGACGAGAACAACGGCTATAGGAAACTAGATCATAAATTACATGTTCAATTAACGTCTATGAATCACGCGAGGAACTGGTCACCATTAAGTTTAAGGAAATGATCCTTCAATTCTCTGTGCATCCTGGTAGAACCTCGTTGAGATACAAAATGTACTCAAGTAGGACAACACATTTGGAATTATTAGAGAAAGATTAAAATCCATAAGGTTCTATTTTTAGAGGAGGTGCTGTTTTGTTGAAGACATATAATGAGGTACAAAAATTTCTGAGCAGTTATTTTCTTCGCTCTATCTTAGAAATATCTCTATAAATAATAAAAACTACGTAAAACTCGCAGAAACTTTTGAATCTCGGTGTATCTTCATTAACAGACAAGAAAGAAATATCTGAAATTGTGTAGTTAACGTATAAGGAAGGAAGATTACTCAATGAAACTTCAATTATGTGAGTTGAAATTAATGAGATTGTTACTTCGCACAAACGACATGTGGATAATGATAAAGCTAGTAGAACCTCGTTAATTCAGACTCGCCCAAGGTTAATATCAAGAGAAAAAAAAAATTCCAGTGTGATGTTGTATTTTGAAATTGTAGTTCTGTTCAGATTCGTGAACGGTGGATGTAAAACTTGTATCATTTTGTATGCATCACAGTTGTGCTAAGAAAGTTGGTGTAATCTCATCGACTACGTTTAAAAACGATGCTTTAAATGGCAAAACACAATCTGTTCGTGTAAACTTACTGGTGATCAAGTATAACAGGACAATATTACACATACATATACATATATATACACATATACACATATTTTATCGAGAATTATAGGGCAGTAGCAATCTATGTAACTCTTCCCTGTCAGCTAGAGAAAGACAGCACGATATATTAGGGAAAAAAGAGAAACAAACGCTATATTAAATCTTTCGTCGATCAGCCATTAACTCATTCAGTGCCATGAAAGAACTTGGAAATGATCCTATCTTCTTCTTATTCTTCTTCTTCTTCTTCTTCTTCTTCTTCTTCTTCTTCTTCTTCTAATCCTATATGATGCATTCAAAGATCACTAGCTAACTGAAGAGGGTCCACTAGTATCATAATGTATTATTTCTTTTAATTTAAATATTTAATTACTTTAAGCAACTGAAATAAATACTCAATCTATAATTGATATAGAGTAATATAAAAAGAAAATTTTCAAGTAGTAAAAAACAATAAGTTTAGCTTATTGTTTGTTCATTTTATAGTGTACAGTTTCATTAACAAGAATAGAAGATATTCATTCAGAGTTGATGTAAATATACTATGATACATTTAATTAGATAAATTGTACATAACATCTGTCTTTAACGATAATTAAAGCTGCTGGTTCTGCTCTATTGATTGATACAAAGTTTAGCATGTTGGAAGGTTAAAAAAGGGCAAACCTTTTATTTTAGGGAGAGGCACTGAATGTGTTAAGAGCGTCGCCCTGGAGGAACCTGTAAAGTTGCTAGCGTTTAGCCAGAAATATTTTGTTTAACGAGAAAGTAACGAAAGATTGGACGAGCTCGACCGAATCGATATCGGCAGACTTAGAGTCTCTAGAGACGGAGAAACCGCTATTTTTTCTGATCATTGATAACAAATCCTAGTAATGCCATATTTGTCTCATTTTCCGTTCTACACCTGTGTGTGTGTGTGTGTGTGGACAAAAAATTTCTCAACGGAAGATGTGTACACCAGTAAAACATTAGTTGAGACGCTATTATTTACAATTACTTTGTATTAATTGTCATTGATATCATTATACGCTACGAATATGTTGTAATGATTATTGTGTAACACATGAATGGCGTTTAATAGAGTATTTATTGAAATTAACCGACGTGTATGTACGTCTGTTACCATCCGTTCTTTTTCTAATAAAGAGACATTCTTATTTAAGAGTTGATTCAAAATCTTAATGTGACTGAACTATTAACTAACTCGAGGAAGCTAATCGTATGAATCGACTTCAAGAGATCAACTCCTAAATAAAAATGTTCTTCCTTCTCTTTGTAACAATGAACTTGCACTCGTTTCTTTTTATACTTGTAAATTTTAAACTTGTTAAGAGCAAGTATTTCATTATATACTTTAGGGATTGATTTCTTTTAAAATTTAAGTTTTTTTTATTTGTATCTGAGTAATTGCACTCTTTTATATTTTTTGGAGATGTATATTGCATTTTATTTTATAGTTCAATACTTGGACAGTAGAAAAATTCTTTCCAGAAGCTTAGAGGATACAAAAACAGTCAGCAAGAAAAACTGATGAGTTGTTGAAAGAAAACACAAGGAAAGGATTGTTGATGAAAGAGAAAATGATGAGTTTGGATATATGTATGTTTTGAGGTATCGCACAATGGAAGTGGACGTAATAGAATCAAATAATGGTCTCATTATACAACTATACTTCTTCTAGGTGGTGGGAGGTCGTTATGCAGGAGAGTCAAGACAACTGCCGCAAACCACTGAAATGAATTACAGCTGTAGTTTCAGTCAAACTGGCCGCTGCCTACGCTACGTTTCTGTTGCTTAGAATTGCTTCCAGAAATTCTTAGTTTATCGCATATTCTTGTTTAAACAACTGAAGTTCTGTGCCTCTCTCGTTTTTACTATGGAGTGTATAAAAAGGAGCGTTGGGTAAGTTATCTTAGACATTCCTGAAGAAATTCTTTTGCAATGTAGTAATAAATTTTCAATTTATTGTTTCAGTTTGTATTTAATCTTAATTTAAAGTTTTATTTTTAACTTGTATACATATATATTTTTTAAAATATTTTTTATAATTATTTTATTGTAGGAAAATCATAGAATGTATGTCTGAAATTGGAGGAGATCATGATGCCCAGGATCAACAAAATTTTATACACAGGTTTCTTCCTTAAATTACTTTTTTTTTATTTTTTTCATTTTGTTATGTTGCGATTAATAATCTTTTTGTACTCTTTTTTTTATTGTACCGGTGGCCTAAAAGTATGAAGAAAATAATTTAACACGTTCGCTACCACTGCCGCATATATGCGGTATCTCGATTCTGGCATCTGAATCCATCATTGCAGATGTACGGTGCGCGTTCTTTATCTGTTTATAATAACGTATTGGACCAAATTTCGAAATGGACAGTATTGTTGAGCTAAAAACAATAAAATATATGTAAGATGTTTTTGGTTTAGAGATAATTACATTTTTCAGTCCTAAAAAGACCCATGTCAGTTAAGGATATATTCTAACAAAAAACACCCTTGGCTATGGTGCAAGATTTTTTCTCAGACCCTGGTAGCGAACATGTTAAATAACAAAGGAGAAAGTCGCAAGACACTGTTCACGCTTGGTTTCGTTCGATGGATGTTGTAAAATAAGTGAACGTCTCTTTTATATGACCCTAAAGTGAATCTACCATCCTTTCACGATCAGTGAAAGCTATACCGTGCGAACTAACTCGATGAAGCTATAATGTATGAGTCACTTTTTTATATACATATTTATATAATCTCATTAACATTCATGAAAACTAGAATTCGGCATTTCTTCGAGATAATACAATCTCATAACTGACGATAAGCTTATGCATTATTCTGTATTTATATTAAACATTCATACATTATCAGTACAAAAGTGTTTACTTGCCATTAGACCTTTTAAAGAGATAAGAGATATAAAAGTGTCATGAAGATGACTAGGCAAAACTATGATTGGAACATCAATTGTAATTACGCGAGAGTCATAAGTAATTATTATCTCATTTTAAGAAAAAAGATGAATTCAAAGAAACGGATGTTCTTGATGTCATTATCAGGATAAATTGTTTGGAAAAACACCAAGAAATTCAGTCCATTATTTTTATCATAATATTGCTTCAATTGTTGAAAATTACTGTAAAATACATATTAAATTGCACAATTACTTTCGTCATAATGAGTAGAAAAATACTGTTTCTTCTGATTATGAAAGTCATTTAAAATGATAAAAATAATCTGCAGTCTAATGGCATTGCAATAATTCTTATCTAACAAGATTGATACAGTGTGTCAGTATTATACACTAATAATAAAATATTAGTATTTTAAATCGATGTAATCTATAAAAATATTTATAGATTTTTCTTCACATAATTTTTATTTCCTCAAATACATTTAATAAGATAGATGATATATTGACTCATACTGAATACGTTATATAAATACTAAAGATGTAACTTTTCTTACAAGAATTAGAATGTAATTACTAGCAATTAGATACGAAATACGTATTCATGCTATATAAACGCAACAGATGCTGAAATAAGGAATTAGGTAATTCTTAATTCCTACATTGTAATTCTTAAAAGTGCACTATAAGCTACTTTGTTTTATAACAGATGAGGTCATCAATTCTTGATGGCTTGAAAGTTAAAAAAAAGACTAAAAAATGTAAACAAACTGAACTTCATTGGAACATGTCTAGAGAACAAGTCTACAGTCTACAGTCGATATACATGTATTTGAATGTACCGTTCAAGCAAGTGGAACAATCTGCGATATTGTATTTTAAATGATTGTAATTGCCGTTTATCGTCGGTTGGGGAGAAACAAAGTACGCTACTGATATTTCTCCCATAAAATAGTTCTCAGTGTTGATTATTCCTTTGGCAACGAGCCACGAGGATTGTGCATTCGTCAGGGGGCAATCAAACTATTGTAATTTTAAGCCGTCTATTATGTAAGATTTGTAAATTGTTTCTTGACTTCTAATTTGCGTGGATGTATGATTTTCATCCTATTAACGTTGCTCAGATACGTGTCGTATCTCAGTGATTCACTACACATATACAATGTAACTACTACGTTTATGAACGTTTCTTCATAGCGAAATCGGATGAGTACAGGCTTGTTCATTTTTTTCTGATATCATATTAGATTAAACTGTTATCACAGTTATGCAATATTTGCGGTTGTTCAGTGTTTGTTAAAATGCCAGTGTCACGAGCAAATCGGAATAGTTCCGTATATATAATATTAAGAGTTACGCATACTGCGTTTTCAGCTCCTAAAGTATTTCTGATACCACGTTTAATATTTACATAATATATATTTATGATATAGAAAAATTGATTCACATCTCGGACAGTGGACAATACTATTCAGTTTACCACATACATTTTATGTCATAATGTTAATAACATATTATTTATACTAAACTGACAATTGTATACTTATTAACATTTTTTGATGTGTGTTAAAATTTTTGTTTCAGGGATACCAAGAGTACCATAGAGTTCATTATTAATGATGTCCCTTATACCAGTATGTATATTTCTTCTGATAGTAATAGTATTGAAAGGTTAACAGCAGTAATATAAAACTTGTACAATTGTTTGTAGTCAATGGAGATGTACCTCCTAGAACATCCCTCAATGTTTTCATCAGAGATTATGCACAATTACGAGGAACTAAAGCTATGTGCCATGAAGGTGGTTGTGGTGCTTGTATTGTTTCAGTTGATGTTAAGGGTAAGACAATGTCAGTGAATTCTTGTTTGGTACCAGTCTTAATCTGTAACGGGTAAGTACATTAATTAAAGTTGATTACTTCAGCAATATGTAAGGTATTTAAAAGAAAGTTTTGCTGTAACAGATGGACTATCAAAACAATTGAAGGATTAGGTGGCAAGAAGAATGGTTACCATACCTTACAAGCCTCACTGGCAGGAAAAAATGGTTCTCAGTGTGGTTATTGTTCTTCTGGTATGGTAATGAACATGTACAGTCTTTTGCAAGGGAAAAAGTTGACTATGAAAGAGATAGAAAATTCCTTTGGTAGCAATATATGCCGTTGTACGGGTTATAGGCCAATTTTAGACGCGTTTAAAGCCTATGCTGCTGATGCTCCTAAAGATCTTGTTCAAGATATTCACGATATAGAAGTATGATTGATTAATTTTTTTAAGTTAGAGCATCATGAAATACCTATTATACCTCAGTTGCATTCGTTGTAATGAATTTAAATTCTTCAGGAATTATTTAAAATTAAAAGTTGCAAAAGGACAGGTTTGCCTTGTGAGAATGATTGCAATAGTTGCTATACACTTATTCAGAACACTGAAGATAAGATAGACATGAAGTTAGAAGGTATGGAATTTTACAAGGTTTTATCAGTGGATGATTTATTTGAAGTGTTTGCAAAAAAACCAGATGCAAGTTACATTTTACACGGTGGTAACACCGCACACGGTAATTATAGTTTCTTAACAGTAGTACTTATTGTTAGTACATGCACATCAAGTAAGCAATTATAATTTATTAATTCCTATGTATTGTATTCCTCCTACAGGGGTTTATCGAGTTAAAATGCCTGAAATGGCCATTGATATTAATGATATTCCTGATTTGCAGCGAATTAGCAAAGATAACGATTCCTTACTTATTGGTGGTAATTTATCACTGACCGTAGTAATGGAAACTTTTCAACAATATTCTAAAGAACCAAAATTTGAATATTTACAACATTTAGCAAAGCACATCGACTTAATCGCTAGTGTCCCTGTCAGAAATGTAAATAATTGTAACTTGTTTCATAAAATGAAGTGCATCTAATAAATATGAAACATTAAGGAATGATCGATTGGTTGCAGATAGGATCTGTGGCTGGAAACTTGATGACCAAACATCAGCATAATGAGTTTCCCTCTGATCTTTTCCTAATACTTGAGACCGCGGGTGCACAATTACATATAGGTAAGTCAGTTTATTAAATTTTAATTAAAAAGGGCAATTATATTCTAGCATAATGAGATTCAATAGTTCCATATACTGTTTTTCTATAAACAGTGGAAGCAGGTGGCAAAAAATCTATCGTGAAT